CGTACCTTGGTTTCGTAACCGGTTGTCAGGCTTTCTTGTGGCGAAAGGCTGCTCGTTTGGCTCGGAGCCATGGATGCCATCACACACACACCCCTTGTCGCTGGGGACGCGGGCGAAGCCTTGTTTGCTTACCGTCGTGTCGCGTCTTGACGTTCGCCGGGGATGACGAAGAACATGGGGATACTTGGTGATACCTACCCGAGCCTAGATTGTGCGTACTTCATTGCCCGGAACTGCTGTTTTTCTGACTGCAGCGATAGTTATCATGGATGAGGCAATGATTAGAGGGAAAAGGGATTGAACGGTATTCGGGAGAGCTATATATCGCGGCGCTTGCGATGGGACGAATTTTGGATACGTCATTTTGGAGACGTCATTTTGGATGATGGGACGCAGTTGTGTCAAGTCTGTTGATGACATTCCTGCACGTCAGTCTTTGCATGGTTTTCAAGCCTTCCCCATCTGGAGTGCGTAATATTTATTGGTTGTTTCCGAGCGGTGGGTTACGGACGTGAAGCAGAAATACTGGATCTCCAAACGTATTTGTCTCGAGCTTGGTTCTGAATTTTGTTTACACAATGGGTCGCGCTTTGGAGATTTATCCACTGAGAATTGCCGAGGCTGAAGAGAGTGTGTTGGGTTGAGGGAGTTGTTGTGTCATCCGGTCCCAGGGGCCCGTCTTGTATGCCAGGTCCTGGATGATAGAACCGAGGTCATTTTATGCTTCTTGATTGGTCTTAGTTGCGAACATCATTGTTTCACAGCGAGACATATACTCTCGACGTGTCCACCGGGGTTTCGATGATATTCAGATGTTGCTCAAAATCCTTAGGGGTGTTTTAGGGCTTTCACTTTAAGGTGTGGGTATGATGCCTAGCTAATGTTGACCTTCACAAGAGAAACGTCATGTAGCCACTCCTCGTCAACGCTTGTTCGTTGTAAAGTTAGAAAAGTATGCTTTCGTTACCGACAAACGCGCGGGAAAGATCCGAAGACGATGTCAAGACATCAACTTAATCACGGTTTTGACTAACACAGAGCCTTCTGTGGGTCGCCGATCTATTAGTTCTGTCATCTTTCGGGTGGGATCATACCCCACACTGTCCGCCAGGGCGTTGGAGTTTTAAATATGGACAAAGACCCGTGAGTCGTGCGGATTATGGAGCCTGTCTTGCAGTTCACGTAAGGGACGACGGTGGTTTGCCCTTCGAAAGCTGCCAACCATATGTCACCGTCACCTACTTTTGTTTAGTTCCCTTATACGAGGTTGACGCGTAATCTGAATGTTGCTTTACCCTAGTATCCAATAAAGCAGTGTGTGAGAGGAGCTACTACCGCAGATGTACTTCCAATGGGAGAACCCAAGGTCCTATACTACCTGGTTAGTTGAAGCTGGTCATGATAAGTATCATGGCTTCTATCCAAGTCTTGCATCTAGGATCTACTGCGCCGCATATGGCTGTTGTTTTGACAAACACCCTCCAATATCGTTCTACTGAATTTCAATGCCGCAAAACAAACAATCAAAGGAAGCCTACCATGAGTCGACGTCAAGAATCCATCTGTTGAAACTCTCAGCAGCCAAATAGTGAAATCTCTCACATTCAAGACGGACTCGGGCGATCACCCTACCCAAAACCATACTTTTCTTCAGCTTTTATCGCAGCGGGGCACTGACGACATCTCTTACGGATCACCCCCGCGGGAGGCTAGGCATTCATACAGTAGCTAGAACTTTGACCCTGTGCCACGATTCAACCGCAACGTTAATATGCATACAACTATGTCGAAAGTTCCGTCCCCTGTAGTTATTCTCTTCCACTTCATTAGTATGTCTTCAGCTGTGGTACCGTGAGCGCCCGACTTTGCGCCCCTACGTGAACAGCATGCTCGTCTCGGTGTTGCTGCTAGGCGATACGGCTACCCTCGTCCAGCTTGCGGGCTTCCTTCTACACGGTGACCAATCTTCCAGATATTTTCAATATTGGATGGATATCTTGCTCTTGAACTGGCTTCCAGAGTACCATTGGCTAGCTCTCAACTCGTGAGGATCAAGATTGATGCAACATCACCCGCGACTGGTGTTGGCGGTGTCAGAGAGTTGGGAGACTAAGCTTTTGGCAGTCCACGAGAATTTCCACGACCTTACACTTTCGGATAGCTCTCGACGAGTCTCTTGGGTATATTTCTATTACTAATATGTTCTTATTGACCTGAACGTGCCTCCCCCGCCTTGAGGAACACCCCGCCCCCCTTTAACTGCTGAGCGTGTTCTGTCGAAACCAAGGTCAGCAAGAAACCTATTGTTTTGGCCAATATGCATGTTACTTTCAGCAGGCACGTGTTTGGCCTTTGTTGAGTTGAACCCCTTGAAGTTCACACTCAGTGATGTGATTAGAACAATCACGGTGAAGTCCATTCGAGTATGGCAGGCCCGTCACGACGATGCTAACTAGCTACACACATTGTTTGCATTGATGGATTCCTAGATAGGGGAAGAGGGGGAAGGGCGGGGGGTAACAGAACCGAAGCAGGATGACGTGCGACGATTATGGTCTAGTCGGATATGTGACAGACAGACTCTATGATGCATGTACTCACGATCCTTCGCGATCAGGAAATACGTCCAAGTGGAGGCAGGATTATAGTGCATTGACGATGGATAAAATCAGGCATTGTATTCCGAGTCCGGTTTTTTGGTACCACGAACAGCAGGTTTCGGCTCCCATAACTACCTAGTAGGTAAAGGGCATGACCGACCGACCGATCCATGGGTAGTAGGTAGGTAAGCAGCTTTTGATGCGATGTGCTTCTCTTCCAATAAATGACAACAGACACATCGGCCTCATGTTTTCCGGCGTCATATTGACTTGGCCAAGGACGTGGGTTGAAGATGAAATCCAAGCCACAATGCCCCTGGCCACCACCCTCTTGTTATGTTGATGGGGCAATCCTGATTGAGAGAACAGGAAAGCAGCCTCACTTACGACCAAGCACCTCTTTTCAAAGACAGGCTCTGTCAATAGAGGCAAACTGCTGTATGTAGTATGTAGCCATTTATCTTCGAGGCATTCGCTCGCTGGTATTCAATTACGATCCGCAGTACAAGTTACATAAGCAGTACTTATCCAAAGACAGCAAGAGTAAAGGCAAGAAAGGCTGGATGGTAGCCGGTCCCCTCAAGACGTACAGAACAACAACAGCAAGACACACCACCGCCCCAGAATACAAGAATATAAAAAAATTGAAATTCTACTTCAATAGCAAAAGAGTTCACTCCCCCGGTGGCGAATGGGAGCTACATCTCTTGTCGTCGGGCCGCTGGGAAATTGTCGATAAGCTCAACTGGCGGTCCAGGAGCAACCATCCAGTTGTCGAAAATCGTATATCGTATTGGCGTTAGCGGAAATCGAACCTCGAACCCTCGTAATATCGACCTTGGCGACCCCAGACACAGTTTGACCTGACCCACTTGACCTGGATGGGCGCCTTCTGTGCTGGTGACAATTTAGAGTGAATTTGTTCACTAAGAGGGTATCTCTCGTGTTCAGAGGGCTTGTGGCGTTTTCTTTAGTACTCATCAGATGAAGGCAGAGGCGGGAAGGAGCGCAGTCGGGTGTGGGTGCGCGCCTGCCTCCTTCCTCCAGGTCCTCCACGTCGAGACGTCGAAGTGGGTCGGTGATTGTTGACAGCCCTCTCCACAGCAACAGGCTTTGCGACGAGTAAATCACTTATGCTGCGAAAATGGAATCCCCAGGCCAAATTCTGCACTCCTGGAGATCTTGGCCAGGAGAGGTGGTGTTTGGATCCATTCGCCGCCCTATCCAGACAACCGCCTACTATCATTCCTTCGTCTTCTCTTCTTCTCTCTTGCAACACTATATCATTCAAGCAATAAATTAATCTCAATGATCTGCTGCCACAAGTCAAACTTACTTGCGCTGGCTGTTGCTGTGATGGGCATCACCGCCGCCTACCTATCATTTTCACATTCCCTTTATGCAACTTCAAACCCGTGATGCTACTTCGATATCGAGGTACGTCTTTCAAGATGGGCAGGCAATTTTGAATATTAGAAACGTAACTTACCTTACGCAGGTCCAAATCATTAAGGTACGCATCATATTAAAAGCGATATCTAGAGGGGTGTCCAATCAGGCCACGATAAAGACAGACAGACCAATGGTGAGTTTCGGCAATTTCCTTCATCGCGCTTGAATGGCGCGGCTTCGGTGCGCGATATGCCACAGTAGCTAAGCAGTCTAGAATCAAATGACAACTCTTTAAACGATATTAATGAGTCGCTTGATAGGATCTCAGTTTCGCAAGCTCAACCCTAACGTTTCGCCTCTTCTTCATCAGTTTTTAATCCTGAAGAAATCGAATTTGAGATGACCAGAGCACCTGACATCGTGGGCCTAAGAGTGACTCGTACAATTGAAAAAGCACAGCACTTTGTGTATCAGCTTGCACTATAGTCGGGCACACTAATTTGATGACACAAAGTGACCTGGATCGTCGTCGTGCGTGTTACCTTATCGTGAGTCTGGAGACGGGAGGTTGAAGTTGGCTTTCGCTCCACATCCGATAATCCCCCGGTTTTCGGGCTAGCCCATTGACTCTTGCATCACACTAGCCCTCCCTCGTCACTGACAATGACCCACCAGATCTGCAGCTGCGGGGCCGAACAGGCGGGACCACATTCTTCTCGAAGCTGTCAGCATGAATAATCCAATCCTAAGCAGCGCGCACTGGTGAAGAAATCGTCCAGTCATCGCCTGCGTCAAGGGCCCCCTTAGGTAACCGCTTAGACAGCTTCACAGGGGCCTTGTGTAAGACCCTTGCAGCACGCCAGCCAGATGCCATGGCACATATAAGCTTGCCCGTGAGATTTGCAAATGCTGAACAACGCTGAACAACAATCTCAAACCAGATCGAACCTGCTTCTCGACCATACTAGCGTTGTCCATCTTTTGTGAAGCTACGAGCCTCAAGTATATATGCCTCGTACCGCGACGCTCACTGCGATTTTGGCTGTCTTCATTTCCATCATCATCTTCGACACGCAGCTCAAGAGCTTCTTCACAGACATAACCTCTCAGCTCAACACAAATACGACAACAATTACCACGATACCTTCACCAATCCCAGACTCGTTTGATTCATCTATGCTCAACGCGGTCAAGACCACAATGTCCAAGACTCTCCACCACGCAAAGATCACGCCGCACCGGAGCGGCACCCGCGGCCACTCGGACCACGGCTGGCTCAACACCTACCACAGCTTCTCCTTCGCAAACTGGTACGACCCGCGGTTCAACAATTTTGGCTCCCTGCGCGTGCTCAACGAGGACCGCGTCAAGGCCAACTCGGGCTTCCCCACGCACCCCCACCGCGACTTTGAGATATTTAGCTACATCCTCTCGGGTGAGCTGACGCACCGCGACTCGATGCTGCAAAAGGGCGCCGAGGGCGGCCAGAGTGACAAGTTTTACCGCATGCACCGCGGCGATGTGCAGTTCACCACAGGCGGCACCGGCATCGCGCACTCCGAGTTCAACGAGCACCACAAGGACACGGTGCACTTCCTCCAGATCTGGGCCGTCCCCTGGAAGCGCGGCCTGCCGCCCACCTACCACACGCGCCACTTTGCCGAGGAGGACAAGCGCAAGGGGTTCGTCAAGATTTTATCTCCCCTAAAAGCCGGGCCCGACGCCTCGGCCGCTGAGGAGAAGGCGGCGGAGCCGCGGATCCCGGACACGATACCCATCCACGCCGACTTCGTAATGGGCGCGGGCATCATCGAACCCAACGAGGTTTTCGAGTGGGTCGTCGGCGCCAAGGTAACGGAGCAGACGAAGCGCAAGGTGTTTGTCCACCTACCCATGACGAAGAGCGGCAAGGCGAAGATCAGGATCGATGGCCGTGAGGATGCTATCTTGTCCGAGGGCGATGGTGCATTTGTAGATGCGGTTAATGCTGGCGACAAGTTGAGTGTCGAGAGCGTCGGCGAGGCCGAGGCCGAGGTCGTTGTGTTGGATACGGCATGAAAACATTGACAAAAGGAAACCATGTACATAATAGACGTCTGCTTACGAGCGAATACAATATATCCAAATGTAATTGCCTGACAATTTCATTTTGATTGGAAATTACATCGATCCGGGGGAGACTGGTATCCTGGTTTCTATTTTGGTGCCAAAGAGTAAAGACGGTGCTCTACAAATGAATGGACCTCAGATCCCTGCCAGATTATCTGGGGTAAGCCCACGGCAGTTCAAGATGTCAGACGACCTCGGGATGCCGGTCACAGCGATCAATTTGTTGTAAGGCAAGGCTTGGAAAAAGTGAATGTCTCTCAATGTTCAATATACATCACCTTTCTGCTGTGCTTGTTGCTAAATTTGGGCTGCTCGCCAAGATCGATCACGATGTGAGATGAAGGCATTGTGTGGGCCAGGACATGCTGAATCACTTTCGTGGCGTATTGTACTGTGTTGAACATTGAGTGCACTGTGAACAAGCGGCGAGCAATGTGTGTAGTAGACAGTGCGAAGAGATATGACGTGCGGGGGAATTGCTTGTAAAGCAGCTCCCAATTTTTCACAAGCTATCTCATCCAACTCCAGCATCATCCAAAGAGACATTGCCATCGCTCCGCATTACCCCCTCGGAATACAGTGGCACAGGATTCCTGAGCCCCTTTGAAATCATTCTAACACCATGCATCTTCAGCCCATTGACAACACTGAAATCGAGCCATTCACCAGCGCCATGGACGCCCCACGCATCACCTTCTTGCCAGAGGCGCAAGAGACGTTCGACGACGTCTGGGGTTCGGAGCCCGGCTCACCAACAACCAACTTCGCCCAGGACGCGCCCACGGGAACGCACCCGGGCGACATACCGCGTCTGCAGGCCGAGCACACCAACGCTGGCTACCGCGAAGGCATATCTGCCGCCAAGGCCCACAGCATCCAGGCGGGCTTCGACGAGGGCTTCAGCCTCGGCGCCGAGGTTGGCTCAGTCGCCGGCCAGATCGTTGGCCTCCTCGAGGGCATCGCCGCCGCGTTGGACGGCGGCAGCAGCCAGGACGACGAGGTCCTCTCCAAGGAAGCCCGCAAGACCCTAGAAGACGCCAAGGCGCAGCTAAAGATCGACTCGATCTTTGGATCTGCGTACTGGAACACCGACGGGACTTGGAAGTTTGATGTCGGGGAGGAGCGCGCCGGTGATGAAATTCTCTTCGCGGACGTGGCTCGTGCCCACCCCCTCATTCAAAAATGGCAAAAGGTTGCAGACGCCGAGCTTGAGCGATGGGGCATCGTCCTCAACGCCATCGGCGATGCGCGGGAGCACGAGAGACAGCCTAGCCCGGAGCGGGCACCGAGCTCTGCGGTGCCACAGACCAAGAAACCTCTAGACTGGTGAAGTTGCTTTTGCCGGCGGTTGCCGCTGCGCAACAGGGCGCATCATCGCAATGCGTGCGCTGCTCGCGGCAACTGAATTTTCACTAGGCCTTTATGCAAGTGAGGCTTCGGGCCGAGCTGGTGCCCTCAATCAAGAGAGAGAGAGAGATCTCACCTACAGTGCTGCCGGCCCTATATCACGAGTGCGCAGGAGCCATCACGGGTTTCCAGTAAGTTGCTCGTCAATGGCTATGCCGAGTGGGTATCATTCGACTAACCAAATACAGCTGATTAAAAATTGCATTAATATCATGGCTGATATTACTTGGCTATTTGGGTTCCTGCGGTGGACGAGGAGCCCCTTGACTCTCGCTCGCTAGGGTAGAGTTAAATCGGACTTTGACCAAGACTATTTCGCAAGACTTCCCTCCTTGTCTGCGGGTTTGTGGCGAGTATAGGGCACCCACCCAACTGGGAGCCGCAAATTCGACGACGCCCCTTCTGTTGCTTGTTTGCAGTTTATGACGAGGCGAATTGTCGTCCATCCTGGCTCAATTTTCCCGTCGTTACTTCTGACTCTTTTGACGGTTTCCTACTTTTGACAGAACTTGACGGGGGGTGGAACGGCCAAGAAAAATTGTTAAGACGCAATGCGGTCATACCATCTGTCAACTCGATACCGACAAGGGGGTACGTTGCGTTTCCGATTTTTGAGGGCAACGTCGCAAAGGGGATTCTGTTGACGCGATCTTACCCAGCCATATCCTCGATGAATCTCAATACCACTCTCTGCATAGAGGAGAACCTGCATGGAAACCCCCATACCGTGAAGTTACGCCGTACACCACCACCTGCCTTGAGGCTGAGGACTATAGTAGATCCGTCTTAAGCGACTAGCTCACAGAGCCCACCGCCACCTATGGGCCTACCACCACGAGGCGGATGGGAGGCCACCAACCCTCACTGACATCATCATACACCCAAATAAACGAACCTCGTTTCCCAACTCTCCGAATTTGCGAAAAGGGAGGTGACTGCCACACTGCCGCGTTGCGGTGCCTGATGCTTTGACGTTGGAAATTGGCCAAATTCATGGAGGAGGGGTGTTCAGGTGTTTCGAAAGTTCGGATGATGGGCTGTGCTGCCTCATACTTGGAGGGGTCAGCCCATCTCGAGTCGAAGTCTCTTTAAGCTCAACACCATTCGAGACCAAGTCTGCAGGGATAAACGACTAGCGTGGTAGAGCGCGCTCCCCTGATTGTCGGACAGGGTGACATCGTCATTCCCTCCTTGACCCTCCCCCAGGTTCCTTGAAGGCAAAGATCTTGTTGAGTATTGCTCTGCACCGGGGTCCTGGGCGATCCCATCTGCCGAGCCATGCTCCGTCCCTGTACCAGAGGCCTTGCTAGTAGAGCTGCGCCCATCTCCATCTCGGCCCTGTGCCGCTATTCCCTCGTCTCTTCTTCTTTCCTTCTCTCCGAACGGAGAGGAGCTCGTATAGAAACAGGGCCTCCCCAACTACCTTCTTCCCGTATCCGTACCTGTCGTCCCAATCTGATCCAACGTAATTTTAGCAAACGTCCGTCCGAGCTGGGTCTTCCCTTGTGATCGTCTTCCCCTGATCTTTGTCGAGACCCAGGCCGGACAACCCAATCAGGGAGATCTTCGACATGCGATGGAGGCCTGCGGGGCGTTGCTTCTTTTCAGCCCCTCCTGGATGGGTCACAGGAGTCTTCTCTATGGCGGAGTAATGAGATTGACGGCAATTAAACTGGCCTACTCCATAGCGACTCATCCAAGGGGCCCCGTGAATCTATTCGCGATGTTGGGCTTAGCAGCTTTACCCCTGGCCCCGATTCCTCCGCCATCGTCACTTTGAGGCCCTATATGGGCATCCGCGACGGAAAAGATAGAAAAGGGAGGCTCTTCACCTGGTCTCCCAACCGTTTCCCTTTTCTCTCTCTAGTATCTTTGATACCAATACTTTCGCTAATACCTTCAATACCGCCCCTTTCCTTTGCTCTCTCCATATTTCTCCTACCTTACTTCACAGTATCATTCATTCACTCTTTACCCAGAGCAAAACATCACACACACGCACAATGCGCTGCACCGTCACAATCCTCGGCTTCGCGGCCGTTGCCCGCGCAACATGGGACGGTGACTTCACCTACCCGCCGGGCATCGACCCCCTGGGCCTCGCCAACGGCAACGCAGACTTCAGCATCAAGACGTTTGGCCCCATGACCGGTCCCCCCTCAGATTGTATCTCCGTATGGCACCCTCCCCATCCAGAAGTCTACATCGACGACTGCGATAGCGACAACGAGCACGGCTGGCACTGGGTCCACCCGGGCAAGCCAAAGTGGTGGAATCCCGGCAAGGACAAGGGCGGCCACAAGAAGCCTAAGCACCCAAAGCCGTGCGACGAGTGCTCCGAGCAGCCGTCTCCGGAGCCCACCTACCCACCCGACGAGCCGGACCAGCCCGAGACCACCACCCCGCCGCAGTGGAAGTGGACCACCTCAACAATCACCCAAACCGCCGTCTCCACCGTCTACAGCTGCCCGCCCAGCGTCACCGACTGCCCCGGCAACGGCGGCGGCGGCGGCGGCACCATGTACGAGACCGTCACCGTCCCCGCCATCATCACCATCTGCCCCGTCCCCGTCGAGCCCAACCCAGCACCGACCTACACGCCCGTGGCTCCCCCCACGACCACCGCGCCGCCCGCGGAGCAGCCCGCACCCAGCAACCCTTCCCCTCCCGAGACTGTGCCTCCCGTAGTCATCCCTCCCCCCGTCTCCTCCAGTCCTCCCGAGGCTACTCCCGTGGCTCCTCCCGTGGTTCCTCCCGTTCCGTCTAGTCCCCCTCCACCTCCCTCCGCCACACCGACCAAGCCTGAAATAGGCACCGTCACCAGGCCCAACCCGACCGCGACCACAAGCCGCGCCGTCGTTACCGCCGGTGCTGTCCAGAACGTGCAGCGCGCAGGTGGTGTGGTCGTGGCCGTGGTGGCCGCCGCTGCCGCTTTCATCTAAGAGAAAGAAACACTCTTGCTTTGCCTTGCTTTTCACATACTAGAGAAAAAAGACAACACGTTGCAATTGTTTGGGGTTTGCGTTTCAGACACAGAGGATGATATACCATGGGAACTGGGTACAATGGGGTAAACTGGGTTAATGACTGGGAATCAACGAATGGGAATGGGGTTTCACTCAGACAGGACGGGTTGGCGCCACGGGTTTCGCGAAACCTGGGCGAAGGAGGAATACGGCTCAGGCATCTGAGAACCCAACTTAATTAGTTAAGGCTAAAATAATGGGTTGCGTACTTTTAAAACCACTTGCTCCGTTGCCTTTTGCTCGTTCCAAGAGTAACCAGTGACAGCATCTTGGACCGAATCTTCGCATCCAAGTTCAGACAAGATGGCATGGCTACAGCGCATCTCCCTCACGCTACCAGAACCCTTGTCTTCATCCGTGATCGTATGACCCTGGCTCTTGTGCCTTCGCCGGACGTTTCTGGCCGGACGCTGTAGATCAACGACAGATATTCAGGTCGCGGAGCACCTTCAGTCGATCTGTTTTGACGTGACCCACTCTGCTTTCTCCACCATTTACTCCCGGCAAGAAGTGCCGTTCGATACCTTGACGATTGAGTTGCGACGCGAGGCTGTGGCTGCATAACCTTGCAGATTGAACGTAATAGAACGTAATATGCTTATTTTTGCGTTCAGCCCAAGTTACGGATAGCTCGGAGAGTCGTGCATGAGTCAAGATAGGTAGACAGATGTCACGCTTTTTTTCAAAACTGACAACTGACAGCACAGATTCGTGTCACTCGTGCGGACTGGTTGCTGGTTTGGTTGCCTTCGGTTGAGGTATATCCTCGCAGGATCTTCGTCGAAGGCCATAGAAAGGGTTCCTGAACGAGATTGTTCAGAGCGGGATTCCTTCCCCCGACAGGCGACAGGTCTTTAGTCCATGAAGTCCCTTTTTGTGAGAACATCTTTGTCCGTTCTGACCCAGTTCCTCAAGATGTTGCCAATCGCTTTGCGACATCTTCTACGCGACGGCTGTCGCCTAGAAGATCTCTCGTAGCCTCTCGGTCCCGTCCCGCCATGCCAAGCACGACAAGCTTTTGGATCTGTCCGTCTTCGCTCATGACCAGTCTGCCCGCCCTGCCATCGGCCCATTCAATACTGATCTGCTTGGCTTCGATATCTGCGGCAACAATGCTTGTGAACGCCTGCTCGGGATCTTCTCCCTCACTGCCGGCGCCAACCAACCCAGCCGCCTTTTGTAGATCGCCAATCACAGCAGTCCGGTTGTGGTATCTCAGAATTTCCCTCCTCAGGGTTCGCACGAAACGAGACAAATCTTGCGCCTTCTGGCCCTCGGCATCGGCAGACTTAGGTGTGGGAAGATGGCGAGCGACGAGCGCAGCAAGCGGAATGCATGGGGGCACCGTATGCCGGTGAACTCGTAGGTGTCGCGAGTCTTTGTACGGTCGGTTTAGCATAATATAGTATGGCCGTCGGAACTTGGCGTCGGACATAATTTCGATGCGAATCCCGAGAACGTTGCCTCGATCGACGGCATTGGGATCAGGATCTTTGACCTTGAAGGTGGTTATTGTTGCGCAGGTTCTGTAGAGACATTGTTGATCGTGCGCGTCTTGGGCTTTGGACCGGGACAGGACTTGGTCGCGGACGGTATTGGGTTCCGATGGATGTGCAAGCGCGGTGCGTTTCTCGTTGTCTTCTTTGAGGGCAGCCCGTATCGAATCAGAAGAGATGAGTGCTGTGGCCTGCACCTTCAATTCCTTCTTCAACAACGCGGCTGGACGCAACATAGGTCAGCATCTGCGCAATGTCAGACTCCATGCCTGACTGACGTACCTTTAGCTCGAAGGTCCTTGATCTCCTGTTCAAGAGCCTCTACGGCATCATCTTGGAGTTCGCCAGACATTTTGTTTGCTGGGTGTGATTGAGACAGGGGACTGCAGGTTTGCGGGGGGGTGAGCGCGATTGTTGTAATCGTCGATGACGTGATGGCGATCCTCCACACGGGGGACGCGTCTTGGTGAAGTTGACATTGGTTGCCACGCAGCGCAACGCAAGACACTTGAACCCAGTCAACAAGATCCGTACCGACGGCTCGGATTGCGACCAAGGGGGGGGCTTATCTAAGCTGTTATCTTATCAATAACCAGGGCGCCAAATGAGGCATGGCGCCAGGGGTCCCAGGGAGCTCGCCGGGTGGCGGGTGGCTTTCACTCAAGTGGAGCGTTTCTGGACCTGGATAAGCTTCTTTGAATCTTCTCCCAACTCTGCTTCACCCCGAAGTGTCGTCGCAACAGCAATACTTTTTTTTTGCTGTCTCGATCTACTACGGTCAAATTCATTACGTCTCAGTCCATTCTGGACTTGGGTTCTTTTCTTGTCATATCTCATTCTTATCCATTCTTTCCGTGATTTTCCAGACCCCGCAACGGCCACTCGACCACTATTCCATTCCTTCTTTGCCACTGGCGTTCCCAAAAGTGTCAAAGGCCACGGTTGCGCTTCCACTCCTGGACCTCGCCCGTTTCCTCCCCTCCTTCTCCCAACCAACCCGCGCACACAGAAAAACAAGCTCTCGATCGTTTGGTTGCCTAGCGCCATACCATCTGTCATTGGTCTAAGCTGTTGTTTAAGACAGCGTCGCCTTGACTGCCACGGACTCTGCTCCACCCCGCCCTCGACCTTGTCTAGGTGGTCCTCGCTGGACAGACAAAGAATCTTTTTCTTTCCTCACGACTCTCGACTTGTCGCATAAAGTCTTTTCTCCAAACAACAACCTCTTACGTTTCGACACAACCCCTCTCACTCTATATCTCGAATTCTGCTGCATACTAGCATTGCGCCGCACGCTTCAACCGAGACATACCTCAACTACGAGCCAAGCACAAATGAGCGTCCGAACACGCCGAAACAAGTCCGTCAAGCGAAAAGCTTTGGCCGATCTAGCTGTAGACACAGACGGCACGAACGGTCACGCCAACGGCGCGATGAACCAGAACAACGTCGAGTTCCGACGGAAGGCGACTACTCCCGGCTCCGACACCGTAACCGCGAACCTCATGTCGCGCGAATCCTTTACTCTCGACGATCCCGTCCCCAAGACTCCCATCGCCAATAACCATGGCTTCTTCGAGTTGCCGTTGCAGGACCAGAGGAACTTCCTCCTGCTGGTACTCCTGTACTTCCTGCAGGGTGTGCCCATGGGTCTCGCGGGCGGCTCGGTTCCCTTCCTCATGAAGGACCACATGTCTTACAGCGAGATTGGAATTTTTAGTCTAGCTTCATACCCGTACTCGCTGAAGCTTCTCTGGAGTCCCATCGTTGATGCGGTTTGGAGCCCCAAGGTCGGACGCAGAAAAAGCTGGATTCTCCCCATTCAGCTGCTTTCAGGGCTGGGTATGCTCTGGCTTGGGTCTACGGTCGAGAATATGATGGCCAACACCGGCAAGCCCGGAGGCCCTACCGTGTGGAACTTCACAGGGTGGTGGTTCTTCCTCGTTTTCATGTGCGCCACTCAAGATATCGCCGTAGACGGCTGGGCCTTGACTCTCCTCACGCCGGGCAATGTGTCTTATGCATCCACCGCGCAGACCGTCGGTCTTACTGCCGGCCACTTCTTGTCCTACACCGTTTTCTTGGCCTTCAACTCCAAGGACTTTGCAAACCGCTACTTCCGCAGCTCTCCCCTGGACCATGGCCTCATGTCTCTTGGCGGGTATCTGACTTTCTGGGGCTGGGCATATATTGCCATCACCATCGGTCTCTCTCTCTTCAAGCGTGAGGAGAGAACTAAGAATGAGGATGGCATTTGGGATGTGTACAAGATCATGTGGGGCGTTCTCAAGTTGAAGAATATCCAGACTATTATCATTGTTCATCTCATTGCCAAGATTGGCTTCCAGGCCAACGACGCAGTCACCAACCTGAAGCTCATTGACAAGGGTTTCGGCCAGGAGAACATGGCACTGACAGTTCTCATCGACTTCCCTTTCGAAATCGCACTAGGCTACTACGCCGGCAAGTGGTCCCAGGAATATACGCCCATGCGCCTATGGTGCTGGGGCTTCATGGGCCGCCTTGTCGCTGCTCTGATTGCTCAGTTCACCGTCACCATTTTCCCGGCTGGCGGCGTTACTCCTTGGTACATGCTGGTCGTCATTGGCGAGCACGTCTTTTCGACTTTCACGAACACGGTCATGTTCGTCGCTGTCTCTGCTTTCCACGCCAGAATCGCAGACCCCGTCATCGGCGGCACCTATATGACTCTCTTGGCTACGTAAGTCTATCCATGGCTGTCGATTTGAATGCTCGTACTAACTTGGTCGCAGTGTTTGCAATCTTGGCGGCACTTTCCCGCGCTTCTTTGTCTTGCGTCTCGTAGATTACTTCACTGTCGCGACCTGCCAACCCGGCAACCCCGCGGATCTGAAAGCCCTCAAGGGCCCCGTGATCACCGAACCCTTCTCTTGCTCCTTACAGCCAGAAAAGGATAAGTGCGTCAACGGCGGCGGCACGTGCGAGATGGTGCGCGATGGATACTACTTTGTCAACATCATTTGCGTCATCTTTGGCGTAGTCACGTTCATGCTCTATATCCGACCTAGAGTCCTGCATCTGCAGTCACTCCCCATGAGAGCTTGGCGTTTGTCGCCGTCCAAGTGAGGCGTGCGCTGTGCATAAAACCCAGGGGACATGTAACATACTAGCATCACGTAGCGCGTGGTTTGGAGAACTTTTATATAGAGAGAGCGAGAGAAACCATTGTACTTGATACTTTTCATTACCATTGTTGCGCGCTATGCCGTTATATACGTGACGCTTGCCAAAAATCTGTTGAATCCTTCTTCCGCTCACTGATGCTCTATTTCTGCAGCGACTCGATGTGCTGCGAATGCAAATCCCGCACAGCAGGAATAATCAAGCTCTCAATCTCCATCTCGGGGTCGCTCTCCGGCAGCGCGCTGGGGTCAAGCGGCTTATCTTCCCAGGTCCCCGGCCCATCACCAGCGGTAGGTGTCTTGCGCTGGACGCTCGGCACGCGGACCCACCGGTCAGCCTGGCCGGGGGCGACGAAGACGACCTCCCACTTGCGGGTGGACAGCAGGTTGCCAATGACCAGGTGGTGCTGGTACCGCTCGAGCGAGTACTTTGCCTTGTGCACAAGGATGGCCGGGTCCGTCTCCAGCTTGAAGCTGACGACCATGCCCTGCGGCGCCCAGCCGTCGACGAGGTTTTGGAGGAATTTGGGCACGGGGTCGAGATCGATGACGAGGCTCTTGGATTTAGCCACCTTGGTGGAGTCGAAGTTGTCGAAAGCCTCCTCGTCTTCGGTGGTTGAGCCGTTGCCGTTGCCGTTTCCGGTGGGCTTGGCGGCGGTACTCACCGCAGCTGGTGCTGCTCCTCCTCCTGAACCGGAGAAGGTGTCCGTGGCATTGGTGGACTGGATCTTGTGCTCGGCCATCCTGTCCTGGGGGAGGAAGAAGTCGGAGACGGCGGCGGCGAGGTAGAGGAGGGCCGAGGGGCCCAGGGGTCTCAGCAGGCCCGCGATGGCGCGCAGCTCAAAGAGATAATCCGTGATGGTGGTGAAGGGCAGCATGAGCAGCATATTGCCTTTACGGGCGGCGGTGTACTTGCGCAGCACGGCGCGCATGCGGCTCTGGTGCTCCGGGTTAGCGACGACGGTGCCATCGTCGCCCTCGGCCAAAAAGTCGAGAAAGCAGTCGGTGGCGTGGGAGTAGTGGCGCGAGTAAGGTTGGAGGGAGAACTGTCGATGGAGGAAGATGACGGCGTAGCCGGCCTCGAGAAAGTACTCTGCCGAGGTGGCGCCGCGGGTGCCGGCGGAGAAGTTGTCGATGAAGCGGACCGTCTGCTTCTCGAGAGGCACGGTGGTGCCACCCGAGGTGACGAGCACGACGCGTCGGGAGGCGGCGGCGTGATTGTTTATGAAGGAGCGGGCGGCGGAGACGTGGGACTCGAGGTTTTTGGGGGGCGGTTGCGAGGAGAAGTAGGCGTCTTCTTGGCGTTCTGCCGTTTCTGTGGGGATGGACATTTTGAAATGAGTGTGATGAAGATGAGATATCCCATGCAATAGCCCTGGGCGGGAAGTCGCTTCGTTTGTGTATTGAATAATGTGGTGGTGAGGCTTATGAGAGCCTGGTGGCAGGGAGAATGAATTGATGACAAGGGCGGTTCGTACGTGTGAGCAAGACCTAGGCATTGTCAGTGAATTGATACACAAGCTGTTATCTCCGGTAGTTGAATTCATCCCTCATTCATATTCAAAAAGTAGGACGTATGAGACGTATGAGCGATAAGACTCATTCACCTTACTCGGCTCATACCTCCGCCGGACCTCGGTCCTCCGGCGCATTCTCCCCTATGACGTGGCTTACATGTAAACTCACCTTGGAATTTTCAGGATCTCCTTAAGCCCAAAGAGTACAGTCTTGAGAGGGTATGAGGATGTGTTGAATGTGCTATCTCCGAAACTCAAGACAATCAGATTATTGAAAAAAAAGAACACTACAAGAAAGAATAGAGGACGCAGCGAGGGTTTTAAACCGTCGTTTCCAGCGCCGGTTCGGTTCCTCCGCACGGCCCGAAGGAGGCCCGTGCCCCACCGACCCGCACCTCCGGGATGGAATCTGCTGCGGATTTCTGGGAACGTATTTGCTTCGGGGCTTCGCAACGACGTCCCGTCGGCGTTCACGCCGTTACAATCGCATTCCAAATCTCACAGTTCCAAAACCGGATCATTCTCTTCTCATTTGGTACCGATAGCCGAATATGAGTGCTTCTGATTCGTGAAAACAAACAGCTGAATGTAAGATAAGATTACATCATTACGATTTATCCCGTGTCTAGAACTCCGGCTCCTTTACGTACAATTCTCATCATAACTGCCTACAATATCCCATCGCTGTTTTTGTGCCAAAGATCTCGGGTATTCTTTACCATAACTGCCCCCATCTGAGTCTCCGTGGTTGTTTTTTCCTTCGTCTAAAAATTGCTCCAAATATTCTTCCCAACGCACACAAACTTTGCAGCCATGAGCGCCACCAGGGCCAGAACATAAATCAGCCCGGTGAAGATGATGAGACCCCAGTACTTGCCACCCGTCGCCGTGACAATCTCGCCACCAATGGGGATACCGATTAAACACGCAATAGAGACAGCAGTATACGTCGTCGAATAGTACCGGCCGTAGTGCTGCGTCTTGCACAGCCGTCCGACGCACACGGGGCTGATGCTAATATTGTTCCCGCTCGCAAACCCAAACAGCACAGCAAACACCACCACGCCCGCCGTCGTCGAACCCGCAGGCAGCCAGACCGCCAGACACGCAATCACGGAGAGCACAATGGCGGCCATGTTGCTGTTGAACGGGCCAGCCTTATCCGCCCACCAACCGGGCAGCGCCCTGCCGAGCACGCTGCCGGCATTGAGGATCGGCAGGATGGAAAACGCAAAGGACTCGCCGAACCCTTCGCTGAGTGCGTAGCTCGAGATGTACGTCAGCGGGATGAAGAGCGCAAACTCCATGAGGAAGATGCCCGCCGTCGTGAGGCTGAAGGCGGCGCTGCGGAAGATGCGCGGGTCCGGGTGCGGGCTCGCGTTACGGGCGGGCGGGAGGCGTGAGCGTATCAGAAAATTGGAGGCGCCGCAGAGGAGGAGACAGATGAAGCCGACGGCGCGGATGGTCCAACCCCAGCCGATGCGGGGGAAGAGAGACTTCATCATGAGTGGGAAGACGATGCCGCCAATGGAGCCGCCGGTGGAGGCCATACCCGTCGCGAAGCCGCGGCGGCGCTTGAACCAGTGGCCTACGGCTGCGATGGAGGGTGTGAAGACGAGGGAGCTGCCGAGGCCGCAGAGGATGCCGAAGGCGAGCATGAAGTGCCAGTATACTGGAAGGATGTTAGCGCGCGCCTTGTATCTTTGGTTCCCTCGGAGATGGAGTGATTGTCGCAAGTCGAAGAGGGGTGTGGTGATATTGTACGGCCAACGGGTGATTGGGATGTGGATAGATGTGGCCTACCTGTGCAGATGCTCAGCAGCATGACGCCGATAACAAGGCACACCGTCCCGACCAGAACGAGCCATCGCGGGCCGTACTGATCAAACACCGGCCCAATGTAGATGCCCCCAAAGAAGCAGAGGAAGGTATACACGGAAAAGATCCACCCAATGGTTCCCTCTCTATACTCCTTTAGCTGGTGCGTCGCGACGTAGGTCTGGAAGACGGCGATGCTGTTCATGATACCCAGGGCCGAGAACAGCGCCAGCCAGGACCCCAGGACGACGGACCACGCCCGGAGCCCGCCCTCAGGGTACGTCTCTTCCTCCGCGGTCGTCGAGGCCCCCACGGTATCCGTGCGGTGGATGTAGTCGTCGTCGGTATCACCCGCGCCCCCGCCTTGCTTGCTGTGAGCGTTTTTGTTGAAATCGCTGCGGTGCTGATTATAGTTTTTGCCGCTTGCGCCGGCGACAGCGTTCGAGACGGATGGAATCAAGTCGTTGCCTACGGCCGCGGCCGCGCCGTCGTGGGCCGCACTCTCCGTCTTGCTCGGTAGCGGGTAGTCATAGCCGCTATAGTCTGGCTCGGGTGCGAAGTGATCGCCTTGGCGGGTTGCAGAAGCCTTTTCTGGGTCCATATGGGATGGACGTATGGATGGAGAAGAGAGAGAGAAAGGGCTTTCGCACTATCTTTGGTTTCCCTCGACCTTGCCGATCTTGTTCTTCTTCTTCTTCTTTCTGCTCTCTGTTTGACTTCCGCCCTGCAGTTTCGCAACCCTGTGAGCTGAGCTCTCTGCCCTACTACCCTTTCGTTGTCTTCGCACCAAGTTGTTGTCTCCGACACGAGCTCTCTTCCTCTTTCACGCACACAAGCTCAGCCTCTGCCTCTGAACGCCTTCTTGAGCAAAACACGACGCGCAATAGTGCTTATGGTGACAAGTTCGTTGGAGTCTTAGATGCCTGTTTCTTATAAAACAGGTTCAAGCTTTGGGAGGAGAGAATGTCGACTAATATCGATACTACTTTCGCGGGCCGTTGTGGGAGAGCGGACCAACGAACCTACTTGTACTTTTTATCACTGGTCCTCGCTTCTTCGGTCTTCGCCTAAAGCTGGTCTGGTCTGGTCTGATCATGAACGGGGGGGTGGGTAGAAGGAAGGGGGGGGGGGGGAAGGGTTCGTTCGTGTGGACGAGTTGTTGGGTTAGGTGATTTGATGCAACTATCCAGTCATTTCCATGCAATCATAACCAAGGCACGCACGGCTCGCTTCAAAAGGACCATGGAACCACTCCAGGGAGAGCCAAAAGGCCTAAGTCACGTAATGCGGGCAGCGGGAGAGCGAGAGCGCGAGGGAGTCACGAGAAGAGAGAAAAAAAAAAACTTTTTTCTTTAGCTGTACCCCAGGTTTTCCCAGGGGTCCAGGACAACGAGAACAGACAGCCGGTAGCCGGTGTTGTGTGAATAAGGTAGGTTCCAGCTCCTTTGCTAGGCCGGGATTGGGCTGGTTTGGACATGGACCACCTATTAAGTCTTTGGATTCGCAAGGTACAGACGGAAGAGAGGAAGGATTGCAGTTCCCGTTCCCTCATGGGAGTTCGTTGATGTGGGTAATTCAACCGAACCAAATCCCGGCTGCTTTTTTTCCTTCCCCCGTCTCGTCTGCCTTTCAGATCGACAAAACGCCTTTCAGGCATTACCTTATGCCATGCGCCGCTCTCTTCCTTTTTGCTCTTTAGAGTTAGGCTATTAGCATGGTATTGGTGGGAATAGGACATCAAGTCCCGCGCCCCCGGAGATGGTCATGTTGTCTGGCGTTGGCATGTGCCCTCTTCCATTGACAAGTACATGTTAGTCAAAGGCGTCGGGGGCGGCTCCAAGACGCAAGGATGCGAAGTCGCGCGTAAAAAACGGACCAATGGCGTATTTCAATTAGTCGTAGGTTTCCATCAAAACTCGCTCTGGGATTCTGGACTCTAGGCCGAGAATCGGCGGCTCCAAAACGCCCCACCACCGAAACCCAAGAGGATGAATCAGTCTGCCAGCAGACCAGATCGACCCGTGACACTATCTAGCATTGGACTTGTCTAAGACGCATGTCTGTACATATAGTCTTTCTCTCCTGGGTGTCTTTTCTCGTGCTATCTAGAGCCGCATGATGACAGAATACCTGGCAAGACGAACCTCAAGGGAAGAGTGCCTTCATGCAGCAAATGCGATATACCGCACTATCGCGATTTGTCCTTTCCCTACCTCCCACGTGCTCCCACGCGGTTTGCCTCAGTGCCCCGACTCCCGCATCTCCACACAACGCCAACCACAACTAGCGAACAACGCAACCATGGCAATTCTTTTTTTTGAGACGCTCTTTTTCAACCCTCCCTCGCTTGCAATAGCCTTTACTCCGGTGCCTTCCTCCACTAATGATCGACATCTGGCGAGATAGAAATAGCCCAAATTTACTCCCACCAGACATACATATGACCGTCAACCAGTCGACCATAAAACAAATCAAAAGTGGTGATTCACTGTCACTGATATCATGCCGTTCGTAAAAAGTGAGCTGTACATATGAAGAAGAGACTCATCAGGGCGAATGTTCATTCCAAGTCCTACAGTTGGCACCTGGCCCGGTAGCGGAACCAAAAAAAAAGCGTCGTCCTGCTTCCCTCCGACTTATTACCCTCGGCTCAGGTACGGTACGGTGCCACGCGCTCACCGAACCCCCGGCTCCCGCCAGCCGCCGACGCTTCACTCCTCAACAGCTCGCCGCCCTCGCCGGCTCCGGCCGTTCGTCTTCGGAAACCCCCCTTCCCTGGCTCCTCCCCGGCTCACGGTTTTCCCGCCACACTTTATCCAGCTATGCCATTGCCAGGTCAAGCCTGACTTTGCTTCTATAATAGCTGAAAGTTGAGACCGCACACTTTTAGATCCGCCCTTTCGCTCGCCCGCTCGCCCGCAACCGGTCACTTCAAAAGTTCAACCCTACCTTTACCTCAGTCGTCGACGACCGAATCGACGCTCCCTCACACTGGGAAACAACGACCAGCGAACAAACTGAAAAAGGACCTTACTTACTGCCTACTGCCCTGGCACGTACCTGCCAGCCTTATCCAACTCACGACAAACCAGCAACGGAATAACCCGTGCCAAAACCGCCGCATGTCTCTCTCCGTCTTCCCCCTCCCTTCTCACCTAATTTTCCTGTCCCACTCTCTTTTCCTCTTGAGTATTAGCTCAGACATGTCATCTTTTTGCGTCTAATCCTCTTTAGGTCGGGACTCAAAGTGGGCACCGCAACAGAGGGGAACATGAAGGGTTCGGGTTGTTTTCGGGGCGTCGCAATTCTGTCCACAAATGTTTAGCCCCTTCCCGAGGTCTTCTCCAGAACCACATTCAATCGTTGCTCGCTACTACTGACCTAGAAGTGTCCCGAATCGCAGTCGGAACCGCAGTCGGAACCGACCGGCGACAAGGCATCGGCCGAAGCCCGACTGACCGCTCGCGTGACTGGTTCTGCCAACAACACGGATGAGTAGTGCATCGTGATCCCCCTTCCTTGCTACCCCTCAACCGCGCGCCTTCTGAAAGAAGGGGGGGGATGACGGGGAATGACACGGATGGGAAAGAGAAAAGTACCCACTGCTACGTCAGATTCTATTTTTTTCAACACCCCTCATGGATCGAGATCGTATTATTGTCTTGATCTTCATTCTCCAGGCTCATCGCTCTTTTTTTCCCCATTGTGTCTCTTTCCCAACCACTCTCCCATTACCGCCCTTTGTCCATTTCTCTCTCAGGCATATCGTTGTAAATTATTATCGTTTCCCCACCGGCGACTGCCTATCAGCTTGCCCTGCCGGTTCCTAGCCTTGCGCGCCCAAGTCCCAGATGTGTGTTCTAATGCCACCCTTCATGGAATCATTCTTTCCCTTTCCGAAAGCGGCTATGTGCCTTGTCCTTCCATTCCTAAAAGGGAGCCTAAGCTGCACCAGCAACTCCATTCTCGCTTGGTTATTGGGGGGGGTTTTTTTTTCTTTTTACGCTTCATGTTTTCTTCCTCTATCCCCTAATTATCCTGACAATGTTTCGATGAGTACACTGATGAGGTAGATTCAAAATGCGGCTCTCGGCCCGAGGCGTCGTACGTCTACACGCCCGGTAGGGCTAGAAAGGCTGGGAACATGAAAATCCGTCCGTCACCCCTGAGCGACCGTTGGGAAAGGGAAAAAAGTGCTAAGCAAATCGGGGGAAAGATGACAAAATAGAACAAAATTTGGCCCAAAAATGGCGTCCCCGTAGTTTGGTACCTAATTCTTCACTAGGTACCTCTCTACAAGGGCCAAACACCCCCTTGGACTATTTTAGTGCTTCGGCATGGACCACACCATCCCATCAGTGCGCATCACAACGTTTCTTGATTGAGACTTCCTCATTTGACATACGGTCGTGAGAGGCTGAAATGAAAGCCAGCCCATTTCATCCCAGCGGACAATTTTCTTTTTCTTTTTTTTTTTCTTTTTCTCGGGTGGGAAGACACTGCCAGAGGGCTCGACTTGAAAGTTGAAGATTCAATGCTCGGTGTGTAAGATGAGAGGCCGATCGCATGCTTGGGTCAAGAGAAGAGGAGTTCACTCCAAGACGATGCAACTACTGCTTAATGTCGTTCTGTATTCCAGATTCAGTTCACTGTTCCTTCCGTGTGATGGCGAAACGACCTCGCATGCGCCATAGAATTCGAGTTCGTTAAATGTCACGAACCTTCGCCATCATGTCTGCATGCTTTGCCTCAACTTGTTTCGTCAAGAGACTCTTCTCGTTGGTTCCTTTTCTTTTGCGCGCTGCTCCATTTCCGGACAGAGTAAATTTCCGAGAGGAAAAAAAGCTCGTAGCTGCAACGTCAAGCTCCCATTCTGCCCGTTCAACCGCTGACCGTGAACACGGGCATTCGATGCCTTCCACCCGTCTTTCAAACTTCTTGCTGGGCCTCCTTCCTCGTCTCGTTATGGAGCCTTAAACGAGGCCATGATAGGTTAGAGTCGGTGTCGCTGCTTATTCGAAGTCATAGAGGCCGTGCTACTCCCAAAGGCCCGTAGTCTCCCTATACCACGAAGAATGCTGCCGTTGAAAAATGACTGTTGCCATTGGCAGAACCCATACTCATCGTGCCGCAGAGTATTCTGCGGTCTGTGTAGCTGCTGCCGTCTCGAGAAGTGCTGGACAACGCCGTCCTCATACGAGTCAAACTACTCCGCCCATTCGTAGTCTTCGTCCCTCATGCCTGTCATGCAAGGACGTGTCGGTCTTCCAGAATATGCATTGTGCGTCATCTCGGTTTCGTCGTATCGTCGTTTAGTAGTCGCTTTAGGGAAACCCCTGATTCATGGTGGTGCGCGCCATCCGCGCCATCCTGCAGTTCTCCATCCACGGCAGCATCCGTGACCCCGTCCACCAACCCCTCCATCTTGATCGACTCAGCGGGGCCAGACTGACTACGCCCAGTAGAGATAAAGGCTTCAATATGAAGTCTTATCGTGTCAAGAAAGGCCAAGCGAGCCGTTGCGTCGAGTTTGGAAACTGCCGATTTTCTAATGTCTTGGTGTCAGCCAGTGCCACGGGGAATGAAGAAGCCATGAGGCTGAGTGTGATATACAATAGCTCAAGTAGGGAGGAAAGATCTTCTGCGGGAGGTTCTGGGTGTTTCGTGCCAGAACCTGGTGCCCCCGATGCAGGGGGCTCAGCTTGTGCAGAAGCTAGCTGGATGAGCAGATCGGCGTTTTTGATGAACTTGACCAGGTCGTCCAGGTCAGTTTCTATGTCCAAAGTCCGCATCCGCCTAATGATTTCGACGGATTCCGGCTCGGAGCGCATGGACAAGAGGCGGAAGAGTTCTTCAAAGAGAGAAAGACGGCGTTGCAGCTCCTCATGTTTTGTTTTCAGGGCAGCAAAGCGTGTGACGTCGGGACCGGCATCGTACTCGCAACGGGTACGACCCATTCCCGCGCACAAGGAGCACACAGGACGTTGGCCATCGCATTTTGATTTCCTGCGGCGACATGAGGTGCAGGCAATTTTTGTCTGGGGACGTCGTCTTGGTGCAGAAGCCGTGGTACCAGAGGCAGACTGCGGGGTCGTCTCCCGCTCCGACGAGGCGCTGCTGGCTGCTGTTGGGCCCGCCGGTAAAAGCTCGCGCTGTGGTTTCATCGTGACCGTTGCCACAAGACCATGGGTAGGCCTGGCGGGCAACCGAGATGGCCACGAATTGTGGAAGAGGAGGCGTATATATTATGGGCGTAAGCGTGTAGCTGGTACGGCGATGTCTGCGTATTCGTCGTAGCAATTGAAATGGCGCGCGTGGACGAATTGAGAAAGGGAACAGCCAAAGCCAGAGCCAGAGCGGGCCTCAACCGCCAGACCAGATCCGCCCGCCGCGTCGCTTGGTAAGTCTCAGTCGTTTTGACGGCGTGTGTCATACTGCCGACCCCCTGGCCATGTTGGATGTAATTGAATCTTTTCTTTTATCGTCGTGGTGTTAGATTACTGTTGCAGTGTTTGGGAGTGCTGACAAGGCCCGTCCCGATGAGTAGTCTTCAATTTCCTGGGAGCTCGTGAGGTAGGCAGGTATGACGAAATGGATGGACAAGACGGTGGCCCTCGTGCCAAATCCCCGTGCCCGTTGCTGGCTAGGCCACTTGGATTGTTCCGGTGCCGGGAGAGCTGCCGCGATTCCCACTAGGTAAATAAGAAAACCAAAAAGGGAAGAAATGGAAATAATATTAATAAATGAAAACCACATAAAAGAGGTTGAGTTTGGCTCGCAAAGCTCCCCAAAGCCATGGAATCGTCTGGCCGTGGCCAGACCAGCCCATTAGCAAGGTAGAGGCTGCTGCTGCGCGATCCGTCCATCCACAGAAGGGACAGAAATGCAAGGATGTCGTAGGTGCGAGTGGCCGCTGTGGCTATCGAGAGTTTGCTGGCGCATCGGACCCCAGCTCAGCTGTCGGTTCGTGTCAGCAGCCCAGCAGGAATTAGGATTAGACACTCCCCACAATCTGCAGAGTCTGCCTGTGGCCGCTGAAACCCAAGCCTGGTGCACCCGGACGACGACGGATAATGAACCAGTTGCCTAAGACTGCTTTCGATGGAATCCCGCTGAGGGGAATAAGGCGGGGGAGACACAAAAAGGCCTGTAGAATGAAGGAAAAAGAACAGTTGAGCAAAAGAGATCATTTGGTTGCACAAAGACCATAATTGTGCCAGTCGTAATGCAACCCGCCAGCAGGTCGAAGTACATGCGGCACTGCTAATCGGGTCGTCATTATTAGTGCCTGGCGCTGGCTCAGTCGGCCATTGATTGGCAGAGAGTGGTTCTGAGATGTCAAGCCAACCCGGGGCGTCTTTGAGGTGGTGGGTTTTCTGCCCCTCCAGAGCGCCTCTCCAAGGTATGGCTGTGGTTGGCTGAACGCATCGCAACACACATTGCAACATAGATTTACGGAGAGAACATGGCACAAACCTGCCATGGCCAGTGAAATATACCTACACCAGTAGTTAGCTTGCGAATAGGAAGAGGACGTGACCATTTGAATAGCTACTGGGGAACAGCCGCGCCCAAGAGGGGGTAGAATTCAAGAAGGCTGTGAAGTCAATAGACTCAAGCCAAGGTCTCATGGAGAAAGCTCGTTGCTCGGCTTCCAAAGGAGGAGAAGAGGAGTGCTCGGAATGACAAGTGAAGGAGAGCCAACCTCATTACACTCATTGCAGCTTGTACCGGATGGCGATCTTTATCTTGCCAGCTCACTATCGTGCAAATGTGAGGCCGGCATCAGGATTCCCTTCGCTGTACCTAATGCCCCAGACTTCGATCTTATTCGACCTTCTCATTTTCGTCCATATTCACAATGCGCGGCTTCACGCACTCATTGATGCATATCCGTTGCATCCGCTCAGTAGCGAAGGACACGATGAGTAGATGTAGCATCTGCGTCATCCCGTTACACCAACTGGCATTCTCCATGAAGTCCGATGCTGACATTATTGGCTGTTCTTGCGATATATCCTCGAATCATCTCGCAGTCGCAACCTCCATGTTCGAGAATCTGGCTTCTCAAGACAAGGACCTCGTTCTTGAGCGCCGTCACACAAGCATCGAGGTACATTCGCTCTTGTGTGACCCGCTTCTCTTGAGCGGCGAGATCCATCTCATGTTGCTTCGTCTTCTCACGGCATCGCTTTGCAGCGGCTCGGTTTTTGACGCGGTACGTCTTTTTCTCTTCCGGTCTGGTTGATGAGCAGGTATCGCGGTCACTGTCCCTGCGCTCATTGGCGTTCTCAATGCACTTGGCGTTTCCATCGGACAAAGTCGTGCTTAACGGTGAGGCTTGCGCTCTCGCTCTAAGACGCGCCTTCTTCATGGGTGGTTGACTCATCGATTCCGGCTTTCGATCGTTCGCCATCCTCGTCGTTTTGCTTGTTGTCGCTCTTTCCGGGGCCGGCTCAGCCTGAAGTTCAACATCGGGAGTGTATAGCCAGTTTTGGCCTAGAGTAGGAGGATTGTCAACGGGATTTGGCCACGGATGAGTAGGGTTGTATACAACAGATTCAGGTGGTTGGAAGTCCAAGTGCTGGTACGCAGACCACGCTCCACATTGAGGTGCCCAAGTAGTCGTTATGAAGTCTGATGTAGTCGGGGCTGTTGTGTCGAACAACTGACGGCCACGGATTTCAACCTCCCGGTGTACGGAGGCCAACGAGGAGGCCGGTGTGCCCGGTGGGACTGCTAACTCAGCAGTGTAGCAATCGCATCCGGTCCACAGCTGGCACTGGTGACACTCGTTGATGGGCGATAGGAGAGTTTGTGGTGGCATGGCATACATGGGCAAGAACCCGGGGTAGGCTGACCGAGCCATCATATTGCCTCCCGAATGAACATCAGATGGCTCAGTCTATGTCGTCAAGAAATTTTAGGTGCAATTTCCTGCAGATTCCTTCGAGGGTCTTTGATTAGGGTAGGCTGTCTTGAGGGTGGTACTGGCGGGATCCGAAGAAAACTCAAAATTTCGCTGGATGGCAGCTGGTATCTGGATTTGGGAACAAATGAGTATCTTTGCCCTAAGGAGACACCGACAGAAGATGGTTGCGAGGGAGAAATGATTAGTTTTGACAACCAGGGATGGAGGATAAAAGTCTATGCTAGGATACGGGCAACAGGGTGACTGGGGTTGAAGTGTTATGCCGATGAATGGGGGCGCAACAGGATATTTGAGCGGGCCCTCAACGGAGGAAGCGCGAGAAGGGCTGCGAATATGCGCGCCACTGGGGGTTCCTACCGGGGCTAGGACCGACAGGGGACAAAGTGAGAGAATAGACTTACAGCCGTTCCACCCACTGTGTGTCTTTTCACACCAGGCGACCTGAGTTGCCGGATGTCTCAAATAGCAGACAGAGAAGATAGCTGACGCATTCATTACTACACGGGGTGGCGTACATGGAGCAAAGAAGTACTTCTGGAAGAAGCAGAGAGAGAGAGAGAGCTCGCATGATGAGCATTATTGGCGCCCCGTGTGTCGAAGCAAGATGAGCGGGAGGGTGGATACGCATAAGGGTGACAGCTGAGGGGCTGTCCGTACAAGCGGAATGGGATGCCGAATGCAATATCTTGAAGATAACAAGACAACAGGCTCTGAATGTGTTGGTGTTGGGAAGCGGTACGGTAGAGTAAGACGACCGAGAGGGAGAGAGCGCATAGTGAAGCCAGGACAAAGAGTCAAAGAATCGAATGGGGTTAAAGTCGGAGCCGAAGTTGGAGTTTGTCTGAGAGCTAAAGTGGGGGAGTATGTGTAGACTCAAGGGAGTAGTGGCAGAATTGAGTAAATTTTGGGTTTTGGTACACAATGCACAATGCCCAGAGGACAGAAGGCACGGACGGTAGTGGTAGTAGTGGTAGTAGTAGTGGTGGAAGTGGTGGTGGTGGTGGTGGTGGTGGTGGTGGAAGAGGAGGTGAGGATGGCAAAATGGAACTGCAAGTGACTGGGACCGCGGACGACGGCAGCAGCATCAAGTCGGGTGCGAGAGGGAGAGCGTTGATGGACTGGATGTGTAAGAGGGTGAAATGAAGGCAGGAAGGTACGAAGGTAGGCGATCCCTTCTGTTTCCTGATAGGTTGGGCAGGTGGTTTGCAAAAGAATCTGGACAGTCGGATGCCCAACGTTCAGTGGCGGAGCGGAATTCAATCCGGTGAAACCGATGTTCCTGATTGGCTGCCGGATCAAACTCCGATACGGAAGGCGCGAGGTGGCAAAGTGCTGGGCCACCAGGCGATGTGCCAGGCGATGGGCCAGGCGATGGGCCAGGCGATGGGCCAGGCCAGGAGGTAATGATCCGTCCCGTGGTGTTGCTCCTCCTCCCATGTCCTTTTCCAGGCTGGTTTCTCTTACCTCCCGGTCCTCATGGATGTCTTCCCAAGTGCCCTGTTGGTCCACTCCTTCTTGCACAACATCTTCTTGCTGCATGGCATTCCATGGCACCGACAACTTGCAGACGCACCGGCATTTTGTAAACGCCAACGGCCTGCTGTGCCTCTACTTACATTACCACGTGCTTACCTTACTTGGGTATCCTGAGCTCTACTTCCCCACAATCGTGCCAAGTACCTTACGCCACGGCAGCATTTGTCAAGTCTCACCATCGCGTCTTTCCCACACCCTCTCTTGACCCCATCTCTAAACCAAGGTGGCGGTCCTTTTTCTCTCCAAAACTCCATCTAGGATAGCCTGGACCTAGTTCTACTGCCCTCATTAGTGGAAAGAGACGACCTGCGTCGCCATCCCCTTGGTGCCTTAGTCCTTGGACCGAAGTGTCTTTCGTTTTGGCTGCACTTGCTGACTGTGCGCGGTGGGTACTGCAGGAGGATCCTCTTGGTTTATCCTTGGCTGCTACCAAGGCGTGGGAAGATCCAGCCACTTCCAATGCCAGAGGCGCATAGTACCCGGCTCCAACATGTCCCTGACGGTACCGTAAGGTATGGCTATGTCAGAACGTGGTCGGGTATGTCGCCTATCACGGCGTGCTAATTGTAGTCTCTCACGCGAAACCTTCTTCTAGGTGCCATCTAAAGATCGAGTCTTGGCCGACGTACAGGTATGGCTTCAGCTTCTCATCGCAATCTCCCACGGCCAAGGAGAAGAAAAATCCTCAGCCAATCGGTCCCAGCTCCTCCCAACCATTCCTGCATCCTTCTCACATGCAATCGTGACCTAGCCCCGCTGCCGTCTCCTGCAATGCCCAGCCATCAACACCATGACCGTCACCTTCGTGGCTTGTAGTGTACCTAGGTACCACGACACGTACGCTTCTGCTACCAACAGAACGGCACACACCTCACACCTCTCGATGCCATTCATTTGGCCATGTTCACGCACTGCCTTATCGAAACCGAGTCTTCACCCGCATCAATAAACCACGTCTAGCCAATCACTGCCAATGGCGACATGCGGGCATCACTAAGATCAAGTCTGGATTACCCTTGCCCACCAACCGCCCAGACTAGATGATCTGTCAACTAGCTACACCGAAAGTCACGACATCTCCGCATCTCGGCCGGCCCCCATGCTTACATGCCAGTTGGACCACTGCTGGGAATGTACTAGTTATCGGATTTTTCAGCGATTGAAGGCCATCGGGCCGGGATAGCAGATGAAAAAGAAAGTTGGCAAGGCAAACCGACAACACCCCATTCAGCACTCTCATGCAGCTGCTGTAAGCTGAGCGAGCATCTGCGAACTGCCGAAGACGAAAGTGAAACGCCAAAGATGATGATCCAAAATCAGCATCGATGGTCTCTCAACCTGGAGTCGGTCGCGGAGTCGCATGATCCCAGGATCGCTGCCGTGTCTCGCCATTCTGTTCCAGTCGCTTCAGCACTTTGCCTCTTTTCTGCCCACCAACTGCTAGCAAATCATTCCAGCCCATGAACTGCGGCCCATACGATTCGATAACTCTCAAAGTTTCCATCTCTTCAAGTCTAGGAGGCTCCAGTGGCAGATTATGTCGGCTGGCGAGGATAACATGACCAAGTACTCAAGCAACGGCGCCAAAACTAGCAGGAGTCCTTTCCCCACCCTCAACGATTGATTTCGAGTGGAACCCCCGCTGAAATGTTCATACCAGGCGTCCTTGAAGGCGTTGAAACGCTACTGCGCGGGTGGACTGACTTCTGCTCACTCCCTGCGCGCAGAGTTGCATGCATATCCAAGAAAAGGATATCGATTGATGTTCATGGGCCCTCCTCGAATCCTGCTGGCCCGGTGGAAACCCCGATTCGTGGCCAGCCTCTAAGATGAATCTGGCCCAAAGACTACTCCCAAAGCCATTCTATGGCGTTCTCGAGCCAGCTGAATGATAACATGGCTGTTATTGTTGGCACTCCCGAGACACCGGCTTGGCCTGTCGACTGAAAGTTAATTGATGGCTGTACCCCGAGGTTACATTGGTTTTCCTTACTTCTGACCGCAGGGAGCCTGACAGTCACGGCCGCGATGAGGTTGGTAATCGTATGGTGCGAGAGTAGTATCAAACGGCATGTGCCGAGGGCCCGAGAACCAACTAGAGTATGACAGAACATCGCAAGACTCGTACCCAATCGGCTTTTGTAAATCGCCACAAGGGGGTGTACACCCTTTGAATGAGCGACAATTGATGCAGTGCTCAAGATATGATATGTTCCCTGTATCAAATGCGCCGTTAGTCGCCAGCCCGCAGCTGATGCGCTCCGGATCTGTCAAAAATGATATCCAGTCGATAGCGGGGGCAAGTCTCCTGCTGCCCGAAATTTGTGACCACAAATCCGAGTGACCCCTATCTTAGTAAGGGAATCCTGTTTGGAAAATTGGGGTCTTTGTTGATTTACCAACATTTCTCGTGTACGACTTCCAAAGATGAGTCGATCTAGTATCGGTGTTTACAAGCTCAGGGCATAGCTTGCGGGTAGATATTTCAATCAGTAGTGGGAAAGTGCTTCTTCATCAAATTGACCAGCCCACGCTGTGGCATTAACTCTTCACCTGATCTGAATTGGCCCCGGAAGAGCGACATTACCCGGCGTACGTATGTCGAGCCAGGTTCTGGCGGCTTTATGCTGGACCATAGCCGTTCAAGATGACAAGCTCTTGGGATACTTTCAAGCCTCTTTTATATCTGGTATAGAAGGCTCGTCACGTCTCGTCGAGAAGACGTATTTGTAAACGGCAAGAGCGCCGATGAGATACACTTTATAGACTCTATGAGAAGAATCCAATTTGGCAGCCCGCCCCTTTTCTCATCAATGCGATACTGTGCGTTTCTGTTGAACGACATCTGACCATTGAAGCCTTGATTTACCCCCCGTCCATCGGCTTCAGCTGAGCCGAGAGAGGGGTTGTATAACTCCGTATTTTGAACGACGCAGTAATCAAACCCTGCCGTTCAAGGCGATGGGACTTGAGTCGTTGATGATCAGCCACTCAGTGTTTGCGAGCCGCGCATTCTATCTGCTACTTGAGTCGGAGAGAAAGGTCAGTCCACTGACACTACTTACACAGAGTGACTTTCGCATGGGAGTTGCTTGGCAACAACTCATCAGAACGCAGGATCGGTACTAAAGTCGTGGGCGGCCTGCTCCAGTAGACGTTGTTGACACTAGATCCCAGAGAGAGATGGTATTGACTCCTCTCGACTCCTAGAGAAGGATTTCAGATGAAAGTTTTCAGCCCCGGCAGAATGATGTTCCTACATCTGGCGGTTGCTTATGATACTATCCCTTGCGTACAGCTTAACCCTTTTTTATGCTCGAGGGCCCCCTGTTCTTTCCTGGTTCACGATTATTGAGAAAAGGAAGAAGGGCCCAATAATTTCAATGTCAGCTTTGCGTAATGGCCTACAGAACGTCCCGGGGGATTACACATCGGGTAATGTTTTCCCGTCCCCAGGGACCCTCCCTCCGTCTCAATACCGCTCGCTTTCGAGACCCCTTAAGACCGTGCCTGACTCAGTACTCTCTTCCTGCTCGCCAGTGCCACCATACCACGACGCCGGCATGAAGCCTACAACTTGAACATTGCGGAAATGACAGGATCGGGCCAGGAAACTGGCACGAGTTGAATCGTACAGGGGAATCTCATCCTTGGGTCTCTGGCGGATTGGGAGACCCACGCCCTTTTTTACTTGAACGGTGTAGAGTATCCGAACAGTGATGGCAGGTTTTCCTACAGCCTTGAAAGGATTGTTTTTGGGCCGCTTTTACAGGGGAATACTACTGGAAGAACTATCCATTACTATGATGGGCCTTTCGACGCCTTAGGTCCTACCACTCTGGCTTGGGAAATGAAGCATTGCCATCTTTGACTTGGAATCTCGTCTGCACTAAGGCTGCACACGAATTACCTTACATCGCTCTCTGAGCCATTTACGTGTACTTTTGATGCTACGAGAGGAGTGATTTACCATATGCTCAATACGTTGAGTGTTCTTCATTCTTGACACTGCACACTGACTCTGACGCTGGGCTTCTGGGATTTCATGGTGGAAGGCCAAACCAACAAAATTGACCAGCGGAAATCTGAGTGTTACTTTCATTAGTGCCATTCTTGCACAGCTTATCCCCCGACAAGAACTGACTGCACCTTTCACAGAATTTCCGAATTGCATGACTAGAAAGACATATTGAGTTTGAATGGGATGGGTGTCGCGTGGCGAGGCCGCTGGCAGGTTGGTAGCGAAGGACAGAAGGGAACAGGGGCTGGCACGTTGATGGTACCATGCCCTTCGTACAAGAGGAATAGCGATGCTGCGGGTATGTTTATGGATTGCGTCACGAGTCATTCAGAGCCGGTCTTTGTGAAGGGTCGAATAATGAAATGCTGCGGACTGAAATCAAGTGGTCCAACGATTTCAATACCCCATCCTGCCTTGGACCTAGAACGGGAAGACAAAGAGGTTGAGATACGTTAGTGGTATTTCATTTCTGCCACAGTACAAAGCGGCAAAGCTGAGATATGTTTAGAGAATCAGGTCTGCAGTGTTACAAGGCGATGGAGGTGAGTCTGGCAGGCGGCAGTCCAGTCACAGCCTCAAGCGGCTTGTCTTAGACACATGAGAGGCCAGGTTGCCAATCTGTATGGAACAGTAATGCAGATTGAATATATTGGACTTTGTTAATTGGGCCTCAATGAGGAGGCGAATAGCTATATCCACACACTGCTGCTCGCAAAAACCAGACACAGTAGGCGCCGATTGTAAACGCAGGGAACCGAGGTTCCGTCGTATTTCAGATGGTATGAAAAATTTATCTCCAAAGGGTGTGTGGCGTAATCGCAGAATTGCGGCTCTGACTCGCCGGCCGCACAGGTTCCTCCGGCTGGTCACCGTCTGGTTAGGTTGTAATCTGACATGGGAGCCAAACTGAATCGTATGGGTTCTGTGCTGTGAATATAGCGATCCTTCCCTCGACTCCAAGTGTTACCTGCCATGTGCTCTCGACGAGCGGCATGGCGATCATCTGGTGGATTGGGGGTTTCGCCGTCTGCTCTGCAGCTTGCTGCGCGTGGAGCGGTCCATGGATGGGCAGCCCACCGGAACGGTATTTGGTGCTTTGAGCGCCATATGACAGTCGAGTCGCAGTACTAACTTGTCGGACCCGTGGCCAAAATCAAGGCTTCTTCTCGTTGACTCCTTGGAACATTATAGCCCCACTCAGACATCTTCATCCTCCACTTCCTCCACCATGACCTTGCGGGACACAGTGCTCTCTGATTCCCCGAGAGACGCGGTTGTCTGTAGGTAGCCTTCCTGCTCCAGCCGATCCGCCTCTTCAGGCTCCATTAAGCCGCCTTGACCCTTGCCTTTGTCCAACTTCATTTTTACATGAGTAGGCACGAAAGCAGTAACAGCTTCCTTTGTAAGATTTCGAACCATCGGCTTTGCTTCGTATACGGTCTTAGGTTCTGGCGCTGCAAGCTTTCTCTCCTTCTCCGTCTCCCTCTCCTCTGGTGGCTCCCTCTCTGCCTGTTCTGCTTGCCTCCTAGCGCGTCTCTTTGCGTACCACCGGTCCATCACTTGTTTTGGAATCGGCGGCGGTGTATCTCTCGGCATGGGTATCCGCTTGACGTCGTCGGGGACGTCCTCATCGCTGGTCAGTTCGTCGTTATCCCGTCTCCGCTTTCCGAGGACTCCTCCAGAAGAATCGCCATCGCGGTTGTAAACGCGGCTGAACGTGGGTGCTTTGTCGCCGAGCGCTTCGCGCGCCTTCTTCACTGCGCGTAGCTCTTTCTCGAGGCCCTCGAGGACCTGCTCTTCGTGGCGCGAAAGCTTTCCTCCGTTTGTCGTGATACCCTTGAGGTCGTCGATTTGTTTCTGAAATCTTTCGGGGTTGCGGCGTGCGAGCTTCTCATTGCGACGGCCCTGGACTTCGGCCTTGCCTAGAAGAGTGATGAGTTAGTAATGACTTCACCAGGTAATGTCTTGCAAGGGTAAATTCCTACCTTTCTTGATTGCTTTCGCTTTATCAGCCTTGCGCTGAGCTTGGACTGGGTTGTAATTCTTTTCTTTCGGCATCTTGGGTTTTGCGTCGACGTAATGGGGATTGTCGTTGGAGTTTCAACGCCAATGTCACAAGAAGCTTCCATTCTTTGCCAACCTGGGAAGACCAATTGCTCTGATAGCGATAAGGCGGCTCAGAGGTTCCAGATTGTTATCGATTGCTCTTATCCAGTCACGTGAAACACATGTTTGACAGGGGTCTGATAGTTGCCCCTGCAACATTGTTGACTTAATGCCCCGCAGTACCCAATAACACTGTCGCTTTGTTCCCTTGTTCCCCCCTAATACGCAAGTGCCCACCAGCGATCGACTGTGCAGTGGCCAGCCTCCGTAGGTCGGGTAGATCTTGGGCAGTCTGTCTCCATCCATCGCCCTGGATTCCTACTTACCCAAGTCAACCCCACGGCGGAGAAGATAACAACATAATAAGCCGCGTTGGTTACGCTTTATCTCGAGCACGCATCTCTATTCGTACCTTGCAGTGCTTTGCGATCCTTCCCAAACCTCTTTCTCAACTACCCCTCCAAGCAGGTTGGTTGATCGTTTGGTCGCTACGTTTCGCCCCCCCGCATCCTCCCTCGATCCACCTTCCGACCTGGTTGTTCGACGACATCATCAACAATGTCGGGCTTCATGGCCAATTTGTTCCCCGGAGGAAACAGGGATAGTAATGCAGCATCGCGACCCGAGACACCCACGAGAAACAGCTTCATCAACCCTGCCAGCACACCCCAAGGAAGCCCCAGCAAGAAGACGAACCCCCCCGGCGCCCACGAGCTGCCCGACGCATTCGACAATGCGCTCAAGTTGAGCACGCCTGTTCTGGAGAGGCCTAGACTCGATCGTCCTCTGAGTGTGATCACCACACCGCAGTCATCGGGAAGAGGCAACGAATACAGTCCCAACGTGGAAGACAGCGTCCTGCACAAGGTAGCAACTTCAGCAGGCAGCCCCTTGAAGAAGTCACATGGACAGGAGAACACTCCTCCCATCCCGCGCTTGGGAGGTAACGACTCCCCCTACCAACAGAGCCACGCTGCCATCTCCCGTCACGAGCTGTATCAGCCCAAGGAGAAGGCTGTAACTCCTAGGAACAAGTTCAACACTCAGAGAGCACTCACCCCCGAAGAGCTGGAGATCCTGCAGCGCCCCAATGTCCGAAGACTCGTCAACGTGACACAGCTTTGTACGTTCATCTTCGTCAAACTTCGTGTCCGCAAAACTAACCAAGAGCAGACTTCCTCGACTATTACTTTGACCTCCTGACGTATGTCGGCTCTAGACAGAACCGCCTGAACAACTTCCAATCGGAGATTCCGCCTCCGCCAGAGACTGATGAGGCAACGTACAATCAGATGTGGCAGAAGTACAAGGGACGAGAGCGTGCAAACCTCAGAAAGAGACGAGTCAGACTTCGTCAGGGTGATTTCCAGATCCTCACCCAGGTTGGACAAGGAGGCTACGGCCAGGTCTTCCTGGCGCAGAAGAAAGATACTCGGGAAGTCTGTGCATTGAAGGTGATGAGCAAAAAGTTGCTGTTCAAGTTGGACGAAGTCCGCCACGTGTTGACAGAGCGCGACATCCTGACCACTGCCAAGAGTGACTGGCTTGTGCGGCTTCTTTACTCGTTCCAAGATGACAAGAGTATCTATCTTGCCATGGAATATGTGCCGGGAGGAGATTTCCGCACGCTGCTCAACAACACGGGTGTTCTGAGCAACCGCCATGCTCGTTTCTACATCGCCGAGATGTTCTGTTCTGTTGATGCTCTCCACCAGCTGGGTTACATTCATCGAGATTTGAAGCCGGAGAATTTCCTCGTCGATTCCACCGGGCACGTCAAGCTCACGGACTTTGGACTAGCTGCCGGTATGCTTGCGCCGGCCAAGATCGAATCTATGAGAGTTCGTCTCGAAAAGGCATCTGAGACCTCGGTGCCTTTCGGAAAGCCCATGGACAAGCGGACGGTGGCTGAGCGAAGGGAGGGGTACCAAACGATGCGCGCCAAGGACATGAACTACGCCAAGTCCATCGTTGGCTCGCCCGACTACATGGCGCCCGAAGTTCTTCGAGGGGACGAGTACGACTACACAGTGGACTACTGGAGCTTGGGTTGCATGCTGTTCGAGGCTCTGACAGGATTCCCTCCCTTTGCAGGCTCCACACCTGACGAGACTTGGAGAAACTTGAAGCACTGGCGCGAGGTGCTCAAGCGGCCCGTTTGGGAGGACCCTAACTACTTCCTCAGCAACCGCACTTGGAACTTCATTACGACGTGAGTGGGCCCTGTCACGGTTGACATGTCTTGTGACATCATCTAACATTGCGCTTTAGTTGCATCAACTCCCGGTCCAAGCGCTTCTCCAACTTCAAGGAGATCAACTCTCACCATTACTTTGCCGAGGTTGACTGGGACACGCTGCGAACCACAAAGGCTCCATTCGTGCCTGAGCTCGATTCAGAGACAGATGCGGGTTACTTTGATGATTTCAGCAACGAGGCTGACATGGCCAAGTACAAGGAGGTGCATGACAAACAGCAGGCGCTAGAGACTATGGCGGATCGTGATGACGAAATGGGCAAGAGTCTCTTCGTCGGCTTCACTTTCCGACACCGTAAAACTACGGACGACGCAAGTCCACGCAAGCCTATCCCCTTCAAGGAGGAGGAAGACACCTTTGGCACGATGCTGTAGGGCAGGCCTATGTGGCGAAGGACGACGCAATTGAATTGGGCCATTCGGAGAAGCTTCCGCTGAGCCTGGAGTCGAAAGATTCTAATCACGATGATGATGAGACGGACGTCATTGGGGGAGCATAAGGCGGTGTTCGAGGGAGCGAAGGACTACTTGTATGAGTTTGGGACAGAACTGCCCTGCAGCGATGGCATGTTTGAGATGAGATTCCAGATATTTCTTTTTCGCGATGGAGTTTGCAGACGGACAAGCCCAGGTTGACAGGCCTGTTAACAGCATTCAGCAAACAAGGTCTTTTTTCGGGTTGGGATTAATTCTAGGGGATGGGACGGCGTTGCAGACGGCCGAACATCCGACACACGTGGGACTGGGATAGACACGCAGACAAAATTTGACATTTCTTCCTTCCACATCGGTCAGCTTCCCCCAGCTTACCGACAATGAGCCAACTGTCCGCGTCATCTTCTGAGGCTTTGCGCGAAGCCCCGTGAGAGAGTACCTGCCTTAGTTGAAGCAAATATGACCAGCCTCGCCTCTCGGCACGACGGCGGCTAGCCAACGATTGGGCTGCCAAACCTGACGGCGGTCTGTTTTGGTGGTGGATGACGGCGTGTCGATCAGCCGGCACCTAGTATTAGCATAAGCACATACTCTGAAACAATCCGAAATGAGGCTTCGGCCCAGCTCCGTGGTCACGTTCCCCCAGCGCCTAGACAGTCATCGCTCGCTGACCTGACGCCGTTTCGTTTCTTCTCCATCTTCTTTTTCTCCTTCTTCCTCGTCCCGACTCGAAGGAGCAGTGCGCTCTCCCGACGAGCTGGGTCCGTCCAGCAGGAGGCTGAAGCAACCCATTCGGACGAAGAATCAAAAGGGCACACGTCAGCTTCTGGGTCCTCCCCCCTTCGCAAACCGAATGGGAGGGTAAACGCAGGCTGACGCTTCCTTGCAGGAAGGACACGCGAAATGAACAAGCAAGACAAGCATACCCTCCCGCCGTTTGGTGTTTCCTGGAGGTACCTTTTCCTTTGATCGAGTTACCCGGGGGACCGAGAGCCAATGCGGTTGAAACGGAGGTTCGTGTTGATTGGCTTGGACGTTCATGACGGATCGCCGAATCGAACACTAGGGCGCTCCGGTGGTGGTGGCTCGGTGTTCCCCAAATCCCATCCCGGACGGCCACCATCCATCTTTTTGTCGTGTCACCTCACCCCTCTCAGCGCCCTGCGCGACGGTGGACGATGCGAGCCCGTTGAAGCTAGAGCTAAGCATACTTGCCGACGAACCACTAGTCTTGTCCGACTGCCACAGAGCGAGGGGCTGACTTTTGGCGGGAAGGGGCAAAGAGCTCTGTGTCCATGGGGAAAACATTTCCACACTCTTGTTCCTCCTTCCTGGTGACACCGCCCGGGGGCCCTGCCATGCAGCCATGCAGCCATGCAGTCATGCAGGACCGCGCGGTGGGCTTTGATCAAGGGACGGACAGGGCGAGAAAATGTGCGAGCTGAGCTGAGCTGTTCGGATGTAAGGTAAGCAAAGCCATGTATGGAGACACGACTTGGAGGGAGGGTGATGTGCCAGTAGTAGCCTGGGCATCCGGTAGGATCTGCGGAGGTTCAAAGAGCCCACAACGCGGTGTCCGTGGACGAGGCGGCTCGCCTCCCTCATCGCCCCCCTCAAGAGGAAACGGAGATGCGCCAAGACCATGGCATTGCTTTCTTTTGCCCTACGGCTGCTCGGGACCGAAGCTGTCTGTTCCCCTCCCCCCTTCCCTCCCCATCAGCAAGCTCGGCATTTGAGTGAGACTAGCGTAGTAAGGTAGTAGAGGGCGTGTGGAGAGCGAGGCGAAGAAGCGGTCATGTCGTTCAAGAATATAAAGACAAGTCGTTCGAGCTTCGGTCCGTCCAATCGTTCGGAATTTGTTTCGAACCATCACCTCGGGACGCATCTCTTCTTCTCCTTCGTCGCAACAAATCAGACAAACATTTCCTCTCACGTATAACGCATCGCAACTGCAGTCGCAGGTAATTCTCGATCGTCTCAAGTACCAAATCTTCACAAATTCAAACGAAATCAAATCAGTCAAAATGAAGGCCGCTTTCGTTGCTGCTGCTTTGGCCCAGGGCGCCGCCGCTGTCGCCAACCCCATTGGACCCGGAAACGGTGGCTTTGGTCCCGGTAACGGCGCCGGCTGGGGTGGATTCGCCTACGGCGGTGGCTTCGGCGGGTTCGGCCCTGGCGGGTTCGGCAACGGCGTTGCATCATGCGCTGTAAGTCTAAATTACGCTTTCCTGTCATCTCACCTTTCTATACCCATCCAATCTTGTACAAAACCGTAATATTTTACACGTAAACTCTACTTGCGACATTTACTCACAAACTTTACCAGAGCTCCTGCTTCTCATCCCACTTCGCCACAGCCACCCCCACCCCCGCCGCCTTCTGCACCGACGCCCCGCAACTGAATGACTGCGTACAGTCCGCCTGCACGTCCGACGCCGCCGCCCTGTCTACCTACACCTCCGTTTCCTCCTCCGTCTGCAACGCCTTCACCTCGTGCTCCAGCACGAGCACCTTCACCTACAGCGGCGGCTGGTGGGGCGGCGCTTCCAAGACCGACGCCGCCGTCACCATCACCGGCTGCCCCGTCGACGGCTGGTGGGGACCCGGTGGTGCCTGGGGCGGCATGGGCCCCGGCTGGGCATACAAGACCGACACCGTCACCCTCACCCGCACTGTCAACGGCGTCGCCACCACCGGCCCCGCCACCGTCGCCCAGGCCGTCTCCGGCAGCAGCACGCTGCTCACGACTTTCACTGGCGCGTTCAATGCCCAGGCGACTGGCGGCTCCAGCTCTGGCTCCACCAACGCTGCTGCCCCCGCTGATGCCAACCGCGGTGTCATGGTTGCTGGCGCGGCCTTGGGCGCTTTCGTTGCTGCTGTCGGTCTGATGTAAGAGCTCCATCAAGTTGTCGCCATACATGAGATGGGCAATTCCCTTGAACCTGTATACCATATCCCCCCTTCCCTTTTGTGTTGTTTACAAACGGGATTTGCAAAAAAATGAATCGGAGAAAATAAGGGGCATGATTTGGGGATTCATGGGGCAAGGCTTTTTTTTATTCCTACTTCATTCCTTAATGACCTGGAGTTAATATTGGGGAGGATTGTTTATAAGGCTGGATACCTTTGTAACGTATTCGATGATGACATGTCTCTAGACGATGAGAGATGATTACAGTCTTTACTTGGAACGTAGTATAGTCACGGCCGGGCACGATGATTTGGAATGCAGCATTTGCTAAAGCTAAACTCGCCTCTATCCATACCTACCAAACTTTTCAGTGAAACCCATCTTGAATTAAAAATTAGGTAAGCATTCGAACATTGATCCTGACGAAGCATGAAGCATTGATTCTACCTCAGCCAGAATGTCCGAGGAAACGAGAGTTAATTGAATGATTCTGCGAACTCTTCCTGATCGCAATTGAAACGCTGAGAATAGTAGTATGAGCGTCAGTCTTTTGAAAAGTGGGAGGACGATCTTCTGATACTCTGTCATCAAAGCCAAAGAAAGTAGGCATCTGAATGTCGTCAGTTTCCGGGAGAAAGGCAAGGTTCTGAGACGGGAGAGACAACTCCTCATATTGCCGCCCTTAGGGATACCAACCAGACCAGACCCGACTTGCTAGCTATTCCGGGGAATAGAAGCAAGGCCTCCAAATCACAGCGTTTTTCCTTAGCCACTGTATCTTCGACGATTGGTGATTCTGCTGGCCACGACCCTGGTCGTCTTACAGGTACCCGGTCTTGTAGCGCCTTCGATTAAACTTGGGTGTGTAAGACTTTAAGGAGGGATAAAATCTTCGAGGTCTGTTCATAGAAACTATCCAATCTAAAATCTTGGGTCTCAAATGTGTGCAGGATTTTTCCGATTTCTTGATTCCTGGTGTAGGCTTCCAACGACGCTTTCATGGCATGTTCCATCTGACGCTGCAAGTCGAAAGGTACACCGTCAGCCCAAAGCTTTCTTGTACACAAGGATCTGGTAGGTTCAAACTCACATAAAATGGTAACTTAGGTTGATATGCGGTTTCGACAATTCAGGGCCAACCCTTTCTGAAGAGAGATTGTATCTTTTTGAGGTTGATGTCGCGTATTGCTGCATAGCTTACAAGAATTCGTCAATCTCTTTCTTCAGACGCTCGACATGATCGCCAATATCTTGCAGAGCCTCTGGATGCGAGACGTGACGACGACAAAGCCTGAATGCCATCCAGTGTCCGAAGCGTGGTCTATAAAACGTCAATGAACCTTGTGGTTTCCTGGTACTCGGTCTTAGAGCCTCCAGAGTCTTTCAGGGCGACGAGAACCCAGATTTGGATCCTGCGCGTATCTCGGAATAGAGTAGCTGGAAAGGTCATCGGGCTGAATTAGAAAAGGGGCTTCCGGGGTTTTGAGAGTGGTTAGTCGTCGGTAAACCACGGTCAGAACGACGTTGCCGATAATTCTCACCACCATCTCATTTGTGTCCCAGGAGGGGCTACTCTAGAGATAGTGTCGACTGAGAAAAGCTGTGTTGAGAACATATCGACTTGGTGGCTTTGCGCTGTCATCCACCATACATGGTTGGGCATAGGCGAAAATACGGCCAGCTCGATGATCTTTCCAATGTGATACTGTGAGGTAGGTATGGGAAACGAGCAGGTATTTCTAACTAAAGAGGCCTCAATTAGTAGGAGCCTTCTGCATCGGGTTGATCAAAGTGAGAACACTGAGAGCCTCCTTGAATCGTTCGAAACGCCAGGTGAGTAAGTCTTGGAGAGTATCTGTGATCTGCCTTTCATGGTGGGGAAGATGATGGCGGACGATGGTCTATTCTCCTTGCAGATCGGTTTCAAAGTAACGTTTGCACACAAATGGTTGGTACGAATGATCATTCACTAGTCAGCTCCCTCCCCTCCTAAGCAGCTATTTTCCATCGCCCAGTTGAATAAGGCGAGAAACAAGCAGCTCCTAGGGTACTCGTCGGGTTGGTATTCGACTTGGGTAAGGACCTCTACAGTCGGGCCTCTGGACTAGAGGTGCGTGTATAGACCAAGTTTAAGGAGGAGTCCATCACCAACTTTTGTTCGAACCACTACTTCTACAAGAAAGCACTCTGATCCTCTAAATCAGGTGTCCATCCTCTGATATACAAGATCCCAGATCTCTATTTATACAACAGCCAAATCCCCGGAGAAAAAAGGGCCGCCATCTCCCTCTCACCTACGGTTCGTGCCAGAGACAAGCAGCACAACACTGCCAAGCTGCCTCCTCAGATCCTCCTTCTCGACATCGTGCGTATCTTCCACCTCGCCCCACGCGCCCGTCTGCCACGTAACCTCCAAACTCAACGCCGTAGCCGCCTCCTCGACGCCAAACTTGCCGCTGTTGCTGTCGCGGTACTCCCCCACGGGACCCTCGCTCCACTCAACAACCAACCTCGCCGCCCCGACAAGACTCTTGCCCGCCAGCACGGCCCTCTCAAGCCCCGTCAGTTCCCACGCGTCAAGCCCCATGACCCACCCCTGCACCACCTCCCTCACCCCCTCCGCCTGCCTCTGCGGCACGATACTATGCCCGTCCAAGACCGGGTTGATCTCAATACCGGGCCACACCCGGCGCGTCACCGCCCCAACGACCGCCTCCGCCGTCCTCTTCTGCACGTCTCGAAGCGACTCCCCCGCATCGTTGCGCGTATCTGTCGCACCCGCCGGCGGCGCCCAGCAGAGCATCGCGTCCGTGTCGAGGTACCGCATCAGCGTGTTTGTGACATGCTCCCGGATCTTGCCCTCGTTCGCGGCGTCGTCGGCGGCGATGTCGATGGCGCGGCAGATGAGCGAGGTCAGGGGGATCAGGTGCTGCTTCGTCGCCTGCTCGGCCGAGGTGATGAGGTCCCACTCGATGGCCAGGGCTGAGGCGAGGTGCTGCTTGGAGGGGGGCAGGCGGATGATTTCCTTGGTATTGGGGTGGCGGAGGGGGCGGGAGTCGAGGTGGACTTGGAGGGCGCCTGTCGGGTTTTGCCAATGTCGTTAGCCAGATAGTCTAACCGAGGAAATTGCAAGCAGCGACAGGTATCAAACGTGACAAAAACGACGTACCATCAACCTCTTGCACAGTAACATCATTCCAAAACCTCCTCTTCAGAGCGCCGGGCTTGCTCGACTTGGCCTCCGCCGACGTCCGAATCTGCTTGGCGTGCTTTAGCATCTCGGCCTGCCTCTTCCTCCTCTCGACGCGGATTCGCGCCGCGGCGGCCCGGTCCTCGGCGGCGATGTCAGCGATGGGCGGTTCCGGTGGCGGGCCGGTGCCGACCACGGGTGCGACCTCGGCGGGCTTGAGGGGCGTCGTCGAGATGGCTCTCGCATTAAGGTTGAGGGCACATGACCGTCGAGTCGACAACGTCAATGGCGAAGGCGCCGTGAAAAGACGAAGCGGAATGCGTGTTGACGGCTTCATTGTGTGGTATCACAGAAAGACGTCGTGGATGTGGATTGGAGCTATGGGAGCTGCAGCCACGGGATACAAATACGTCGTTGAATCAATTTTTGGGAGCTTCGCGGGAAGCCCCGGTCGTCAATACAGGGGTATGATTGGCTCGTACCTGAGGTGACATCAGAATGCGGGACGGTCTCGGAAGGTGAGCCCGGTGAAGCCTCGGTGTACGAAGTTCAAATTTCAGGGTCCTCACGCATTCAGGACAGCGCCAAGCGACGTTAAATTTCTCACGTGTTTTCTTCAAGTGCAAGAACTCGGCTACGCGCCTCGCTATACGTCTACGCCAAGTTGTACCAATACAAATTTTCAACCCCTCGCCCAAAACCATTAGTAAGGCGGCTTCGTGACGTTCCCTAAACTGAGCTCTCCCGCTCTGCTGTCAATCCCATTAAGAAGGTCGTGTAAATCCATCCCTCCTCCTGACACCATCGATAAGCTACCATCTCCTCTCGTCGAACCCTGGTATAAACTGTCGCCACCGCGACTGCTAAGCACTCGTTTCGCCGGCTTCACTGCGTAATCCTGAACAGAAACCGAGGACGTTAGCCCACCAATGTGGCCGGGCAGTGGCGGCACTGGCGGAACGTCCTCGTCTTCGTTGTGTTCGTACAAAGGATTGGAGTTGAGCGGCCCACCTTTGCGTGATGCCGAGGAAGACCTCTGCCGTCCAAGAGAGGCTCCGTCGCCGTTTTCCGGCTGAGATGCCGCCGGGTTGAAGCTTAGCTCCGATGGGGTAAAGTCGTAGCTAACCATGCTGTCACTATCGCTGTCATGGTGCAAGCCAGCTGACGTGCCAATGGGCGTCGCGGGTACTTGGCCTGTCAAAACCATTTTGAGCTGGTCAATGGAGGTGACTACGCCCCGGCTCGAGTCCGACGGTGAGGGCGAAACGCCACTCCGGACACTGGACTTGCGCAACTTGCTCATGGGAGACAAGCCTCCTAGGACCTGGGAGTTCGGACGAAGATTCCGCTGGCTGCCCAGCGGTGAAGACTCTCCCGGCTGGCCATGCCCGTTAGCGCCATTAACTGTCAGGTGGTATCGGTTGGTTCCCATAGTGCCACTTTTTGAGCCAGCCAACGACTCTGACTTGCTTCCCGCCTGCAAGGCTAACATAGCCGCATCTCTCGACCAGTCTGTCAGCATGTGCTCGCGGAACGCACTCGGCAGCTCCGACCCGGGCGCTGCGGGCGTCGTGCTAATCGAGGTGCTAAGAATGGGGTGCGAAAAGTTTCGCCCGGGAGACTGAGGGGGGCTGCTCGGTGGTGAGACACTTGTGTCTGCATAGCTCACAGCAATACTCTCTACGAACGATGCGCGGTCGTCGAATGGCAGCAACGCTTCGCTTTCAACCTCTGTGGCGGGTAGTTTGGTCTGCAGCTTGGGAACGCCGGGAGTTCCAAGGAGCTCTAGCGCTGGCGGAGGAATGGCCACGCCCTCTGTCCAGAAATGTTTGCTGCGTCTTCGGATAACTTCGTTCGTGATTGCACGTCCCACGGCAGAGTTCTCAATGTCGAACTTCTCGGTCACGGCCCAGAAATAGCCGTGGCAAAGACTGCCCAGACGAACCTTTTGCACTGGCAGCTCTGCATCTGGAATGTCCTCCTGAAGACGGAACACCATTGGTAATCCGTACTGCACTGCGTTTACGCCCAGCTGAGATACCAGCTTGGTAAGTAGCACGTGAAGAAGCACGATGTCCGGGTCGTAGTCGACATATTGCAAGGCATTGTCGTATATCGCAATGTGCAGAAGTTGGAGGAAATGCGAACGCTGCCTCGATGGTTTCTCGCGGTGGGATGCGTTTGATGCGGCTCGTTGAGCAGCGCTGGCAGATTGAAGCTCGCGACTGTTCTTGAGAGAAGACCGGTGGTGCTGGGTGCTGTCATCTCGCGCCTTCCAATCGGCCGCTGTTGTTTCGCGATCCAGCCAGGTCAGAAGCGCGTCGGCGTAGGCTTTTCTGACTTCGCCATCTGGATCCCGCAGAAGCCAGTGTGTGCTCTCCCAGACTTGAATAGGAACCTTATTCCTCGACAAGTTCAGATTGCCGGACATCTGGGCACGCGGGTTTGCGACGAGGAGTATGTTCTTTATTGCCTTCAAAGCAGCCGTCTTACCCACATTGCGGGAAAGGTACGTTTCCAGCTGAGGTTGGCTGGTAGTCATCTCGTCTGAGGAGGGCTGCTCGGAAGTTTCTGCCTGGGGCGATGAGCTGGTACTCGAGGACTTGGACGGCTTTAGTCGGAGAAGGATCGTTGAAATCATATCCGAGATCTGGTCTGCGTAGTATACGTGGGTCGCCAGATCTCCGATGCAGAGTTGGATACGCTCGAGGAGTTCTCTTCGCTGGGCGAATACGTCACCGGATCCTTGCAAAGTAGAGGGTACTTCGTCAGGCTCTCCTTCGGTTCTCCCAAAACCTCCAGGTAGTTGAATAAGTTTCTTCATATGCTGAACGAGGCCCAGCAACACGTCCATGGCGCTCAGCCCAATCAAGTTGACGTCGGAACGCAGGAGAGATCCAATCATGGCCGCCAGCGATAGATGAAGCTTGAGGTTGTCGTCATTGACGGGTGCTTTCGACAGATGATCCATGGCCGTCACCAGGATAACGTAGCGATCCTGCACAGGTGCCCATCTCGCGATTGCGCTGTAAATGCTGATTGCCCACCCGTGATCCTGGCCAACTTTCTCATCCGGCTTAACAGCTGTGTTCCCGTTTGCGATGCGATCTTCGATGAACTGGAAAAGAGCTCCAGTCGCGGAATGGATCTGTGGCCGATTTGGTGCCACAAAGATCTGCTTGAGGCACTGCATGGCAAGCACACCAACGTCCTCCTCTGCCAGCCTGTCGACATCATGGGCAGTGCCTGTCAGAGCGATAGGGTTGGCATCGCCAGTATCGTTGGTCCCCACAGTTGCGACGCTTGTCCTACGGCGAAGCTTCTCTGCCTGCACTTTCTCCTCCATTTGTATGCGCGACAGCAATGTGTCGAGCAACTCGTCGTCATCCCACCAAAGGTTGTCCAAAATAACGGGGACAATTACGTCAAACTGGCGGCCAGTGACAGTCGACAGAGCTTCTGAAGAGGAAACGCTCCTGATTGCTTCGAGACCAGCATTCCTCCATCGCATCAGCACAGGCTTGCTGGAGGCTCCTTTCCCAGGGTTTTCGCGGGTCGAGGCGAGCGAAGCGTAGGTGCGGACGATCGATTCGTACTGGGCGAGATAAGCCTGATCTGCAAAGGAGGAAGATGCATCGTGGTTTTCGCAAAAGGCCTCAAAGGTGGGGATAGAGGACTCGACCATGGTGATGTCCTTGGATCCAAGGATGACGTCGAGAATTTTGAGCACATTAGGGGCCACAAGCGGCAGGTCCTTGGGGGCCTTCTCGATGAGTGCCGTGAGGATTCGAAGAGTGACTTGCACATTTCTGAAAGAGTTCCGGTAAGCAAGGCGATCTTTCAATACCTTGGGGGGTCACAAACCCGATGCGCTGTCGCCAGACATCGCTTGCCGTCTTCTTCTCCAAGAAGGAGCCAATTTTCTGGATCTTGGAACGGCGGGAGGTGGCATAGAACAGCAGATAGCTCAGCTCGCTAGAATTCGGCTTGACATCAACAGCGCCCTTGTTGGTCCGTGGATAACACTTGAGGACCAGCACTTGGTGCTTCGGTCGACATTTTTGCTGGATCGCGTTCATGGCGCTGGGGGTGTCGGGGCCCGATGAGCGAGAGGAGTCGGAGGACTACCTGGTGGCCGGTAGTAGATGATGGGAAAGAAAAAGCATCGAGGTTGGAGAAGGAGGGAGCAAGAGGCGTCGCGTCAGGTTTGGAGGATTGGTCGCCGTCTTCGTCGGTTTAGATCGCGAAAAGCAAGGAAGGAGTGAGGCATTGGACAAGGTCAAAAAGAAAGGGAGCAGGCGTAATGGAGAAAGCCAGCGAGCAATAATTTGGGTGTGGCAGACAAGAGACCCGACAGAAACAGATTCCAGTCAAGGCCCGGCCAGACCAAGCCAGCACGGGGGCGGCTCGACGGGGGCGTTAAGCGTGGACGTGCTTCGTCAGGTAAGTACCTTTACTGCGAGGTGAGTGGAGATGGGTACCTCAGCATGTGTGCACCATTCGTCCGTACTCCGTACGTACGACCATGGAAATCGAAAAGGCTGGCCTGTGAGAATCCTGCACACTGCCTAGCTGGGCACCTGCCAACCTCCCAGGTCACCCCCTCTCGGGCTGGTTCGAGGACCGGTGCAACGGGACTCTTTCGTCATAAATTGGGCCCGAAATTGCTGTCTGCACCGCACCAGCATCTCGCTGTATTGTCAACCTGCTGCGGACTCCATCGTCGTCATCATTCTTACCCGATTATCCATCCGGCCTTCGCGCATGTGGTCTCATGATCCTTTCTCAGAACGACGGCAATGCGATTTGAGATGCCTGCCTCAGGATCGAAACCGGCCACTGGGGAATCATTGTCGAAGACGGCTAGAGGACAGCTCTTGCCGACTGGATACATGTCGAGATAACATCAAAATGAGCAATCTGCTGGGATAGCGAAACACACGTGTGAGGGCAAAATGCGCTGGAAGATGAGATTACGAGCCCCAAGATGGGCAAGTTCCTGTGTGAATGGGGAGATGGTAATCTCGGGGAACCGCCCCAAGGCCGACAGACCGGCTCTCAGCGGGATACGCGTTTGCTGTTGCCATTCGCAATGGAAGCGCGAGATGGCTGGGATTCCCACCCGACCTATACGCCGCCTGGCCTGAGCTTCCGAGTCCCCTGCAGCCCTGTGGTGAAGGAGGGGCAAAGGGGGTTGTACCGTTTTCACACAGTACCTTACTTTAGAGTGCATGGCAAGCTCGATGGCACCCAATACATGTGATGGTACTAGTAAACGTCTACTTTGTACTTAAGGAATGGTAGATCGTTGCCGCGTTAGTCCACCCAGGTATGAAAACATGCTTCTCCACCAATTCAAAGACACGAGGAAATATACCACCAAAGACACAACAAATGCCGTCCCCCACTGGCACAAGTCTTCTCAGTGGTAAGCTTCATAGCAATGCACCAAGATATTGGACGCGGGATGTCTGCGTCTCACGAATGCAAGCCTTGGACACGGAAGAAGCTGCCGCCAAGCGAGATATTTCAGAAATGAAAGTGGCCAGCGTGGTACCTTTTTTGTTTCCTCAACTTCATGCAGACGCACCTGTCATTGGACGCGTGTTTCACCGGCCACCCATCCATATTGCCTTGATGCCCTATCCGTACCTCGTTTCCTGGTATGCACTGAGACCTGCCGCGGGCGAACTCACGATGCTGCAGCTCCCAGTCAGTGTCTGAGCCAAAACAAAACAGCCGTCTCCCCGTCTCTATTTTGGTCTTCCTCGTCGCCTTGTCACAGGCGTTTGGGAAGACGGGAATGCGGTCCACCAGGGTGTCTTGAGGTGTTTGGGACGGACAGGTGCCTGGGATGATCCCCCCGGCTCGAAGAGTTCCAACAGGTGCTCGGACATTTGCATACAGGTCCAATCATGCTCACGCATCTACACACTTGTAAACCTTGTCCAGCTGACTTGAGGCAAGGCGAATATCGACAGCAGTGCTAGCCAGCTGCACGAGTCGATGTCGAGACTCGAGGTTTGAAACTTGTGAATACTTCTTCATGTGCTCGCTCGCCCGGGCCCGGATGAGGAGTGACAAGTGCGTACCTGAGCTATCTCCCGCGCTCCTTATATTTTCCAATCTGCCCAGATGCATCTGCATCCCTCGCCTTACTTTTTCGACCCATCCAGCTCGGTTGTCACCGTCGCCGTCCCATCCGTCTGATGTCGTCAGCACTGCACCCCTCCTACTTTTCCTGCATGCTCGTTCAATCTCTCAACCCCAAAGCCACCACTTCGTCCTCTCACCCTATCTCATTCCACCTGCTCAAGGTGAGGTACCTTGGCTCTCGCTGACCGCACTCATCATCAAAACTCTCCCCCAACGTTCCTTTCAAATGTCTCTGTTTCCTGCTCAACAAACGCCTCTAGCTTGGGATACAGGTTCACCAATTGCCGCCAGCTAGTGCCTAGAGAGAAAAGTTCCCCTCTTCAGTTTACCCGTGGACAGCCCGCCACCCACACCATTCTGGGCCGTCACTTGCATATAGGTAGGTGCCAACGCTGCCCTAATAGGACGGTTGTCAAGCAGAATGACGGATTCTTCAACCTACCTGGTAAGGTACCTTCCGAGAAGTGCGCACCCTTCACGCGCGACTAGTCACGATACAGACCGGCTCTATTGCGTGCCTCTGCTCCGCATCCCCCGTGATGCCCGGAGTCTTTCGAGTCCGATAATTCCGAGGCGGCCCATCCTCATCCTATCACCGGCATCACCTGCAGTATCGGATGGGACTCTCCAGCCCTTTGTGGATAACTATCCCAACATCACTGAGTCACGTCTTATCTTGTGGGGAGTCCTGCAAGGATGCAGGGGAAAGCGGTCCTCTTTACAGTTGGCCGTCACCGCTTGGTCGCCATCGCGAAGATTGGACCTCCAATCTCATACACTAGGCTACGTTATGTAGCCGTGGAACAGGCGCCTCTTTCACTCCCACCAGCGACGTTGAACCCAGACGCAGATGAGCATCGGTAGCATCTCCAGTCCTGCCGCAGCATCACCGGCGATGTCCGCAAAGGCGACAAAACCATTTGCAAGCCTTTGTAAGAAGAGATTGTCCGGGATGTATCGAACGAGGAGCACCGCAAGATGAGATAGGTATTCGATCTTTCGCGGTACACCTGGCGTCGTCGATGGGCGTAAAAGCCGGGCTTCGTAAGTGATCATTTCTTCTTCAAATACTCTTCAAAGATATCGAGGAGTCGTCTGTCGCTCGTCTGTTGCATACGTCAGACAAGTGTTTGGATACAACGTCACATTCCCGACATGAACCTCTCAAGAAGAGTGGTTGGGTTGACATACGGTGATTGGCCCTCTGGCGAGTGCAACGCACCCCAGACTAGTCAACCATGCTGGTGGGGCTCGTTCGACAACGGATCTGGAGATGGAAATGAAGCTCACGAAATTACGCCGACCACGTCAACAGAACATGAGACGGAAGAGCATGCCAGCCAATCTTATATCTAACCATTTCTTTCATCACCATCAGATGGGCTTCTTTGTGATGACGTAGCCGAACGGTGATTGCCGCGATAGAATAAATGGCTTTCCGAACCCGTCTCTGCCCTCCAAGTCCGGGGATCAAGTGGCCACATGGCGGCTCCATTTTGAGCTGAGAGAAATGACCCGGCGGTAGATTCCGCGATTTTACTTTCTTGCAAGTAAAACGACCCTGTCTGGCAAGACGCTTGTGTCAAATATTTATGGCCGCAAGAGGCGACGGACAAACAATGTGATACTGAGAATCTGATGACTATTCCAGCCAGACAAGATTATTGGAAACTTGGTCTTGCGGTCCTTCTTCAGAGCAAAGTTGCCATGATATCTAGTGGCCTATCGAGCGATGGGAGATCCCGCAAAGCGGGACCATGCGCCGGTCGGGCCGTTGGTCGCCGGCTTCGGGGCAATGTGTCACATCTCGAGGAAGTGCGCTCTCCGTGCCATTGACCTAATTCATGTAACCATGGAAGGCTTGTCGATCGTTTCTCCAAGCATAACTTCAAAAACTGTAGCATCATCATAGTCCCAATTTAATTCTAGGTCTACTGTGGTCTCGCGAGTCGCAGGCCAGAGTCTCACGTGGAAGGACACATGGAAAGAAAACCTGGGCCCAAGATTGAGGTCGCATGCAGCCAGCAAGCAAGCAAGTGGCCCACTGCCCGTTTTCTTTGTGTAATTCTAGCCAGTTGGCGTCAGCCAAGGTGGAGGAGATTCAAGAACATCCAGAAACACGGCCACGCGTGCTGAGGTAGCGGCCATGGGATCTAGCCAAGGAACCGGAAGTCGGGATCAAGATATTGGTGTTGGTGCCTACCGCAAACAGAGGCTGGAGTAGGGGATGGCAGATGGAGGAGAGACATGCTACTCTTTATGAGGTTGTCTTCTTTGAGACCCAGCCAACGCCAACGCCAACTAGCGCGTGTGCATGCAGCAAGACTCTCGTACAGCCTTGCCTTCTCTCGCGCTCCCTCCTCGAAGGGCTCCACTACTTTACTCAAAGATCGATGCCACCAACAACCCCAGAACCGACCTGGACCCACCTAGCTCAAGTTGAGCTGCTCTGCCTTACCCAGAAGCTGGAGATTCCGAGTGGCGTTTTTTTTCATACGTTGCCTTACTTCCTTCTTTTTACCAGCTGGATATCCTCAATTCACGAAGCCTCATCTCTTTTTTCTCTTCCCAAGGTTCTCACTGGCTTCAACGACTTTTTTGGGACCTTCCCACCTTCACCTTTTTGAAACCCTTCCCTTTAGGTATCTCACCACTAGGCTTATTGTATCTTATTCAAGCCAGACAGTCCCGGATCAAGAGAACCAAAAGCTGCCCAAGATGAAGTCTGGAATATTCATCACCTTCACCGCCGCCGGCGCTGCAGTGAGCTCTGTCACTGCCTTCTCCTTCCCTCGTGCTACTGAGGGTCAGGGATTCATCGCCATGCCGGTCAGACAGATCAGACCTGATTTGGGCCACCTCAGCGAGAGAGACGCCATCGAGGTCACGCTCAAGAATCAGCAGTTTTACTACTCGACTGACAGTGAGTGCCTTCCCACTACTACCTCTTCCTCCTTTGAACGAGCTGACGCTGGAAACAAAAAAAAGTCTCGATTGGATCCCCTACTCAGGAGGTGACTGTCCTGCTCGATACCGGCTCGGCTGAGCTCTGGGTCAACCCGGACTGTTCCACTGCTCCTTCCGCAGCCCAAGCTAAGGAATGTACCGCTGCTGGCCAGTACAACCCGGCCAAGAGCCGTACTCCGGCCATTGGTCCCATTGGAGCTCGCAGACTCAACTATGGAGACCCCTCGGACCCTACCACTCAGACCAGCGCCGAGATCGCCTACTACACGGATACTATCACTATGGGTGCTGGTACTATAGTTAATCAGACCTTTGGCGTCGTCACCAAGAGCGATGGAATCTCGACCGGCATCATGGGCCTGGCTCCCGATCTCAAGGCTGGTTTCGAGAAGGGCATGCCCTACAGCTTGATCCTCAACACCTTGGCTGATCAGAATGTCATTGGCAGCCGCGTCTTCTCGTTGGATCTACGTCACTCCAGTTCTGACACTGGCGCGCTCATCTACGGCGGTCTCGACAAGGGCAAGTTCATCGGAGCGCTTCAGCGTGTCCCCATGATTGCAGGCGTCAGAGGCGAGCCTCGGTAAGTGGAAGCCTCTCACTCCTGTCTCGTCAAGTAGAATGCAGCCGATCTTTCATGCTAACTCACAACACCAGTCTCGCAGCCACGCTCACCGCTGTCGGCATGACCCTGCCCAACCAGCCGGTCAAGTCGTACGACTTCGGCGCGGGTGATACGAACGTTATGCTCGATTCGGGTACGACCCTCACCCGGCTTCACCCTTCCCTGGCACGTCCCATCTTCGCAGACCTCAAGGCAGTGACCGACAGTGATGGCTACTGGTACACGGACTGCTCCCTTCGCACCCCGCCCCTCGCCAACGGTGGCAGCGACGCCTACATGACCTTCACCTTCGGCCAGAAGACCATTCGCGTGCCCCTTAGCGATTTCATCCTCGACATGGGACCCAAGGACGGCCAGTGCTACGTCGGCCTCGTCATCACCACCGACCAGCAGATCCTCGGCGACAGCATGATGCAGGCAGGCTACTTTGTCTTCGATTGGGACAACCAGGCGATTCACATGGCTCAGGCCGCTAACTGCGGCAACGAAGACATCATCGCCGTCGGCGCTGGCGACAACGCTGTCCCTAGCGGCATCGTGGGACTCTGCAACGGCCCCGCGACCCCGGACGGCAGCATCGCTCCCGCGCCAGGTGCAGTGAGTTCCTCTGCGGCTCCTTCTTCTACTACTTCATCTCCTTCACCTGACCACACACCCGGAACGACCTACTTCTCCCCCACCACCGCGACCCCGACTTACGTGACACTCTCTGATTACGGATCGTTGACGCCTTCCCTTCAGTCGTCCTCCGCGACCGGAAACGCCACACCCGCCTCGTCTGCCCCCACTGCGGCCGGCGGCGGCGGCAGCAGCATCTCCTCGACGATCACGGGTGCGATTGCCCCGACCGCGACCACACCTTCCTCCTCGACTTCCTCCGATTCTCACTCTGCCGCCTCGTCCCTGTTGTGTACTATCAACCAAAGATTCTTGGGTTTGGTTATGAGTGTCTTGCTCACGTTGGCGGCGGCGGCTTTCTAATCTGCTTGATTTTGGGAACACAGAAAAGGCTAAGGATACGATACCCCTTTTTTCAGGTTTTGGGAGGCATTATTTGGAGTCTTCATTACTACTTGCATTCAAAGACGGCATTGATTTTTGGGGAGGAAGAAGGAATTAATGGACACCTCTTTTTTTTCTCTTATCTGTCATGGAGAAGACACACACACACACACACACACACACACAGAGAGAGAGAGAGAGAGAGAGAGAGAGAGAGAGAGAGAGAGAGAGAGAGAGAGATGTGATTTCCCTAGCTAGCTGGCCAAACGCTTGAAGGAAGGGACGGAAGTCTTTCAAGCTGGGGAAGCGCAGGATGTCTAGCTAGGACGCTGTTTATGACCCGTTACGATACCAATGACGAAAACTTGAAGCCTTTGTCCTCTCGTCTCCCTCTCGTTTGGAGAATGGGAGACACGATGAACAAGCGCCTCACTTTTCCAAAGCTTCAAAACACGCTTTTTTGGCTCGTTCCCATTCGTTCTCTTGCTGTAATTGTAATATCGGGCAAATCTTTGCCCACACACGTACATATTTCATCATATCCGCCTCCTTTTAGCTGTGTTCATCAAAAGTGTGACGAGTCTACCTACCTACTCCAAGACAAGACCGAAAAAAAGCCGCTCGACTTTGACCAACAGAACTGCGTCGGGACTGACTCCGGGAAACGCCGTTGACCTCAAGTGCCTGCCCCTCCTCCCCTCCTCCTGTGTCTCTTCCCTGACGTAGTGTCTCTCATGTTTCCTCCATCGCCCTACCCTCTTTATGAGTGTGGGTGTGGTTTCTAGACCCCGCGCCCCCTACCCTCCTTCCCCTGGCAGCCGCGGTCCTGGACCCATCCCACCGAGACATTCCCAGACCACATCCGGCCTTTTTGTGCTTATGCGCCGTTCTGGGGACCCGAAGATTTGGATAGGGGGGAACCCGGTGGGTCAAAAAGGCACACCTAATAGATTCTTCAACTACAACCGCAGCTGTATTATAAATCTCGATTATATGAATACGTATAAATACGAAATATTGAGACGAGTTGAAGTATGACCATTCATAATTTTATGTATTTTGTTTTTGATACAGATATCTTTGAAATAGTAGTTTAAAGATAGTAATTTAGTAGTGGGAGCAGTAAGGTGTGCGCTCTCTGTTGTCCACCGGGTGGGAGGTGAGGCAAGCACGGCAAGCACCCGAGGTAAGGTAGCCACAATTGGGGGGGGGAGTGGGGACCCCGGAAGCAGGACGCACCCTCCGTATATTGTCTCACTACCGGACGGGGGGTGAAGCCGGGGAATCGAGGCTCTTGTCTCCCCCTACCTGCTCCTTCCCCATCCCCAAATAGTTACAAAAATGGCGTTCGTTCAAAATCCGAAGCCCAAAGTTCCCGAGCTGAGGGACGGTGGAATCTCATCTCATTCGTCAGTCCCCGAGTCGAGACACGTGCCTTAGTCTTAGTGCCTGAGGGGGGTCTCCCCTCGTCAGCCTCACGAGCGGCTTGTAGTCAACGCCCATCGAAACACATCATCGTAGGGTGAGGTGTGGAAATGCTTTCGGCAGATAGGACTTGACTTGGCAGTCGGTCTTGGTAGCATGCCGCCGCATCAGGAACGGTCAACAAGATGTATCTGAAAATAAGGAGAGATTTCCACTATGAACGAGTAACTAAGCTAGGTATGTGCAAACAATCGTTGCCAGATGAAGAATGCTGCCAAAGCAGCCGAGCTGTTCCAAGTTCTCCTCGGGTAAAAAGCAAAAGTCTCCTTCGATGTGTGCCCAGCATCTCTATTGCTGAGAATGTCATAGTTTCTCCATGAAACCATGAAACAAGATGGAAATGAGAAAAAGAAAAACGTCCGCCTCTCCAGTCTCCCAAACGAACTCTCAGAAATCATTAAGTACCGCAAAAACACCTTGAATCGAAAAATCCATGCTCCGAAACCATCTCCTTAGATGGTCGAAAAGCGCAAAGTTGTAAAAGAGTATCGTGGCCCTTCTGGGCGTATTGTTGCAAATTATTAGGCTTTGGTTCTGCGCTTCTTGGCAGTGCGAGAGCGAGAAGCCTCTCCCTCGCTGTAGGTACCGTCGTTGAGATCAGTTGCAACGCGCTTTCTGGCATGGGTGCGCGTGATTCGACGACGTGGAGCATCGCTCTCTCCTGCAGGATCCTTGACCCCAGATGTGGTGATGGTGGTGGTCATGGGCGCAGTAGCGCTGGGCACGACCGGTTTATTGTGAGCCGGAGTCAAGCAGTTACTGCAAGGCTGCATTTCGACTTCCTCGCTGTCACCGGGCTTCGGGTAGTCCCAGACCTTGGATACCGGCGGCACAGTGCTCTTCATGATTGCATCATCTCGGTCTTGAGGGGTGAAACTCGGGTGCTTGAGGTCGATGTTTCTGCAGGTCAGAGCGATGCGACGCTTTCCCTTGGGGTCGACTTTATGCTACTGCAATGTTAGTACCAGTACTCATACTAACCTCAGATTTACTTACCAGATATGCTTCATGAATGCGGGGGCCATGCATTACTACGATGTCGCCGTGATATATAGGGAACTTGAGGACACACTCCTCCTTTCCCTTCTTCTTCGGCTTTTTGGCGAAGCACATGATGGCCGGGCTTCCCAAAGAAAGTGTAGCTACCGTAGGGCCCAAGGTGTCTTCTCCGTCGTCGTGATACTACAGGGGTCAGTGTTGAGTTCAGAAAGAGTTCATGTAGGTACTGACGCTGATCTTGTCCTGTTCCATGTAGCCGATTGACAAGAGCTCGTTGAACTCGGTAAAGCCGCGAGTGATGGATGGGTCCCGAGTCAACCCAATGTGTTGAGCAGGGCTGCTGGCAGTTCCCAGGACTTCGTTCGTCATCTCAACCGATGCGCGGCCAGCCCACTCCATTCTCTTGAGGGCTCCCATGAGCGCTTCAGGGGCCGCTGAAAACGGCATTGAATCCACCGCGACAATGAACTTGTAAGGGGCGCCCCAGTTTTGGAGAAAGTTCCGGGTCAGCTTCTCTCCGGTTGCTGCAACATGTTAGCGAAATATTTTGAAGAAGAGCGTTGAATGAAGACTCACATCCGCTCTGAAACACAGGGTTTCTGGTCAGGCCGAGGGTGTCAACAGTCTCGTTAGAGATCTCCCACATCTTGTCAGGACCACCAGGCTGGCAGTTGATTTCCTGGTTCGTGCGGATGATGCTGACCGAGCCAATGATGTTACTGGTGTTGAAGGGATCCGGGAGAAGATACTGCTCAATTGGAAAACCATTGATCTGAGCACGGTGCTGCAGAATGCTTGTATCAAGTGCTCTGGGCCTGTTGGCTGAGTTCCTCTTGGTGCGTGTCTCCTCTTGGAGGATGTGCTGCAGAGAGTATGAAGTCGGCGTAGCCATCAAGACAAAGCTGCACGCTGGGTTCTCATAAGCCCAGTGTGTCCAGTCGATTCGCCTTGAGCAACCATGACATTGAGGGCAGACGATGCCCGCACGCATTGCCTTTTCTGTGCCCAAGTAGCCTTCCATGGAAGGAATGGCGGGACGGATAGGCTGCTTCGGGAGTTGAAAAGATGTTCTCTCCTGAAGGAAGTCAGCAGAGTATTCCAAATGAGTGACGTCCACTCCAGCTGGAAACTTGAAAAAGCGTCTGCAGCGATTGTTGAGACAAGTCCATCCAGAAGAGAAGATCGACTTGGAGTGCTCATGGCAGTCGGTGCACCAAGCAAGGGTTGCGGCGCAGTGGGAAGCGGCTGTAAGCCCCTTGGTGTCGACGTCCGATGGAAAGGTGAAGCACTCTTCGCAGTGAGCATTCAGGCAGGTCCATCCCTGAACGAAGTACTGCTTCGACATCTTCGAGCACTTGCGACAGTTTTGACGAACGTCACTGAACTCCCGAGGCTTGACCGTGTGTTGAACTTCAGCCTTTGCCTGCCACCAAGACGGCGTAGAACGGTCGGCCTTCTCAAGTCGAATCTTGTTAAAGGTTTGACCAGTGGCGTCTACCTCAGACCAAATATCAGTGATGGTGAAGAACCCCATGACATTATACTTGTGCTCGGTAGCGATGGACAAGCCGGGGTAGTTGGCATCTACTTAGAAATGAGTTAGATGTCCAAACAATGATAGTGCAGAGACTTGCCTAAGATGACACCAACGGGCATTGCACCCATCATAGCTGTGTGGGCAGATTCCTTGTTCGACTTTTGGGGATCCTTGACTCGGACCAGGTCGCCGTTCTGATCACGCTCTCTGCCACCACCACTATCAAAGATAGCAAAGATTAGCAGTTAGTGAGCGAGGGAACTTTCGGAAGGACTTACAGCGCAGTGATGATGACCTCTGTATCCATGCGGTCTCGAACAGAAGGAAAACCGGCAATGAGAAATCCCTTGAGGATCTTGCCGCTGGTGTAGCCACTGCTCTGGTGAGCCTTGTAATAAGGCAGGGCATCACAAAGAGCCTGGCGGGTTTCGGCCCAAACAGGGGGGCTTCCAAAAGGCTCAGCCCCAGCTTTGTTGAAGTCGGCCATGGTGCTTACTGAGGGCTTGAGTTGTTGGAAAAAGACGAGATTTTGACTGTGGAAGGTTAGGGAATCGTTGAAGAAGGAATAAGGGACGCCGCAGTATACTGTCGATCGTGAGGCGTGCTTCACGCAGAGAAAAATATGATCACAGCCTCAATGTAGATTCTGAGAAGTGCTTCTTGCAGTCCAAGAAGTTCAAAATAGCGCTTCTGGGTAGCTTGAATGACTGCAGGAAGAATTTGGAGAAAGTAGACTTGGTGCGCAGAAGAGGATAGTGAGGTGTAAGAGAGGGATGAAGAGAGTGAAGACCACAGTGATCGGGCTACACCAAATAAAGAGGCAGAGCTCTTAGATAGTGACGCCAGGTGTGTCCTTGGGTGGGTGAGAGAAGTGTGTGTGTGTGTGAAAGAGAAAAAGAGAAAGAGAAATGAGTTTGCGGAGAATCGTCTCTCTTAAATAAGAGGCGTGGAGGAGGCGTGGAGGAGGCGCCCGAAGGCCAAAGAGCAATGTGAAGAAGGAGCGTAGAAGAGATGGAAGGTACGAGTGGGTCACAGGGCCAGTTGACTAAACAGCAAGGAAGGTTCAGTTACCTGGAGCCCAGGTACTATGGAAGCGATGGGAAAGAACGAAGAACGCTAGCATAGCAAGGCTGGAAGGTGCAAGTGATTCAGTGACCAGGGCAAGTATTCCCCATACCAAGGGGATGAGCGAATCAGTGTACCTTAATTCTGGAGGATCTTGGGTACTAAATGACGTTCTTTCCGTCTTTTATCGTTTCTAGCACACAAATGTTTCAGATCGCAATTGGCACTCTTTCATTGGATATCTGATAAGAGGAGCGAGTGAAGGGATCATGTCGATTATGTTCTTAAATGAAAGGCTAGACGCTTGAGTCGGCCGAGTCTGTACTCAATAATAAAGTGCCTTTGAATGGGGGAATGTCGTGGTTTGGAGTGAGGTGGAAAGAGGGATAGGCTGAGTTGGCCGTTGCGGCCCAGATATTGAGGGTACGATGTGCCCAGAGAACCACTCGCCATTCTGTTCAGTAGAAAGCTTTATGTAAGAGATCTTCATGATCACAGGCTGAGAGGCAACATTCTATACGTTGAGCGAAGGGAATTTGGGGGTACAAGTGTTGCAAAGCTACGTTACCCAGCCGGCAGTAACTGCGCTTGGCCATGGTATCAAGAGCCCGAGCATTACCAGCAGTACTTATGGCCTTTTACTTCTCTATAGGTACGGATTTTCCCTCAGAAAATATGTCATGAAACTGCAATGAAGCCTGTCAAAGACAGTGGGCTCCATGCTCGCGATATTGGCTTAGACTGACAGTTTCAACAAATCCTTAAAACAGTTGACAGAAGGAGCATTTTCAGTGCTAGGCTAGCGTTGCGATTGCAAAAGAACGCTATTTACGTACATGGCTTGGATTTGAGGTCTGAAGCTCCATTAGTGCGAGTGAGTTGTACGACTTGTCGTCATGTAAACTGTCATCTCTAGATACCCTGGTGAGTCGCGTGAAACCATATGAGCATCCGGCATGACTGCGATGATGCAGGCATTCTAGTCGGGGCTGATAAACAAGTGAAGGGTACAATAAATGAGCATAACTGTTACTCGCCAGTGAAATAGTAACAGAGCCTGATTGCCTCAGAGATACAAGAAGGCCCAGAAGGAGCAGCACGCGGATTAATCACAACCGTATCCTTCGAGGGAAACCGACATCACTTGACAGCCACCAGGCAGAGTTCAGCGAAATGGGTTCTCGCCAGCTCGACGATACTATCGTGGCATGAAACAAGCTGTTTCTGACACTGAGTATACAGGGTATTAGCTGGGGGCAACATGATGGCACCTCAAGAACGAAGAATTTATATAGGACAGGGGCAGTGAAGCCTGAAGGACTTCTTGTCCGAACAGCGTTGTCTTGAAAGCCAAAATTCGACTTACCACGCATTTAATGCCCCACTTCTGGCTACTTGTGTAACGGCGTCGCTTAGGCTCTTGCGCGGGTTTGTTTCACGAAAGGAAGGGAAGGAAGATATAGCCAGAGGAGTTATCATGCCAATCAAGCATTCAGAGAGAGGAAGCCGTTCCCGGTCACGATGAAAGGATCTCGCGGCCGTCGCGTGGCCGGCGGTCGGCCGTGTGACGCAGCCCACGACCCACTCTGCGACATTCGGTGGAGGTTGAGGATCCGGGGCGGGAGGGAGATTCCGCGCCGCAAATCTAAATATTTTGACTTCCGGGGTGCGACTGGGGTTGCGGGCCGCTGAAGAAGGCAAAATGACCAATCTGATCGGCAAAAGCAAACTTGCTTCGTCATCGGAAGGATCTCGGTTGGTCGGCGTCCTTTTTACCTTGGTAATTCGGTTCTCTTGTGTTGACATGATAAGACGGGCTACACACCAAGCGCCAATCGCCAAGCAAGGCAAAGAAGCCGCCTAGGTATGCATCAGTCGGCAAATCCACTGGCTGCTCGGCGAAATTCTGGGCCCTGAATGGCGAACCCCTTGGAATTGACGTGGGTCACGGACTCACGGGTAGGGGCACGGCTTCGACGCTAACGCATCGGCTGCTGGCATCGGGCCCCATCCCATCGTCGGCCACAGTTAACGTCCTAACAGACATAGCCTCGATGCCCACCGCTGGGACTACGGAACTACGCCGGGTGGCACGCATACCGGTAATGCTTCAACCTCCTGCATAGTGCGGCAAGATGCTGAGCTATCAGGACCCTCTACCGAGGTGCGACAACCTGGAAGTGCGTGGGGAGAGATGCGGAGAGGTGGGGGAAGCTATGCTCCTCCAAGCCTTGGGTTGCTGCTTTTGGTTGTGAAGAGGAGCAGGACGAGACACCAGTGGGCCCTTCACCAGGGGCACAGAGGTGCAACGCAAGAGCGATCTAAACTCGGTCCAGCCCTCCCCCCGGTCGGTCCCTTCGCTGTCATTCCCGTCCAACAAACCGCTTGCTCGGCAATTCAGCTGCAGCTTTCCACCGAGCCTCGTGCGCTACCTTACTTGACATCATTCAAAAGGTCGAACCTCCCCCGACCCTTCTCACGATGACGATTCACATCTCAACGACGGACCTCCTGCGCGCGGCAAAGCTTCCGGAAACAAGTTGGAACGCGTGAACACCAGCTTCTCACCAGCTACAACTCACTACCCCATTCGTCTTCTCCTCCGTCACTCAAGATGGTTTTCACCTCGCCCAACTGGGTTCCTCAATTGCCCATCGGTAGGATATTCTCTCTGGCCTCGGGCCTCGCCCAGCTTCTGCCGCGACCAGTGCTCACTGAAATGCCACAGATCCTCCGGATTCCATCACGATTCAAGAGTTTATGAGCAACGAGAAGTATGGTCGCTATGCTCTCAAGGACTCCAGAAGCCCGTACACCTGCGGCCTCACTGGCAAGTCATACTCGGCATCCGAGGTGAGGCAGCGAACAGACTGGTTGGCGCGAGGAATCTCCAAGAAGCTCGGATTCGGACCAAACGAGGAAACGGAGTGGGAGAAGGTCGTCTGCCTCTACTCTCTCAATACGGTGAGTAGCAGTGGCGCCCCAAACACCACGGTTACCCAAGAACTAAAAGAGTGCACAGATCGATTACATTCCCTTCACCCATGCGATTCACCGTTTGTCAGGCATCGTTACACCCGCCAGTGCAGCGTATTCAGTTCAAGAGTTGGAACATCAGCTGCGATCTTCCAATTCGAAGGCTCTCTTTACCTGCATTCCGTTGCTTGACACCGCACTCAAGGCCGCGAAGGCCGCCAACATCCCCAATGACCGCATCTTTCTGCTGTCGGTACCGGGCGCTGATCAAAAATCACCCTTTATCACTATCGATGACTTAATCCAAGAGGGCAAGTCTCTACCCGAGTTGGAACCTCTCAAGTGGGTCAAGGGACAGGGAGCACGCCAGGTTGCCTACCTGTGCTATTCCAGTGGTACTTCGGGCTTGCCTGTAAGCAACTCTGGTCTTTAGTGGCCATCGGGCCGTATTTGTAGGTTTGAAGGCTGACATGGCTCTAGAAAGCTGTGATGATCTCACACAGGAACGTCATCGCCAACGTCCTTCAATTCACAACATACGAAGCCGTTCCGAGGAGAGAGCTTGGGGTCAGGACACAAGCGACACTTGGTCTTCTTCCTCTTAGTCACATTTACGGCCTGGTTGTCATTGCTCACTGTGGCACTTGGCGTGGCGACGGCATCATTATTCTGCCCAAGTTCGAGCTGAAGCCGTTCCTCGATGCCGTAGAGCGCTTCAAGATTAACTGCCTCCCGGTCGTGAGTTTCTATGTTCGGCATTGCGAGCATTGCGCAGCCTCTAACATACACAGGTCCCACCAATCGTCATCCAAGTCATTCGCAACCAAGATCTCTGCAGCAAATATGACCTTACCAATGTGCGTTGGGTATACACAGGCGCAGCGCCGCTTGGCGCAGAGACAGTGGAGGATCTTAAGAAGCAATACCCAAAGTGGCGTGTGGGCCAAGGATACGGTAAGCCTTTTTTTCGCCATCAGTTGCTTGGCTATTGTACTAAGAAAATCTAGGCATGACCGAGACCAGCACGGTAGTCTGCACAACGTCCGAGATCGACATTGACGTCGGATCTTCGGGCTCTCTCGTTCCCGGTGCTCGCGGCAAGCTCGTCGACCCCACGACGGGCGCCGAGATCACGGAATACGAGACACCCGGCGAACTCCTGGTGCAATCACCCTCGGTCGTGCTGGGATACTTACACAACGAGAAGGCAGACGCCGAGACCTTTGTATGGCACGATGACGGCCGCTGGATCAAGACCGGCGATGAGGTTCTCGTCCGCAAGTCCGCCCAGGGCAACGAGCACCTCGTCATCGTCGACCGTATCAAGGAGCTCATCAAGGTCAAGGGCCACCAGGTTGCCCCGGCCGAGCTCGAGGCTCACCTGCTCACCCACCCGGCCGTGTCGGACACCGCGGTCATCCAGATCCCCGACGAGCGCGCCGGCGAGGTGCCAAAGGCTTACGTCGTCCGCGCCGCCGCCTACGCGTCGAAGCCTGAGGCCGAGCTGTCTGCTGATATTTGCAAGTACGTCGAGGAACACAAGGCACGGCACAAGTGGATCAAGGGCGGCGTAGAGTTTGTTGATATCATCCCCAAGAGCCCTAGTGGCAAGATCCTGCGCCGTCTGCTCCGCGACCGCGAAAAGGAGGCCAGAAGATCCAAGGGTGCCAAGCTTTGAGATATCTTTGCGCCTACTCCTATCCCTCATAAGGGCCAAATACTCCGTGTTGCATATCTATATACAACACACTTTCTGCATCTACTAATTTCTGGTATCCACTTTTGAGATACATGTACATACCCACGAATGTGTACGACAGGGCCGGTGTGTTTAGATGGATGGGATTGATGTGAGGCTAGGGATGAGATGATCGTTCGGGTGTGCTTCGTGCTACGGAAAGCTTATATTTAGCGTCTCCTGTCTATCAGAATGCTGTTTCTACTGAATGTGGGTTCACATAGGCGTTCCCGAAACGTATTACGTCTGAGCGCCCTGCTGTCTCTTTGTGAAAGTCCAACGCAGACTAAAAAGTGTCGAGGAAACAAAATGTGCCATTTGGCTCCCATCCTGAGTCACCTGAATGCGAACCCCAATTTTCGAGGGTTCAACCTAAATATTTCTCAGTTGTCTCTTTAAACTTCAATTAAACTTTCGAGAAGCACCATTTGTTTGTCATCTCAAACCTTGCCAGAGTCAACGATCCTGACTGGCCGGACCCACGCCAGTTTCCCAACGAGCCTCAATGCTTAGTCGTACTTGGCATCTCTTGGAGCACCGCGGCCCAGCGTCGCAGGAACTCAATCAAACAATGCTCTCTCGCCTCCGAGGGGAACTTGAACTTTTGGAATCCTCATGAAAGCATTTAAACGCGGCAAAACAATTCAGCCATTCGCTGCCATTCGCTGCGACCCGCGTGAGGATCAGGGAAGGAATCTGTAATTAGAGGGGTTTCCTCTCAGGTGGGAGACGACCCAACCCCCCCCGACGGCCGGGGGTCTGAGGCGAGAGGCCGAGCGGGTGCCTTGTGCCTTGCAGCGCAAAGCAGGGATAGACCTGGCGCCCGGGGTTGGTTTTGAGTTTGCAGGACGAGAACCTCAAACGCTCTGTGACACCTTTTTGCGCGAGGATGCCTCTGCTCCCGAGTCGGGAAACAAGCGCCAAGCGAAACAGCCGTCGAGCCTCACTGGCAACCTCTTACATAACCTGGCTGCGTGCTCCCAAAAAGACGCTTTTCTGGTGATCTTGCAACGACAAACCCAGTTCCATGTCGGACCAATTGACCAGTCATGTTGTTCACCCTCCTCCCCTGGCGTGTCGAAGATCAGAAGCCAAATCCGTGAGGCCCTTTGACTGCTCCTAAGTCCTCGACCAGCCAGAAAGGCAATCAGACCCAGACTGACTTATCCCAACTCTCACACACAACCGAGTCCAGGCGAAACAGAGACAACACCAGCTCATCCCCTCCCTTCTCTTCGTCCCTCGATTTGAGATGGGTCGCTTCGCAGATGGCCTGTATGCCTGGGTCACTGGCGAATCGACTCCTCTTCTTCCCCGTGTTTAGTCTGAAGACGGCTCGCTTGAACCAGGCAATCGACGCCGCAGAGCAAAAGACGGGATAGAGCCGGTCACGACACTGGCCATTGCTGAGCGAGAGAGGAGAACAAAAACCCGTCGTTGTCATCGGACGGGGAAACTCAAAATCCATGACCATGAGATGGTCGATGCTCATGCGGCAAATGGTTCTTTAAGATAAACCTAACCTGCCACCCCATCCTACGTTTAGGAATCTTTTCTTTTCCTTCCCTCTTTGATTTCGTCCCCGGATTTCTGGGAAATTCCGACTCGTCTACCAAGAGTCTTTCAAGACATTTGATCTTAGTGGGAGAGCGACGCGCCGCAGGCTTGGCATCTATTCCTTTCATTTCACCAACTATCGTCTTTAATATCCAATCTTCCTTTATTTTCCTCTTTTCTCTTCGCTTCGACAGGATGTTGACCGTCCGATCCCCCGTCGCCGCACTCGCGGTAGTCCTTGGCTTGCTGAGCGTCGTCCAGGGCGCACCTCAGCCCCAGAATAGGAAGGGAAATGGAAACCGGGGTGGGAACGGAAACGGTCGCGCCAACAGGCAGACAGCGCAGCAGCAGCTCGCGGCGGTTCCCCAGGGAATTTCGCAAGCGACTGACGGATCGATGATTCTGGACATGACCGCAAACGTCAAGTAAGCCCACCATTCATTACTCCTTCCTATCCTACACATCACTAACACGGACCCTTCCCAGCGGCCTTGACCTCCGCTTCAAGATCAGCGGCCCGGCCGACCAATTCACCGCCGCGTCCGGCGTCCCTGGCGCCGCCGCCCAACCAGGCGCCCAGGGCACCCTCGGCATCAACGTCCTCCTTCATGGCGATGGCGGCCAGTCCTTCAAGGATATGCCCAACCAAGGCGTCCAGAAGAACCTCGCCGGCGTTGTCGTCCTCGCCCCGGACCCGAACCTTTTCTGGGGCGGCGGCCAAGGGCTCCAGCGCACCGACGGCGTAGCCCACTCCCAGGCCGTCAACGACCTTATTCAAAAGACGCTCCCGCAAATGATGGCCTTTAACCAGTCCAACGTCTTCTTCACGGGAGTCTCGGGTGGCTCCCTCATGTTGTCCGGGTTCTTCATACCCGCCCACATACAGAATTACGCCGGCAACGGTGTCCTCCTCAACTGCGGCGCCTTGCCCCCACAAGTGGACGTCGTCGACGCCAAAGCCGTCGTGGGCACGAGGATCCACTTCCAGAGCACTCTCCAAGAGCTCTCCAACCTGCAGGAGGCGATCCCGGCGTCCGTAAAGGCCTACGAAAAGATCGCGACGGACGCCGGGCTCAGCACCGACCAGGTCAACGCCAGGCAGACGGTCAACAACTCGCCCAATGGCGGGCACTGCGCCTTTGACGAGCAGGGCTTTGTGTCCGGCATCCAACTGGTCGCGAACAACTACGCCACCATCATGCAGGGCGGCAACGGCGAGGTTCAGGGTATTGGAAACGTCTTGACTGGTGTCACGGGCAACGAGAATCTGCAGTTCACTGGGTCGAGCCGGGCAAGGCGAGGTGTGATCGGTTGAAACTATTGCAGGCGTCGTTTCGGGGAAGCATGATATGATACCACGCCTCTCAGGATACTTAGTACATATAATTTAGGTAAAAAAGAAAATGAGAATCAATTCCAGCTTTCATATCGCTTTTCCAAATAAAGAAAACCTTGGATTGGTGTGATAAATTTCAGGCTAAATGAGAGTTGAGTCAAAATGAAAACAGGAAACTATATCATCCAAGAACTGGGCTCTCTGGCCTGGGAGACCTGCGCTTCTCCGTCACTCCTTCAACATGCTGACTACCCGGAACCGAGAGCTCCTGCGCAGGCACCTCGTTCGCATTCATCTCCATCGCAGGACTCATATCTGGCGCAAACGTTGGATACGACCCTTCAAGTTCCATGACGATCCGATGCGGGATGCATTCCGAGTGTAGCTGCGCCTTTTCAAACTCTTCCTTGCCGTAGCCACCGCGACCACCATCGGGAACCAGAGACTCCTCCCTATCGGTCATCCGCTGCCTCCGTCGCCTCAGGAACCAGAGCGCACCGAGGAAGAGCATGATGGCTGTTATTACGCCCACGACCGGTCCCGCAATCCATGCCGAGTTGCCTGGTATAGGTCCTGTTTTTCTCTCTTTGATTAGCATCCTTTGTTAGATTGGACAGTTTCGAAAAATCAAACCTGAGCTTCCTGTCTCGGATGCCCCCGAAGTCTCTACTCCAGTAGCCCAAGATGCGGTCGGCCACGTGCCGCCTATTAGAGTGTTATCCGGCCACTTGACATCCGTCGCCGTTACCGTTTTGAGTGTTCCCGGTATCACCTTGTCGTTCAAATCTGTAATGTATCCGTAGTGGACGCGGGTCACGACGGTCAACAGGCTAGCTGGGTACGTCAGATCCCCGGCCATGTTGCTACAGAAGTTGAGATACTCTGAAAATCTCGGCTCGATTCTCTCTGTGATGTACTTTTCCGGGCTTGTGAATATGGCTTTTATGCAAGAAATACATTCCTTGTACTCTGTTCGAAAGTAGGAGTCTGCGTCACAGATCGATGGTTCCGTACCGACGGCCTGGATGTAAATGTATAGTTCATCTAGGAATCTCTGGTTAGTCGCGGGGACGCATTCCGCGATCGAAAGGCCGATGCTGGAGAAAGTGCATACTGCAACGGTTGAAGCAGGGTGTCGTTGGATCTGGGGTATAAAAGCTCCCTCCACTCCCGCCGGTGGCCGTCGCTAAGTCCGGTGGCTCCGTGATAGGAAGCCATAATGTAGTCCCAGGCCCCGTTGTTGGTGTTTCTGAAGATGACATCTCCAGTCGAGTGGAAACGTCAGATTAATCAGGTCATTGGTGTTTTTGCGTGATGTAGTATGAGGGTTTCTCCCCCGCAAAGGAACGTCAGACATGAAGGCGCTGACAGCGTCGAGGATATGCATGGTATTGGCTGACTTATATGGCCGAACGCCGCCATGTCATAGTGACGGTCCGCTGCAGCGATGTTTGCATCCTTCCATTGGTACGGGTATTAGCCGCGCAACGGGAGTCCGTGATCTCCAGTGCTGCCAGTCCGTAAGCATGATCCCGCAGGCCGAATGGAATGTTACGATTGTGATGAATATTAAGCGCCAATGAGAGCGTGCCACCATGCGGTGTAACTGGACTAGAGTATGTTCGTGGTGATGTCCGTACGAGGGTTCATCTTACGTGGCGTCTGGGGTCCTCTTCTCAGGACTCGTGGGAACGCAAGAACTGCCCATTCCTCAAAGTAAAATTGTGCCATTTGACGCTTTTGGTCGACTCATCTCGAAGTCTGCTGGACTTTGAGGACGACACGGGTAGCTGCGGTTTGTACGGAACGAAGACTAACCATCGATGCAAAGAGCGGCACAAAATCATTCACTTCTCCTCATGCTGCCCGGCATGCCACTTCGCTCCATCCCCCGTATGCTATTCCTCTCCTTCCTCGAGTGGCCATGTGGATACACATTGTTCAATCACGTCTTTCCGGCATCTCTGCAACGTGGCGGCTGTGCGGAGACAACATCTTCTGGGCAGCGATTTCGTTCTTGCTCATATCCGGCAATGGATTTGAGTATGAGCCCTCGAGTTCTACAGCAGGCTTTCGAGGTAGACATTCGGAATGAAGCTCTGCCTTGGTGTACTCGTCGTTTCCTTTGCTCCTTTCCTTGTGTCCGGCAATTAGCCGATTGGCTTTCCGTCTGAGACGTCTGAGGAACCAGAAGCAAGTGAGGAGAAATAAGACAATGATGCAGCTCATGACAGAACCGGCTATCCAGGCTATGGTAGTGACGCTGTACGTGACCGTCCGCACCTCGTTGCAGAACTCCAGATAATGGAGAAACTGGGGTTCAATGTATTCCTAAAATTACCCTCCCTACATTGACTTCGATACACAGTTGACACTTAAAGAGCGGTTGTCCAAAGCCGGAGCCGATGCTGCATATAAAGGGGTCTTTCTCGAGTTCTTGTATTGCAACGTAGGCGTTATCTTTACGGAGGCCGTCAGTCATAGAGCGCCAAGGCTCTGGATTACAAAATCACTCGAGATAGCGTAACCAGCAGCTGGAAGTACGCTCACGTCTCCACTGCCGGTAGTAGCAGGCTGTTCGGAAGCGGTTGAAGTCGTCAGATTGGTAGTGGCTCGAGGTACTTCACCAGCTACCGTTGGACTTACTAGCGTATCCGTCATCGTCGGTTCACTAGTAGAATCAATCGACTGTCTCTAAGGACCTTCTTGCAAAGATGAGCAAGGCTTTTACCTCTGTTTTGAGGGGAGCCTATGACAAAGTGCCAGTTGGGTAACGTATCTGGTACAGGCAATTGCCAACCAACTTATATGGTGTGCGCATTTCGAGCGGAGAGAAATCGCTTCACAGCTGCTTGTCTTCTGGCAAGTCTTCAGCTGCTCATGCAGGCTTGTTTGATGGCACATCAATATTCCAAGCCAATGGCCTCCTCCCATGCTGAAAATTCTGGGGGTGACCAGGCTGGAACGAGGGTTGAATATAAGCGGTGGCACCCGAAAGCAGCATCTTCTTGGTGATGGTTCTGGGTGATTAATAGGGGTGGTCGGCCCGGACTTAACTTACCGGATTTCAGTAAACATTAAAGAAGCCAAAATTGCTAACTAGATGCTCCCTAAGGACATTATTGGCGATGGTTCAGATTCGAGATGCACTTTGCATGCTTCTGCAGCCTGGTGTTGTCTGGCAGCTTCAGGACTAATTTGGCCGAATTTAGATCAGGCTACGGCACTTCAGACACTCACAGGTCCGGTGTAGTCATTCAATGCAGCTCAAAGTTTCTGGCAACTATCTTCTTGTTTGACGCAGTCTGTCAAGTGTCTACCCTCTAAGTTTGACAAGCTGCTGTAACGGGGATTTATCCGCTACCTGATCCAATCTCCACAATCGATGTACCACTTCAAAGTCACAGCCATATATTCAGCCAAAATAGTGCAGCTGGCCGTTCTTGCGACAATAATCGTACACCTTCGTAGTCCACTCCGCATTCTGATGTTGTTGCTGTTCGTGGACCCATTTCTTCGTCATGCCCTCATGCATCAGAATCATCTCTCCAAGCCGAGCTCTAGAGAGCATCACGCACAACCGCTTCGGGTCGTCGAGGAATCCAGCACACCTCGTCCTTACCGTGTCCACAAACACAAAATCTGCCTCATGTCCTTGGGCAGAGTCTACCGTGCGGGCCTCCAGAGCGTTGAATCGTAGCTCTATGTCCAGTCTTCCGCGGAAGTGAGGCGGGAGGACTTTGATAAACTGTTTGTATCGGACCAAAGCAGCTTTGTACGGCGTGATGATCAAAATCCGTCCGGGTTGGTCAGGTTTGCTAACCTGTCTGAACTCGGTGTTTCTGAGCAGCTCGTAACAGCGTTGCTTAATGAAGTTCTCGTGAACCGGGTTGTAGAAGCTCGATCTGTCTCTCATTTCCCTGGAATATCGTAGGTTCAGGAGTATTCGAGGCACAACGCACTCCTGGCCCCTAGTGAATTGTCCGAGCCATCGCTGCATGTGACGTACTGGGTCTGAAAAACGCTCAGCCTCGGGTATTCCTGAGGTCAGTTGCCCATCGTAGAACAACTCTGACGCCAAGACCTGTAGGTCTCCGTACATTCCTGGGTGCCATTAGTGGGGTCATCATGTGAAGATCGGAAGAATATAGGTAATGCAAGACTTACGGTGGCTGATGAGCAATTTGCTCTTCAAAGCCCCGGCGAGATCCGCTCTTTCCATGGTGCTTATCATGAGTTGTTTTGCATAAACGTTCTCCTTCTCAGTGCCCTTGCCGCCCTCAACGAAGGGTCTGGTTTGTCGGGTATCGCCGGTAAGGATGAACGCACAAGGCGAGTACAATGCAATCGGGATTAGAGCTGTGAGCTCTCTGGCATGTGCGGCTTCGTCCAGGAACACGATATCTGGCGTGAATTTCTTGCTGAGGTATCCAGAGGCTGCAACGGGGGTTGTCGCGATGAAGTCGGCATCTTGAATCACGGAGAAATAGAGTCCAGCCACACGAGACTTCAGCTCTCTGGCCGTTCTTTTGGTTTTGATCGCACCCTTTTCGAGCTTTTCGAGTATCTTCGTCAACGACTTGTGTTGGCTTCGGTCAGCACCGTACCTTTCCCAGGCAGCCTCATCCAGGGTTGGCGCTCGATCGCCACGGTTTTCATTTGGCGAATGGGTGCGGTGTGATAGAGCGATAGAAGCACGGGCTTGTCTGAGAAATCCAGCGGTAAAATCAGGTTCGTCATCCTCAGTTTTTAGGGGTGCTGGGTGAAGCTTTGTACTGTTTCGCATCTCGCGAGCGCAACCTCGAACCCGAATGACCGACTTCTTGATTCTGGCGTCCTTCAAGGTTGCATACACTCTGTCGGCTGCGTCATCGCAGGGATAATTGACATCAAGGAGATAAAGAACTTTGACCGGCTTGCATACTTTCTTCCCATCATCGCGCACCACGTTGAGCGATTGAGATACAGCCATGGCAGAGATGAAGGCGTTCAGTGCCGTCTTTCCTGCCCCGGGGCACCCAAGAATTATTGCAAGTCCCGCTGGGATTCGACGAAGTTGCTCGTAAACGTTCTTGTGGTCTCTGTTCAGTCGACTATAAGCCGACTGCAGGAACGCGTTCGAATGGCTAGCAGGGTTGTCCATGTGTGGAATTTTGTCGAACATGTTGACGTAGAAGCTTGGCTCTTTCCGAAAATCCAGCAAGTACTCAAAGGTCCCAGTTGTGTTTTCCGACAATGCGTTTGCTTCTTTCTTCGGTTGAGTCAAGATGCTCAATGCCATCAGTTCAGCTTCGTACGTGACAGGGTTCTGATCAACCCGGAGATTGATCTCAGTGGCATTCTGAAGATTGAGAGGTGGTTGCCCAAGACTGTAATCCATATTCTGGCTGACCGCGATCGACAAGAGTGGGTGATACTGTTCCTTCGTGGCAGGGTCGGCGACGTAGTCCATAGTGACATTGAATGCCGCAAGCAAGGAATATTGGGACATCTCCAAAATTGTCTCGTAAGGGTTGGGAATTCGTTGTGCTGGAAGAGTGCCGGGGTTGTACTGTTTACCCTTGCAAACAAAATCTCGTTTGAAAGAGATCTTGCACATCTCGCCCTCGTCAGGGAAATGCCTTTCCGGGGTTGAAGGCAACTCAACGAGGACCATCCACTGCTTCTGTAAATCCGACGAGATGAGGGAATATGGTCCCGGTACAGGAGCAATAACCCAGGCGTATCTCGTCGTAGGTGCTTCGTTGAAACGCTTGATGGCCGAGGCCTCGTTTGCCATCTCCGTTATCGTGCCTTCGCGATGGACACGAGCGAACTCGTCTTTGCTATTGAAAGAGTGGACCATTCGACGGCCGCAGTCTCTGTCAGATAGCTCCAGCTGGAACAATTCGTTTCAGCATGCCAAAGATCAGCATAGGATAGAGAGGGAAGACTTACGATTTGCTGCAGCGTGGGGGACGTGTGACCGTCTTTGCCGACGAAGGCAGTGTCTCTCATGGTTTGCTCGAGCTCATTGTGGCCGAGGGACGCTTGAAAATCGTCGATTGGGCCGTAGCCGACGTTCCAGGTCGTGAAGAGCATCTAGTTGCCGTTAACGCAAGTTTTCAAACAGCGACGCAATAATTGAAATAACATGCCTTTGGATGCCGAGCTAAACAAAGCGCGACTGCGTGCGTCCTAAACGTTGCCAAGTCGACGCCCAAGCCGATGTCCTGGGATCACAATCAAAGCATCCGGGAAGTAAGAGGCGGTAGGTTGAGTGTTCTCTTTACGTAGCCTTCTGTGGCTATTGTGAATGAATGGAGGTCCGCGGGAGGTTTTCGTACAAGATGGAAGGACCCAGTTGAGTGGACAGAGAGGAAAGAGTAGACCGCGGCGAGATAACGGGCTGAAGATGGTCGCGACGACTCTGGAAGAGGCGGGAAGTCGTGACCAGAAGATCAGGTCGTGGGCAGACTTTTGGTAAATGTTTTCAAGTGAAGAGAGGAAGGTTGGAAGTAATTTGTCTTGGTGAAAAGTGCAGAAAGGTGCCACCGGCTTCGTAAAAGACGGGGAGGCAAGAGCAAACGTGAGGTTGATGCTGGGTCCACCTTCCGCAAGTGATTCAGCGATAATTCGCCTCGTATGAAAACACCTGCGATTTGTGATTGTCGATGTTTCGACAGGTACTATGTAAAGGAATACGCAACCAAGGGAAGCGTTCTACGCTGATCTGAGGAACAATGTCAGCAGTGCTGGAGGGGGACAGCTGGATAACAGTATGTGCCTGGCAAGTGCAACGCAAGGAGACTTGGACGATATGTATCGCGGTCAGACACAGGCAACGATTTCGGAGGTAATACTCCTTCAGCTAGATACATGCCTGTCAAAAATCTTGGTACAGGCCAAGAGGAGAGAGGTGAGTGTTTTTTGAATGCAAGGGCCAGTCTCTGGCCGGCAGAAGCATCGATCATCATCCCGAAGTAAGCTGGCTTTGGGCTTCTGTTTGGTAAGTTGATTCAACTCGACTATGAGAGACAGGAACGTCAAGTTAAAATCATCCTCAAAAATTGCTTGGTTCAAAATAAGCAAGTCTCGTGAGTGACCTGGTGGCAAAAGATAGACAGATACAACCCAACTTCTCAGATACCCAGGTCGTGACTGTTTGAGTAACACGAATTGTTAAGTAAGACATGATATGATGGCCTACATGCTGTCTTTTCTCACTTTGCTATGAGACAGACTGTAGCGAGGTGGATAGTTGGAACTGAAGACGATAAAAATGCATGGCAATTATGAGAAGGAGATGAGGTGCTTCATCGTCGTGCCTTTAATACATCCGGAAAACATCTTGGTCCTCCCGAATGCCCTCTTTAGCGATACGAGTGTCTGTTCATGTGGTATGCTCAATCGCTCTGTCACTTGGTTGATCACGTCGTGTCGTTGAAATCGGATATGTGGATGTATACGGAGTTTTCCGAGGTTGGCAATTTCGACGTCGGCACCTTGTCTCGGTGAAGCAGACTCTGATGGAGCCACCGAGACCAAATTGACCATCGAAAGAGACAAGCTCACCTTCGATATTAGTCAACTTCACATATCGAATGCCAAGCATGTCTTGAAGTTTCCGACGGTCGCTCGTCCTGGTTGAACAAAATGATTGCCCTTGCCATATCGTAGCCATCTCATCGTCGGCGGAAGGCAACCGCTGGGCCGGGTCTCGTGGGCTTATTTTAGGCCAAGACCTTGTCGCAGAATTAGCACCAATTCGCGCCTGCAGGATCTGATCCACCACGACAAGGGTCCAACAGACACCAGGAGCAGGTCCCTGAATGCTTTCCCCAGTGCCCAGCCAGGAGCAAGTTCAGCCGGAGGCAAGGGTAATGCTCTCGGTCGCTGGAACACAACGCAGCACGCCGAACTGCGGCACTAGCTTCGTATTATGTCGTCCAATGCCGCTTCGGGCACGATCAAAATTCCCTTAACCTCGATAGAGAGCATTGGAGGATGAAACCTGTCAAGGTACAGACGCCCGACGTCAATGCGAGTGATTTGTGTGCGGACTCTGGCGCCGGCACGTCGGTTTGACGGATTGTGATCATCTCCGCTGGCAGTCCTTGCCGACCTGAAAGTTCCTAACGGTGATGGAGATCTACCCCACCAGCTAAGGGCTTTTCCCATTCCTTATGACCTAGCAAACAGGGGTAGGCGGCAGAAGGCAAGCCCCCCGTCGCTGGCCGAGGGAACAGGGACCCGCGGTGGCGGCGAAACGGCGCGAATGAGGGAGCGTAGGAGCGTTTTCGTCCAGAAAATGGGCCCAGCTTCTTATGGATTGTCGCTGCTGACTTTCGAGTTCCCTGCGAGCGCTGCGACCAAGACACGGAGACACCAAGGGTCGTAGAGAGGCCGTGTGGCGGGGCAGCGAAGCTTTACGAGAACACGATTGGTCTGTTCCGGCCAAAGCGCCGGTACTGCGGGGCCAAATTTTGATAGCGAGCGACCTGCACGTGGGCGTAATTTTGGTCGAGTTCCGGTATTTCCATAGGTACTCCGTCAGCCACCCGACGTAAGTGTTCCAAGGTTCCATACCTTTGCCCGGTTGAGCCACAGGCGAACCCAGGTACTCCCTTAATCTGCAGGCAAACGTGGAGGCGGGAGGCAACCCAGTCCAACCTTCCTTGGTCCACTTCAAGTCTCCCCCCGTACTCCCGTACTCCCGTACTACCATACTCTCCTGCGCCCGCTCGCTGAGCGCACCTGCCTCTGGGTGAGGCTGAACCACTACTGTCACGGCCTAATTAATCCAACTGCCCCCATTACGGTGCTGACTTCAACTGCAATTCATCCGCTTCCTCTCTCGTGGGCTCATCGCCATCACGGCGACCGCTCGTCCACCCACAACGTCGTCTCAATAGAACATACCATCTGGACTACCTTTACCCTCAAATCGCAGGCGAGGCAGCGTCGATACCTCGCCTTCTCACTTCGCACCCGCCGCCGTCGTCGTCATCCGAGTGTCTCAGGTCTTTTGGGGGGAGGCTCATGTGGTGCAGCGAGTGCTGAGCTGATTCGTGGTGCCGAAATTGGCTCCTTCAGCAGCCTCTTCTGAGGGCATTACTGCCCAATCAGACCTTGGTGAATCTGACGACAATCCATCATTTTTACAACGCTCGATTGACGTGGACCGACTGAAGCTAAAACGAGAGATGTTCTCCCTCACCAACCGCGCGACACTGGAGCACCGCTCATTATCAGGAGGGGGAATTGCTGGCGTCGTTATCGGTGTCATTGTCGCCGTCTTTCTTGTTGGTGTTTGCGCCTACCCATTCATCGTGCGAAAGAGGAGAGCTAGGAAACATGGATTACCCGAACGTCTCGACACGGAAACGGCCTTCGTACCCGGACCTATGGGTCCTTCAGGACAGGTCCCGGCGCCGGGACCCGGGCCCGGACTCAACAGCCGTCTTTCTTCCAAAGATTCATTTGGACACAAGGACGACACGTTACGGGGCACAGAGAGACAGTCTACCAAGGACACGACCTCGTCATCTCACAATGGCATCTATCGCCCTCCCAGCGATGAGCTGAGCAGCCAGCACCAGCGTGGCTTCACCGGCGACAGTACTCATCCATCGAGTGTTACGACGAGGCGTGGCACGACGGAATACTCTTTCGGACATGCGCCTACATGGAATAGCGAGTCGTCCTATCCATGGACCCCCGTGGGTGTTGAGCTGGTTGCTACTCGAGCCGATGGCATGGACTATACCCAAGCCAATCATGGACACAGCGCGACCTACTACAGTCCAACTATTCCTTCCGAGGCCTTTGGTATGGTCACGCCGCCACCAACCGATGAACCCCAGACTCGCGCGGCACTCCCTGGGCGCTCAAGCTCTCGAAGTTCGTTCAAGCTCAACCTGGCGAGTATGATGCGCCGCATGAGCACCAAGGACTCCGCAAATGTCCGCTCAAAGGGTCAACTATCACAACCGTCACAGCCTGTTCTTAGCGAAACCCTTTCGGACTCTCCCACCGAATTTACCGGTCCATCGTTCGGAGCCGCTCAGCTGGACTCGCCTATTCACCTCCCTGTCAGCCCCATGTCAGAGGCAGAAGATCCTGGGCACGCTTCGGAGCTGGAAAAGAAAGGAGCAGCCAAAACGACTGAATCCCCGCCAATTTTGCCTCCTGTTGTACCCGCTCCTGGAACTGTGAACCCAATGGACATCATGGCACCATCCAATCCGACAGAACACAATTGGAATACGAACCAACAGCTGTTCAATATCGCGCACCCGCCCCCTAAACCACCTTTCGACACTCCGAAGCCAACATCAGAACCGCCGCAAGCACCGCAAGCTCTTACACCACAAACTCCGGAACGACCATTCGAGGAACAGGAACAGTATCTCCTTCAGCAGCAGCAGCAACAAGAACTCCTACGCCAGCAGCAAGAAGCAAATCGACCACCAAAGTTATACACGAACGGACAATCCCAGGCGACCAACTGGAACCTGGTAAATGGCAGCCAGGCAAACGGCGCTATCCAAGAAGTGCATATGAACGATGCCGCGCAACCAGCTGACCCCACCCATCTCATGCCTGATCAACACAATCAACATAACCAGCACTTCCTCGATGGGGAAATGACCGACCCATCTGACCACTCCCCGCCGGTAGTTGGGCAAGCCAGCTCCGGACCGTCTTATCAAAGCACGCCGAACACCCAAATCGATAGCAGCCCGTCCCCTCGATCAGAAGGCAGCTCGGATATCCGTAATAGCACATCACCGTATCCAGGGATGCAGCCGTCCCCTAGGACTTTTATTTGTGACGAATGTGGCAGATTTTTCGACCAAGTTCACAAGCTAAAGTAAGTTGGGATGTATAGGAATCCCGTTGCAGTGATACTGATAGATTTTAGTCACCACAAACGATATCACGAGAGACCTCATGAATGCGCACATCCAAATTGCGGCAAGAGGTTTGGCACAAAAACGCATTTGGATCGTCACATTAACGATAAACATAAGAAGACGAAGAAGTTCCACTGCACTGTCAGTACCTGCCCCTATTCGAAGGCGGGAGGCAAGTCATTTCCAAGAAAAGACAACTGGAGACGGCACATGATGAATATCCATCAAGTCACACCAATGGGCGACCCAGAACCCGACATTGTCGACGAGAATATGGGAGGAACCTAGGGTGGTGTGCGAATGATTTCTTCCTAGACGCAAGAACAGTGCCACCGATCCAGTGGGGAAAGGGCCAACATGGCCCAAACGTACGAGGCAACGCTTGGGAAGTGGCCTGTCAAAATGACAGGCAAGTGACTTCCAAACGACTCCCGCCTAAGCTATCTTCGAGCGTGTCGTAGGACTGGAATTGAGATCAAATGGGTCGATCGTGAGACGCGGCACCCTCCGATAGAACTCCGTTCGTATCAGATCTAGCGACGCTCAGGGGTCTTATTCGTTTTATTGTTGCCAGTGGGCAATATGTGATATACAGCACGGTTGCCTCAGCGCATGGAGTAAAAAGGGGGGCAACACATGTACATTCTTTATCGGGTGCTGCCATAGCAGCAGTCGGGCGTTTGGAGGCTCGCGGAGAGGCCGCCAGGGTACATACTGTAGAAAAAGGCCAAAAAGCATCACGGGAGGGCGTGTGCTATGGAAATTTAACTCAAGTCTTTGATTAAGGATCTTACTAGCTTCTTCTGCTGATCGACTGTGAGGCCGCGCTCGTCTGTTTCCTGAATAGCCCTTCCCACCGCGATGACGATCTTGATGCTCTCGCTGTTGACCCAAATCTTGCCATTTCGACCGACGGCCGTCTCGAACGCCGCACCAGTGGCACCGAGTTCTTCCAGCACAACAAGATCCGTCGTCTTCGGCATGAGCAGACGCCGTGACATGCCTAGTGAGATGTCGAAGAGCATGCCGCCCACGAGGGGGCCCAGGCCGTCGCTCTTGCCAGTTGATTGGTATACGCATTCGAGCTCGGGGTCCATATGCTTGTTTGACAGCGTGACGCGGGCGTAGACGAGGGCGCCGGCCGCTAATTGGGGACGAGTCTTCTTCGACGCGCCCTCGAAGGAGAGTTGGGGCAGCATTGCCGGTGTTGAATAATCGGCCAGGAGGACGTAGTAGAGTTCGGCGGCGGTCCGCTGGACGGTGCCGATGACGAGGTCGCCGACGGCGGGTATGTACTGTTGATGATTGTTAACTACATTTTGTCTCCAATTTCGTAAAGAAAAAAAAAATCTGCCATTTATGGGATTCTCGTACCCGTCCACTTGTCTGCTCAACCCATATCGAGTTTTTCTTGCGATCGGAGACGAGCTTGCCGGCGATGGTGGGCACTATTTGCCTGGGAGGAACATGTCGGAGACCAGGACCGAGTCGCAATGGAAGTTTCTGATGCGAGGGGATGAGAGATTCGTCAATCTCGTCACCGGGGAGGACGTAAGGGCCGACGGAAGCCATCGCGTGTTTCGTGTGCGTCAGGAATGATTGCGATGCTGAACTGAAATGGTCGAGGGGATAGCAGACGCCAAGTACTTTACTTTCCGCCTTTTGCGCCTCTCTCTCTGCCACTATTCGATTCAGCCTTGCGGCAACAACTTAAGGTAGATACTGAATATAGAAAGCTTTGGCGGGGCTCCTTTGTGTGCCCAGCGAATTGGATTTGATTGGGACGGACGGGGGTAGGTGGAGAATTAATGCCCCACTGGAACGACAGCGAACGTGGGAATTTTTTTTTCCCTTGCCCAAAATTTCCAGTTGGCCTTTGAACCCCCACCATCCACCACCATTGAAAACATTCCCTCCCGAGATCTCGAAAGGAGCCCGCGGTACCAAATTTAATAATCAGCCCTTGCTTCTCGACTCCCTGTACAATCTCCCCCCACGACGAATACACATAGCCACACGCACACGTCTTCCGGACGCAACACATAGAAATGGCTACGAACGGTGACTCGCGGCCCGCGCCGGGCGACCGCACCGTCATTGGTATTACCTTTGGCAACTCCAACAGCTCCATCGCATACACCAAGGACGACAAGGCCGAGGTTATGGCCAACGAGGACGGAGGTGAGTTTCTTCTCCCCGGGGAAACATGGCTTTTAGTATAGTCTTTCGCAGAGGATCAAACCCGCTGACAATGCGAAATTCTGCCAGATCGTCAGATTCCCACCATCCTCTCCTACGTTGACGGAGACGAGTACTACGGACAGCAGGCCAAGGCCTTCCTCATCCGGAATCCCACCAACACGATCGCATACTTCAAGGAATTCCTCGGTCAGGAGTACGATTCACTTCTCCATGAACTTTCCCCTTTCTGCCCTCCTGGCATCTAAACTGACATGAACCCGCCACACAGCTTCAAGTCCATCGACCCCACCCACAACCACGCCTCTGCTCATCCTCAGGATATGAGCGGCACCGTCTCCTTTTCAGTGAAGGACAAGGAGGATGCCGAGGAGCCCTCTAACGTTTCCGTTCACGAGGCCGCCACGCGCTATATCCGTCGCCTCGTCAGCTCCGCCAGCGACTACCTTGGCCAGAAGGTCACCTCCGCCGTCATCACCGTCCCCACCAACTTCACCGAGAAGCAGAAGGAGGCCCTCCTCAAGGCCGCTAAGGACGCCGGCCTGGAGATCCTCCAGGTCATCTCCGACCCCATCGCCGCCGTCCTCGCCTACGACGCCCGCCCCGAGGCCGTCATTGAGGACAAGATTGTCGTCGTCGCCGATCTTGGCGGCACCCGCTCCGACGTGGCCGTCGTCGCTTCCCGCGGCGGCATGTACACCGTCCTCGCCACCGCTCACGACTACGAGTTCTCCGGCTCCCACCTCGACCAGGTCTTGATCGACTACTTCGCCAAGGAGTTCATCAAGAAGCACACCACCGACCCCCGCGAGAACGCCCGCTCCCTGGCCAAGCTGAGGGCCGAGTCCGAGTCCACCAAGAGGGCCCTGTCCCTGAGCAACAACGCCAGCTTCAGCATTGAGTCCCTGGCTGACGGTATCGATTTCCAGTCCACCATCAACCGGTTACGCTACGAGATGGTTGCCCGCAAGGTCTTTGACGGCTTCAACCGCCTTGTCGAGGGCGTCGTCAAGAAGGCCGAGCTCGACGTTCTCGACATTGACGAGGTCATTGTCGCCGGCGGCACCGCCCACACCCCCCGCATCGCCGCCAACTTTGCCGGCCTCTTCCCCGAGTCCACAAAGGTTATCGCGCCCTCCACCGTCGCCAACGCCATCAACCCCTCCGAGCTCCTCGCCCGCGGTGCCGCCCTCCAGGCGTCCCTGATCCAGGAGTACGAGGCCGACGACATTGACCAGAGCACCCACGCCGCCGTCACTACCGTCAAGCACATTGCCAACGCCATCGGCGTCGTTGGCGCAAACGAAGAATTTGTCCCCGTGGTCCCTGCTGAGACCGCCGTCCCTGCCCGCCGCACCATCAAGATTGCTGGTCCCAAGGAGGGTGGCGATGTCCTCGTTCGCATCGTCGAGGGCGGCGCCCACATCAAGGTCACCAAGCCCGAGCCCAAGGCTAAGCCCGAGACTAACGGCGACGACGAGGACGACTCGGATTTCTCCGACGAGGAGGAGGAGGACATCCGTGAGAAGGTCTGGAAGGTCGGGCCTACCCTCGCCGAGGCCGCCGTCCGCGGCGTCGGCAAGGGCTCCAAGGTCGAGGTCACCATCAACGTCGCCGCCGACCTTGGCGTCACGATAACGGCGAGAGAGGTTGGCGGTAAGGGTGGTGTCCGCGGCACCATTAGCGCTCCTTGAAGTGTCTCTCTTCATCTAGAGAGACAGTAGAGTTGTTTTTTCCCACGACTTGCCTGTAAAGAGAAGGTGCGCCACTTGCGCACCGGCCTGGCGTAAAAGGAGAGTGATTAGGGACCGGGGGGGTTAAGGATGAGCCTTTTTTTCCCAGTGCTTTTCCTAAAAAGCACTTTCCCCCCACTCTCGATAGACATGGAATCTAAGGTGGTCCGGGAAGGGCAGTGGAAATGGATGAATCAAAACGGAAACGACCCGGAACATGGAGAGCCAAAAAGATGGGTTTCGAATAGCATGAGAAGGTGGTTGATAGACAGCGAGCTTTTTTGTGGACGAGTTTAGTCTAGGCAAAGACAAGACGCAGACGAAAATGTTTGTAATGAGCTTCGCTTTCCCCTGATGCTGCGATGGAATGGTAGGAAATCTGATTCCATAACATAGCAAGATGTCAAGTGTGGTGATGATTCAAGTTGGTATGCCGCGTACAAAAACCAAAGGAAGATCGATGCGTGAACAAAAGCTCATAGACTGATTATCGAAACAAAACAAGGGGGGGAGGGATTGCCTATGCAAAAATGTACGCTTGCCCGTCAACACCTTGCTACAAAGTCGGGAAGAAAAAAAACCAAGCAAAAGGTCACCCTACAATCATCACACTGCACTCTTCTTTTTCTAAGTGACAGCACCAGGTAATCTCCACGCGACTAGATCGTCGCGGACATCGAACTCCTCCAGCTCCCTGTTCCTCCTCGAGCTCTCGCGTCCGCGATCACTGCTGCCCATCGTCGGCGCCAGGCTCACCATGCTGCCGCTACGGCTCCGCGAGCGTCCGTAGTCACGCGCGCTGATTTCACCACCGCCGCCGCCGCCGTTACCACCTCCGAGACGCTGGTCGTCGTCCCGACCCCTAGTTCGACTGTGCGAGCCGCGACGAGCCACATTACTCGCGCCAGCGGTGCTGCTCGCCGCGTCACCACGGCCCGTAACAATGGTGGCCATGCTCTTAACGCTCCTCAAGCTCCTCATGCTCTTATCGCTGGAGCCACTGTTGTTGCGGGAGTGGTGGCGGTGGCGGTTGTGCAAGCGGTGCAGGTGCAGGTGATCCTGCTGAGGCGGGTCCAGCTGCTGTTGCTGCTTCCGCTCTAACTTGCGAAAGTCTGAGGGCCGGAGTGTGCCATTCATGCCGCCTTCATCGGAGCTCAGAGAGCCGCCGTTGTCCAGATCAAAGGTTGTCGTCTTCTTGCCGGTGCGTCCGGTGCGTCCAGATTGCCAGCCGTCGCCGCCGGAAAAGATGTCTTCGATGCACTGGTCGGCGGGAAGCTCGCCAGGTTGGCAGGACCAGGAGGCTGCCAGGGCGCGGCGGTACATGTCCTGCACTTCGGAAGCGTCTCTGGATTTTGCCATTGTAGGGAGCTCTGGAGAAGGAGTCAGTATTTGATAGGCCGCCAAAAGGCGCAGGACTATGAGAGAGGGGAAACCTCACGTCCAGCGTCATCTTGCTCGACCGATTCGCCCGCCATGATACCGGCAATCCCGCCAAATACGGGTGCAGTCTTCAAGGGAGGCGCAGAATAGTTCTTGTCGCCGTCGAGCTGCAACATCAAAATGCCGATTTTTAATGTACTATTGATCTTGCTTTCTTGCATGAGATAACGCCTCACGATACCATCCTCGACGTCGGGATCGTCCAGGACCGGTGCCCTCGTCGACATTGGGCTCTGACTGGTACCGCTGCTTCGCTTGCGCGAGTGACCGCGGTCGAAGCTGGCGCTTTCGCGAGTGAGGCCATCGCTTTCTTCTACGTACTCGCTGAGGTTGAGCTTGACGATACCGAGCGAAATTTTTTCCTCCCTGCCGCTGCCCGGAAACTGTTGCAGGACCTCAAACTCGACGGGGCACTCGGTCAGGTTGTTGTTCTTGTCGATGCTGATCCGGATATGGCTGACCACCTTAGAGTAGTTGTACTCAACCTTGTGGTTGGAGATCGGGCACTGCGGGGTGCGGCCGCGGTGCTCAGCGTGGATGGAGTGTGCGAGATTCCATTTCACTATTGATGTCCCGGAAACCAACGGGACGTTGTTCAAATCATAGACCTGGAGTTGTCAGTACGATCGGTTCAAATATGTGCACTGTTTTGCTAGGAGGGGCTCACACCTTTAGATGTAGCTCAAACTTTGGCTGCGTCAGAAAACGTTAGCTCAAGCCAATTCGCTGAATGGCCAACATCAACACCGCACATCCTCCACATTTGGGGATTGAGTTTCCCACGGCAGTATGGTGGGCGCGGTGAGGAGGCATTACCTTTCTGTTCTTATTGACTGTGGGCAGGAAGCCCCCGTTAGCCATGCTCTTGAGGGGACTCATTATGATCGAGTGATTCGCTCAGTGCTGGTGGTAATGATGGAGACAGAGGCAGAAGCAAAACCAGGCGGGGACTGAAAAGCCCCGGGCCCCAACAAGACGTGCTTTCAAGGGAGAGACATGGGAATGGTGAGGTCGTTGATTAGATGGTGAAGGTGAATAGGGCTGGATGCAAAAGAAAAGGCCACCGAGCTGTCTCTGGAGTTGTCTCAGTGAGAACTCAGCCTCATGAGAGGTACGGGTGAGCAGAGGGCTAGGCAACCCACGTGGTCCCAAGGAATGTGTGTTCAGGTGAAATAAAGAGAATACAACAAGGACACCAACGCCGGAAAAATCAGCTCGACATGGGACGGAAGATGGAGAAGATCGAGTCGGAGAAAGGAGCAAATAGAGGCTTACTTAAGGAGGCCATGTTTCATGAAGGCATGGCTGGCTGGGTTCCGTCGGGCCAACAGGTCAATAATACCTGCTACCTCAGGTGAGGACCGCGCGTTTTCGGAGGTAGGTACCGTAGGTCGGTATGAGTGCGCGGGCAGGTAGAGTGTGCAAGGGCAGGCAAAGCACACGCAGGCAGTGGTGCAGACGCAGACGCGCAGGAGAGTCCAACAACACGAAGAGACTTGTGCCTTCCGTCAGCGACGCTCGGTTTCGGGACAGCCGGATAATACGGTGCTAGAGAAGCTGAGAGAGGGGCAGAATTGCAACACGGCTAATAGATAACGGGATGCTGGTGCCGTGACCCTGAGTCTTTCTGACTGTCCGCTGAAGGAAAGGCTCGAGATTGCATGTGTGGTCAGCGACCAATCGCCATCTATCTGACTGTGCGTTCGTCCGTCCGCGGGCGTCGATAGTAGAATGGAAGCTGCGAGTGAGCGCGAAGGTAGTAGATGCGCAGGGGGTGGTCAGGAATTCGGGGGTTCCAGTACTCCAAGGCGGAATGACTCAGCAAACAGGGATTCGCTGGGTGTTGGAGATTTCCAAGACTGGGACAGTTTCTCGGCGAAGATGGTTCAGAGTTAAATGGCTTTAGAACAAGCCGTGTTCGTGTGTCGTTGCTCTCTCTTTTGATGATGAAAGAAGAGAGTTTGACTTTGGACAGGGTCGAGCGAATACGTAACTCTGTTAGGTTGTGCTAGGAGTGCCACTGCCCCGGCGTCCTGGGCGTACCGGAACCGCAGTAGCGGCATGTGTCTGGCCCGAGTTCTTTAATAAGCCACATTTGGATTCTCGGGTTCTATTAACCATTACATTAGCCTGCGCCACACCACAAACCCATAATTAGTACCTTCCTTACCTTACCTCATCAACAGTCAGTATAGGCATTCGTGACAAGTTGTCTGGGGACGCCTTTCGAGGTCGATGACTTAAAGGTGATCAATGTCCCCATATACATTTGCTTTGTTGTCGCTGCGAGCCTTATCCTGTCGTGCCGTCCCAGGCCTCTGTAAAGGAGGTTCGACGGCCTCGTCGTGTGTACGTGAGCATATATTGTCGCCGAAGCATAATGGCGTCGAAACTTGTCCGTCCAGGATCGATATTAAAGGAGGCCCACGATAAGGTACTGCCTCTGCTCAACCAAATCACCGTTTCCTAATGCTCCATTCCGCCAGAATACCTCTGCGATATGCATGCCTTTTCCAGATACATGTACTTGAGCGACTCGCCCCGTCTCACCAATTTTCAGTGGTTTTTTCCCTTTCCTTTCTGGCAGTGGGTTGATGGACTCGGAGCCCATATAATCGAACCTTTAATGTACGAGGGTCTAAATCAATCCAGTCCACCTATAAACGCTTGTTGAACCCAGTCTACCCCTGACCTCGCGATGCCAGTCAGAAGTGTGAACCACATATCAAGCTTTCCCCAGTCCACTCTCTAGCCGTGCCGTTATTACGGCTATCACCGATTGACCATCGATTTCTCCGCGTACACTGGATTCAAGTCAATGTCAACCGTACCTAGACTGCAAACCAGAGAGGGACCCTTCGATGGAGATCCAGCAGCGAGTCAAAGCGAAAAAGCATCTGAAAGGGCAAAGGTCTGGGCTTCGTGACATCTCAAACTCAGATGATCCAGGCACGCAGGCCTCGAACTAGTGACGATGCCGTTCCCCTGCAGACATGTCGAAACATTATTAGGGTGCTGCCCCATCACGAAAAACCTGTCTTTACATAGTGCCCCCTCAGTGGCCCGGGACAGGCCGACATCTGCATCAAGATGAACAACCCATCTCATAGATGGAGAGGGAGCTGCATGAACCAAAGATAAATAAGATATCGCAACTCGCGATGAATGTGTGTGTGTGTGTGTGGTCCAAGATAAGACAGACTACACCCACCTCAACCTAGCCATCACGCACAACGCCCAGGTCTTAAAAGACCATTCCAGACCCTTCGTGAAATCTCCCGAGAGAAGCGCCTAAAAAAAATTTGAAAAACGGGCTAGGGAAATACTGAGGAGGGATGGTCACGCCCAGCACCAATAACCCGCACCGGGGACGCGCTACCCGTCACCCGTTGTCGCCCCCAACAGCAGCCGGCGTGAGAGAGTCTGAGAGTAGTGTGACGCAGTGCGGTCTCCCCACAACTCAATCAACATCCCAGCTGGAGCCCAGCCCCGAGTCCCCAGCACAAATAATTCCCTGAGCCGCATACGTCATATCCCTTTCACAGCTTGCCCAGACGAACTATGTCATATCTTCATAGGAACCTGTTTGGGGAGGGAGGGAGGAAGAGAAATGAGACAACCGCAATGACCTCCACGAACGCTACGCCAACAGCCACCACGTTTGCTCACAGTTGGCCACAACAGCAGTCCTGTGGCTGGGCGCGAGCCTGCCGCCTAACTTAGTTTCTCTGGTACGAACTGCACCATGACATGTTCGTCGCCAATCACCGATGGAGCCCAAGTTGATCTCTGATCCAATAGCCAACGTGCAATCAAAGTCGTCGACGCAGACTCGTGTAGCGAAAATCTTCCTGCGGGCTAACGTGAGGTTACTGTGTAGTGTGGAGGGGGGCCACCAGAAACGGGCTCTTTCACACCCTTCGACCGTCCAACGCTGTGGGACTGTCGCTCCTTCTGGACGGTGCATTCGCTCCGGCCCTGTGAGATAACGTCGTGTGATGGTGATCAGAAACCTTGCACTCAGCCCAATGCGGTCGGGGTGTGTGATAGTAGGTCACACACCTCGTCTCGAATTTTCTCTCATTTCTGAGATACCTAGTCATTGTCTCCCTCAGCCGATTGCTTTTGAGACATACCGACCATTGGAGGAATGGAGGGAGCCAGGGGGAAGACCGGAGTAAGTACCTTGGGCAGAGGTGGGAAAGGGACAGGGACAAACAAAAAGGTGATGTATCGCAGGAGATTACCCCATTGACGTCACTATGCGGTGTCCCAGTAGCAGATCGCTTTGGCACGCCTCGCACTCACACACTCAACCTCCTAGCGTTGAACGACTGGGAAATTAGGGTATGTGTGATACGATACCTTACCCCATGGTCAACATCGACGATGGCGGGGGATGTAGTAATGGTGTCACCGCTCTGTGATGTAAGGCGTGTTCTGTTTGGTAAGTCACAAGGGGGTGCCTTGACTTGCGCATTCAGAGGTGTTGGTTTGACGGACAATGTATATAAGACCCTTTTCCTTTTTGTCAGTCTACATGCTTTCATAGTATCTCATCACAACACAATTCCATCAAGCAAACAAAAACGCAAACACCTTTTAGAGGATCAATCTCCCAAACAATTACAACCACCAAACCACATCTTTCCAAACACACAAAATCAAACCACCTCAAAAATGGGTGCCGTCGTCTCTTGTGTAAGTATCAAGTTCTACAACCTGACCCCTTACGTCCATTAGACCTTTTGGACTGATTGTGCATCTCCAACAGGTCCAATCTCTCTTCCGGACCATCGGCAATTGCCTCACCGCCATCATCTCGGGCATCGGAGGTATTCTCCAAGCCATCATCGGCGGCATCGTCTCCTTCTGCAACATCCTCATCAGCTTCCTGACCTGCGGCTACTGCGGCCGCCGTGGCGGCGGCGGTCGTCGCTCGCGCCACACGACTACGAGTCGAATCTAAGTCGACCCTTCCATTTGAAAACGACAGGATGGAGGGGGACAACGACATGACCATTGCACGAATACTATCAAATTCTCGCAATGCGTACGCACGAGTGGAAAGAGAGCTTGGCGGGGGAAGAAGGCATTATGTGCCTCCGACTGCATTGATGGAAAATTTGCGCAATCAGCTTTGACAGCATACCCTTTTTTTTCCTTAAGATACCCAGATACCACTAGCTTAGTTCAATTGGTATGACATGATAACCACACACAAGCTTCCTCCCGTTGTGATGTACGTTGATTATAGGTGTCATTGACTGCGCAATGTTTCATCCAGATATCATGTTTAAACGCACCAATTTACACAGATTTGCGGAATATTAGGCAATACTTGTAACATGGGCATCTCCTTAATGATGCCTTGGATCTCCGCCCAACCCTGAATAGTTATCGGGTTATGGGAAAGGACTATACGAGGTGCTAATTTGTTTCGATAGTACAATTAATCTTCCAGGACATTGCGATTGAAGAAACCGTAGACCTGCCGTCCAGACTCCTTACCAACCATTGGCTCCAGCTCTCTCTCGGTCAAATTCGCCACCTCCCTCAAGTTCTCCGTCGCCAGCACGAGCCGCATAATATTCTTTGGATTAATACCCGGCACGGCACCCAGCATCTCCTGCGGCTCCAGGTTGAAAGCCTGGTCCTCGGCCTGCATATCCTTGTCCAGTCCGGCGCGCACCGCGGCGATGGGATCCGGCTCGTCCTCCTGCGCCTTGAGCGACTCAAAGATCTCGGCCGTCTGGTAGGGCGAGGACGACCAGATGATGCGCAGCTTGGGAAAGGCCAGCGTGAGCAGGACGAGCTTGGACTGCAGGTCCGACGAGATATTCGTCGGCGCGATGCTGTTGAGACTGCCGGACAGGTCGGCAAAGGGCTCCAGAGTAAAGGACTTGTTCTGGTCGAACTCGATGAGGAGCATGGCGCTCTTGTAGTGCTGGAACATAGTCTCGCACTGCGCATACAGCCGGCCGTCCTTGAAGGACGAGATGAGATCGCTGATGGACTTGCGCTCGACGCAGATGTTGGGCGAGAGGACGTAGTCGCCGACCGTGAGCATGCAGGGGACGATGATCATGGACCGCCCGTGTAGGAGCGACGGCAGTGAGGAGCGGAACTCACGCACGTCGACGACGACGCGGGGCGGTTGCGCCGTGGCGGCAAGGCGTCCGCCGCCGGCGATCCTAGTGTTGATTGTGCGCAGGAAAGCCTCCTGAGGGTCTTCGGCGCCGTGGGGGTCGACCGTCATTACCAGGGACATGGAAGCCCGCTCCTTGATGAGCTTCGTAAAGGCGTCCTTCTCGCGTCGCACGCTTGACAGGTACCGCTGTTCCTCGACCGACTCACCGTAGTACATGAAATACACCCGGATGTTTCTGTCGTTGTGTGACGACCGATAGACCTCGACGCGGCGGATGAAGGCGGCGTCGGGTTCGTACATGATGATGTACCGGGGCTTCACTTCCTCCAAGACGTGCTCGTCCTGATCCCCGTCGTACGCATGGATAACGACCAGATCCTGCATCTCGTACAGCTGGAAAAAGTCCTCCATGTTATCCAGGGGGTCGGTGACGATCTCCGGCTTCTGGTCCGCTTCCTCCTCTGTGATTTGTACCTCAGCCATGAGGTCTTCGACGTCTGTGGGCTTCTCGAAGAATTGGAGGATGCTGCCGTTGTCGGCTCGGCCCTGGGATGTTCCCGTCATACCGCCGCCTCGCATGCGCCTCCGCTTGTTTGATGGTGCCTTGCCCCGAAGCCGTTGGCCAGAACGATCGGTGGCGCCGTTCAGAGCTTTTTGGTTTTCGGAAAACAGCGTAGCGTTGACTTGGGCAAACTCCCGCTTCCACCTCAGATAGTTTCGCAGCTTTCGCCGCATCATGAAAGCTGCTGATGCTTGGTCCTCATCCTCGTCCTCTTCTTTCGTCGGGTCCTTCTCAACTTTGGGCTTGAAGTACATGGTCTGTAAGTAGTCTCGAAGTTGCCTACACGTGTTTGTATCGCCACACATGATGAGAATGGTGCCATTGGAATCATCACGGGCTGGCGGGTCAAAATGCATGCTGTTGTCAATCTCTGTCAAGACATCCGCCATCCAAGCCCATTTCGGCTGCTCTTCAAGAACAGGTCGAAGTGAGTCGATGTTCGCATCTGCCGTTGCAGCTTTCGCGCTGGCGGAGTAGACTCGACGCCGTGCTGTCTCAAAGATGGTCTGCGCTGCATCAAGAAATAACCAAGGGGACTGGTTTTGCCTCGTCGACCCGGGAGGCGGCGAATGAGCTGCATGAATGGTATCCAAATGTTGCAAGAATGAAACGGCATCGAGGGAGAGAACGGACGAGAGCATTCCACGAAGGACGCTCAGGTCGTTGACGATCTGCCGAGTCTTCCAGCTAACTCTGTGCCAGTTAGGGTCGAGCTGCCTTCTGATGATCACGTCAAAGTTCTTGTGTAGGGCGCTGTCGAGGTTCCAATCCTCCATCTCTAGGCCCGTGTTGCCTTTCTTGAGCTCATGAATGCTGACCTCGACACACTCTAGAATGGCGTTTTGAATATCTCGCATGGCTTCGCTCATTGATATGTTCAACTCAATCACTTCAGCGGTCTTCTTGCCCTCTAGAGACTCCGCTACCGTCACGTGGAAGCGCGGCCACAATGACGCCTTTCTCAGAAAGAGGTTTCTCATCATGTTGGTCAATGGCGAGAAGCCGGTAGAGAATGGATCGGGGTTATCGGCAAATGCTTTGAGGAAGCCGGCCTTGTTTTTCTGTCGGTAGATTCGCAGGATGAAGGCCTCGAGAGAGGTAGCCACAACGCGATCAGCGTGTAAAACGATTAGGCCTGTGACTTTCTCGGTGTCGAGAAGATTCGTCAAGAGGTCGACGACTAGGATGCGCGAGGTGATGCTGAAGATCCCGCTGCGGGTGTACATCTTTTCTCTCGCACCGACGCTGGTGAAGTCGGTGTTGACGACCGTGAGCCCCCTCGCGTTGGGCGACTGGCTGATTGCGGCATGCTCGGCCAGCGCTTCTCCGATCCAGTTGTTTTCGCGGTCCTCGGCCCCAACTAGAATAATCAAATTGTTTCCTGCCGCATCGTAAGAATGAAGCAGGTTTGTGACGAGCCTCATGAGCCCCAGCCCACGTGCGAGGACGACGAGCTCATCTTCATTCCGCAGCTCCTGGAAGAGGCTTTGCTGGTATTCCTGACAGGGTTCAGTGTGACGAAGCAAATGAGATCTAGATACAAGGACTTACAAGGGGAAGAGAGAGCTTGACCGGCTGAGCGTTGGCTGACATGGTGCATCGTGGCTGGTTGTGGGCAGAGGCAGCAGCACCAAGCGTGGTTGAAAGCTACAATGTAGCTGGAGACATGCCTGGATCGATCGTGACTGGATTCGGACAGAGATTATCACTGAAGTTCCCAATGAGCTACTGGCGCACAGTGCTACGCACGGTACATCGAACCGATCCAGACAGTGATTATCACTTTCCTCCTACTGTACTGTCTCAATGTCGAATATCAAGCAAGACATTCAATTGCAGGTTACTTTGAGAAAGTGTTTACCTAGTGGTTGCTATTCTCTCTTACATACCACCTGAAGTATTAGAAACTCATTGATAAAATATCTTGGGAATATTCTGGCTCCTCTCAGAGTGGTCGTGGTTAAGCTGGGCCCAAGAACCTATCGCTTCAGACGTGGTGCACATACTAACACACAAGCTCAGAAGGCACCGGTGATGAGTGTTAGTCCAGTCACTTGCACCCATAGAAAAGACCTGATACTCAATGCAAGTGTCCTAGAGACCGCGCTTGGATTATTTCCGCTGACCAAGACGATCTTGAGTATCATACTCCATATCGTTTGCAAAATCTCGAGGCAATGCCTCTCTTCAAACGGCTAGTAGAGGGCCCTCGAGAATCATCATATGGTCACAGGAACAAGACTGCCATGGCATGGCTAGGGCCGTTGCGTTGCGTCTTGGGATCTTCAAGAGCGATCCTACCTAGCGCCAATACTGCATCGAATCGACGAAACTCGGCAACGATCACTGGCATATACAACCGTGGGGTTATGGAGCATGGCGTGCTTGTCACTGTAAAACGACGTCTTCTGTCAAGTTTTTGGGCCCATCCTATTCCACGTTAGCGGCCCTCGTGATATGCAGGCAATCCGCCGGTGACGCGCAGGAGTCTGGCCAGCATCTTCCCATCCAGATCAATGGCTGTCAAAGGGGCCCGGCTAGGGGCGGTACATGCAGATAGCCAATCGCACAACTAAAAGCATTTGTCTTTGCATCGGGGGCCTTCAAGGTAAGCGGGGATGTTGCTCGCGGTGTTGTGACTGCCTTTACCCCTCTGCGGGCAGGACGACGTCATCGGCCGTCGCAACCTTCCACGTACCGCAATGACCTGCCTCAACTCACATGTAAGCCGCCAGCAAGATCGTTTATAAACAGCCCAGTGTCCTGCCCTGACTTCTGGTTGATAAATTTGTACTTCTCCATATCAAACCAACAAACTGCACAAACGTTCAAACCAAACCACTAAGCAACCAAGAAACACTCAAAATGGCCGACAAGGTTAAGGAACTCGTCAACAACATCACCAAGGGTGACGTGAGTGTCATCACCTTCTTCTACACGCCTACAGTATCATCACTGACGTCCGTTAGAATTCCGACAAGGAGAAGGAGTTCAGCACTCAGCCCATCAAGGAGGGCGGTATCGACCCCAAGTTCGCCGCTCACCAAGCGCACCCGGGCCCTGCCGTCCCCAAGGACTTCAACGCTCAAGAGGAGGGCACCAAGGAGGAGCGTCGAGCCAAAGCGGAGGCTTTGAACAAATAAAACATATGATGAGTAGGCAGCATCTTCGTGATGCATGACCATGTATGACCAGGTACGAATTGTAGAATATGGGAGACCGCGATGGAAACGGGCCAAGCACGAAGACTCAGGAGTTGGTCGGTGGATAGAGTCATCTTAATCATGAATCAAATCCCACATAATCTGACACCTCCCACATGACCTGGATTCCCCTGGCCATCAAAATCGCGCAGTTGTAAACGAGTTGAAACATTGGTTGCAATGCCTTTTGGTACGGTGAAAGCACGGTTAGGATGGGGGAGGGGGGAAGAGAGAGTGTCCTACTTTGGAAGTAGCATAGAGATTGTCGACATGCCTCTATTCCCATGTTGAGGTAGGTGCAGCCGTAGCCAGTGTCTTCGGGAATGGAAGCAGCAATGCGACCCTACGCTGCACGTTGCGCGTCCCATAATGACGACAGACTTCCTCTGAATTCCACGTGGCGGTGCAAACAGAGTCGTCGGGTGGTGTGTGTGGCTGGTGCCAGCATTTAATGCGTGGGAAGGAGAATAGCGAGAGACCGGGGCCTGAGCAGACGCCCGAGCAGCGCCCGAGAGAGGGAAACATCCTAGCCGGCGCCCACTGAAACGAACGACTCAGCCACCAGCCGTGGCCCACCTCCGCTGGGCTGCGCAAGTCCATTGCCTTTAGGCGGTCATCAAGTGAGTCCAACAATCGTAAGCCGTTTCTCTCCCACTCAATCAGGTCCCAGGTGCCGGTAATCATTCCCATTCGCAACACGCACGCACACCACATACAAACCACCCGGACCTCATCCTCGCCCGGCACAACCTTCTCCTCGTTCAGCCTTTCCGCAAGCCCAATTACATGATATCTCAGGGTTCCCCCGTTAAGTGATGCGAGTCCACATTTCATGAAACGCCCCCGGACCCGGAAGCTCTGGCATCTTTGACCACAAGCTTATCACTCTGCCACGCAGCTCGCTTTTTGTCGGACGCAGAGTGGCTGTCTCATATACCGCATTGCATAGCAAAGCACCATCCCGATACTAGCTGTACCTACCTACCTTACCTTACTGTACTCAGTACCCTGCTTCCCCAAACACCGACAAGCGACGGCACTTGGTTGACTTGTCTCGGGGTCCTTGTCCTCCTTGCTGCTGAAAGCGATCGACCTACGAAGCGCCATCCCGAAAGAGGAGGTATCTGTCTGCCCTGCCCATTCACCAACTACTAAGCGCCACTTACCATCGCCTACACACGCGTACAACGCAAACCACTGCGACCAAAGGTGGCTGCTGCCTTTGCTGCCGCGGCTCCTGCAAGCACACGACCCATCCAACCACTCCACCTCATCCCAATTCCAAATCCACCTTGATTCAACCACATACGAACAACGACACCTCACGCAACCGATCCCACCGACTGCCCTTCCCTCCCCTGCCCTCTGGCGACCCTTCCTCTCCGCCATCATGCCGTCCATTTTGAGCGACGACGATAAGGAGACCGTCAAGCGCTTCGTCCCCAAGCAGACCAACAAGATTCAAGCCGTGGCCGTTGCCAGGCTATACGTTGCATACCCCAACCCCGCGAGATGGACAAACACGGGAATTCAGGGCGCCATCGTCCTGTCAAATGATCTCGTCGGCAACACATACTGGCTAAAGATGGTGGATATCTCAGTGAGTGACTGCGCTCTCGGCGCTGATGCAAATTTGGCTGACATGTTCCAAGTCTGGAAACCGCGGTGTTATCTGGGATCAGGAGATATTCGATACGTGGAGCTACAACCAAGATCGCACTTATTTCCACAGCTTCGAGATTGAGGAATGCCTCGCTGGTCTTTCTTTCACCGACGAAAAGGAAGCGAAGCAATTCAAAAAGAAAATGGACGATAGAGAAAAGAACGCGAGCAGAGCCACAAGATCGACCCCATTTGGAGGAGCTTCCCAGGCTGCCGCACACAAACATGGTCTTCTGGGAGGTCTTTTCGGCGGCCGACATGCTGCATCACCTACTCCTCCCGACTCCCCGCGGTCGAACTTGCCACACGGCCGCATGCTTTCTCTGAATGGGCACAAATCCTCCGAATTTGCTGTTCTCGATGCCTTCGACCCTCAGTGGCGGGAAAATTTTGGTCAAGATCTCCGAGACAAGGGACTGACGGATGAGTTCATTAAGGAGAACCAAGAGTTCATTGTCGAGTTCTTGAAGGAGGAACAAGAGAAATTAATGGCTGGCTCCCGGAGTCATGCTCCTCCTCCCCCCCCTCCGCCAGCTCCTCATACAAATGGAATTGAACTTCGAAACGGACGAGCTCCTCCACCTCCTCCTCCAGGAGGGAGTCACTCGGACGGACCACGCTTACCACCGCCTCCGCCCGCACCCAGGCGCGGCGCCGCACCTGCTCCCCCGCCTGCTAGGAGGTCTGGAAAAGCAGACACGCCTGCTGTCAACAGAGAACCCACACCCCCGAGCGAGCCTCCAGCGCCAGAAGCATCGAGGAGTCGATTCGCGGTACCGCCTCCTCTACCAGATGCTGGTAAACTCGCACACGCTTTAGGAGGTTCGGTCAACGCCATCCGTGGGCAAGCAAACCCTGGGCCCCCTCCTCCACCGCGACCGCCCAAAACGCCAATGCAGGAGGAGGAACGGCCTGCTGGTCACAAATTTGGTGTACCGCCCGCCTTTCCCGGGGCTAGGCAGGGCCCACCGCCTCCGAACCGAGGACCTGTTCCGCCGCCGCCGCCCCCACGTTCGGATGGCCCGCCACTCCCCCCGAAAGCTCCGGCATCCGAGGCACCGCCGTTGCCGCCTCCGTCTTCACGGCCTGTGCCACCACCTCCAGCGATTGGCAGTCCTCCACCACCTCCTCCTCTACCCGCGTCACACGCTCCTCCGCCGCCACCTCTACCCACCTCGCCGCCACCTCTCCCAACATCGAATGCTCCTCCACCCCCGCCATTGCCCTCATCCAATGCACCTCCGGCACCTCCTCTGCCTCCGTTGAACAATGCGCCACCTGCGCCGCCTCTGCCGCCCCCTGGAGCAGGAGCACTTCCCCCCCCGCCGCCACCTCCGCCACCAGCAGGCTTGGGCGGACCTCCCCTGCCACCCCCTATGCCGAATCGAGACTCTGGGTACTCTTCTGGCGTGCCCGTTCCTGCACCGGATTCTTCGCGCTCGGCAGTTTTGGGAGATATCCAAAAGGCTGGTGGTATCAGAGCGCTGAAGAAGGTAGATCGGAGTCAGATCCGCGACAGAAGCGGTGCTACAGTTGGTGGCGGTAGTGATAGTGGCCCGCATGGAAGCGGCCTGCCTCCAGCGGGTGTCGCACCTGGTGGCGGTGGTGACATGGCCAATGCTCTCGCCGCTGCCCTCCAGAAGAGAAAGGAGAAAGTCAGCAGAAGTGGTAAGCGAAGCTCAGCGTGTGTTGTAGGTGCACTGGTACTAACGTCTCACTAGATGACGAGAGGAGCGACAACGACGACTGGTGAGCGATGCTCGATCTGGGGCTTAAAGGGAATGTGCGAAGAAATCCTTCGAGTCGGACCGGTACCGTGTGTCCAAGGCTTCTGGGATGTTTTGAAGCAGAATTACACTATATTCGATTCTTGGCCATCCAAAGCGACGGCTGTACAACTAGGGATGAGGCGGACGGGGACGGTGAAATGGATCAGAGCTCTTCAGTTGGTCAAATCAGGATACCAGAGAGATACTGAGCGTATCCGCATCTGAAGATGGCAGTAGGGTAGCAAGCAACAAAATTGCTTTTAAAGCAAACCTGCTGACCGCTTGCAAGAAATTGAAACTAAACAAAATTCAAATGCGTGAAGCAAGTACTTTTCATGCCGGTGACATGTCACTTCGTACACAGATGAGCAGGGACCAAGATTTTCATGAATTTTGGTGAGTGGCCTAAGCCACTGACCAAATAATTTAATTAATCAAACGCAAGTAAGATGTAGATCTATCTTTCTGATGATTTGACAAGCCATGACGTCTCTCCCACCATGGCCCGTCCAATGCACCACCCTTCACACCTTGACTGTCGCGGAACCCTGCAGCCGAACACGGACGGAACGGCCGCGGGGTTTGAGAGAGAAGACAGCGTTCCCAGCTCTCAGTCTTGCAGCAGAAGACGGTTGAATGAGAATTGGGAAGGTTTCGGGTACTTTTCTCAACTCACACACTTTTTCGAGTGAAGTGGTGGGTTGAGGGGGAAAACAAGGCGACGTTAGGGATTGTTTTAAATGTCATCAATGTCAACCTCCTTCTTGCCAGCGCCACCAGCAGCCTCGTCCTCGCTCTCCTCGCTGTCGCGGTCGTCGTCAAACTCAAAGTTGCAGTCGCCATCGCCGTCGGCGCCGTAGGTGTCCGTCTCGTTGATCTTGGCGGACTCGGGAAGCTCGCCGTAGGCCTTGAGGGAGCGGGCTTCGTCGGCGGTGTACTTGAGGATGACGTCACCCTTGTCGTCCTGGTATTCGCGCAGGGAGAGGAGGATGATGTCGCCCTGGTTGATCCAGACCTTCTTGCGGAGCTTGCCGCGGATGTTGGCGAGGCGCTTGACGCCGTCGAAGCACTGGGCCTCGAGGCGGCCGTTGCCGAGCATCTTTACGACTTGGGCATATTCTGTGGGAGGGAGAAGGTTAGCATAGTGCGCTTTGATTTACCATACTGGTATGAAGTAGCGGTAGGAGAGACGCGTTCAATGTGTTGTTTATCCCCGGGGATGCTAGCAGTGAACTGACCTTGGCCATCCTCCTTGAAGGTGAGCTCACGCTTCTCGTGGTCGGACTCGTTCTTTCCACGTCTGCGGTTCTTTCCTCCCTGTTGTGGTTGTTAGTCGCTCATGATCAACCATTTTTTGGCCCCGTCGCCGAAGGCATCATCATCATCATCGTCGTCGTCAATGTGCGTCGTGTGTCGAGCAATAGCAAGGAGGGGGCGGGGTTGTTGGCGGGGCGCCCCGACTAAGCAGGGGGAGGGGTGGTTTTGTCGCCGAGAGGGAATTTTTTTTTTTTTCCATTTGGCGCATTCGATACGAGACTGAGGAGGGCAACTTACTTTTCCCTTGTTCTTGGGCATCTTGACTACTGTTGAGACTTCCGGTTCTCAGCGGTATAGGATGGGAAGAGGGGTGGGTTTGTGGAAGGGGAGAGAGAACGAGTTGTCGAAAGGAGATGGAAGTGCGAAAGTGGGTGGTGGGCTTTATTGTGCGTCGAGCGAACAAAATGGTGGTGCTTTGGGCTCTGTGGCTGAGGTGGGTTGCTTTGTACAGGGCAGACTGGGCAGTGATCTAGTGGAACAGGGGGTCCTGTCGCTGCTTTCTGTGGGCTCTCTCAAGTGGGAAGGGGCGAATGATGTTGAAACGGGCTGGCTCGTTTTTCCTTCTCTTGCAGATGAGTCAAGTGGGGAGGGATGTTGAGCGTCACCTACCAATGGAATGGAGAAAAGTGCGCTGTGGCTCATATTCACTTTAGTGTCACGGTGTGTCATTACCAATCCCAATACTTCGTAAGCCCATTGAATTGCCTGAGCCACAGCCGGCCTTAGGTTTCACTTGTGGCACCAGTAATCCACTCTTTCTTATGGTCTAAGCTTTTCTCGACTTACCTAAGCCATTTTAGGAGAGCTTCGCCCGCATCACTTCTGACATAATTGGAGCTTGCCTGCAGATTGCAGATCATATATCCGAGCCTCTTCGCCCCACGAAGTCCAAGGTAGAGACCGGCCTCATGACACTGACCTGACCTCTCGACCATTTCCTTAGCCCAACACTACGACATCGTTGCCGGAGCATTACCGTTGAGTGATGACTACCTGAGAACCACCCCCGGCGACGCTTATGCGATGAAGCCAATACGACTTCAGCATGTTACGAGCACGATTCGAAGACTGCCTCTTGGTACACACCTGGTGGCACAGGCCGCTTGGTTCTCGACCTCCCCAGGACGCCCCCCCTCCCGCTCAATTCTGAGGATAAAATGGGCGAACGAAAGGGCTCGCCAAGAGAAAGAACACAAGAAATACTGGGCACGTGAAAGCCGCGAACAACGCGAGCGGAAGAAGGAGGAGATCAGACGGAAGCTTCGTGGCGAAGACTCGAAGACGCTGAAGGCATACGCTCCGAAGCTCCCATCAGCTCGGGAACCCAAGCCACCCCCACATCCGGTCGACTTCAAGAACTTACCAGAGTCCCAAAAATTCAAAAAGATATTCCTACAGCTGGATATTGGGCTAGCCGCCTTGGATTACCGATCGGTCCAACTGCCTGACGAAATGAATCGCGCCTTATTCAAGTACCTGCGCCTTCAAATATCTCCGCGGCATGTCATGAGAAACTGGGACAGGGAGTATTTTGTGGAGATGATGAACGAGCATCCCTACTCAGTCCTCCACAGGCACAAGTACGAGCAGATGAAGAAGAACAAACCACTCTGGATTTGGCTATACGGAGTCACCCAGGTCGCGTGCCCGGCCGTCGTCAGTCATGCCAGGAGGGCTATGAGGCGCGAGATCCACGCCGCCCTCGACGCCAGAGGCTACGATCCCGAGGGGCGTCTCGTCAAGCCCGCAAAGCCAGGCAGGGGAAAGGACACTCTCCTGAGAGGCGACTTGAAAGGAACGATAGCCCTCACCGCCAAGCTCCCCGCTGACGTGGTGAAGAGGCTCCCACGGACCGAGTTGCGGGCCGCGATGGACATGGCTGTGGACCGCCTGATCAAACTGAAGGACGCGGAGCAGAACCCAGAGCGTTTCAAACGCGATTACGAGAAGCTGCTAGAGCAGAGAGTAAAGGACGAGATGGAACGACGAGAACAGGCGGCCCGGCGGGAGGAAGAGTGGCGGGAAGAGCAGTTCCGGCAGGAGGAGGAGCGGCAAGAGATGAAAACACAAAGGAATGAGGAACGGCAGCAAAGAGCCGAGGAAAAGAGGCTCAGGCAGGAGGAGAAGAAGCGCAAAACCGAGGAGAAGAAACGCCGGATTGAGGAAGAAAGACCTCTGAATTCGGGGTTGCTCTGGGGATGAGAAAAATTCGAGCTGGACATTGACCGACAACGAGATGATGGACTTGATCCAAGTATCGAATGATGGTGTTTATGATGAAAATGCCGGTTGGAGTCTGTGTGACATAATTCTACAAGTGATATCCCCAAATAGAAGGCTGTACTTTTTGGAAGATAGAGAATCGATGCATCATTGCCTACACTACGATTTCATGGCAAGTGGGCGGCAGTCCCTGTAATTGTCTGTCACTTCGCAAAAGCATAAGAAAGAGTTGAATGTGAAGAAGGATGTCTCGGAGTCTTTCAATTCGGTCCAAGCACAAGGGGAAGTAGTTGCAATGGTCGGCGAAGCATCTCATCCCCATATCCAGCGGACTATAAGACGAAATCGACACTAAGGTGAAGCACGGGGCAGGTACGTACCCAGCCACCTCAACTCCTTGAACCAGTTCCAGAGTTACTGGCGACGAATCACATCGCTAGCGCACAGCTGCCAACCGAGACGTCTGGAGCTGCCAACCTGGTAATTAATTGTGACTGGCGTCTGTACCTCTTGATCCAGCATATGTGTCTCGCATACACAAGCACCGCTGGCAACAATTTCCTGCTCACCCACCTGGCCACTTTCATGTTGAAGTCATCGCGATAATCCATCTTTCGAACCGAGACGAAAAGGCCTACGAAGCGGGTGACCGACCTCGCGCAATTGATCCAACCCCCTTTGCCGGAGACGGGGAACACCCACCTTGCATTACGTACCACGCTTCGAGAACCGAGAGGAAGCCTCAACACCAGCAAGCACAGTCCACGATGCTCGTCTCATTGACCGTCGGCAAGGTCGACGCCGGCGTCACGGTGCTTCTGACACCGGATAAGCGTCTGGTACGTTGTATCTAATGCCCTCTGCAATCTTGGCGATGAACTAGGGGCAGCTAGCGAGTGAAACCGTCATGTCGAAAGACCCGGCGCCCTTCCCCCCGCCCTGGCTCCCATTTCTGTTCATCAAGTTCATTATCAACACCTCGCAACACCCTGTACTAATACCGCTCTTCCAGATCGAGTTTCCGTCTATCCTACTCCCTCCCAACATCTCCTCTGGCAGCATCGTCGACATCACCGTCGCCCGCAACCTAGGCTCAGAGGCCAAGACCGAGCATGCCTTCCGCGAGCTCCAGGACCGCATCTACTCGTCCTTCGGCGCCAGCTCGCCCACGACGCCCGTCCTACGATGCCGCAACGCGACCCAAACCTCCGTCGTCCTCGAATGGGATCCCATCGAGCTCGCAACCGCCGACATCCTCTCTCTCTCCCTCCACCGCAACGGCCAAAAGGCCGGTAACATCCCCCGGCCGCTGCAGATGCACAGCACAAAGATAAGCGGTCTCGCCGTCGACACAGACTACACCTTCCACCTCGTCCTGCGCACCACCGCCGGCACCCTCAGCTCTGAAAAGGTCACCGTACGCACCCACAAGATGACGGATCTTAGCGGTATCACCATCACCACGGGTATCATGCCCCCTGCCACCAGGGAGGCACTGTCCGCGGCGGTCGAGCGCATCGGTGCCAAGATTGTCGACAGCGTCCGCATCGACACGACGCACTTTGTCACCACTGAAGGCCGCGGCCTGGCGTGGGAGAAGGCTGTCGAGACCAACATTCCCGTTGTACGTCCCGAGTGGGTTGAAGCGTGCGAGAAGAACGGACGTATCCTGGGCGTGACCAAGTTCTACCTAGACGCTCTCAGACCCGGCCCCTCGAGCGATGAGCTCCAGCAGATGCCTCAATCGCAGCAGACACCACCGACGCAGAAGGAGCTGCCGACACCCCCGGCCGCCAGCACACCGGAGGGCAACAGCGACGCCGCCGCGTCGTCCGCCAAGTCGCCCGAAGGCGCGAACCCCCTCAGCAAGGCGGAGGACGACCAAACTTCCGGCGACGAAGAGAAGGAGGTGGAGCAGAAGCGGTTTGTAGGCCAAGAGGAGCAGAAGGTGCGGTTGGAGGACAAGGACGAGCAGAACCTCGCGCACCGGCCAAAGGAGGATTCAGACTCGGAGAGCGAGGACGGCAAGGGGGACGAGGACAACCCGACCAAGGAGGGGAAGCCCGGCGTCTCGCCTGACGGTGCATCGTTCCAGGATGTAGCCTTGTGAGGGGGGCTTGGTCGTTGATGTGGTTGAGGCGACTGGAGTTGATTAGAGTTCTTTCACAGCACGGAGTTACCCAGGAGACGTCTCGTGTCTCGTGTCTCGTTTACAACAAGCCGTTTCTTCACGACATTTATAGAGCCATTTATCATGGAATGATGATGAAGCTGAAACTGACTTTTATGTGTCCATCATTCAATATCTCTAATGATCATAGAGCCGCCATTTTGGAAAGATATTCCTATCCTCTACATTAACTACCCTGTTAACTTGCCTCCATCTTTCAGCTGGAAATTTATTTGCTCGTGCCCATGTCCGGGCTCCCTCACGGCAGAATCTCCTTGCCCTCCCAATCCCAAAACCGGCCCCGGCCCTCGACGCCGACCTCCTCCGTCAAGACCTTGCACATCCTCTCCACCGCAAAGCCGGGTTCGAACAGCTTCCCCTCGGGCACGGTATCCCAGAACCCCTCGGACAGGCCCGTCCGGACGGTGCCCGGGTGGTACGCCACGGCCATGGCCTTGTCGCCGCTGCGGGCCGCCAGCCAGAGGTCGAGCGACTTGGCGAGGGACGTGACGCCGGCTTTCGAGGCGCGGTAGCTATACCACCCGCCCTTGCGGTTATCCGACGTGGACCCGACGCGCGCCGACATGGCGGCCCAGACGGCGCGACCGTGAGGGAGACCCCTCGCTTCCTCGTCCACGTCGGTGGACATCTTGACGGCCTTGCGAGGGAGAAAGGGGGAAAAGTGCTTCATCAGCATCATCTGCCCCAGCGTGTTGACTTTGAACGTGTCGAGGGCGTCGTCGTAGTCGATCTGGCCGGGGCTCTTTTCCGGGTGGAGGATGCCCGGCGTCGCGAGCGCCAGGCGGAGGTGGTGCGTCTTTGATGGGAACAAGGACGCGGCCTCGGCGGCGGCGGCGGCGATTGTGGATTCGTCCGTGACGTCTAGGCGGACGACCTTGAGGCGGGAGGCGAGGTCTTCTGCTTCCTTTGCGGCGGGGGAGGAGTGTGAAATGTTTTTAGAAAATGGAGATTGGGGTAGTGAGGAGAGGATGGCGTGCTTTACGCCCGTGGTGTCGGATGAACGGCATGTCGCGAGGATCGGGGCCGTGGTTGTGCGGAGGAGGTGGCGGGTTAGGTGCGCGCCGATGCCGCGTGAGGCCGGGGCAACGAGGATCCACGGGCGGGACATTGTGTGTGTGTGCGTGTGTGTTTGTCGTCGTCGATCGTTCGGTCCTCTGGGTCTTGGTGTTGTGAGTGTATCCTCTTACTCGTTGAGAGTGAGCAAGCACTGTTGATATGGCCTCAGTTGAGCGAGACTGTGAGTCTCATGTAAGACGCGAGGAACATGAAATGTAGTTCTAACGCGTTGTGCAGAAGCGACGGGAGGGGACGAGTGGGAATTGGGGTTGCGAACGGTAAGCTTCATCTAGCTAGGGTGCTACATGTTTATTCTACTGACTTCCCAAGAACAACAAATGAACCAGCTCCTGAATTGAGTTTCCTGCTCCACAAAGATTCCAAGGTCAAAGACATCATGACTTTGCTACGACGGGGAAACGCGAGAAACTAGCCCCCAAATCCAGATGATTAAATCCCCCTTCCGGAAACAAACTACTGCAAGGGTCCCGCGTCGTTGAACCGACGACGTCATTGGTCGAGACTTTCAACGTAGATCTGAACCTCCGATCACATCGACCCATTTAAGGTTGCCCTTCATCGTTGATTAGAGTAGGCTTTTGATTCCATTGCATGGCATATTTGCAACTCGTATTGAAAAACAAGCTAGAGGTATCCTTTTATTCATCGCGTCTGCATCAGCAGCGCAGATGTTCAATGCTCACGATATGGGAGGGGAATGGGAAGAACACTGAACTGAATCTGACCATGAGCTCTGGGTATACTCACTTTCACCATCCTCCTCCTCAAATAAACACTCATCAGATAAGCCGACCCACCAATCGTAAAAAGCTACCATCAGCTACACCTTCAGTTCGTGGAGGTCGCTGAAAATCCACCCAATCGAGACCGCAGAGGATTCCCTGAGCAATCGGCCAACTTCACATCCGAGCCACAAAAAGAAATAGGTCATCGACATCATGGAAGAAGAAAATATGAAAAATCGTGAAAATAAAACTGAGACCGAGGAAGAAGCCGTGCCTTCTAGCATCATCATCGCCCCCGTTAAATCATACTGTAGTGATACCCGCCCCCGTCCACCGCGGCCACCGGCGTCTCCATTCTTGAATCCGCCCGCGCCGCCTCCAGGCTCACCCGCGACGCGAGTTGCAGCTCCCGGATCAGCGGCTCCATGGCGTCCAGACCCCCGCGCGTGATCAGCGGCTGCATCATGACCGCCTGGTGCCTACTTCCTCGGACCACCCTGCCCGTGCCGTTGCTACTGCGCGGAGTATCGTGCAACGTCGATGGACGCCTCTGTCTAGGGTGAGTGAGGCCTACAAAGTCCCCGTCAAAGTCGTCAAAGTCTCCGACCCGCCGACCACCGTGGGAGGAACGGTGGGACTCCTCGGCCTGCTGCTGCGACCGGCTGCCGCTGGTATTGCCGCGTATGCGGCTCGTCCTCCGCACGCGGACCTCATGTCTCGCGTCGCGGCTGATGTGCTGCTCTTCATAGACGTAGTCGTCTCCATCGCCACCATCCCCGACACCACCGCCGCACAGGGGCCAGTCGAGGGTTGTTCCTCGTGGGGGGCCGAAGAGGGGCGAGCCGGGGAGGCTGCGCAGGTCGCTCATGCAGCGCTCGAGGCGCTCGATGAAGAGCATCTGGTTACGCTCCTGCTGCTGCAAGCGCAGCTCGAGGCGTTCTTGATTGCGGAGCATCTCGTGCGCGAGGTTGTTCACCTGGGCGCTGCGGAGGTTGGCGTAGTGGTTGCGGAGCTCGCGGGCCGAAAGTGTCAGCAGGCCTAGGGGGTCTTCTCCCTCCTGTGACCGGCTCTTGGGGCGCAAGGTTGCCGTCTCGTCCGCGTCGCCGTCGTCAGCTGTTGTCATTTCCCGTCTGCTGTCAGGGTCGACCCTGGCGGTGTTGAATAACACGGGGTTGGTGTTGCCCGCGGTATGTGGGCGAGAAACGTTCGTCGGAGCTTGCCCTGCCGGCTGGCTGGTCGCGAAGGGAGGGTGGGAGACCTCGATGACCGTCACTGGCGAGTTGAGTGTCGATGCCGACCACCTCTCATCGACTGGAAGCGAGGGGACGACGTCGGCGACGGGCATGATATCGCTCAAGCGAGGACCACAGCCGGGTTTGGGGAAGGCGGCGATGCTGCCTGCGATAGACTGATTGTCTTCCGCGACATCCATCTTTACCTGATCGTCAGAAGCGATGAAGCTGAGGCGGTTCGAGAACAGCCGATCCGCGTCAGCTTGCGAGAGAGTACCGGAGTCAGGGCGTCTCATGCGAGTTGGTAGCGGGGGCGCGCGGCTGTTACCCATTTCCGCCATCTGAGCGACGCTCGCGTCAGACGGCGCGAAGCTTCCTATGCGGTCCAGGAGTGGCACCGAGCTCGCCCAACTAGCACGGTGAAGACTTCCCCATCGCCGAGGTGGCTCACAGCTGAGTGTGCTGTCTCTGACGTCCCCAATCCCGAATTTGCCGGTGCCAGTGTCTGTTGAGGCTCGGTAGTCAGCCGTGATGTCTCCCAGAAATGGCGTCTTTTCCCAGTCGATTGTGGACGTTTCCTGGGCGGTTTCCCAGCCGGGTGTCAGCTCCTCCTGCGCCGTTTTCCACCCCGGAGTCTCAGTCTCGGTATCCTGCGTGGCCTGCCAGTCCGATATCTTTGTTGAAGTACCATTCGTGTTGTGCGCTATCGATTTCTTATGGGACTGGGCCATGTGTGCCAAGTTCGTGGCGGACAACTTTGTTTGGGGGAAATGATCCTTGGACCTGAACGTCCCATCTCGAGAAGGGAGGCGCAGGGAGCTGATCACGGTCTCACAGGTCCTAGGCCTCGGTGTCACCTCGCCATCTTCGTCTTGCAGACCTTCTCTCGTGAGGGCTCGGAGCGCATCCATATCTCTCTGCTTGAGAGACTTGACACGCTCCTTACGACTCTGCCTGGAAGCAGCAGTTCTTGTAGAGGGGTTTCGAGAGGCCAGGGACTCGCCAACCAGAGTGGTCTGCGTCGTGTCGCTGCTCCCCGGCCGAACAGGGAAAGACTGCCGAGAGGGTAGGACCGGCATGTCAGCTTGCTTTATAGATGCCATCGAATAGGCCTTTGCAGACCTTGCGCTCGATATGACTGGCTCCGAGAAGTCTGTCGTTGCAATGCTTGGACTGATGGAGTGCGCCTCGGAAAAGGCTCCAGGGCTCAGCTGAGGACCGTCAGATACACTCTGGCGCTGGGAACCGCCGCCACCAAGGATGCCATCAATAGATCTCTGGTTGTCCAGGCCAGCGTCCGCTTGCGGTCTCACGATCTTGATGCTTGACCTCCTGGGCGGCAGCACGATATTCTCGGGCCGCCTTGGTGTTGTTCTTGCTCTGGGTCTCCGGGTGTTCGGATTTTGGGCGATGGAGCCCTTGTCCCTGGCGAAACCGCACTCCTTGTCGAGGCTCCCATAAGAGCTTTTGGCTGCATGAACCGGCTCGGCTGGGAGCTCGGCGTACTGGGGCGGAGGCGGAGGCAGCCGGTCGCGTCTCGTCTTCGACATCGAAGACCGCCCACTCAAGCTGCCCGGCGGTGTGGTGTAAGGCGTTCTTGGCGGGCTCATGGGGTTGGGGTTGGGGTTGATTTTGGGCCATATCGACACAGAGCCCTTGCGCCCCCTTTTCGTGCTCATCGTGTTGAGCGGTGACATGGATCCCTTCTCACTGACGGTCTTGAGCACAGTAACGGTTCGTTCACTGGCATAAGGTCTGACACCATTCCTGGTCTCCTCTTCCCTGTTTCTGACGGGTGGAGTCGGGTGTAGTGGTGGCGTGGCATTGAAGATTGCGAGGGCCCAGTCAGAGTCCGGTCCTACGTGGCAGTACTCCAGCGGAATGGAAATTGCGATATGCGAGTTGCCGCTGCTCGTCTTTGACGCGACGGCAGAGTTGGGGAGTCCTGCGGTCCGGGGTCGGCGGATGGGCGACTCTGACCTAGCTCGCGTGCGCGGCCGGCGCAGCTTCTTGAACAGTCCCCATTTCTCCGGCTGCTCCTGGGGTTCGGCGGCGGCGGTGGTGGTGGCGGTGGTGGTGGTGTCATCGTCAAAGAGGGACTGGGCGGGAAACTCTGGCGGCGGCGACGTGGTCCGGAGGAAGTCGATGAGATCCGCCATGCCCCCTCTGTCGCAGTTCTCCCTGGCGCTCGCGCGCACTGCGCCCCATTCTGAGTCGCAATCTGCGGTATCGATTCTGCTGAGAGCTTGTGTGAAGAGGTCGTTGGACGACCGCGCCATGCGAGGGTGGAATCCACGTTCGCTGCCGCTGTCGAAGCTGTCGAACGTGCCGCGGCGACCCCGGGCGAGTGCGAGGTCGAGCCGCGGTGGACCTGTATTTGATGAGATGACCATGACCTCGCTACGTCTGTTGACTTGATTCTCTGAAAAGACCATCTTCCTCAGGAGAAAGTTCAACGTTGTGATGGGTTGCCTTGAGACCTCATGCCCGAGAGAATCCTCCAAGAGATTAATAGAAAAAGAGTTTGATGCGCAATATGTTTTTGAGAAAAGTCGCACAACGATAGGTGTCTTCGACCAAGTAAATCGCCTGCGGCGCAGCAAACAGATCTGGCTAAGACGGGTCGCTTAGCGACACACGTCGAAGAGGTGGAATGTCGGTCACGTAAGGACGACGTAGATGGAAGACTGAACGCGCTGTTTGCGTCTAGAAGTGATGTCCGTACATCACCTTGGAGAGGCAGCGGACGTAGTTTGGTGAGAGAGGGAGGGGTTTGGGGACAGGTTGGAAGAGAGAACAGAAACAAAACAATACCAGGCTTAGGGTTCATGGAGCAACACTTGGATCATCTCCCGCTCGCTATCTGGTAACGCCAGGACGCGGACGGTAGGGGATCGATATATATCCTTCCTTATCCCTCCGGTCGACCGTTGGGACGAAGAAATGCGGGAGGGGAGGCAGACGGTGGCAGTGGGAAGCGTCAAACCATCGCGGGGCGGCGTCCGTGCAAAATGATGGGAACGAGGGCTAGCGTCCTCGAAGGCGGAACGCCATAGTCAGACTTTCTCGAGTTACCTTACCTCGTCAAGTCTCGCAAGAGCCTTGGGGAAAAGTACAATTTGGCGCAAGGGAAGAAGAAGCGAAGAGCGGCGTGGCGGCGGTGGGGGGAAGGAGGAACCTGAGGGACCTCAGGGCAGATCAAGAAAGGGAGAAGGCGTCGTCACTAAGAGGTCTAGTACGCTCATCTAGGGGCCGCTCGGTGGATTTGTGGCGCTGAGACTCGGGGTCGAGCTGCCTCGCTCGCCATTTATTTTTCTTATTTCTCGTTTAAGCTAGCTTTTGAGGCGCAAACGTCCACGAGGCTTTTCCCCAGAGACACACTGTGGAAGAACCTAGGACATGCAGCACGAACGAGGCGTGATGGCGAAGAAAAATAGCAAGTAATTAGCAGAGAAGAGAGCCAGAAGGGGCCAAGGAAAACGATACGATACGGATGTGGAAGCCAAAGCCAGACGCGAGAAAAGGAACCAGTTGACAGCGCCACACTGGAGCCCGTGATGTTTCTTCTGCCGGCGCCTTGCAGCCCAGGACGGTCCACCACTTGGAGACGTGTAATGTACCCAGTGTGTGTCACTCTCCTCACTTGAGGAGAGTGCTCGGGCGGAGACGAGAGTCAATTCCAGCACAAGATTGAAGCGAGGCCGCAGCACCGGGTTTGCTGAGATGTGACGAAGGGAAACGCGGTATCGGCGGCGGCGGCAGACTTGACAATTTGACAGATGGAGAACCCACCCGGGTGAGGGCACCCCGGTGCATGCTGCCAGTGGGTTGGGATTTGGGAGAAGACTGCAAGGGGGAGTTGCTTTTTTCTTGCTTTCTCTGCCAGTCTGGCAGCGGAAGAATCTCCATCCAGCAGGCAGACGGGTTCCGATTGACAGCCAAACAAACAGGTTACATCCGGCAGCAATCCAAGAGCGGGTTTGCGTGAAGATGGCAGACGGACCAGGGTAACAAAAGAAACGAAACCCGAGGCTGAGATGCAGTATTACTTCATGGCGACGTCTGGCGTGCGTTGGACAAGGGCCTAGCCCGTCGTCCATTTGCTCGACTAGGTACCAGGATGCACATACTTGGGGGGGATGAACGGGAGAGAGAGGAAGGAGGAGGAGAACTTGACGGCGCCCAGAACGCTGGGTGACCCCGGCCAGGGATGTGCGGTAGGGGTGCTGCGCGCACGGTGGCAGCATATGCAGCATGCAACGATGCGAAGCGATAGCGATGAGATTCAGTGGTGGGTTGGTGATGCGTAGCCAGGGGGAGTTCATCACGGTCGGACCTGTGAAAGGCCGCGTTCGTTAGCAGGATACTTGCCACCCGCCGCCCTTTTCTTGTTACGGAGAGATGTCGTCTTGGGGCAAACTGAAGAGGTAAAAGATGGAATTTCTTGGCTTGTGGTGTTTCTGAAGTGTCTTGTTCTGGTCCCTGGTGGGACTGAACCACCGGGGCGGTAGCCTCTTGTGTCTGGTGCTAAATGAAAGAGTGTTGCAAATTTGTTGTTGATGCCGATCGTTCGGCCTGCCTCGGTTGCTCTCGTTGTTTTCCTTCCTGACGTGGTTTGGAAATTTGGTCTCTCGACGTTGATCGGCCCGAGGTGTTATCGACGTAACCGTAATTTGACGGGTGAATTCAAGATTGGCACGAGGAAAGAGAGTTTTGAAAGGGGCAATGATGCGACCGTTTTCATATGGCGGGAACCCAGCTAGAAGAGAAATGGCTGGGAACAAGTGGTGACTAAGGAGAGACTAAGTCGATTCCATGTCCGTTCGCAAGAGTGGCAGGACATTTGTGGCTTGTTTTGGCTTCTCTCCGTCATCTCTTAGGCCATCTTCCGTTTATAATGATGAATTATCTATCAGATAAGGTAGGTGCACAGAATGTCGGCCGTTTTCTCAGTTCGTCCTGTCTCACAAGGACATTCTGTGATTATGCATACTAACACAGTAAAAAGCCTTACTTTCATTTGCAATCTTGAACTCTTCGTACAATGTCAGTCAAACCCCCAACGGCAAATGAGCAAGGCGGAAATACAAGAAAGAAGCCTCGTCTCCGGCATTTTCCCACAAAAGCCTCGACCCAGATTTATCAAGTTTGAAGCTACCTTACCCAAGGTAGTTCGGACCAGAGAAGAGTCTCTCACTAACAGCGACCACTCACGCGTACTACAAACATCCCACAGCCCAAAACCGGCCGTCCCAAAGCCAGCAACGGGCTCAAGCGTTAGCTCCCACTTCCTAGTCCTGCACCCTTCAGGTCCACCACAAGAAAAAGGGTGCGAGATGCCCGAGAGTGACGTGACATTTCACCGTGAGCCTCTCACTCACTCACTCACCCAGGTGCCGCGAGTGAGTATCAGCGCATCTGGCATGAATGAGCTTATCGGCTTCTGCAGCGCACAAACGCATCTTGCTGATATTTTTGGGTCGAGGGTTACATTCAGTAGTTCCGTATCCGTAGGTTCGTGTCGATCTCATCCGACTTGTCGTCGACTATACATCTATCTACCTACCCCTGCTACCCAAAGAATGCGAAGCTATCATATTCAGTACCCGGACGTTCCCAGACTTACTTGATACAGCTTGCTATGCTGCCTCACAGATTCTGCAATGCACACACATATCAGCTCTTTGCATGTCGTCAACCCTACCTCCCCCTGCCTCAATACAACCTTGATGCATTCATAGTTGGTGGTCCATGCCCTGCTGAAAGACCCCTTCCCCTTTGCTCGCAGGTACGTACTTCGTACAAATAATGCAACGGATCGCGGAAACCCATGCCCATGCCCATGCCCATGCCCACCCATACTGCGTACCCATGCCCGGCATCCAGCTCTGCATTGCACCACCAATGATCCATGCACAACTTGCATCTCGCTCGCTAAACTTATCCGCCGTGGAGCTCCTACTCCCGTCCGTCCAGCCGGGCGCATCCCCCGAGAGGGATCCTCCCTGTCCTCTGTTCCCACTCTGTTCAACTCCATCCCTCCACATCGCTCCGAGTCTCGAGTCCTTCGCGACCTCCCTTCTCTCCCTTTGCCTGAAAATGCTGACCAACACCGGCCTATCGTTACCGACGACAACCGCATCGTCCTCCCGAGGCCCCGTACCGGATCCTGATGCTACTGTACGGTGATGGCGGCAAGGTATCCGTAGTACCCATGAAGATATCCACTCCATCCTGTCGCCGGGAGACCACGGCCTCGACCTCGACCTGAACTCTCGGCTCCATCTCCCTCGCTCTCCCTTGCGCCGCTCCCAGACCCTCTCCCATCCATCACGCATCACGAGTTCGCAACACATCGCCGTCGTCAACTCTGGACAAGCCTAAAGATTTCCTAGCTTTCCTAACCCTCCTAGGCATTCCGTTGTCCCCTACCCATCTTTCCATCCCCCGGTCCGATCAACCATCCCGCTTACCCCTCTGTCTTACCTCCCATCCCTCATTCGCAACACAGGCCGCTTTGCAAACCCCCCTCCCCTCTCTGTCTCCATGCACAAGAGCCGAAACAATTGTCCCAGAAACAAGAAACAAACCATGCCATCACACACCGTGTGCGCCTTGCCGAACCTGTCCGACCCAAGAAACGAGACTTACGAGACCCTGGGCACAGCCAGGCAAAACAAGTGGATTTCCTAGCATAGCATCGCCAACCTTCGAGAGACACAGTGAAAAAGGGACCATATTTAGGGATCTTGTTGTTCACTTGGTGCAAGCTACTCGTGGCATGGTCTCGCCAGCCAGACAGGGAATACCCATCCTCCCTTTTCTCTAAGTCCCCTTTAACCCCCCCGCCGTCCATCCCATCAGCCCAAAAAAAAGTGTAACTGCCCGCCAAAACCTTCAGATGAACGAATGACACATGGCTCCCTCCACAAACCATAACCCGAGCTTACTCTGCTTGACATCACCGTGCCATCCTGGTCGCCCATCCTCCTCGTCCTCCACATCCTTCTCGTCTAGGTAGGTAGCTATGTAAGTAGATTCTGTCTAGGTATCGGTACACGGAAACGTTCCACACAGTGTTTCTCTCTGTTCCTTTTTCCCCAATTTGAATCACAAACATCTGAATCATGTCCTGAGTCGCCCAGAGAGTCAGACAATTCCGCCTTCCACTAGGCTCCCGTACATCAAGTCCCCCCCCATGATCCATCTATCAATGTCAAGAAAAAAAAGAAAGCAAATCCTTCCACACAGGCTTGACCAAGGAAATAACGATGGCTGAGTAACCGAATCTTGAATCTTGAATCGCTCTCTCCTCATCTCGGCTCGCCAAGCCCTGGGTTTCCGAATCTCCTTGCCAGTCTCGCCCAAACGGGCGGGAGAGACTCCAAAATTGTTTATTCCAAGCCTCACAGATCCATCATTCGTCGCACCGTCGTCAGAAACAAAACCGGAAGCCACACGAGCGGGCAAAAATCGCCATGTGGTTTCCCGCTCCCGAACCACGTTTGTTTCGCACTGTTTGTTCGTTTCCGCTGCGTTGTTCGATTCCGTCTTGCCACACAAGCTTTCTCTTCCTCCTTCCACAAAAGCACCAGAACGAAGGTGAGAAGCAATCATTCGGCCGGCACTCGGACACAAAAAGTCGCACTAATATCCCACCCCCATCCTCCGGCACCACCAGGCACCGCCAAGCCAATCCAGTCTCAAGATAGCCAACCATATAGATAGACCGTGACTCCATCCCAGTCGATCCAATCCCCCCCCCCCCAAAGTCCGACGACGGTCACCGCAGTATGCCAATGTCGGACTGGCGCAAGTACTCGTCGCCGTATGCCTCCACCTTCTCGCGGGTTCACCCAAGCCAAGGCGCCCGCCCGTCCGCCCGTCCGGCACTGGGCAAACCTCTCTCTTCCTAGTCCTCCGCCAAACACAATGGAAAGAAATCCGCATGCTCCTCTGCTCGTAAGACACCCGAGACTTACGAAACGGCCTGCCGGTGATGGTCCCGTCTCACCAGCAGCAGCCTATCCAAACATAGGAAACACGGGTGGTTCATCCGTGTCGTCCGCATCGTCTGTGTCTTGTGCCTGCTAACCACGTTGAGGAAAACCTCAAGTCAAGGAAGAGTGAAAACACACACTCACCATCAGTTGAATGAATACCCCGGCGGGTAGCTCTTGCTTGTCACCATCTACTCATCGCCGATTTTACAATGCAAATTACTATTTCACACCACTTTCTCGAAACGCCAAAAACGGCGAGGCTTGAATGTGACGCAGCCCAGCAGTTTTAGGTTTCTTCTTTCCCCTGCTTCACTTAAACTACGCTTGCTCGCTAGCCTTTTTTTTCTCACTCAACTCACTCACTCACTCACTCACTCACTCACTCACTCACTCACTCACTCACTCACTCACTCACTCACTCACTCACCTCGCTGTTGCTAAAAGTGTTCAAGCCACGCGCACGCGACGCGAGACGCTTTCTTGATCTACTAACACGAATCCCAAAGGGCGTCGGCCGGCCGCCTTTTGCTTCCCTGCATGTCTTGGTCCAACTGGAACCCGTTCCGTCTTGTGGTAGTCGATTAGTTTTGCATTCAAGACCCATGATGGGAGGAGGGAATTCACCCAATGAAAATAAAAATATGAAAAAAGAAAAATGAAGTCGCCGCCGGAGAACAAACACTAATGTTCCAGCTAAGGCTTGGTAAATCTTTCCGCTGGTACTCTCTTACTTTACCTCCATCACGTTCTTGCAAGCAAAAGTCTCCGTCCTTGCGCTTGTGGTGCTGGTCACACACTCATCATCGTCATCCCGCAAACGCTTGTGAAGAAAAAGTTGCCAAACCACGGGAGGGCGGAAATTATCCCCGGCCCCTGCATAAGTGGCGCCTCGCCAAATTCGTTGCTCACCACGATGTGATGCGGTGTTACTTCCTTCCTAGCGACATACGCGCAATAGACTGCATACCCGTTATACACGAATGGATGTGCCTTCTATTCACATCATATATGGACCAACTATCACGGAATCCCAGGCTTGCCTCCCCCAGCTCCTTTCCTAGTTCCCCCAATTCATCCTGCCTCGGCCAAATGTCCGTGCCAGGGCTTTCTTTTTCCATGGCCAGACCAAAAGATTATGAGAGGCAAACAACCCGTTGCCATCACAAAATGCCCAATGTCCCCTTGATTGAAGACCTGTTAACGCCAGGAGCTCATATGTCCCTGTCTCCGTGATGCAAAAAACTCTTGTGCCCAAATCAGGCACTTTATTGAGTCTGGGTACTCTAACAAAAATCAAAGAATCGTCGCATCGCATTTTAGTTAGCTCGCCTAGCGTTTGTGAGGCCTTCTCTGAATGAAGGGGTCGGCCTTCTGCTTCTTTCTGTGAATGACTGGTCCGTTTGGTCCATTCTGTCCGGGAGGCTGGGGGGCGGTATCAGCCGTGTTCAAAGTTCAAGGGACCCTGTTTCACTTACTCTCGGGGGTAAATTACGATTTTGCGGAAGTGAGGAATTCGAAGGCAATGTCCTCGAAGACGATGCCGTCGTCTCCATCGCCGGCGGTCGTGCAGCTGGTGTCAGACCGAGGGCTACCATGGCCGAAGGATCCTTCGCTGGCTTCGGCGGCTTCGACTCCTTGGCCTGGCCCATGGATTTGGGACCCGTCGGTGGCGGTCTGTTGGGCAGCCGATTCTGCTCGGTCGCCATCTATAGTTGCTGTGTTAGGAAATGTCGGGGAGAAGTTTCTGCTATCATCACTGCTTGTGTCGTCACATACCCTCTTTGCGCCACGCTGTCCCTCATTGGCATCGGATGGCCTCTTCTTGGACTCCTGCTTCGCCGTAGATGATTGGATGATCGGTGGTCGATCAGAGTTTCGGGCGACAGAAGGGTGTACCTCGCCTCGGTTGTTTCCCTCCCAAGGACCCGGTCGACGTTCCGCCACAGTGTAGTTCGCCTGCGGCTGCTGGGCAGGCTGGGCCAGCAGTCGGGGTTGCGCCGTGGGCGCCACATCTGCCGTGTCAACGTCTTTGGCCTGAGGTTGGTCTGCTATCTCAACGTCAGAGTCATCCCGCTGCACGGGTTTCGACAGCGGAGGCAGCGCCTGTAGAACACTCGGCTTTTGCAACATCGACATGACATCTCCCTTGGTGTAGAGTGATCTTTGCTTCGCGTTGTCGATGAGCTTGTTCCAAAATTCTCCCTGCACCAGTGCTCTAGAATCTCCCAATATCCACAAGGATGATTTGGCACGGGTGAGACCAACGTTCATGCGTCTTATATCCTTGACAAAACCAATACCGCCAGTGGGGTCGGCTCGAACACAAGAGAAGATGATGATTTCGCACTCTCGACCCTGGAAGGCATCCGTGGTGTTGAATTCAATGTCCTCGGTGATTGAATCTCCGTAACGACGCGAGAATTGCCACTTTAGCTCTTGCAACTGAGCTTTATACGGCGTAATAATGCCAATCTTGCCGCGAACGTCGTAGTTTCGTCCGAAATCCGTTTTGAATCGCTCATAAAGCTGCATAGCAACCTTCAACTCAGAGTGATTCACCAACGAGCGACCTTTGCTGCCCTTCGACTGGGTACCCTCGACATCAAAGAAGCGGTAGGGGCCAAGGAGAGCGCTTGCGTGCCAAGGCTGGCGGCGGAGGGCGCTCATATCTTCTCCGTCAACGAGCTTGCCTTCGTAGAATTCCAAGCTGGGGAATAAGCTGATTTCGGGGTGCATGCGGTATTGGCGGTCGAGAAGATGGACATAGTCTGGGTGGTTCTGTTGCATTCGGACGAACAGACTCTGGTCGTAGCCAAACCTAGCGGCGGATTGAGAGAGTACGGTGGGAGGCAGCTGCTTCGGATCACCAACGAGAATACACTTGGTGCAGCCGTACTTCAACGGGATTAGGGCGCTGAGCTCGACACACTGCGCGGCCTCATCGATGATGACTGTCTCGAACTCAACGTTCAGGTTCTTGAACATCTCGTGACCGCTGCCACTGAGCGTGGCGCAGAGAACTTGAGCTCCGTCGAGAATTTCCTGCTGGATCTGCCGGCGGCGAATCTCTGCTTCACGACTGACTGTGTTGCCGCTAGTCTTGTCCTCATCAATCTTGGCTCCAATGTTAATCTGAGCACGCTTCAGCTGATCAAAGGCTCGTTGCAGGGCTTGCGAAAGATTCCGGTCACCAGCTTTACGAGCCTCATCGAGCTTGGGTCGAATCTCTGCCAGCTCGTCTCTGATTTTCGCTGCGTCGTTATGCATCTTGTCGCGCTCCTCCTTGGCTTTGTTCTGCGTGGTATCGCCTTCGAGTCTCTTCTTGACCAGTTCATCGAGAGTGACGTCTCGGACGGCGGCGTTTATTGCGTCGCTTCTACCCAGACGAAGCACATTGATCTTGTGGAATGACCCGGTCATCGTCTTGACACCTTGCTTCAAACGCAACACCAGCTCGTCCACAGCGGCGTTACTGGGAGCGCAAACAAGAAGCTTCTTCGGCATGGCGGTCTGGCCCGCTTGCGTAGGAAGCTTGGGCTTGATAGCTGTTCCAGGAGGTTGGATGTTACCAGTGAGCAGCGAGCCGACCATGGCCACGATTGTCTTCGTCTTACCCGTACCAGGAGGACTGCAAATTGTTAGCGTGAGAAATGAGAAGAAGAAAACGATCCCTACCCCTGAATCAAGGTGAAGCCATCATTGTCCTTAGCACCGAGAATGGCTTTGGCCTGACCAGGATTGAGCTGGTAATTCTGCATAACGCCCTTTACAGCCTCATCGCCGTACTTCAAAATGGGCGATGGTTCAGCCTTGAGGACTTCAAGCATCAGATCGTAGTACTGCAAACTCTCAAGGGCCGCATATTCTCGCTCAATAGTCGTCATGTTGGTGATCTTGACAGCTTGAAGTTCAGAGCCGACACCGAGAGCATTAACAGCAAGTAAGGGATTGTTCTTGCTGTTCAGGCGATATGTCACTTCTAGCCTTTCCTTCTTGTATGTAGTTTTCCAAATTCTCGCCAGGGAATGGGCTTCGGACTTATCCGTCAGAGGTTCAGTGCCTTTTGACACCAGGATGATGTCGCCCTCTGACAGCATTCTATCCTTGCTCTCAATCTTGGGAATGCTGGCAGTCACTTCAAGGAATTTATCAACATTCATACGAGACGCAATCTTCAGCCCATAGGGCTTAGATGTCGTCTCATCTTTAGCAGTCACGAAAGATCGCCACGCCTCAGAAATCAGGAGACCCAAAAAGGTCTGCTTATACTCCTGAGGGTGAGCATAGATGCTTGCGACCCTGGTAATGGCCATTGAAGACGAAGTCGAGGGTGGATCATTGCCCTCATGGAAGATGTCCCACTCCAAAATGGCTTGGTGAAGCTGATCCATCGGGGGGATCAAACGGGCACGCATATCCTTGGCAGAGCGTTGCACTTTTACCTTCTTGACTGGGCCGCGCGTCTTCTCGAGTAATGCCCGTTCGCGACGTCTCTGAGCTTCGTCAACTGCCTTTTGGCCTTGTTGTCCCTTGTTAATGAGATTGTTGAGATCCTCATCTCCAGAGTCATCCTCGTCCTCCTCATCGCTATCGACCAGGATCTGACTCTTCTGGGTTGTATGTTCTTTCCCAACTACGCCACTAAGACCCCTCAGCCCCGAGCCCTCACCCACGTTAGCGGCGCCTCGAAGAGCGCGGACTCTCGCAACCTCATCGGCATCTCTCTTAGCTTTCTCCAATTTGGCTTTCTTGCGTGACTCAATCAGGGCGTTCTTCGATGCTTGAGAGACCACGGGCTCAAGTTTGGGCTTGATGGGCAGTCGGGGTAGGCTTGGTGACGCTTTCTGACGAGCGGCCATTTGATCCAAGATTGATCGTTTCTTATCGACAGAACTACTTAGCTCGAGAACATCGTCCTTGTTCGACCGAACCGCCTGGGACGCAGGCGTTGAAGAACCGGACTTTGACCAAGCATCGAGGAAACTTTGCTTCTTCGGCTTCTCCTTAGAAACCGGCTGGATCTGGATAATTTCAATGTCATCATCCTCACCCAGGGCTTTCAGAAGCTCAGCGCGTTGTTGGTCGTTCATATTGGTAACGACTGGGTAGCGGCCGGTAGTCGACAACTTGACGCAAGAGTCTTGAACGTAAGTCTTGGAGTCATTTGGAATGTCGATTTGGTTCTCACGCAGCCTAGTCAGTAACTTGGCCACAACCTTCACAGTGACTTCAACTAAGTAGGCATCTCTGAGGCGAAGCATCCTGACAATACCGAAGAGGTGGCGCTGAGGATCTTTCAGAAGCTGTTGCATCTTAGTCAGTTCTTCCTCTTTTGGCTTCGCCTGCTTTGTATCGGTCTGGAGGGTAGTTGCTTGCAGAGCTGATGCGAAGAGGCCATCCTGGGCGAGCATGCCGTCGGCCAACTCGATGACATCTCGACAAAAGTCTTGCATCACTTTGATATCGGCAAGATGGGACCAGTTAGCGGTTGACGTGAATGCCACCTCGATGTATCTCCAATGAGCAACCCACCAGCCTGTGACGGCGATCTGTTCATTGTGGTCCAGAGTCTTGGACCTGAGGATACCAGAGGAGAGATCACTGAGACTTGAGAGCACGACTTTGGCGGTGTTGATAATGTTACGAGCCGGTCCCCATGCCGCATGTGACGGCTCCATGATCCTTCTTATTGCGAAAATCATGGAAGAAAGAGTGGTGCTCAGATTCCGTTCAAGTAACACCGTGAGTGCGTCTCCCTTAGACGGCTGTTCGGTAATCAACTTGATGAGTTCGGCGCTCGCACTGCTGATTTCGTCCTCACCGTGGACTGTGAACGCAATGATGGGCCGAATGCTTTGGGCCATGAGGCACAGCTCGTTGAGTTGAGGCGATGTAAACTCGCACATGCGCTGTAAAACGCGCCCGAGTGCCTCGGCAACCTTGACGAATCGGGTATTGAAGCTCTTCTTAGCCGCGTCCAACTTTTCAGGGTCTTTCCTAGGGGGGTGAAATCTTTCGACATTGATAAGTGGAGCCATGGCCATGAGCATGGTCTTGGCCAGGAGAAGCTTGCCTTCGTACAGGTTTTCCAGAAAGCCGTCCCACAAATCTGCCGATTTGCGGGTGACGGCCGTTTGAATAGGCTTCGACGTAGCTTTGCGGAGTTCGAGATGCTCCTCAGCAGTCATCCTGGAGTCTAAGCTCAAGGCGGCACTGATGACGCTCATGGCTGCTTTGGGCACACCGAGGGTGTGTTGCTCCTTGCTTCTAGTATCCGCTCCTTCGTTGATGATATCCTTGTACTTGAGGGTTACGTTGAGAATCGTGTTGATATAGACGGATGTGGTGCCCGAAATGACATCAATTGTATGGTCCAAGAATGATCGGAGAACGTGATCCAAAGCATCTAAGCCGGCTCTGATACAAGCAGCTTTTCCCTGCTCGCCGATGCTAGAATCATGAATAACTTGCTCAAAAAGCAAGTGAAGCAGCTGTTCGCAAGCATCACCTTTTTGCTGACGTTTGAGCGAGGCAATCCATGTGTTGATCCACGAAGTCGTGATTGACTCGACCGAGTCGTTTTTGCCTGTGCCATCGTCGTAAGTGATGGCGAAGGTCAGAGACTGCGCAAGCAGCTGCTTGAATAAAGGCTGAGATAGAAGCTGTTCAACGACGACGAATGGCCGCGCGTCACCGATAGTATCCCAGAACGCCTGCGGAGACGTTTCCAGCAGGACAGTCAACGCTTGGATGATGAGCAACAAAATTGCTTCCGACTCGCATTGCATATGAACGAAGAGCAAGTCGTAGATGCTCGGCTTGATTTCCATTCCCCGAATGCCGTGTAACAAGAGCTTCTCGTCCAAGGTCTTGATGATCCAGTTGACGGCTTTCCAGAAACGCTCGATCTCTGGAAGGGCTGCGGGGTCTCTGGGGTTGAGCGCCGAGACTGTCTGAATGGCCTCCACCAAGTTGTCATGAACAGCCCAATTGAACTGCTCCTGAGTCAAAGACTTTGGTCGAAGACGCTCCCAGGACTTTTCAGCAAATTGAAGTCGAATCTTGTCCTCTCCAAATAGAAATTGAGTCATGGCAGGCAGCAGGACGTTTTCGCCCAGCTTCAGTGGCTTCTTGCCAGAGAGGCGGACGAAGACGAACTGGAACAGTGTTCTTTTCTCCGGCACGCTGACATATGCCATACAGCATAGAGCCTCGTAGACGGTGAGTAGAACCGCGCCCTGGTCTTCGCCCAAATCGTTTCTCACGAAGGCGCGGCCCTCTTTTTCAACCTTCAATACGATGTCCTTGGCCCATTGAAGGCCTTTGTCGATTCGGTCAAAATCGAAGCGGTGGAGGCAATTTTCGATTCCAGCCACGGCTTCCTCTGGCCATTTCCTGAGGTCTGGTCAGCACGGTGATGACGGTTAGATGTGGCGTTCTGGCTAGTCTAGACTTACTCGGCAAACACCTGAAGATACTTCTTCCGATACATGTGCCAGTTGAGAACGCACTTGTCGCAGTTGTGGAGATTGATGGCCATCCGGCTGCCCCAGGCGTCGAGCCAGACGCCAGCCTTGTCCTTGCCGTACGCGAGCAGAAGACTGGTCCAGTAGGCAATGTCGATCCGCTCCTTCCATTTTTCTACTCTCTCCTTCTTCTCGGGAGCTGTGATGGCTTCGCCTTCGGTATTCAGGTCTTCGTAGTCCTCAAAATCATCCTCGTCGACCTTGGGACAGAGAAGGTGGAAGTCGGGAGGGATGTGGGTAAACTTCCGATAGCTTTCCTCGAGGATATCCTCGACCGGTTGTGACTCCATTTTACTGCAGTGATCGAGCCCGTCGAGGCATGTCGTGAGGGTTCTGAGGGTCGGACAGGCACAAGGTAGGTAGCTCGGTGGTTTTACTCTGAGTGACTCGCGGCGCGAGGTGCCCGACAGACGAGGGAGCTTCGGCAATAGTGGGTCGGAAGGAAAGATCTGTCGAGCGCGCAACAGGACGGGAGGCTATGGGCGACTCTACCTGCGCGCGGTTGAAAGCGTGACGCAAAGGCAGTGGAGTGCTTTGAAGGTATCAGCTTGAGAGACACGTGATAGGTCTTGCGTTGGCGAGTCGATGGATCGTCGATTTTCGTGGCTGCCTCTTGGGGTAGCAACGCTTCTGAGATGAAGAAAACGAAGTGGCCTCTCAAACCAAGAAGAAGTCAGCGGAAGAGTCCTCTGTAGGGAACGACGACTTTGGAGTAGAAGGTCGTGGGAGGGAAAGGGAAAGCCCACGATCTTCGAGGTTGGTTGCTGGAGGGGGAAAAGAAGGTAGTTGTCGGCAATCAAAGATGAACCTAAGGAAGTGGGCTGCAAAAAGTGTAGTGACACGCTCCGGCCCGGCTAGGACGCGGCCAGGCGTCGATTCCCATTAAAGCGTGTCGACAGGGGTAGCGGATGGAGGAGAAGGTGGCGTCTTGCAGGCTGGAGGAGTACTGCCGTTTGTACAGAGGCTAGGTGACTTTGGAAATGCTGTGGCACAGAACACAGGAGGCTTTCACTGTAAATGCACGGACCATACCTTAAATCCTACTTCAGTGCATCCCACAGTTGTTCCTCAGTGGGCTTGTTCTGGGCTTGTTCAAGCTGCATTCTTCCATTGATACAACGACAACATCATGAACGACTTCAGCTTGGCCTACCTTTGTGAGTCTATGTTCAAAATCAATTGGTCCATTGAACAGTTTGATGATCAATTCAACGAAACACCAGGAGCTCTACATCTAACACGAGAAGCTCTATCCGGCTTCCTAAAACCATACTGAAATCTACTTGGCTTGGCTCTTGTGCTTCTAAAGCCTTTCCTAGCAACAATAGAAGATCAAGATGGCTAAACACCCATAACTAGATTCTTCCATCTCATCCACCGCCTTCGAAGCAATATTCAGTCACACGTGTTAGAGATGTGGACAACCCTCAGTGAGAAAGTCATCCCGGAGAGCAAGGAACTCTTTCAGGCTGAAGTGAGTGCAACAACCACGGGGAAGATATGGCTTCATGGGAATCTTTAAGTATTCGTTGCCGCTCGTGTCTGTCGCAATTGTAAATCTGCGCTGCTCTCTATGCACCAGCTTCTAAGAATAAGCTGTCTAGTAAATGCTCCCGCTCCGCAATGAAGTCTCTCAAACGATTCAACCTCTTCCATTCTCTCCCAACTTCATACGCCCATCAAATCATGTTGTGAGAAAAAGTAATCACCCAGATAAAATAACAAACCTCCAGACTCCTTCCCTAGAAGGCAAAAACTGAACATCATGTTTCCCTCGGGAATGGTCTCCTTTCAAAGATAGATTCAGACCTCCAAAATTCGTCCACCATAATATCCGGGCCCTCTGGACCCCTTCCTGTATTTCTCCGGCCTAGACGTTAGGTTTATTTCCGACATCCTCATACTGTTCATTGGTCGCCGCTCCATTTGACTGTTTTTCGAGCTTGACCCATCCATCAATGGTGCCCAAGACTTCCACACTCTTCTTCTTGAGCTTCGCCTGGCTCTGCCTCTTGACACGGGCCAAAAGATGCTCGAGTGGACAGACTGTCTTGTCCCACTTCTCAGTACCTTCAACGGTAGATCCTTGACAGCGATAACAGTTTCCTCCGTGCTCGATGAACAGCTGATGGAGTCCATACTTGAGGTGATCGGGTACTCGAAAGTCGCAGTGCATATAAGTGTCATTGTGATTCGCCTTCATGGGAACCCATCCCAGCCATCTAGTCATTCGATGTACGTGTGTGTCTACGGCAAAGCTGGGCATCTGCAAGTTGAATAGGAGAAGGCAAGAGGCTGTCTTGACTGCGACCTGGGGATATTTGACCAGCTCCAGCATCGCTTCGTGTGGCTCCATGACCCGGATGTGATCCAGTGTCAGTATTCCCGCATTGATCTTGCTCAGCTGGTGGTCCTTCTGTTCTTGGTTCAGTCTCGCGATGCCAGGCAAACCGGCAGGCTCTCCCGTTTCCTTTTCCTTCAAGTACGCCTTTGCCCTCTTCTTGTTGTCCATTCGAATCATCTTGAGGCATAACTTGATGGCGTTGCACTTGGTGGGCCCAAGTCCACCTGTTCGGAAAGCCTCCAATACGACATCTTTCGGTGCCAGTCGAATAGCATTCCAATTAATGCTTCCTGCACCTAGTCCGTTCACGTCAACCAGACCAACCAATCCAATGACGTTCTCTATGACCCTGTTGGCGCTTTCGCGGGTAACAGCCTGACTAATGATTGTTCTCATCATGGCATCGACCAAGCATGGCACTTCTCCACATCCGGCAACGGTGGCGGAAGCTGGCGGGATTTTGTGTGGCTGTCTGAAGTTCAGCGCCTTGCGTTTTGCAGGCTCTGCGCGCTGCTCTCTCTGCTGATATTCCGTGACGAGGATGTCGTAGACAGTCTGGCACTCCTTGGCACCAGGTCCGGGCCAGTCAGGGAAGGGTGTTGCTCCTGGCATCAGTCGATAGTCATTGTTGACCCTCCTACCAGCCTCTCTATCGGAGTCGTCAACTGAATCCGTGTCTGATTCGGGGTCTGCTTGCTCTACCACCTTCTCATCTCTCTCTTCGTCATCTGCATTCTTCGTTGCCGACTTCTTCGGCAGTCGTCGCCTCTTGGAAGCTTTCTCTAGCTCTTCTGCAGTCATACGCTGTCTAGTCAACGTGAAGACTTCCGGGCAGCTATTTGGAAACGACTCATCATCTACGCTGGTTATTGTCAGGTGATAAGCCATGCTACCCAGGCCATGTGGATGATCTGCTCTGATCTCCTGTGTGGATGATTTGTCCCCGATTGTGTCTTTCACGCGCTTGTTCCGCTGTACATGACCACCATCTTGGTCATTATCATCGGCAGGTCTTTTGGTTCCAGTAGAAGCCGGTTCAACCGTTTCTTTTTTTACTGGAGGTAGTGGATTCTCCTGGGTAGCACGGTTTGTAGCACTCCGAGTCTGCATGGTGGCAAGAGGTTAGGTAGACCAGGTGCTGGTTGATTATAGCGAAATGGTATGGGTGCGCTGTGCTCTGCTTTGGGGCGAAAAGGGGACGTGGTAGCTGTTTTGCAGCGCCCCAAGATTTCATACATCTAACTCTCGGAGGGCTTTGCTTGGATTCATATATCGAAAATGAGGAAGATGTGGTGATTCACACATTAAGGAGTTAGGGTGGAACGAAAGCAGTTTTGTGTTGTGCTAGAGCCTCAATCACTGAAGTTGTGCATCTCGGATGAAATTAATCGCGGATGAAACAAGCGAGACCTCCCGTCCTACCTAAATATCCGAGGCAATTGGCAGCCTAGAGGACTGTAAATTCATTCTGGGAAGGGAGGACTGCAAGCTGGGAAAGTGTCAGCGGGTTGGGTAAGGTACGTTATCGTTCCTTGCGCCTGCCGCTAGGCGTCTACCTATGTTCATTCACAGTGCTGCTGCCTTACTTATATAGGCAGATAGGCTGTTCCTAAGAAGTTACAAGCGACTGCCATGACTTAGCAGTTTTGGTGCAGAAGAAAGAGATAGAACACGGTGTAGAAAGGAGTTGTAAAATCACCTTGACCTTTCGCTGTGATCGTTCGTGAAAGGAGGCAAGGTCCACGACAAAAGACTATAGGCACATAAAGGAAGATGCACATGAAGCTTGAAGACACTAGAAGTTTTCTGCTGAGCTTCAATCTGCTAGGAAAATTCTTATACACCTGATCAAGAGGACATGGAAGGGGGCTCAAAGCGTTATGGTACCATTCCAAACCTTTTACCTTGCTACTATGTGAGCTGAAGCTGAAGGTGATTTTAGGACCTTGAGATGTTATTCAAACATGTGAAAGATGGCTTAGAGAATCTAGCAGTAGTGGTTCTGCGCTACTCCCAATTCAAGAGGTGAAGTATAGCCATGAATAGTGAGGTCAAGAGCAAGCCAGGCATTCTTTCTGAAGAAAGGTGATGAGTTACTTTGCACTCGTCTACCTACGTCTCCAACCGTGTCCTTGTCATCCACCGACCCCTTGGACGATCTCAATTATCTACATAAGTTGTTTTCTTGTCAGCAATTCTTCAGCCCTCAAGTTCCCCTCATTCTTTCCTGCTTCTACTTGGAAGGGTCGCAGCCCTACTCTTGCCCTCAAAACTTCCACTTCTGAAGCCCACCCATTCGCTTTCTTCTTTCTCAAAACCGAACAGATTGAACTCCCCGTATGTCTTTATTCAACTCTGAACTCTGAACCCTTTTTACCTTTTGCTCTTGACTGACGTGATCCTCAGGGCGTGACTGAGGCGAATTCGAGTATAGCCTGGGCGAGGGAAAAGTCTTGGCTGAGAATTCTCTATCTTAGGCCAAGAACCTACCAGACTCGGATATCTACACCTTTCCACACTCATTTTCTTATCTCCTGCAAGCGCTACCGTCTCGTTTGAGACTTGCATACTGTCAACGGAGAAAATCACGTGAGCGCCTTCCCTGTCATTCTCATTTACCTTGAGCTAACTCAACAGCCAAGGTCCGAATCTTCAGGCCTCATGGCGACCGTCGAATGCTCGGGCAGCAGCCCTTCTGCGGCCATCGTTGTCGACGATGATCACACTGCTGAAGATCAGGCAACGGCTGATTTCCAGCGCAGAATAAACGCATACCAGCCGCAAGGAGGCAGGAACAATTCTGTTATCACAATCTGCAGCGACTTTGATGTGCTAGAACAAGAAGAAGAAGATCTTGCCGACAAGGAGCTCAAGAACCTAATTGACCTTACTGTCGATGATTATCCGATCATCCATGTTCGTAGAAGACGTCGCCAGGCGCCCCGTGCCAAGGATCCAGAGCGTCGTCACGAGAACATCAAGATTGGCGACTTATCCATCAAGCTCAACAGGCTGTACGAGCTCGATCCCGCGCAATGCGTCAAACCGGCACTGGAGCCACAGTTCATCTTGGTGAATTCTATCACTGAAAATTTGGCAAAACATCACTTCACCATTGGCGGGCTGCCCTTCGTCAGAGCACGCTCACTAATGGCCAAGCTGCCACGAAAGCTAAACGAGGTGGCAATCGTCTACGAACTGGATGAAACCGACGATAGAACGGCCGACGATCAAGCAAGCATCGAAGTGCCCTTCTCGGCCATAATCGGGCCGAGAAGTTTACATATGACCAATGCCCTCTATCCTCATCACAGGTACGATCCGAAAGCTTTCCTCGACCATGAAGCGGTTGAGAAGGAGGGTCCGCTGGTGTGTCGATGGAAGTACTATATTCACTACCGAGACTCCAAGGAAAAAAAGGCGCACAGAGCTCATCACTGGACTTTGGAGCGGGTCAGAGCGGACGAAGTTAAGCGAGAAGATTTCAAAGTCTCTGAGAAAGACTTGAGATCAGACTGGCGAGGCGTGACAATCCGAGGAGGCGCTCATATTCCGGAGGCGCAACTCCAAGCGCATGGACAACCTCCTGAGAAGCAACAGTACACTGTCTTCGACTCATTCTGCGGCGCTGGCGGCTTCTCAAGAGGCGCCGAGAGGGCAGGCTTGAAGCTGCAGCACGCCGTGGACTCGTGGGATCGGGCATGTAATACCTACCGTCGGAACTTCCCCGCCACGAACCTTTTCGAGATGACGGTAGACGAGTTTATAGTATCCCAGAGGGACGTTGCTATGCGCGTTGACATTCTTCACCTGTCCCCGCCGTGTCAGACATGGTCACCAGCCCACACCGTCGCCGGACAGAACGATGAAGCAAACATTGCCGCCTTGTTTGCCTGCAGAAGCCTCGTCGAAAAGGTGCGACCTCGTATCTTCACGTTGGAACAAACTTTCGGTATCATGCAACCAGTCCACGCCCCCTTCTTCTGTTCACTGGTAGGTGGTTTCACCGAATTCGGCTACTCCATCACTTGGAAAATTGTACATCTTCAGACCTGGGGTCTTCCTCAGGTCCGAAAGAGGCTCATTATGATCGGCTCATGTCCCGGAGAGAAGTTGCCTCCTTTCCCCAGGGCGACTCATTCCGAGACGGGAGCCGGCGGCCTCGCTAGATACGTTACGGTGAGGCAGGCGCTATCAAAGATTCGGGTTACCTCGTCCTTCCACAACCCAGAGGACGAGGTGAGAGACACTCTGCCGCTGGGATCGGTCGTATCCAACCCCGACGAGATTCTGAAGAGATGCGTGACCTGCTCCGGCGGCCAAAATATGCACTGGTCCAACACCAGGGCCTACACGGTCCGCGAGTTCGCCAGCCTCCAGGGGTTCCCCGTCTGGCACCAGTTCGCCGAGGCACCCAAGTCCGCCCTCAAGAAGCAGATTGGTAACGCTTTCCCGGCTTGCGTTGTGAGGCTTCTTTACGAGCACCTGAAGAGCTGGCTTCTGGCAGAGGACGGCTTCGCCCCGCCCCGAGACGCCAGGCGCAGCGTCGGCGGGAGAGAAGTTGTTTTTGTGACCGAGGCGCCGGCGCCGCGCCGTGTTCCTACCCCGGTCGCCGCGATGCTGCCATCGCCCTTGCGCAACCAGGGAGACTCGGAGGACAACGCCATGATGCTCGATGAGAATGACCAGATCGAGATCAAGTTCTACGGAGATTCGGATGTCGAGATGGAGGATGTGCCCGAGGCGCCAAAGACCCCGGATACCCCCGACACGCCGCTGTCGTACTTCCGGTCCTCGACCCCGAGGACGATGTCGCTTGGGCCCTCGCCCGAGCCGCCACAGTTTGGAGTCAGAGGCTCGCCCATAGTGATTGACTGAAGAGGCACCATCTTGCTTCGGGCGAGGGACTATATCGCGCGTGGAAATCGTGCTCACTTTGATGCGTTGTCACGATTGGGAAGACGATGTTGAACGATAATACGGGAAACTGATGGTGTTGGACTATGGGTCTCCAGAGACTACGAGGAATGGGCCCAAGGACACATGTTCTCGCAGAGACGTGAAGGAACCGGGGTTTTGATGTTACACTGAATGGAAAGGAAGGACCGACAGAAAGGGAATTGTCTTTTTCTGCAGTCCAAATCTCGAGATTAATCTGCGTTTGCTCGGCTTTTCTTGTGCTCACACAATGTTCCCCTAGCATACTCGAGACATTACGCTCTCAGCACACTCTTATCAATCCAGCTGACAAACCCAGGCTTACCCTCGGGGGTCTGGAAGACATCTGCGGGGTTCCTGTACGGCGTGACGCCCGCCTTGTCCAACACGATGGTGATGTTGCTAGCCTTCATCTGTTCGGGCGTCCAACCCGGTCCGCGATCGTTGTACACGGCCATAAAGGTGTAGTTGTTGAAACGCAGGTCGGTGGCTTGCCATTTCGTGTACCCCTGGGGCTTGATGCTGGCGTCCAAGAAGGACTCCATAAAGACGGAGCGGTGCTGGGCGTTCCAGGGGCGGCCTAGGGAGCAGGCGCCACGAATGAGGGGAGCGATGGTGGCGTTTGCAGCGAGGACCTGGGAGTCGGAGATGTAGGCTCCGTACTTGTTTTCAAAGGTGGTGTTGGTTCCTAGGGTTGTGTTAGTCAACACGCCGCATATGTGTAAGATTGAGTGCTTGTGGAAAAGCTTACCCTTCCAAGCGGTGATGCCGCCGCCGCAGTTTCTCAGCGAGAGCGTCGACTTTTCAACGTACAAGAGGCCGAAGCCATACATGAAATCCGTCTCGCCGCCAACGATAGTGTCGTAAAGGTAGGCGTTGCCCAGCTTGCCGACATACAAGGTGTCCTGTAACCCGTAGAGGCCGCACGAGTAGAACCCGGCATTGGCTCTGCTCACACCCGCAGCGTGGGCGGGGCCGTTGGAATATGGGTACTCCTCGTTGCGGAAGTCAATGTTGTAGACGCGGAAGTCGGAGCAGCCAAAGGGTGTGTCCGCGGGGACCGGGAAGCCCGTGGGGCCGGAGCCGGCCAGGGTGGCGTTGAGGGTGGGACCGACGGAGAGGACGCTGGTATAGGCGTTGTCCGGGAAGCGGGCTTGGTGGTTCGTTGCGTTGAAGTGGACTTGCACCTCATTCTGGGCGTTGCCGGCGGTCGCGTTAGACGAGGAGGAGTAGGAGATTCCCGCGCTGGGTAAGTCGCTCTTGCCCAGCAGGGTCAGGGGACCCGGGCGGGTGACGTTGAGCTGCTCGATGTAGATGCCCGAGTCGATGAGAATGATGTGGGCGGAGGTGTCGTGGGGGAGGGAGGCGATGGCGGCCTGGATGGTGGTGAAGTTGGCAAACTTGGACGTCTGGCTGACGAAGAGGGTATCTGCTGGGCAACCCTTGAGGGGGTTGTTGGGCGTCTTCTTCTGGCATGCCGCGTAGGTCTTTGCCGGGCCTGTTGGGACGGCGGCCGCCGCGAGGGAGACGAGGGCTCCGGAGAGGAGGATGGATGCCTTCATTATGAAGCGACGCTGGCTTTCTCACATACGAAGACAAAGATATTCACAGAAACGAGACAGAGAGAGGCTAGAGGGAGTGGAAGCCTAGAAAGATATGAAAAGAGTGTGGTGGTTAAGTGAAAAGAGTGTGGTTTCTGATAGGTCTCTGACGGAGTTCGGGTTGGGATCCGGGAATCTGGATAGGTGCTTGCTATATAGGTATCCTTCCCGTCGTCCATTGCTACCTCGATTAGCAGTGCTATGTAGTACGCGGTAAGCTTTCCTTGCCTATATTACCCGGGGCTGGTCACAATCTCCTTGCGACACATCGGAGTGCGCCTCAGGAGAACGTGGCCGGCCGCTGGTATTGCGGGCGGAGACAAAGGTGGCACTCGCAGTGGCAGCGCGAAAGTATAACATATTGGCCCCGGGAGAGTGCGCGAAGCTTGCATTACTCGCCGTCTTTGGCCTTGCATTTCTGTCCAATATACCACCTCAGGCAGATCAGCTTACGACTCCCTCTCTCTGTCTCTGTTTTTCTCTCTCTCCCAGGTGGACGCGCGGGGTAGACGCGGAAATATTCCCCCGGGAAGCTCATCGTCCTCGGCAGACGTGTGAAAGACGATGTGCCCATGGGGAAGAGAGACATGGTAGTGCGGATAGATGGCAAAAGTTGGGGAAAATGAGGAGGTCGAACTCCAACTTTTGGGGCTCTGCAGAGCCTTGCAGGGCTTTGCAGGTGGAAGAAATGTAGCTGGCGGATTCCACGAACCACGTCTGCAGGGCACATGCACTAGCTATAAGCCACCAGCCAGCCATGCCAAAGGTGTCAATGGTGGTTGTTGATGACGCGGGGAAATGGCGACCCGAGAGGTGGACACTGGACAGTGAATAATGACGGCCCGTGGAGGGAAGGAGGGTGGCCCGGAAATCAAGCCTTCGGAACGCGGCATGGACGAAGCCAAGTCTCAGCCAGCCGGCTTGGCCTGCCGGGCGCCCCACACTGGACACGTGGGGTATACTGGCACGCCTGTCCGCTGTCCGCTGCACGCTTTCAGGGGCCCAATCAGTGAGAGTTCGCAAAAGGCGCCCCTCGCTTGGCCCTTAATTAGCGCTAGCCCGCAATGTAATTGACAACTTTATATAGTCCAATGGGTGCTCGGGAAACTCAGTGAGGGTTCCACTTATTTGATTTCCGTTGCATTTCGTCTACTCTATTTTTTTCTGCCTGTCTCCAGTCTCCAATTCCCGCTACTGTCTCATCTTGAGTTCTCTCAGCCTCTTTCTCACGTCCTCATAAGAGATATCATACCTTCTGGCGCTCTCACCCAAGACTCCATGTCCAAACCGCCCAAAGCACCTCCATTTCCTGCCAGATTTCCTCCTGCCAAACTTTTCTCGGAAACAGCGGACATCAACGCGCGCAATTATCGCCAGCATGACCCCGGTTTGGCCATATAAACCACAAAAAGCTTGACTTGTTGGCTGTTTTCCCTCCGCACCGGGGGTTGATCTGATGAATCGCAGTTCGCCTTGCGTCCCCCGTGGCTACCAGTTAGTATATCTATGCAGTACGAACACACACCGGCGAAGCTTTGCCGTCTCGACCGTCCATCCCATCCCATGTGCCTTGTCGTTCCGTTGGACCCCTTCATATGGACGGAAAAACCGTAGACCTTGCCATGTGCTCCCCCCTTCCTAGACCCCTTCCTAGTGCACTGCTCTACTTACGGCAGCCACCCCTAATCCAGTTGTCGCCGTATCATTCATGGTGAATATTCAAGGTTCTCCAAACCAAACCTTGCCGCGCCGAGAAGCTCATCCCTGCTCCGCATCGGCGCATCCCCCTCCACTGCTCCGACGCTCACCCGGAAGATCTGATATAAATCCTTCCAGCCCTTCGTAGAGTCACAGAGTGGATTCATCCTACGTAGTCAGGTCTCAAAGCCGTATTGTACAGCTTCTCCAATCATTTGGCAATTAACATCGTCCTTGGCGCTTCAGAAATCCTGACCGCCGTTACACTCTTTTTATCTACTTCATTCTTTCTTTCCTACCAGCCCAATCATGGTCGCTCCAACTCTGCTCGGCGGTCTCCTCGCCGCCGCCCTGGTCCCTCTGACCCATGCCGCCGCTCCCCATCCCTCTGCTCCCCATGCCTCCGCTCCCCATGCCTCCGCTCCCCATGCCTCCGCTACCCATGCCGCCGCTCCCCTTGCCGCCGCTCCCCAGCGCCCAAATATCAAGCCCGCGCCCTACCACCCGAGCCGCGCCTTCCCCACCTCGCCTCCGAGGACCAAGACCTGCGCAGTGAAGCCGGGCACCAACGGCAGCGATGACGCGGCCGCCATTCTCCAGGCCTTCAAGAGCTGCAACAACGGTGGCACTATCGTCCTCGACGCCTCGTACACCATCTGCTCGCCCCTTGACCTCACCTTCCTCAACGCCGTAGACGTCGCCATCACCGGCACCGTCAAGTTCTGCGACGACATTGACTACTGGCTGCCCCGGCTGTTCCAGTACGCCTTCCAGCAGTCCGTGTCCTTCTGGAAGTTTGGCGGCAAGGATGTCCAAATCTACGGCAACGGCAAGGGCACGATCGACGGCAACGGCCAGAAGTGGTACGACCTCTTTGCGACCAACGCCACCCTCCAGAGACCTATTTTGTTCGTCACTGACGGCCTTCACGGCGGCTCCATCACGGGCCTGAATATGATCAACTCGCCTCAAGTAAGACTCACATACTCACTCTCCTTCTCACCATGCCTCACGTGATGGAACAACCGCTTACAAAAAACCAACAGTGGTTCAACCTCATCGCCAACAGCTCCGAAATTCTCATCTCGGACATCAACATCAAGGCCGCCTCCAGCTCGGCTAACCCGGCCAAGAACACGGACGGCTGGGACATCTACCGCTCCGACGAGATCGTCATCCAAAACTCGCACATTGACAACGGCGACGACTGCGTTTCCTTCAAGCCCAACGCGACAAACATTATCGTCCAGGGCCTCACCTGCATCGGCACCCCCCACGGCATGTCCGTTGGTTCCCTCGGCCAGTACGCCGGCACCTTTGACATCGTCGAGAACGTCTTAGTCTACAACACGTCAATGTCCAACGCCCCGGACGCCGCCCGCATTAAGGTCTGGCCCAACTTCAACTCCCAATTCCAGCCCTCGCTCTCTGGTGGTGGTGGCGCCGGATACGTCAAGAACATCACCTACGACACTTTCTCCAATGACAACAATGACAACGCCATCACCATTAACCAGTGCTACGGCCAGAAGAACCAGACGCTCTGCGAACAATACCCTGTAAGATACTATGAGCAGGCCTCATTTCAAGTCAATTGAAACTGGATGGAGGGTACTGACATTCATCTGCCTAGTCCAAGGTGACCATTAGCGACGTCATCTTCAAGAATTTTGTCGGCACAACCTCTCCCAAAAACGACCCCGGCGCCGGGAGCCTCGTCTGCAGCAGCCCTGATGTAAGTTTCTCCTTCTGCTCTTTATCCGTCGTAACCTATTGATCGCATGGCATTAACCCCCAATATAGACATGCCACAATATCAGAGCCACCAATATCAACGTCAAGGTCCCGAGCGGCAAGCCCCCCCAGTGGGTCTGCATCAACCTGGACAATAGCCTTCTTCAAATCAACTGCGTGACCAAGGTGACCAAGAACTAGATTCCGAGTTGTTGGGCTAAAATTCGGCAATCTCATTCTGTGTATTTGGTTTTTTTTCTTGTATTCGAGAGCGAACTTTCCCGGGGACTTTCGGCACCCAAACAGGGCCAAAGTTTCCGTCAGAGAAGATGTGGATACTTCCTATATTAAAGCTTCATATCTCTCATGTCCACACACTCAAGAGGCTGAAAAATCGACTGATTGTCGAAGAAATCTTCACCTCATTAAACACAAAATCTCCTTCCTCCGTTTTGTATGTGCGCAACGGCGTCCATCCCCTCGAAATATCCGGCGATGTTTGTTTCCGTCCAATTGCCCGTCAAAATGACTCGACGTTGTCAGAAGGTTTATCAAACCTCCACACGGCCATGTCCCTCATTTCAGAAAACCGCCACACCTTGACGCACTCTCTGCCGACGGTGACAAGCCTCCCGCCGCACTTTTCAGAGACCCTCATGCTGCCTACGTTCTCCGGATCCACTTGAGCGATAAGGTGAGTAATCTCGACTTCGTCGCCGTCGCCGTCACTCTCGCCCAAGTCCACTGCTACGTCCCCGGCCGACGTGGTAGCTCCATTCCCTGGCTGCAAACCTTGATCCATCTGTAGATCTCCAGCCGAGGCACTTGGACCGCCTTCCTCTCCCTGGCCCGATTCCCGTGCCTCAGAGATAATTAGCTCCTTCCGAGGCGCCACCCTCAACAGGCTCCAGTACAGCTCCAAAAACGCCCGGATAGCGCGCGTAGCGTACCCCTTCCCCCAGCAGTCAGACCTCAGCTTGTAGCCTATCGACAAGCCCCAAGTCGAAGCCCTCGTCGTCCTGACCACGCCAATCATCTTAGTCTCGGTGGTGGTATTGCTGATGCTTCCGTTGCTGCCCGCCGGCGCCGGACGTACGTAGTCCGAGGACATTACGGCGCAGCTCAGGTGCCATGGTTTACTCTCGGGGTTGTGCGTGAGAGCTTTGAACAGCCGTTCTTTGGAGACTTCTAAGCCTGTGGTGCACGGTTGGGAGCTAGGTGACGGGGGTGTGAGCAAAGCATGTGGGGAAGAGCATTGTAAAGAGCGATGTATTTTACCTCCAGAGACACGCTTTTTCGTCGGAACATAGTTCATGGAAGTCCTGGAGATGTTTGCGTAGGTCTAGGGGCTCTAGCCAGAAGTCGAGCTTGGGTGTTTGCGAGGGCATTTTGGGCATTCGGATGTTCGCCGTCCTAATCCAACAATGAGAATGTGACAAAGAAGGAACTCAGGTGTGACGATAGGAGAAGTCAAAATACCCAAAGATTGGGTTTTTCATAGCAGGGGATTCGCGGTTAGCTATGATAGGCCTGGGGCGGCTCAGGTTGAGAGGTTCGTCGGTCCAGTGACTCACTCTTCCCTCGCTAGCTTCATGGATGGTTTAAGCCTGAGATCACTTCCTAAGGTATGGACTTATGTTGCAGCCCCCAACCCGACCTCTCAACGCCTAGATGAACCCAGCCCTGCAACCGCGTTTCAAAGTACCTGCTACACTATCTCCAGGGAAAAGTTGCCCATTGATGATGCTGACCGTGGCTGTTTCGGTTCTTACCTACCTAGGTACCCGGGGTGGGGGGGGTTTCAACATTACCCCCAGCAGGGTGTACCCTCAATGCACCTTTCTGTTTTCTTCTTTGGAACAGTTCCATTCCGAGCTTACATTATATAACCAATCTTTACCCTTGAACAAAAGAGATTATAAACATGTGTCTGAGGCTTTTGTATGTATATATAAAGGGAGATTCCTAGCCTTCAAGATCACCAAATAAAATTTACATAATCAGACTATAATACGGGTGTCAGGATAAATTGGGATACTAGGACAGGGCAACGTCCAACACCCCCCCACTTTCCCCCCAACCCGGGTAGGTATTTTGTGGAATAGTTATATTGGGAGAAGGGATGTACTACAACGTATCTAAGTGACGAGTGGACAAAATGGACCGAAGGATCCAGTTCATTTGCAGAACTTATCTTTCTCTCAGCCGATTACAACCAACAAGCAAAAAGACCGAGTTTAGGAGACATATGGCTCTAAAGAGCCTCGCAAATTGTTTTTGGACTGAAAGCTAATAACACTGATCTGTTGAGTGACTGAACGAAAAAGGCAGGAGTCGCTTCTCCAGACCCCACCCCATCGCCCACCCCTCAATTTCGTCTGCCCACCCTCCGGGGGCATTCCTAGAGCATTCCCGATAAGATAAGACTTTTTTCGAACCTCCAAACTTTCCAAGCCCCAGAGACGGGAGCTGCCTACTGACGCGACGGACGCAACAAACGCATTCTACGCCATTGCACTCACGCCATGACCAGTGATGTCGGCAGCAGGTCCTAACAAGAGACCACTGAAGTCCGCCTTCGCCAACAAACGAAAACAGGGCCCATCGGGCGACAATGGCTCGCGGCCCGGCAACAGCCGCGATGGAGGAGGGAACAACGGTACCGGCGGCGGCGGCGGCGGCGGAGGCTGGGCGCAAAAGCGCGTCAAGATCCGCAATGACCGGGAGATCGCGGCGCAGTCCTCCGACGCGGCCCTTAAAGACGGCGAGCTCGACCTCCAGTCCTTTTTGAACGCGCGCGAGTTCGAGATTCGGGCGCTCGAGGAGAGCATGCGACACACCAAGGCCGAGGCTACGAGCCGGGCCTTTCAGCAGGTGCCCCGCGGCCTGCGGCGGCGGACGGCGAGCCACAACGCCAAGAGGGTGCCCAAGAGGCTGCGTAGGAGGGCCCTCAAGGAGATGGCGGAGGATAACACGCCGGTGGTGCTATCGAAGCGGAGGAGGCCCAAGACGACGAGGGCGCGGATCCGCGCCGAGACGGCCAAGAGGTTGGGGATCCTCGCGGAGAAGAAGAGGAAGAGGCTAATGAAAGCCGCGAAGGCCAAGGCTAAGGCCAAGGACGGCGAGGAGACGGGCGAGGAGACGGGCGAGAAGGCACTTTCGGATAAGAGCAGAGTCGCAGTCACAGTCACAACGAGACCGCCGCGGCCAAAGATCCGCCGGAACCAGCTCAACGACCCGCCTCAGCGCAAGTCAAAGTTCAGGAAGCGGCAGATTAACAAGACGTGGCTGCCGACGCACCTGTGGCACGCCAAGAGGGCGCGGATGACGCAGCCCAAGAACCCGTTCTGGCGGTTCGCGATACCCCTGACCCCCAACGAGAAAACGTACCGGGCGACGCACCGGTCGCAGGGCGAGAGGGGCGCCGTCGTCTGGGATACGAGCTACGTCAGCACGATCGGGCTCTACGGTTCGGCCAGGGGCGTGGAGCAAGTCCTCCGCAGGCTCGGCGTCACACAAGAGAGTTGTTGGAACGAGAGGGGAATGAAGTGGAGGCAGGGCACACGGCACTGGACTGGGTTCTTGAGCAGAGAGGTCAGGGGCGCAAGGCGGGATGTCTGCCCGGCCACGATTATTTGGAATCCCGAGCCAGTCGCTGAGCAAGCTGAGGCTGGAGAGGGAGCGGAGACGGTCAAGGTCCAGCGACAGGTCTTTGTCAGAGTGCACCCATCCGCGTTTCTCGAGGTGTTTAACGAGTTTCTTCGGCTGGTGAACATGCAGAACCCCAGGCTCTACATTGAGGATCTGCGTTTCGAAATCGGCAGCATCGAGCTCACCGGTCCTGCATCAACTGAGGCCCTCCTAGGCATTCTGCATGCGTATCACACAGTAGAGGGATCCAGAGAACAGCATGCAGAGATCTTCGAGGGGCTGACGAGCCCTATTAGTCCCGCGTCGCTTCCCCTAAACGCCATTCTGGGTTTCTACGTCCTGGATCCGCGCCTTCGCTATCCGCCGAGGAAAGTCGCGCAGCCCGACATCAACGACGAAGGAGAGCAAAACGATTCTCTCGACCTTCTAGCAAAGTGGCCCGCAGACGTCAGCCTGAAGCCCTACAATCTCTTCCACAGAGATGCGCGTGCTTCGGCCACCAGACTGCCATCACAAAAATCAGTCGACAAGCGCAAAGGAGCAAGGCGTCCGGGAACGGGGCTGGGCGTCTCGGACGCCGACCCGCCGATCCCCGTCATACTGTTAGCATCACGCACGACCGTTACCCGGTCCCAAGGGAACTGGACGGTCCTCGCCCCGTGGAGGTGCATCCAGCCGCTGTGGCACAGCCTGGTCCATTTCCCCCTGAGCTCGGGCGGCAACCCGCGCTTCTCGGGCTTGGACCAGATCCGGCAGGTCGCGTTCGAGCGGGGCGCGCCGTGCTTCCCTTTCGACTTTATCGCTACCGACGCCGGCGCGGCGTGGGAGCTGGAGCAGCGATCCTTGCGGAAGGCGGCGTGGGAGCGGCGGCCGAAGAGCAAGCGGGTCTCATGGGCGTCATTGGACCTCGGCGCCAGACGGAAAGGGGAGGTTGGCTGCGGGTGGGCGTGCGATGTCGAGGTTCTGTTCCGGCAGAAGACGGCGGCGACAATGACGACGAAGGAGGAAGAAGAGAAGAATAAGAAACGGGCTGCGCCAGACGCGGATGAGATGGACGTCGACGAGCTTTCCGCAGAGGAAGGTCAGGAGGAAGCCGCAGCCGCGTCCGATGCCGCGTCGTCCGAAGGGGACTTCCTCAAGACGCTTCAGCAGATTCGGAAAGATACCTTCCGGGCGCATGTATCATCGCCGCCGTCGTCAGCAGCTTCGTCATCCCCTTTACCCCCGAGATCCATCATCAATGTTAAGATATCCATTCTCAACCGCGGCGTCGTCACCTCCTGCGCGAGAATCTATCGCCTTCCCCCGCGCCCGACGGCCACCGTCCCAACATCATCCGCCGAAGTACCCGCAACGGCCCCTCCGCCGCCGCCGCCGCCGCCGCCGACGAAGTCCGTCGTCGAGGGCGGTAGCGGCGGCAGCCTTTTACCACCCGATCTCCGCGCCCAATGGCTCGCCACGCTTCCCAACCCGCCTGGCGCGAAATTGGCCAAGAGCACCCGAAAGACGAAGCAGCAGCAGGCCAACGCGGACCTGCAAACGCGGAAGCAAATGCTAGCCAAGACGCTTCTCGCGTCCCCCGCGCAGGAGGCGTATCCCCCCGCGAAACCGAACCAGACGGACATGAACGGACACCCCCTGATCCCTGGCGAGGAAGACCTGATTGGCTTCGTGACTACGGGGTCGTATTCGCTCAGCGAGGGAAGGGGCACGGCTATCGGGTGTTTATCGGCCGAGAGGGCTGCTGAGGCGATGAGGGATGGCGGTGGTGGTGGTGGTGCCAGGGAGGGGACGTTGTGTATTGTGCGGAATGCCGGGGAGAGCGTTGGATGGATTGCGCGGTGGGAGGTTGTTTGAAAAAGTACTCAGTTTTTGCACAACTCGAGACTCGATGACCTGGTGAACGGCATACTGCAGTTGCGCAAAATTTGCAATACCCAGCTGGACACGCATTGGTTAAAGCGGACGTCGGCCACGGGTGAAGACCATAGATGGAGATGTCCCAAGGGCGTCTTTATAGCCAGCCCCGGAGAATAGGGTCTTCTCAGGATAAAGAACAAGAACCGACAAGGGGAATTGATATACCCATTAGCATTTCGAGATTACGCCACGTCATGTTCCTCCCCCGAGTGCCATCTTGTCGTCTTTGCTACTAACCTCAGTGGACACCTGCCGTTGGAACGGCTACCCAGGCAGGGATTCCAAGGTAAGGTAGGGAACTGAGGTACCAAATCCCCGGAACATACCACCACCCTTTCATACGCGACGAAAGATCGACGCATTCGCAAATCTTCACTAGGAAAGAGAGAAGTCCAAAGTGAAAGAACAATCGACTATTTTGACGAGTGTAATCTGTCCTGTGCTGTCCTGTCCAGTCCTCCTGCTGAAATCAAAACAACATGCATCTGGCTGAGATATCCTGCCTGGTATACCCGCTCTGCCTAGGCTGGACTCCGTAAGAACGGAAAAGGCCGCCTGGATATGGGAAAAAACAAATGGCAACAACTCCTTTTGACCCTGCTGTGAACGCCGTCATTATATCCCCTCCCCGAGGGCAAACGCGCCGCTTCCAATGGGGTGGATTTCTTTTCAAACACACGATAAGACTTCATCTTCCACTGACTCGTCCAACGCTTCCGGCGGCTGGTAGACACCACCTTCATCAGCCCCTTATCGGAAGTCAAAGCTTTGAGATCATAGGCCTCTCGATATGGGTTGCAAATGCAACCACGACGGCGACGCCTTAGTCTTCCTCGCTGACCTCGCTCTCCTCGGCATCACCGCTGTTCGCAGCCTCCAGCTCCTTCTCCAGCTCCGCCTCCAAATCGTCCTCCAACGCATCCTCAAAGTCGGGCTCCGAGTCAACGTCCATCTGCTCCACCTCGCCCTCGGCATCCTCATCCTGGTCGTGGTGCTGCTGCCGCTGCGCCTGGCCGTTCATCGGGCTCGGCAGATTGAAGTTTGCAAAATCGCGCTCCTCCAGGTCCGACTCGCCGTCGGCATCGTCGGCCTCGGAGTCCCGCAAGAAGTCGGAGAAACTGCGGACCTGGATGTTGGGCGCAAAGGCGGGCGAGAAGTCGGGCTTCTTGTTCTTATGCTCGTCGGGGTACTCTATCGTCAAACCAAAGTCGTCGTCATCGTCCTCCTCCTCCTCGTCCGAGCCCGCGGGCACCTTGTCCTTCTTCTTGGCCGGGGAGGCGGCCTTCGGCGGGGGCGCGTCGTTGGTCGGCAGGGCGAGGGTGATGTTCTTGGGCGCAGGCGGTGGACGGGGCTTGGGGGCTTTCTTGTTGCTGCTGGCCGAGGGCCGCTTGGGACCGCTGCTGGCAGCGGCTTTGGAGGCTGGCTTCGGGGGGGGCTTGTCCTTGCCTTCGACGGCTGATTTGCGAACCTCGGGAGTGGCGGTTATGGAGGTATCGAGCTGCTCGAACTGCTGGCGCAGGGTCTCGGGGTTGTCATTGCTCGGGGTGCGGGTGACGTTCATATGGAAGGTGGAGTCGACCTTGTCGAGGATGAAGGCTTTCCTGTTGGGGTCGAAGTAGAGGACATACTGGTTGTCGTCCATGGTTCGAGTGCCGGCGTAGCCGTACATGCCATTATTGCCGTCGGGAAAGGAGAGGTCGAAGCTCGACTTGCTGCCAGGGGTTTCGGGTTTTAATCTGGCCGTCGCTGGCTCCGAGGCTAGTTCTGGCTTGTGGTTGTCTGCGGTGAGGCCGCAAGTTGTCAGTCAATGGCGTCGTGATCAAGGATGGGCTCTGCCGCGGATATCACGTACATCGTACAGAGGTAAAGACCTCCTTCTGGGTACGCCCGAGGAGAGTGTCACTCAGGATGACGGGGTATTTGCCCGTCTTCGTCGGGTCGATGAGGCCATTTAGGTTTTTGGGGACGGCCTTTTCCCTATGGTTTGGACGAAGAGCCGACATTGTGGCGCCTGTCGCAAAGAGGGAGTGGTGAGAGTGAAGTGAGGAGGGAGAGTGGAGGGAGAGATTACGGTAGGCCGATGATCGTTGAAGGCAAGTGGGGAGAGGGGACCTCGTAGGGAGATGATTAGAGACGGGACTGGGGGGCCGGTCCCTTTGCAGTCGAGGCGCTTCAGCCGCGCTTCCGCTAAAGTCGCCTGCAAACTCTAGAATTGTTCCGCGGAGGGTGCGCTGATGCTCCAGCCGTTCAGGCAGAATGGCCGAGACCGCAGGTGGGTTGCGCTGCTAATAATGCAGGGTGGTGGATGCGGGATGAAAGCCCAGGGATTGAAAACCGACAAAAATGAATGTCGGACAAGAAGTTGATGGAGAAGGTGATGCGATTTAACGAAGGGTTCCGGGTTCCGAGAAGAGCAGAATTCTTGTCATTGATTTTGGTGTAAAGGACTCTAATGGAGAAAGTACAAAGGTTGAGTCTGAGACAGGTGAGGCGAGGCGAGACGAGTGAGTTGAAGATTGGAGATTGCAGGATCTACAGGTAGTCGCTTAATTCATTTCCTTCTGTTCCAGTGCCTTCAGCTCGCCGTTGGTGACCTTTTAGACAGGCTGACGCTTGGACGCCTGAACCAGCAACAATGAGAACACCGAGATCTTCTATGGATTGCTGTCCAAGAATGAATCAGGCTACCATCAAACTTGAAGGAGTGATACACATTTCATTTTCGGCAGCTGGGCTGCTGACTTGGACCCAAGAATAGCCTTTTAAATCGACGAACTTAGAAGGCCAAGTCATCCGGGTAGGTACTACCTTATATTCTAACTGTTCCTAGCCAGATTGAAATCTAGCTTACTCATACGCCCAGCAGAAGATAGCCCGTACCCAAGAATGTGGTGATTACGATGCTGTCCAAATGAGGCCCTCGTAAGCTCTTAAGTTGGAAGAGAGCGGTATTTCTTTCCGCTGCAAATGCTGAGCGTTCAACGACAAAGAAACATGACTATATGCCTAGCATCTCGTTCCAATATTGTTTGAGAAAATATTCATATTATTCACCCAGGCCATCAGGGGGCGATGCTTGCTCGACATTGCGCTTCTCTCGATGACAAGATCCACGTCTCATACCTAGCCAACGCACTTCAGAGATGGCACAACACAGGGAGATCCATTTCTCGACTTTCCCCGTTACCCGCCAGAGCGCCATACTTGGCGCTAAGATTGGGTTCGTCCTTATCTAGAACCCGCGGGTAGCCGAGGAGACATCCGGGTTTTGCACGGCTCGATTGAAATGTCCCCTGCTCAGCATTGTCATCCCCTCCCCAGCCTCCACATGCTATCAATGAGATTGCCCTAGTCCTCAATATCCAGTGCAAGCCCTAGAAGATATTCTGTTCGTCAATTGATTAAACATGATCGATGCATCGTGCCCATATCGATTACAGATCCCAGGTAGTAAATTCATAATGGCGGGGAAATCAATGGTGTTGGCGGCTTGCCGGGGTGAGCAGTGGAGGGCCACCGTTCTCCACATTCCTCCCCCAAGGCCCCAACCTCGCCCAGGTTCACGTCAAAGCTCCCCCGCCGCTGCCCCAGGCTAGAGAGGAGCATTCAGGCCCTGTGGCCCTCAATGCCATCATGGCCCACCAGGGGTAAGCGCAGACAACCTCGGATCAAACAGCCACATAAGCTTCGGCAGCGAGCGGCCATACCCTGCGTCCATGTGTTCCCCCTCTCCCCTTGGCCGAGACAAGCTCCAGCATTGCTACGGCGTAGTAAACATTTTGTAAGATTTTTCTCTTCCTCTTTCCAAACTTTTCTTCCTCCTGATTCGAGTGACCAAGAGGGAGAGAGAGAGAGCACGAGGCATTGAGACTGCTACAATTACAAGATATCGTTGATATACCCCAAGACCATCCACATCTCCCCTCCTCATCTCACTACTCGCCTTCCACTCAATTGACCTGCATACACCTTCACGGTCATGTCTGCGGCGCTCAACCGAGGTCTCAGGACAGCTTCCCAATCGCTGCGTCTCCAATCGCGAAGCGTCCGCCTGGCCACTCCCCTCCGCGCCGGCGTCGCCTCCACTAACTTTGCCGCTTCTTCCACCGCCCGCTCCGCCCCTCAACAATCCCACAACTTCACCACCGCATCTGTGAGACAGAGCGCTGCACCAGCCATGGCCGCAGCACGAGAGTACGATCCTGAGATCAAGGACATTGCCAACTACGTCCAAAGCTACAAAGTCGATTCCGAGCTTGCCGTGAGTTCCCTTTCTCCCTATTACTACCCCCCTCTTCCTGCCGCTGTCGGGCCTGACCTGCCCGAGTTTTACCCCGCGTCACAACCAGATCGCCGTCGCTAACCGCCGCTTTCATGAGAACAGTTCGACACCGCACGATGGGTTTTCCTGGACACTCTGGGCTGTGGTCTTGAGGGTCTCCGCTTCAAGGAGTGCAGCAAGCTGCTGGGCCCCATTGTCCCCGGCACCATTGTTCCCAATGGCTCAAAGGTTCCTGGTACCGACTTCCAGCTCGACCCTGTGAACGGTGCCTTCAACATCGGTGCTATGATCCGTTGGCTCGATTACAACGACTGCTGGCTCGCTGCCGAATGGGGACACCCTTCCGACAACCTGGGTGCCATCTTGGCCGTGGCCGACTGGATCACCCGTACCAATAAGGCCGGCGGTAACATTGCTGGTGGTAGGCAGTTCACCATCCGCGATGTTCTCGAGGGTATGATCAAGGCCCACGAGATTCAGGGCTGCCTGGCTCTCCTGAATTCGTACAACAAGGTCGGCCTGGACCACGTTGTCCTCGTCAAGGTTGCCAGCACTGCTGTTGTCTCCAAGATGCTCGGCCTCAACGAGAAGCAGATTGCCGATGCCGTCACCCAGGCCTGGGTTGACGGCCAGAGCTTGCGGACTTATCGTCACTCCCCCAACACCATGTCCCGCAAGTCGTGGGCTGCCGGTGATGCCTGCCAGCGCGCCGTCAACCTGGCTCTCAAGGTCATGAAGGGCGAGCAGGGCATCCCCACCGTTCTGTCTGCTCCCGTTTGGGGTTTTTACGACGTCCTTTTCAAGGGAAAGAAGTTCGAGTTCCAGCGTCCTTACGGCAGCTACGTCATGGAGAACGTTCTCTTCAAGGTCTCCTACCCCGGTGAGTAGTTTTGGTGATTTTCGCAATCCTGAGTTTGTCAACTGATCAGAAACAGCCGAGTTCCACTCTCAGACCGCCGTCGAGGCGTCCTCCAAGATTCACCAGAAGCTCAAGGAGATCGGTAAGTCGGCAGCCGACATCAAGGGCGTCACCTGTCGCACGCACGAGGCCTGCATCCGCATCATCGACAAGCAGTTCAAGCCCATGGACAACTTCGCCGACCGCGACCACTGCATCCAGTACATGGCCGCTACCATGCTCGTATTCGGCCGTCTCGAGGCTACCGACTACGTCGACGGCAGTGAGGCCGCAACCTCCCCTCTCGTCGAGTCCCTGCGCCAGAAGTTCAAGTGCGTCGAGGACCCGCAATTCACCAAGGACTACCACGACCCCGCCCTCCGAACCATCTCCAACGCCCTAACTGTCGAGCTGAACGACGGTACAGTGCTCGAGGAGGTTGTCGTCGAGGCACCTCTAGGACACCGCCTGAGAAGAGAGGAGGCCAAGCCCGAGATTCTCAAGAAGTACAAGAGACACTTGGAGCCCCACTTCGATGCTGGCAGGGTCAAGCAGCTTATCGACCTCGGCCTCGACCCCAAAAAGTTGGAGGCCACGCCTGTGGATGAGTATGTCGATCTGTATGTTGCCAAAGACAGCAAGTTCATCTAGGCGGCGACGCATGAAGGAATTATATGAAAAGGTTGGATACTATAGATGTTATGTTTCTACAGGATTTAGATAGGGAAATCTGACAAATAGTGTTGTGGCGCTCAGGAAAGGACCATCTTTTGTGCAACAGATCTTTTTGTGGTCCTCGTATCGGTACCGTTTACGACGCGCCGGTCAGTGCGTGTGGTCTAAAGAGGATATAGATATGGAAGTTAAAGGCGACACGAGTATTGTTGGACACCCGGCTGGCTGCGCGCTAACGGCTTGTCGCTGACGAAGCCGCCCCTGAAAGAAGCTCCCACGGCTGGCTCCCGACTCGGGCAAGTGCTGCCCAGTCACGGCCAGGTTGCGGGCACAGCCTCCCCGAGTCCGCTCTCGGGAATGATTGGCTTCGTCGTTGACCTGGATGACTGATGATCACCAAGCCCCGTTCCCTGAGCTGGAGTCTGGGCAAGTTCATCGGGCGCATTTGCAGTGAACATTTTTCTTGGAACGGTGAAAATGGGGAGGATGACAAGAGAAACGGCTAGCTCGGGTCACGGCGTGTTTGGTGTTTCACAGGCCAGACACTTTTCGTTTTCCAGAGTGTCATTTGGAACCACCGGGACCACCTAGAGGGACTCGATATGCCTGGCGTGTTACCTAAGCCGCACTGCCACTCACCTAGGTGCCTAGGTACTAATCGCGCTACTGTACCTCCCACTTGGCCCTCCACCAACAGCGCCACTTTAGTCCGTCTTGATCTCCTGTTCGGACCTTTACTTCACTCCGACGGCATTTGTTTGTTCTGGAAACAACCTCGCCTCCTCAGATTTTCCCAACGTCTGATACCCTCTTGCTCTACGGCTCACAGAAGTTTTTTAATCTTCTGACCTGAATATCGACCACAACGCTCAACTTTCTCCTACTCCCCTTGAGCAACCCTTGTGATAGCCGACCTCGATTCAAGTGGAGTTAGTCTCACAACAGGCAACATGGACAGACAAACCATCATTGAGACCAACCGGTCGCTGCGCACCATCAAGAACGTAGGTCATCTCTCGACGCGTCTTTGAGGTATCGAGAGCGCGTGGAAAGCATCGACCGGCTCTGGCCGCTTTCCATACCGATTCTCTCGATATCCGCCCGATCCGCAATCCCACGGAACCGCAGAAACACTCGTCTAACATCCCCTCCTCATCCAGGAACTCGAGAACCTGCTCGAGAAGGGCGTCATCTCCGAAGATGCCTACGACAGTATGCACGCCACCCTCCCCGCCGAAACCCCGCTTCACGGCGCCGCATCCCGCGCGGCCCCCAACGCCGCGACCCCCGTCCAGAACAACAACTCTTTCTCCCCTCCCCCGACCGCCGCAATGGCGGCCCTCAACGTCAACCCGACCCCGTCGCCGGCGCCGCCATCCTACAACCAAACGGGTCCCCCGTCCCTCCCCGCCCGCACCAATGAGAAGCCCGTTCTCGCACACGCCCGCGCGCTGTACCGCTACGCTGGCGCCGACGCCCGCGACGTGGCTTTCGAGCGGGACGACCGCATCGCCATCCACGAGTACATGAACGCCGACTGGTGGATGGGCCGTAACCTCCGCACCGGCCAGGAGGGCATCTTCCCCAAGACGTACGTCCTCGTCGAGCAGGACATGGCCAAGGGCGCCTTTGCTCCCGCCCCGGTGCAGCCACAGTATGCTCCCCAGCAGCCGCAGTGGGCTCCCCAGCCGCAGTATGCCCAGCCTCAGGGCCCGCCGCCTCAGCAGAACCCGTACAATGCGGACGTGCCGCCTCAAGCTGTCGCTGATCAGAGCACGGCGGGTAAGGAGGGTGGCGGCAAGGGCGCCGAGATGGGCAAGAAGTTTGGAAAGAAGCTTGGTAACGCTGCTATTTTTGGTGCTGGTGCTACTATCGGTTCCAACATTGTCAACAGCATCTTCTAGATGTGTGTTTGACTGTGAAAGTGCTGATGATTTTGTTGCTATTGCCGTTTTTGCTATGGGACATACTCTATGGGTCGATGGAGAGCTCTTTGCTCGGGGATGAACATGTTGGGGGGAAAGGGTAAATCGCTCTTTCTTTGTGTTGTTTGCTGGGATTGGGTGTATTTCAATCCTTGGGAAAGCCTAGCCGGGTGCTGATGCCTTCTCGGCTGATGTTGCTTGAATCGGTTTGCCGGTGAAAGATGGTTTTCGCGGGATAGACTGCACAAGTTGGGCACGCTCATTCTTTTTTTACTCAACGAGGGTTTCTTCCCCCTTAATCGGTCATTGGTTAGGGCGTTTATTTGCATTTTAGGCATTTCCACACATCAAAACCATCTTACGCGTACATAAAGCTACCCGGTGACGTGATGCTGTTGCGTCCTTGAGGGTCTTCCACGTGTTGCCTTTCGTCATTTGTCGAGGTCAATTTACACGATGTGAAGTATCGCAGATTGGCAGGCCAGGCTTCTAGTCATGTAAGTGGCTACTGAAGGGTGTCCCGAGGACTTGAAGATGATTGGGGGGCTCGAATGATTTGGGGCCAAATGAGGCAACAAGTGGGAAGGGCCAAGTTCAACCCGGGGTGTTGCTGAAGTATCTTGAATCCTTCCCACCACCTTGGTCTTCTTGCATTGTCTGGTCTTGCCAATATCCAAAACGACACAACTCGTAACTCGAAACTCCAGTCAATACGCAAGCTTCGGAGAAAGGGGAATGGAAAGGGGAATGGAAAGGGGGGTGTTGGTGGGCGAGGAAGGGGAGGGGGCGACTTCCCGGCTCGGTGACCCCGGATCCGAGTTGGTCCTGGCTTCGAATTGTCTTTCCTTCTGGTCGTAACCCGTCTGACGGGTGTTTTTGATCAAGTACGGATACAAGGGGGTGGTGAAGGAAGTGGGGGAGGCTGGCTCAGAGGCCCGAACGGACGTCGGAGGGTGGATGGGGGAAGGGGGAGAGAGTTAGGACGGAGGGTGGTCACGGCGCGACGATGCCCTCGTTTTCCCTGTCTTTGGTATCTGAGAGAGAAAATGAGAGAAAGAGAGACAGAGAGAGAGAGAGAAAGGAAGAATAGAGATTGGTAAGGTCGGGTGTTTTTCTCCAATCGGAAGGCCATGTTTGCTCTCTCCCAGTACGCCTTTTCTCCCTCTCCCTCTCGGTGTTGTTCTTTTTCCATCACTCCCAACCTCTCTTTCGGATCCGGGAGAGCCCCGGTAAATGATGCCAAGTATGTGAGAGTGAGATTGTACGATGACGAAAGAACAGCGGCAACCTTTGACTTTCATCTCTCGACATCTCGTTCGAGGCCGGCTTGAGGGAGGCGGTATATGAAACCCTTTTGAGCTGCTAAGCTTCGTGTACCGAGTTGCGTACGTAGTGCTAGAACTACTACCTCTCCGTTCGGCATGCATAGCCCGGGTGCAATCACCTTCTTTTCCCCAGCGAACCTGGCAAAAGGGATCATGCCTTGAGGGAGGTAGTTTCGGGGAATGCTGAGGACCTTTTTCCTTTTCTCTCTGTCTCTCTCCTACAACACTTATCACATCCCACTCATCCCGTCCGTACACATACACATACACAAACACAAATACCCACCTACCTACCGAGAGAGGCGCGCGCACGAGCGCACATACCATCTCCCCCATCCCGTCAGTCCCTCCCTCCCATCCATCTCTGATACTGATACGCCGGTGTGAAAGTGCGAAGCAGCCTCTCTCGAGACTCGTCTCTCCTACTCTTCCACTGCCCTCACTGCCCCGCCCCCCCATTCATTCATCCAATCCGTTCCCCAGACGATATTTCTCCGTCCTCTTCCCATCCCAGTCCACTACCACAACCCCAGACTCGTCGATCAACCACCCGGAGGTCAACTACGTGGATGAACCCCCTTTCCTACCACCTATAACGGGATGGATCAAGGTTGATCGAATCACGACAATCCTCTCTCGCTAGCGGGTCATTCATAGACTTTTTTTCGTTTTTGCCGTTACCGAGGCCATGGATGAACATGTGCTCGATCCGGGGAAAGGAAAGAGACGGGGGGGGGGACGTGAAGTCAGTTCGGGCACGAACTTTTACCCCGCGCCCTTTCTTTCTTTGGTTCATACTCTCCCCCATAGCCCCCTTCCCCGCCTAGCCGGGGAGTTCTTCTCATTGACGGGGAGGCTGTCCGGCGGGGGGAATAATCTGGGGAGGTTTGAAAGAATTGATTTCGGGGATGCAGCTGAGCAGATCGAGCCTCATTTGTTGGTCCCCCTGGAACTTGCCCTTGGGCCAGAAACCTTCGTTTTGAGGTATACGATGAAGTTCAAGATTAGCAGTGTATATTGGCGTGCTAGACTGGATATTGTCACTTTTACTGGCAGGCGAATCAGCTTGTCGCCGTAGGGTTGCATTACATCATTTCGTGATTTGAGAGAGACAACTGTGGTAATCTTCTAGCAATCACAAGATGAAGACGCGTCACGGGAGGGACGGCGATAATTCGTGACAAAAAGAGGGTTGATATTCATTCCACTATCCAACTTCCTCGCCCTCGCCGTGTGAAGAAGACCATAGGCCTGCAGTATCTTAGAGAACACAATCCTCTCTGACAACCAGGACGCGAGGTAATGAACAATCACCATCCACACCAAAGGGCCAAACAACCTCGGATCCACTGCTGCATGTGTGACAGAATGGCATCTAAAGTGTCAAAACCTTTTCCTCCCCAATTTCCCGCAGCCATATCACAGCAGGAAATGGGAAACAGGATAGTGAAGGGGACAGGAAGAGCGAAAACGCAACAAAAACACCGTCTACTAGCAGGCTCCGAAATCGTTCCCACCCATCGCTGCCACCCCTTCCTCCCAAGCGTGAAATGAATAGCGGACCCAAATCGAGTTCCGGGTCTGGCGCGAGTGCAAATCATACACAAGCTTTCTCTCTCTCCAAACCCTCCAGCCACACCTCGTAAGCGACGCCCCCATCCTTGACAGATTTCCAAGAATGGCGCTCGCAGTTCTGCTCCGCTCCGGCTTCTACAGCGACGCTGAAATGCTCCTGTCTCCGTGTTGAACATTCTGTCGTTTCTTTTCAATCTGTCGTACGCTTACGCTTGTTGCTCAGACTATGTGCGCTGCCACAAAATAGTCCTTCGGGAGTCGCGTATGCCTTACATCGGCCGGGCGATGCCAATGGGGGTACCCATCTTCTCATCCTGCCACTGTGGCCGCTCGTTGTTCCAGTACTGGTCGTCGTCTTCGAGCGTCTTCGCCGGGATGACGCTAGGCTCGAGGCGGCCAGCGGTCCAGGCACGCATCGGCTTGCCATACTTGTACATGACGGGCAACAGCATCGAAACACCCGCGAGGGCGGCGCTGTAAATGCCAAAATTCTTCAAGAATCCAAGCTGCTCAATCCAAGTGGTGACATTAAATGACATGATGAAGCCGATGATGAGACGAGATGAAGACACGTTAACCAACACGGGTCTAAGTATACGTGTTAGTTACCAGATTTTACTACATCTCAAAAGAGCAGATTCACTTACCCTGCGAAACGGGGGTAGCTCTCAACCAAGTAGACGGCGAAGATGGTGTTGGCGGTCAGCAGACCGAAGCCGATCAAAAAGATGGCGACAAGTACGACAATCGACGGCAGAGTTCGAATATTCTCACCGGCGTAACCAAACAAGATCGGACCGACGATGGAAGCGAGAAGCGGGAAAATCAAGCTGAGGAGATGGGCCTCGGGCTCACGTCGGCCTCCGTTGCGCTTGGCGACGTAGTTGGAAATCTTGTCGGCCACATAACCACCGAAGAACCAGACGAACGGACTGGCGATGACAATGGGGATGACGGCGAAGCCGAGCGTCTCGAACTTCCAGCCTGCGGCAATCAGGAGTGACGAACCGACCTGACCTGCGGCACCCTGCATGGAGACGAGGATGGAGTTGATGATGATGACCCAAATAATATTGGGGAACAAGGTCGTCTTGAACATGTCAATGATGGACTGCTTGGCCTCCTTCCACTCGTAGCCATAGTTGAAAACACCAAATTCTTCCCAATTGGAGCGTGGGCGGAATGTCGACTCGTCAACACGAGGGCGGGTTTCGCCAGGGCGCAGGGGGTAGACCTCCTTGCCAGCTGTGCCAACGTATCAGATGTGTGTATTGATTTAAAGGCGAATAATACTTACCAAGCTCATCGTCGCTGCGGATCCAACGGGTTTCGGGCACGAGCAAAATCAGACCAACCCAGGCGAGCACACCGACGCCGGAAGTGATCCAGTAGATGAAGCGCCAAGAGAGACGAGAGACAATGATGGGGCTGTGACAAGTAGTTAGTGACTGCAGAAGACCGCTAGTCTACTTGATGAGTGTTTCAAAAGCTTACCTCATAATACCCAAGCTCACAATCAGGAGACCTTGAGAAGCACCGACAGAGGCGATGGCCTTGTTGCGCTGGTGAATGAACATCATGTCCTGGATAATCAGGGGGATCAAAGCCTCAACGGCACCCGCTCCGAATCCCTGGAAGCAACGGGCAGCCAAATGGCTCCCGAGTCCCTGAGAGAAGCCGGCCCAAAGACCGCCGGTCCATGCGAGGAAACCAGAGAGCAGAAGCACAGGGCGACGGCCAACGGCGACTGAGAGAGGCACGAGCAAGTAGGAACTAAGTCCGTTAACGAGCAAGGGAACAGAGGCCAACAAGGCGACTTGGTACAGTGGCGGGCCGCCAAGGCCAGCAAGCAGCTTGACGGGGTCGAGGTTGACTTCACCGGGCTTGTTCAAGGCGCCGATGTCGATCTGGCTGAGAATGTGGGGGTCGATGCCGGAGTACTCCAATACAAATACGGGTACCAGAGCACCAACAATGAACTCAGCCGCGAGGGCGAGAGAACCGACTGCGAACGAATCAGTACACAGCAAACCCACCCTGACTACCAGACTTACAGAAGCAGAGAGCGCCAATGGACGTCCATTTTCTCCAATTCGGCAAATTTAGGGGATCTATCAGGCTATGTCAGTAAACGCTCGCATCTCGAATTTGACCCCCCAGCCCTTGAACTTCGACCGATCTAAACTAACCTTTTGGATCCGGCGTGGGCATCGGTACATATCGAATAACTCCTCCCTCGAACAGCTGCGTCGATCCCACCACCAGGGCGTTCGGGGACTCGACCCTCTGCACATTGGCGAGGTTATCTGTAGACTCGGTCCAGCCGCTCTTTGACGCCATCTTGAAAGTCCTGTCCAAGGAACTTATCTAGATTTCGGGAGATCTCGTCTCGTCGCCGTGTTTACAGAAGTGACAAAGTATCGTGGTGTGATGTCGGCCAATTCCAGTCTCTAAAATCCTTTTGATCACGGAGTAACTTTCGTATTCCTCCCCGCGGAATGTTGTCGTCTGACTAGAAGAGCGAAGAGGAATCCAGTAACTGGAGGATGGCGGCGAGGGTTTGGAAATATACTGTTGCATGTCGCCGTGTGGTGACAGGTTGGCATGAGGGGCGAGCGCTCTGTCATAGGCCGGCCGCGGTTAGACGAGCAGTCTAATCTGAGACGAAGGCCGATGTGTGCAACTGCGCAACTGTTTGAGCGCACGGAGCACTATACGGGGGGTAAGGAGGGATAGACTCGAAGCATTTCCAGATTGGTCAACTCATGCGGACGTTTGGGGTTTGATTTGATTTGGGTGGGATGGGCGGCTTTCGGATCGACCTAATCCTGGCCACGCATCTGTTGGTGAAGAGCCTATTCGGGCAGTACGTCAACCTGGGTCTTAGTTAGCAACACTCGACAACTCTATAGCCCTCCACTGGCCCACACAAACAAGACAATGGAGCCCAAGTCGATCTGCCCCGCGCTGAGCCAAACCAAACATGCTTACGAAATGGTCGCGTTGGTCTGCCTTTGCTGTGTAGAGACACTACTAGACAAAGTCTCTTTTCAAACGGACCAACGGGGAAGTGAGACGTCGATGCCAGCCAACGCGAATCCGGTTCAGCACGACAATCAGAGGAGAGAAGGCTGCCATGCCATTTCTCGGGAAAGCTCTGGTCAGCTCATCACTGCAAGAGGCCGGGCGTTGCGAGCTTGTTGAGATGGGATGGTTGCAAGTGACGGCACCGTCGACCACTGAGTCACTCATGAACCGCCAAGATCCCACTGTTGTAAAACTCTCAGATACGGCGAAGGGTTTTGAGTTGTTGCGATGGAGGGGTGCGTTGGCCGCGAATTGGTTCGAGCTGAAACACAATCACAATAGTCTATGCAAGGTCAACCCTTGTCTCTTCGTCTTGAGCCTCAAAGGAGTCCAATCCGGCGGCAACTTACTGCAGACCAACGGCAGCGCAGTGCTCGGAGAATTCGAAAAATAACGCCTAGAGGTTAATTTCGACGAGCCGGCATCCAATTGACATCCCACATTTTACCCCGTATTCTGCCATATATCACCGACGGTGATTCATGGCATACATGGCGCTTGCTTTGCGGGCTCAACATCCGATTTTGATGAGAGTCATACCTTCTAATGCGACGCCAAGTCTTCTTCACATCCAGCAGTCTTCCAAACATACTTCCAGATAGATGAATATTCATTAGAGGCAGAAGCGCTGGCCGCCATGTTCCATCGCTAGTCTCGGCCCGCTTTCACAAGCTGCCGTCATGGGATGAGCCTCGGGCCAATCTTCGAATCCAAAAGACCCTGCTAGTGGCGTGTTTGTCTCGTTCGGATTTCCATGGAAAAACCGTCCTACTAGCTGACCGACACCAGACGCTCATCGGCGAAAAAAGTATGTGGAATAAATCGTCCATTCGTGTCAGGTCCCCCCATTCATCGGGTTTCCTAATCGGCACTATGTGGTCCGCACGTCTGTGCCATGAAATGCTGCCATCCGTCCACCCGTCATCGTAAATAGGTATTGAGAGGCCACGTTTCTCTCGATAACAGAAGGAAATCTCAGCAGCCAACGCTGCTATTGCACTTGTAAAACCAATGAGTGGTATCCATGCCCGGTATGTCCCCAAACCTCCAGACTCCTTGTAAACATCAATATCCTAGGTATCTGTACGCGACGTGAGAAGCCAAAGAAAAAGTGGTTGCAAGTGATGCTATGAATCGAAAGCAAGCGTTGATGCGAGCCGGCGGCGAAACCATATTAGTCCCCAATTGGGGGAGACTCGGGAAGTGATGCCAGGATCTCATCCTGCGTCTCGGTATCGTCGGGCCATGTTGGTAGAATGAGTGACGCGTATTGGTCACCGGTCTGTTCCTCCAGTTCGTTTCGGAGGATTTCGATTGCAATCAACCAACGTCGTTGCAGTCTCTGCTTGCGGTCATTAGAAAGTTTGACCAGGGTATCTTCTTCTTGCGCAAAATCCGTTGCCAGATTCTCTATCTCCTGCTCTTTCTTGTCGGTCAGTTTCTCGAGTTCTTGCTCCTGTCGTTCCAAAAGTTCCTCCATGCGCTTAGCCTGTCGGTCGCGCAAAACGTTGATTTTTGCCTGATGCAAACGCTCCATGCCGTCTCGCACATTGTACTGTTGTCCCAGCAGACGAAGGTCTCTCTCCGTAACTACTCTTGGTGGCAGGTCGGCATTTTGAGTGCGGCCGAGGCCATCGCAGTATGCCTCCATGTGCTTGAGGCGAATCTTGACGCTTTTCTCGCTCTGGTCAAGGGTTGACCTCAAATCCATCTCTGCCTCGATCTGACGTTCTTCCAGGTGAGCAGCCGTTTTCGCGTGGCGCTCCTTCATTTTGTCGATCTGGTCCGAGTATCTGTCGGTCAAAGCTTGCTTCTTCTCGGCTTGCCGCGTCCACATGACCCATTTCTTCCTCCTCATGTATACTCGAAAGCGACCCATTTCCTCAATCATCTCGCCTTGTAGTGCGGAAAATTGCGCATCCTCGCGGGTCCGCTTCTCGGCTTCGACCTTTTCGGCGGCTTCAGCAGCTGCGGCTGCTTCTTGTGCAACCTTTTCTGCCTCTAGTTCAGCATTCCTGGCCTCTTCTTCTATTCTCCTACGTTCCAATTCCTCGTCTCCGTTGCAGAAGTTGGGACAGCCAACGGACGGATCCCAGATGGCGCCACAAATGTAGCAAAACTGAGCCTTGCATCTACAGGTCATGTGGGTGCAGCCCTGGCTCAACTCGACCAGTGTGCGACACTTGTAACAACGTCGCCAGCCAGACTTCTCGCCCATTTTTAGGACGGCTTCCAGTTCCCAATCAGACGGACAATCTTTGCCGACGGGGTGGGCGTTGCGTTTGCACATCACGCACACTCGTGTCCGACATTTACGGCACACAACGTCGAAGGGGTGCTTCGGCTCGATTCGGTTGCGAGGAGGGATGAATTCGCCACAAGCTGTGTTTGGACAAAAGATTCTAGCTTCCCAGGGCGTGCTGAACTGCAAAACCGCCTTCAAAAACGCATGTTGCTCCTCTCGGTTGAGGATCTTCTGAATGATTGATCCCGGGATCGGTTGTGTGCAGCATCGAGGCGGCATCTTTGACTCTTCTGTCGTAGCTTGCTGGATCATGATGCTGAGACATTCGGCACAGTACGTATGGCCACAAGGCAAGCTGTGTAAGGCGTTCGACTTGTTGAAGTCATTGCGACAACATATGCAAGAACTCAACTTTGGTCAGCGCGCAGTAATTGGAAAACATATCAGGGAGGCAACAAACATTGTAGATTCCAGCAAGCCAGACTTTCTCTTCCATCGTATCTTCCTCATGCCCTCTTTGATGCTGAAGTAACTTCTTCGTGAAGTCACACTGAATAGGCTGTGTGCAGATGTATCGTGGGGAATGGGTGGAGGTGTCTTTTGAATTTTGGGTTGATGCATATTTGGATCTATTTGCGATAGATACTTGTCATATTGGGAGAAACTGAGGCTCTTGGACCGTTTCCTGGCGAGAGACTGTGGAGGTACGTCGGCGGCGATCGGAACTGCGTTTAGAGAGGGATGTGAGGTCAAGGTTGTACTGGCCGAACCCCGCGAGGCAGTTGAGAAGGTTCGAACATGTTGGGTCGCGATGGTTGAGGTCTGCGATTCCGCGCTCGACGTGTTGCGCTTGTCGTGTGAAAATCGGGAGGTTGAAATGCCCAGGGCAGTTGCCTTTGCCAATAGCTCCTCCTCGACAATTGCTTCTGACCTTTGCGACGACAGCCGCAGCACCTGGGCGCTATATTCTGCCTCGCCGTCTTCTGGGGTTGTCATAACAGGCGGCAGGCGGGCTATGTCCGGAGATGAGCTCGTCTGGCCAGCGAGCGAACCCATGGCGGGCAGAGGGGTCGGAAAAGAGGAAATCGTCAAGTCAGGGCAGCGCGAGCAGAGGCATCGTGGTTCGGGGCTCGGTGTGGTTGACAGCTCTCCGGACCCTGCCGGCCAGTCAAGCAGACTCCTGTCGTACGACTAATTGGCAATTAATGCGCAGATGGTTTGAAACGGAGGTTGCAGGTACTGACTTGACATCGAACGGATCAAGTGAGGCCGGAGAAAGGATGAACCCACGAGGCAGGGCAACCACAAGGTCTGTCGAGCAGGCGAAATGGACGGCGGCAATGATAGGACGAGAGAAGAGCCAAGGTTTGCAGATGGTGGTAATGGGCAAGGAAGACCCTAGGGCAGGAAGCAGGAATAGGTGCGGTGGGATATCCTCTACAGCGCTGAGCGCGTGGAAGGGTGGTGGGTTTTCTTTCTTTTTGGGTGAGAAGGCGAAACGGCGAATTGGGATGCGGCCTGGACCGCGAACGTGACTGAGGGGATAGGAGGATGATGCAAGGTTTCCGGTTTGGTGAAGGAGGGGAGCTGAGCGTCGCTGTACCGGAAATACGGTCGAGTGAAAGGGCGGTTGATGGCAGGGGCGAAAGCGCAGATCTTACGGACCCTTGAGAATGACGAGGGGGCCTATCCGTCCACGGCAGGCTAGAGATGGCGCGGGGAGAGGCAGCGAGGGCGTTCTACCACCTTGTGGTGAGATGGGTGAGTCGCGGGCGGGTAGGGGCCGTAGGTTCTGGAGACCGCGGAGGCCAGACGGTATTCGTAAGGGGTGGGCTCTCTAAGTTGTCGATAATCAACGTCCCGATGCTAACGTTTTTGAGCCAAGGTCCGAACGGTGGGTGCGGTTCAAGTCAGGTAAGTGTGTACGGTGAAGCGTTGGAATGAAAAAGATCGCAGCGACACAGGAGGTTCAAGGCAAAGGGAGGATGATGTGGGTGGACCTCGGTTTGTTGAGCACGTTGCCTATTCTTTTGCTTTGATGTCCTGCTATATGTTTCTGTCGAATCCAAGAAAGAGTCGGGTGAGAGCGGGACTCGAGTATGATTTGTTGGTGGTTTGTCGGCTGATGTGTGACGAGAACGACAACAGGACTGCAGAGCGTGAGGGAGAAAAGGAGCCTTTGCTGGAGACTGGCCAGGTGGGAATCGGAATCGCAGGGTGGCAGGGCGGCAGGGCGACAGGGGCGATGGAAAGTGTACCGTCCAAGGTGAGAACAGTGGCGGGTAGCAGGCCCAGCAGAAAAGGGAGCAGTCGGGTGGTCGCTGGCACGCTGTGCACTTTCAATTATGGGCTGAGTGCTGGAGGCTCGGAGAGGTAGGCGACTGGGATCACGTCGAGGCCACAAGACGGCCGGTAAGATATGACAAAGACGTCCAGAAGGACATCCGAGGGCAGGCATCAAGACGCAGGTAGGAACCACTGCTTTGGGAAGGATTGGAACAAACTGGAGAGTGGAGGGACATGGTGACATGGGATTGGGCTTCTGGCTGTTGGCGCCACATCCGACATGGCCTGATTCCCCATTTCCTACATGGCTGGGGGGGCCAAGAATGAGATACCGGTAGCTACTTACCTCAGGTCCTGGGTAAGCAGGAGGGTTACTTACTAAGGTTGTGAACAAGTACCGCCAGGCCGGGCTCTCTATATAAAAGATACACAACAGCAATCGCACCTTCCTCTGTGGATACCGGTACAAGGCCCCGCCGGTGCCGCCGCCACGGACAGATACGTATTGAGTCTCGTCCCACATCACCCGCACCATCTCAGGTCAGCCATTGGATCCCAGTTGGGAGAAGAAGGTAATTGGGCGCCTTCCCTATCCCAAGCCCGTCTTGGGTACATTACATCCCGTGCGCCTGACCTAGGCACCCTACGGCTTGCCTGCCTTACCAGAGCAAGGAACCTTCTTAGTGCTTAGGTTGGTCCTTTGAGAAACGAACCTACCTTACTAACTAACCTGCCGCAGAAATATACCAGCGGCAGATTTGCATCTATTGCTTGGTTGGGCTTGGACCTCAACGCCGACAACTATTGGAAGCTGGTCCCGACCAAACCACAATGGAGTCTCCATCCCACATCAACCATGGACTTCACAATCTACCGGCAGCCCCTTTGACAAGCCTCCTCCATATGGTACTGACGGGCGTTAGGCGCCGAACGGTGGACCGACTGACTTCCACAACGCCACAGACTTGAGGTACCTATCCTGGACGAGATCCTGCTGATAACACTCGTTGTTGACCCCTCCACTGCCCTCCTGTGGCCCCTGCCAAATGGCAGGTCGACCTACGAATACCTACAATTCCTACTGCTGCCCGGCGGTGAGCAAACGTGATCCTCCCCAGATGCATGCTTCTGAAGCAGCCCAGATCAAGATTAAACATAAAGTCGTAAACGCATCTGATTCGTTTGCAGTTCGAGCCATCCTCCTAAGTATATGGAGTCGTTCCCCCTTTCCTTGCCATCGCTGACGGCCTCTTTGCTCGTCTGGCCTGTTGCTGACAGCACATACAGGTCTTCTCCGGCCTTTATCCAAACCCCGGCTTAGGATCCTGCATGGTCGGATGGGAAAGATCCGCATGATTCCCAGCGACCTCTCGAGCGCCAGCCGTTTTCCAAACCTCCGACATCATAGGCACCCAGTCCAATTGGCCAGTATCAGCAGGCGTTTCCAGATGATTTGCCGAACCCGAGAGTCAGTCCGCAAACAGCTTGCAGCGACGCTTCGCATCGCATCGTGAGCTTTGGCCGGTTGAGAGGAAACGTCCGAAGCTATCCGTCCCCATGGTCTATAGGTAGATATCAGCCCACTTTCTCCAATAAAGAAACCCCATCCCCGTTCCAGCCGACCGGGATAAAGCTTCGCGAAGTCCCGTCAACACAAACTTCTGTCTCTCATTCACAATCGCGTTCGTACATTCCCACCCTACTCACTCTACGCGTCTCCGTATCCGCCAACGGCAGGGGAAATGGCTGAGGTTGATATTGATGTTAATAGTGTCTATGCAAAAGAAGTTGTTTGTATTCCAACTAGGCCATGCCCACGGCAGCATAGAATCCAGAACTGGTCGCCGGGCAACTGCATCCTGGGCTTTTCACACATAGCTACGAAACAGCTTCAATAGGACCCCCCAACGTTGAATCCCGCTTCTCCAACAGCTACATGGGCAGTACATGCGAAACTCTGAGCCATCCATTGCTCGCCACTTAAGCTTTGGAAACGTCCGTGACACTCATATGGTCGATAATAAGGTCGGTAGATGGTCTGAGCTCCCCACAGTTGTCTTGACAAGGGCCAAAGTAACCCATGACTCCAAAGAAACCTCCAATACTCCCCAAAGACGAGCGCCTTGACTCGCCAGAGGATTCTCGACCGCGGCGGAGGAGGTCCAATCGCGATTCTACTCCACAACTCTAATCGCCCTCGGGAAGCATGGCTCTCTCACCCTTTCCCCTATCCCCTGATTCCCCTCATCGACAATTGGGGTCCAAGTTCGCGCGGCATACGGATACTCACCGTTAGCATGGAAAGCCCGCACCGTATCGGCCCCACCATGCCCGGTCCGCTGCCGGGTTCATATCCGGGGTTCATCTTACTTTCACCAGGAGGCCAAGATCCGCTTCCGCTAGACTAGCAAACAAATCATCCCCATGCACAGGCGCCAAAGTGGTCGCTCCCTGGGCCGACAATTGTGTCTGTTTTATTTCTGTCCGTTGGTCATGGGTACCTTTAGCTGTCTCCAGATTGGTGACGGTCAGCTCTCCTCTTCGCCAAAAGGAAACAGAAGGATGGGGGGTCAAGGCAAAAGGCAAAAAGGCAGAGCTAAGGCTCGAACTTCACCGAAGCGCAAGAACGGCCGTGGGATGATGGGCCACTAACAGCCCAAGCTTCCCGGCCACTCTCCCTTTTGACTGATGATTCTTCTGGGTGGATTATCGAATTATATCACGTATTCAGCGAGGCGTTCTCGACCGAGTTGCCGCTGAGAAACTGCTTACTTCTCAGGCCTTTCCATTGTCCTGAAGACGCTCAGACGAACGAACTACCACTATCGAATCCGTTGCTACAAGGTAGCCGTGAAAGTATCTAAGCGGTTACGACCCTTTCTCATCCTCGAAGCAATCCTTTTGAGATTTCTACACAAAGCCACGTCGTTGTCGCTCACGCTGTCGCTTACTTGCCTACACCATTCACTCACTACCCGATGTCTGTCGCCACGCATCAGGAAACATGGCCGGCATCGGTTGCCTACCTTGATTTTAGGCAGGCGACATGGCGGATGACCCCTCTCCGATATTTGAGGCAAGGGGTTATCGTTGTCAGCATGTCCCGCGGGAAGAGGCTCGCCAGCTGTTTCCTCCTCATGTTTCCATACATCTTTCGTCATCGATGCTCATCTCACCAACTAGGAGCAGGACTTCACCAGACGTGGGCTCCCATTCGATGGTGGAAAATTACCAAGGTCTCGAAGCACACCGCTCTTCAGTTGTTATAGTTCTTTGCCTCTTCCAGGCCGTTGACTAGCAAACACAGTATGGAACGAAATACCACCCTGCGCCCGAGTCAGTCAGATGCGTTTCCCACGAAAGCCGGAGTAAGGGTGACCCCGGCTGCCCTCATCTGCCCAAGGTCATTGGACGCAGTCACGGACTCGCCAATCTGATGGGATGCCTAGCCGTCCTTTACTGTCGAGAACGTGAGAAATCAGACTGTCGTTGCTTTACTTAGTCGAGAGAGCTTCGACCCTCCTCTTCCGCGATGTCCGGTTAGCACTTGATCCGCTAGTATTAGTAGCTTACTCCTTCCAGCCTGTCAAACTCTCGAGAGCCAGCAAAACCCTCGCGGCACTGATATTGGGCTGATTCGCTGGAATTCATTGTACAGACAGACCTCCGGCTGGCCCAGAATGGTGCAAGAAAGAGGAGGAAATAGCTTCCCTTCTGCAGCTGCTGACTCTCTGATATCATCAGCCGAAGTCTTTTTTTTCTTTTGGGTTTCTACTACCTTCCTCGCCATGTCACCCTGTTTTCACTGCGGCATCGAAGTGGCATCTGGCTTTGAACCAGACTTCCGACTTTGACGTTTCCGGCCAACTATCCTTTTTTTTGCCAGTCGATCAAAGGAAAGCGTTTCCTCTAGCGTCTCTGTGCAAATAATAACTGGCGTTCCCCAAGTTTGTTGCCCTTTTCGCCGCCGCCCATTTCGATGCATTGGGCAATGATCGGGGCAAATTGGAGCCGCCACCGGCGTCGGTGCTGTTTCGCTAGCTGCGGGCGTGGACCTTGGTCGCAGGCTATCAGTTCACAGAGTTTTAGTGCTCCTATATTTGAGCATGACTTCGGGTAGGGCGGCTGGGGCGATATGGAAGACCGAAATACCACCGTGGCATACCTGAAAAGACACGTCGAAGAAATTGCCATTGAATCTCGTTGAAGGAGAATATTCATCTTTGTCTATCGATCTAGTGGGAGGTGTTGGGTATAGGTAACATTTTGTTGTACAGGGGTTCTAGCCACGCAACGAAAATCACCAAACTCGTTCTAGTGAGCTGGAAGATGTGGTATGATGTCCTATACGCAGGAAGAACCTTGACAATTTACAAGCCACATGTGTTGTACAGAAATAGAATTTGGGGGGGAAGAGTAGTCATTGTAGACGACAAGTCGTTTGGGGACATGTTGTTCGTGGCGCTCGTATACTTTTCGTTCTTTGCGCCTCACGTCTGCTTCCGGAAACGCCGCGTACAGTCCGTTCCAAGGATAAGCATTCGCATAGGCAATGATCTTTGAACAGTCTACCTTTCAGCGGTCAAATGCTCGCGTTTTTTCCTTCTCTGGGAAAAGATGCCGCCGCGGCGCGTACGGCTTACGCGCAAGGCTGGAGGAGCACAAGACAGTGCTGGTTTTTTTTTTTTTTTGGCGGGGGGTTTTGTTTTTGCGTTGTTTCTCTGTGCCATGCCCAGCTCGTTGGAGGTTGTCGAATTTTTGATTTGTTTTAAAACATTTTCCCCCTCGCAATGCCAGGCTCACTGAAACCACTTCTTGGTCGTGCTCTTGGCGTTCGCCGCCGCCGCGGCCTTTTGGTTCGTAACGCGCCGAATCTTTTCACGGTTCCTCGCGTCCAGCAGGCTACCCGGCCCGTCGTCCTGGAACCAATGCTGCTGGCCCAGTGCCTGCTGCTGGGATTGCGATGACGCGCGGCTGTTCCGCGTCAGGGGCCCGCGCTCGTCAAACATCATCTTAACGCGCTGGACTTTGCGGAGCTTGACGAGGCCGTACCAGCAGACGATGAGGGAGCAGATTGTCGAGGTGATTGTGACGCCGGCGAAGCCCCAGTTTGTCTCCTCGATGAAGTTTTCGAGGTTCATGCCGTAGAGGCCGGCAAGGAAGGTGCCCATTGCGAGGCCTAGGGTGCCGACGCTGAAGCGGAGATCTAGGAGCATAAGGGCGTTGCGGTTCGCGTCCAGGATTGCGCGGATGCTAGAAATTTCATGTTAGTGAAGTATTGGTTTTCTCGAGGCTGAAGGATGGGTTTGAAATTGCAAGGGGGAAGTATGGGTGTGCGTACATCTCCTCAGTGTTGCGGATTCCGGACACTAAGTTCTGAGCCTCCTGCACGATCTCGTCGCAGAGCTTGTTGTACGACTCGAGCAGCAGCTCCACCTCGGTGTGATCGTCGACACCGCGGTAGAGGTCGTGCGCCTTCTCGGTAAGATACATGGCCGCCAGGTCGTCGTCGGCCTCGAGCAGCTCCTCGATGGCGTCGCGCACCAGCTTGGCCTTTTGCTCAAAGGTGCTCACTCTCTTGGAGAGGATGAGGAGAACGCGAAGCTTGTGCCGGTCGATATCGTGCTCGAGCTCGCTGAGTACGCGGATGACGGGGTCTCGAACGGACTCGAAGTCGGCCTCGAGCTCCGAGGTGACGGAGGTCAGCACCGCTTCGAGGGCGCGGAACTCGTAGGGGAGGCCGCCGACGCCGCCTTGGACATTCTTCTGCTTGAGCTTGCCTTGCAGGTCGTACATGAAGGCGGACTGCGGGTACGACGTCTTTGAGCCGTAGACGTCGAAGAGGAGGACGCGGTCCTTTTTGATGAGGACTTTGAGGTGGAGCAAGTTGAGGAGGATCGCGGATTGGCGGACGAAGATGTGAGGCAAGTTCGACGAGTCAATCTTTCGCAAGTCGCGGGGTAGCAGGCCGTACTATATAGCATTATCTTCGTCAGCGTCGTCTCGATGACTGTCTGTCCCATGGACATCTTCTTACCTTTGCGATGAGCTCCGTCTTCTTGAACTCGCCATCCACCAAGATGACCTCGCCATTCTCGTCCACCTCGGTGCATCGCAGCCTAGGCTCGAGCGCGGCTTTGGCGGTCAACACGCGGCGGTTGTTGAACATGGACCCGGCGCCTCCCTCGTCGTGGAAGGGGAGGTCGTTGGGCTTCAGCGCCTTGGCGCCGCCCCAGCTCCTGATGCCCCATAGCTTCTCCTTCCACGTCCGACGCGGCGCCGAAGAGGAGTCGTCGTCGCCGCAGGCATTCCGTCTTGTGCGGGTTGTGCTGAAGAACGCGACGGTTGAGGGCGACGATGCTATTACCAGTGGTTGTTCAAGTGCTCTATGCTTGCGGCTTATCCGGGTAATAACAGGCGAAGAAGCCGGGAGCTCGGGTCGTCTGCAGCTCGTTGTCGAAATGGTTCTCGTTCCCGTCCTTTGGGGTCGCTTTGCGAGACAACGGGGGTTCTGGGCTGGGCGAGCTGAGCCGCCGCATCGAGAGAGACAGGCGGCGGCTTCGATGCCTTGGTTTCGGCTGAAAATCGAGGCCTCCGTTTGCGACCGCAGGAACCTGAGCAGACTTGTCGAGGGTACTCGAGCCTGCATCGCGGGAGACATTGCGGGAGGCATCGCGGCGGACCTACACTGCACACAATCTCCTAGCTTGGAGATTCGATATCTTGTGAGGTCGTCGGGTCACTTGCGCTGGACGGTGTTGGGCGAATTGACAACGCGAAGCTCAGCCATCACTCAACTGACACCAACTTTTTTTTGATCGTTTTACCGCGCAGCGAGTTTAAGGTTGAGACCACGCGCACGGTCCAGGTGATCACATACAGTCTTTGATGTCATTCGGCACGGCCCTCGCACAGTAAAACCCCCACTGGAAATCTCGAGACCCTCCTCAGTCACTTAATTTAGCGGGTTAAGAAAAGGCGGCATTGAAGGGTTTTCATGGAGAACAGCATCTCTGGAATTCTTCCGATTAGTCACAGTCTTTTTTTGTTTGACTTTTTTTTTTTGAGCAATAATTTAACTGTTGAGCACATTCTCCATCTGGAATCCTGACCAGTTCTGATATTTGGAGGCACAAGGTTTTTCACTTACACCATTCTTACCTCAGCTCCAGTTTACCTTTGAACCATCTTCATTCAAACCCCTCTCACATGAAGGTCTGCCAAGCTTGGCAGTTTACTTCGACTCTCATCTCTGAAATGAGACCGCAGACATAAAAACCCGCCTGGGGATACGAGAGAGCGCAAACGGGGAGAAGCGGCTGTTCTATGGGCAGATCATGCCGTTGACCCCGATCAAAGTCCGAGGCAAGCGTGGCAAAGCCGCTTCCTCCTCCGGACCACAGACCAGGGAATCATCAGCACAGAAACGGACGTCACGCCTGTCAGGTCGTCTAGTCACCAAGCGCGCGTCAGGCCTCGAGCAGGTCCTTCCCCTCGAGATCATCGAGTACATATTCATACTAAGTGAAAATCTCAACTTCCCTCGTTGCAGCCCACGCCTCGGCTGCCTGCTCTCTGGGCGATCTACGCTCGTCAACCTCGTCATCACGGCTTTTCATCCCACGTGGGACTGCTGGTTTGGTGTCGACAAGCGAGTTATCAAGACGGCTTTGAGGCAAGGCGCGACAGAAGACGCCCGCGGACTATGGCGTTATGAGAGCTCCCCTGAGTTCTTTCCAGGTGATTCTGCATTCCAGGTCCGATTCCACGTCACTGCCCGAGGCTTCCTATTTTGCTGATGGTTTAATCAGTCTTCTCTGTTGAGCAGTCCATGGGTGAACGTGGACATCATCTTTGAGGCTCGACAGGTCTGGGCTTGGCGCTTCGCCCGCCACAGGTGGTACTCGCATTCCCACGTGGGCCTGAAAGATGAGGAAGCAGAGCCGAATAACCCCCTCGAATTACCTCACGATCGAGTCGGGGGTTTCGGTCACTTTGATTCCCGCAGCTGTTTCGAATACGACTGGCTCTCTTACAGCCTCAACGGCTCCAAACCAGCGCTCGACTTCTACGTCGATGTCCATCCAAAGACGACGATCCCGGATGACCTCCTCACCGGTCCGTGGACGCTCGAGCAGCAAAGGCTCCTTTTCTGGCTCCGGAGAGGCGGCGCGAAGACTCAGCCAGAAAGTCAGACTTGGGAAGTGAGTTGATCCCGGCCTCCAGGGGCTTTTACTTGTGCGGATCACGAGCTAAATTGAACCGGTACAGACTCTTCGCATCGGTCTTCAAAATGCCGTCACGCATCGTAATCCAGGGAACCTAGACGGCCGTCTGATCGAAATGCTGCTCCTGGTGGAAGACTACTTCCCCTCGCACGCGCTGGAAGACAACCCGTCGCTGTGGCCGCTCGAGATCCTCGAAGAGGAGCACGCCAAGGTCAACCGACTGCTGGCGGCGAGAGCCCGCAGCAAAGCGGGGCCCTTGTTCGAGCTCATCGAGCTTGAGAAGCGAATGATTGCATACCACCGCCGCGTGATCGACCTGCTTACGTCGAGACTTGGCCGCCATGATCGTTTGGCGCCGCACTCGATCATGGCTGCTGGTCTCATGCCTCAGCCGCGGAACCATTGAATACAGTGGGTGGAGAGGAATGACCTACGCTTTTAAAAGAATGGGCCGTTTCTGCATATGATGTATTAGTGTATGGGAGTCACACGCTTGCACTAATGCAATTCTGGGCGCGTGGGCAACGAGACTTTTGAAGGAGGCTATAGATAGCCCTGAGACGAATTTGGGGTCAAGTCCTTCAAAACCGAGGATTGGCATGAATTTTTTTTTCGAGTTTTCGATTTTGTGATGCTAAAAACCGAGTACTGAACAAGTATTGAACCCAAATGTTTTGTCAAATTCCTCTTCAATTGCAGAGACAGTAGGTACTCAAGGTCAAGTCCCATCTGGAGTTTGAAAGAGACACGAGAGCGTGCCTGTCATGGGTAAAGACGATGCCTTTCTATTTATCAGCTAAAACGGAACACTAAAAACTACACAGCAACTCTTTTACTTGGCGATGTGTTCCTAGGCCGTAGTAACGAATTCGTCGAAGTTATAATACAAATGAGACACGCTTGTGTGGTGACAATTTGAGCAAGAATGCCAGTAGTAGGCAGGCATAGATGCTTACAGAATGGTACGAGGATGCAAAGACACCAAATCATCTCTGCAAGTTGTCTCTGCAGGTTGTCTCTGCACTCATAGCTCTGGGTAAGTAGATTTGCTACTTTGCACTGGGAACTCTTAACATCACAACTCAACACTCAGTCTCCACAACTGCCAGAGCCCCCCACACCAGTCCTTTCCGGCTTCTCCTTCCCCAACAAGCACAGGAGCAACTTGTCCTTCTCACAAGCATTCCCAAAACCTTTCTAGAAGCAAACCATCGCGAAAAAACACAAAAAATCATATTTTTCTCCCCTTCCAGAATCGAACTAGAGACCTTTCGATGACAATGTAACCATTACAGTCGAACGTGATGAACCAACTACACCAAGGGGAGGATCGGAGCCAAAGCCCCGCTCGGTGTTGGGATCAGCAGGGCGCAGTTGGCTTTAGATACCCTCAACGATTCTCGCAACTTTTTTCTTTTACAGCCTTCTGATTTTGTCCCCTGATGATATGGCTTCTGTTTCGAACAGACATTTCGAGAGTTCGAGCGTTTAGGCTATCATACCACAGCTGATCTGAGAGTGTGAGAGTTGTCACGGGGCCAGTAGAAAAGTAGGAACCGGCTTTTCAACTGGAGGTTTGCTACCTATCAGGGCAGTAACTCTGCTTTTCTAGAGAGACGAAGCACTCATACTACCTGATCAACCGTCGTCCCCGGGGAAGTCCCAAACCTTGACCGCGAAGTTGAGGAACTGGCAATTGTACGCAGGCAATCAATCCTCACTCGATGACTTGCTCCTTGGGATAAAATATACATCAGTAAAGGCTGGGATGGAAGGTCCTAACCCACAGTTGTATTAAGCGACCCTCCGGACTTGTAGACGGAAGTGCAAAAGTGCAGCAAATTGCAGTTCGTGAAACAGTGACACAGCCACTGCGGTTTGAATATCGGTCTCCTCGAAAAGCATTGAGTGCCCCTTGTTGAGAACTATGAAATGCGCGTACACTTTGATTTGAGAGATGTGTAGGGGACCAGCTTGGATCAGTCTCCGATAGCTGAGGTGGTTGAAGACGTGAGGGGAGGATTTAGTAACACTTGGCAAAGATTGATCACAGGCGGGGAAGTCCCAAAGATTACAGCTCAACTACTCGTCTATAGCGGCGATGGACGATGTGAAATCTTTGTAATGATATCACACTCAGACAAGAAGCTACACATCCTTCAACCAAGTACCGTGCCAACGGTGTAAAGTCCTGAGACATATCGGTCCACAGAAGAGACCGCCTACCCGGTTTTTGTATAGACAATAGCTGCAACAACGTCACACATATATCCATTCTTGATCGTCTGATGACGAAGGTGCTAGTCGCGCCACAGCCATTGGATGTACCTGGACCATACATGCCGTAACGTACAAGATGATCCGATAATTTCACAGACGGCAAGCCAAACTGACACCATCGTTCCTGCGGTTTCTAGAAACAGGGATGGCTATACGACAGTTTGAAGATTAGATGAACCTCGAGGAAACCTCCCATTTTGGGAGTAGCAAGTCAGCAAACGACACACATACACTACGTTTCAATGGCCTCCGCGAAGACTTCTTCGGTCGTCCAACGCTACCAACAAAGAGAAAGAGAGCCCGCTCGGCTTGATGGATACCACGTCATACGTCCAATCAACCTGTGACCAGAGTTGCTGGAGGATATGCTCTGATAAAATGCCTTGGCAAGCTCATTGCTCTTACTTGACACACACCAAAAACCATCAAGTATGACGTGACCAAAGAATAAACAGCAGAAGCAGACCATCTCTACTTGCCCGAAACAGTCTCTCACCCGTAACCCCTCCCGCAGATCCGGCATGCGGCATCCGAACTCATCTCACCCCAGCTCCAAAGGGCGCGCGCAACAGCAACACGGCATGACAGGCCATCAAACTTCTGTTCCCCTCTACACACCATCCCCAGATTTTCCTGATCCCAAATGTGTCCACCTCCAAGCGCCGGATCTCTCGGGGACCGCTCCACGATACCGGCCTGCGTTTTGACACATCGCCGAGTATACAGGCGGCACGGGCACGTACTTACGTGTTCCCACACCAACATCCAGCCAACTTTACTCCCAAACCATCTCGCCGAGACACCATCTTGGAGATAACATCGGTGAGCTGAATCGGGCTGGGCGTTGAGCAATCTACTTCCCATCATGGCATTCCCGGTATAGGAGCTTGCTCTGCGCTGGCCGAGTAAGCAAGACGGCCAAAAAGGCCACCGGGATACCCGGTTCAGAACCAAAATCGCCGACTGGAAGGCATCATTCACACCGATGGGGTAGGTTTCCCCGACGTTGATTAAGCAAGGAAGCCATTGTCCCCTTCCCCTCCCCCTCCCCCCGTTCCGGCGTCCCAGATCGGGTGTAGCCAAATCTGACATTTTCACATCCAAGCTTGTCCACTCCACTGCCTGCTGCCTCCTACAACTTACACCCTCTCGCAGACAAGAAACCCTCGGAAACTTTTTCAAGAATTAGCATGCCTGCATCCTCATCACATTTGACAGCAGGCAGACAGAGAAGGGCCAGGCAGTAGCGTTGAACGCTTGACAAACCGCCCCCACCCCTGCTCCTTATGAGAAACCCCCCCAACATCACCGTCCACGACATCAGTGACTGCCTGCCTACCGGGCCGAGACGAGCGAATATCCTATCCAACCTCACAACCTAGGCTTTTCCCCTTGAGCCCCATCGTGACATCAAAGGTAGCCTGCCGTCCGAACAGAGATGACACTTGTCGTCCAAAGTTCCCAAGAAGGGCCAGGCCTCGAAAGCCCTCGTGTAAGGCTTCCTCTTCTGTCACGTAATCATAACCAAAAGTCCATAACCATTCCCCGTATCGTTCTTCCACCACTAGGTGACATTTGACCCCCCACCCCTTTGTGAATCCCCTCAATGCAAGGAGACACTAGTCTATTCGCCAGCTTGCTCGGGCCGTACTCCAAAACAGAAAGAGGGAAACGGACTCCTCCTCCTTTCCTCCTTGTTACCGAATCGCGGTATGCCGTTCAACATCATGCTGAATCATACTCATCCCTCCCCTCTCCTCCGAGAACCCCGAAACGGCGCCAAGCACCGTTTCACGCATGACCCTCTCAGACTGAGTAGCCAGTCCTCCAAACGAATGAGAACCAGGTGGTGAGTTTGCCACTTGGCATACTGAAATAAATTAATAAAAACAAATCAACGAAACCGCTTTTCACATGACAGACCTGTAAAAACTTGCCTTGCCCAACCCCACCCTCTTCCGCATTTTTCACCGCCCAATGTGTGACCAGGGTAGGGTAGCAAAACTCTTTAGGGAAAAAAAGCCATACTGGACTTCCTTAAGCGGCAAGCGGGAAACCCACCAGCAACTGACGGTTGGGTGGTGGTGAACCGCTGGTAGTGGTGTAGTTGGATGAGCAGCGTGCCGCGTCGGCGGCCACGGGCGCGGTATGACTCACACTCGCTCACTCGAACGAACTCCACCCAACCGCGCGCGCCGCGTTATCGCCGATGAACCGTCGGGCGTACCTAGTAGCAGCACCACCACCGCCGCCAAATGACGTCTCATCATTTCTTCAAGGGTCAAGTCAAAAGCAATCGACCAGGTTCGCATTAGGCCCTTCTCCGTCTCGGACCATCTAGACTGGGATGCCGTTGCCAAATCCGTTTCGAGAGCCCCTATTCAGCACGTCGAGAGGCACCCAATGTCACCGTATTAGTCGTGCCGACAGACGGGCTCATCGGTAATACTCCGTTGATATTAGCATTGGCAGGTACACTATGGTAACTGCTCTCACAATAGCACATGTCAACAAGGCTGTTTCCAGCACTAGGGTACACAGACGGAAACTCGGTCCCAAATCTGGTGATATTGATTTGATAGGCCAGACAAAGCAACAACTTTCGTCTCATGGTCCAAAAGCTAGCTATGAATCTCTCGAATATAGCTTCATCGCTTTCTGTGAAGTTGTAGTAACACCTGCTGTGTCGTTCTCATCCTCTTTCGTGATGAAACATTTCCGATGAACCGCGGCGGATGACTGACGCCGCTCGCAGCGAGTAGGATCGTGTTTCCTGTTGGCTCGTTTTGGTCGCCCCTTTCGGATCTTCCATCGAGCGCCCAATCACACTCTCCCAAACTCTGATCGCGGGCGATTCGATTCGGAAGACCCTTTCATCTCCATCCCAGAGTGCAAATGATCCGAGAACCAGTAATCGTTTGGTTCCCAGTTGCAAAACAACGCAAAAAAATTCAAAACGCAAATCGACTCTCTTCTTCAGTGTGATCGTACAAACACAATCGCGGCGAGAATGCCGACACAAATCTTCTTCACCATCCACCGCCCCATATGCCTTGATCCGTTGATGCATGCAAAGATTACCACGCTTTTCGTGCCTTTCCTTGACGCCATCTAAGTTGTTCTAAGGACTCGATGAACCGCCAAGGTGGTATCATTAGCACTTTCCGTTCCCCGCCGCCCCGTATTTGGTTTCGTTTTAACAAAGGAAATGGAGGATATTGCACAAGAGGGTCAAGCTGTGGAAAACATTTGACCTGTGGGTATCTCGGGAGGTTTGCCCAACGTGCTCAGTTGAGAATCCCCTCCCACATACCCGGTCCGCGGTATCCGTCCATTGAATGAAGCATTGAGGCTTCGTACCCCGGACCAGCTTCGCTGGCGCAGCAGACGCGCTTACGAGGGGAACCTCGGTCGTTTGTGCCCATCTGGCTATTTCTGGTGCGAACCAGAGTTTGAGTCCACTGCTTACCGGAGTAATTACCCGAAAGCATGTCCCGAACGTTCTCCTGGAGACAGTTGTCGACAATCGAAACACCTCGAGCACGCTTACGCGAAGACATGGCAATAGAACTAGAATCGTCTGAACGGTAGTTTTGAAGCTCCTGAAGTGCGCGAGCAGCGTCGTTCGCGGGGTCGTGAGTCATCTCATCCAATTCACGTTCTCTCTGAGCCAAGGGAGTATCCAACGACATTTCGCAGAGCCTGCCGACCGGGCCAGTGTAAGACTCAGGCGAAGACGTGATGCAATTCTCTTCGTAGTCTTCAGGAACCGAGGCGATAGTCGGTCTCAAGCTTGACCTCTCACTGCACAGCTTCGCAGACCGGAATCGCGCCTGGACACCCAGAGGGGCCGGCGCGTTGACCAGTGAGGAGGCAGATGAAATGGAGGAGGAGCGAGAGGTGCGCGAGGTATCAGAAACCATCGATTCGGGAGAAGACGCAGTCGAGATTGTGGTTGCAAGAGAAGATCGGCGAACGGGGAAGTAACCTTGAGGCGACGAGGTGTTTGCAACAGGCCAGCGATCAAGACAATGGGTTGCGCTTACGCAGGAGGCCTGGGCCATGGCGAGGCCCATTGAGCTGCCCTTGCTGAGATAAGACGCAGCACTCACGGCAGGAGTGCTGTATCCGCTCGACTGGGGTGTCAGACGCGGGGTGGGAAGTAGCCCAAGCGCGGGAGCCAGCCGGCCCGGGGTATATACAGTGGCCGGAACGGGCTCCATAATATTCGGGGTTTGGCAGGATCGCGGGGTGGGGGTAAGTTCTGTCGAGTCGTAGCCCAATCCACAAGCACCTGTCGCAGCCATAACATCTTGCGCCGCCGGAAGCATGGTACGGTGACGTGACAAGGTGCGAGAGCTGGGAGCGATGTGTACCATAGGGATCAGGCCTTCGATATTGTCCAGCTCAGGATTAAGCTTGAGAATGACCATTTTCCAGTTCGAGCTCTGTTGGGCGTACCATTGGGCTGAAGTTCCGGGGGCGGGGGGAGACGGAGGGGTGTACTTCAAGACGATTTCTGTCCAGCGCTGGAATACCTCGTCGGTGATGTGGAGCTTCCAGTTGACCGCCAGCAAGAATGCAATCTCATTCTGGTTGATTTCCCCCGTGTTGAGCCCTGAAATCTTACTCCAAGCTCTGGCGGAGTAGTTTCGATCTTGCAGATACTTGGAGGCGAGGATGAGAGCAGCAAGGAACATGCGACGGCCGCACTGAAGCGCGCGGCACTCCTGTTTGTCGTCGGGCTGTTCCATGGTGAAATCGTGCTTCGGAACGTGGGGCTTGATCAGGATCAGATAGTACAGCGCAACCTGGAGAGTGGAGTAGCTAGTGCGGGAGCGGCGCAAGGTCTCCTGGATAAAGGTCCGCAGTGGCAGCACTGCCTTGTTACCAAGCTCATTGCGACACACGACAGAGGAAAGGGGCCAGATTGCCTCGACAATTTGGGTCGACGAATCTAGAGGGAGCACTGGGTCAGGAGTCTGATCTATTGCGCATATACACCATTACTGCTTACCGACAAGGTTGTCGACAAAGTTGACCTTGCGCTCGGCCTGGCGAACCAGGGTGGGAGGGGCTCCAGAGCGGGTGGCACTCCCACTGGTCCGTCTAGGATTTTGTCGCAACTCCTGGGGGATGGTAGCGGCAGCCTGCTGGCTGGGTTGACGGGCCCAAGGACTCGTGAATCTGACAGCAGTGTCACACGCAGCCGAGGGTCGCGACAAGCAATATACGTCGGCGGAATCGGAATCGGAGGTGTTGGTAGGGGATGTCGAGGTAGATGACTGAGAAGATACAGCAGACCAAACTGAGCCGGACGATGTGGAGGTCAAGGATTCGAGCGAGGAGCTATAAGTGTTGCTTTGGTAGGTGCTGATGAAAGCCGACGAGTCATCGTCGGCGTACGTCATCTTGGATACAATTGGTGGAGGGTGTTTCGGCGTTTGGGGTTTCGATGTGGAAGAGATACCTCCAGTCGCCGTCAAGCTAAGTCAACCGGGTAAACCGTAAAGGGTTCGTATGAGCAGATCGTGATACCGTATCAGAAACGCGAAACCTCACAACAGCATGGAACTACTGCTGTAAAGTCTTTGAGAGTCGTAGATAGGGGAGGCGGCTACTAGACGCAAATGTCCACAGCCGACGTTACACGAAGGATCAAACCGGAAGACGAAACAAGACGGGCGACTGGAGTAGATTTTGTAGTTCGAAGAGGCATCGTAGGTTTAATGCATCTGATAAGGAGGGCTAATAGATCCTGATAATATAGTGAGCTACTGCAGAGCCACCATGGATGCGACGCGACGGTGTAGTCAGGTGTATAGTATATGAGTGGTGATGGGTGTTGGTTAAGGGTGAGTGGTGGTGATGATTAGAGGAGGGCGAGGTCGGAGTCGAAGGGAAGGGTGAGGGGAGAGGTGAGGGGATGCAAGGTACGAGCCAAGTGTGGCTGCGAGGAGAGGTTATATCCAAGCAGGTGGGATGAGGTGTGACTCTTTTTCGCCTTTGCGCCGCCCGTGGTATCTTGAACGTGTTCAGAGGGGCGACTTGGCTGGCGTGACGAAGTCGGAGGACCCCTTGGGTGGCTCAAGTCTGGCTCGAGGGCCCCAGGTTGGGTGTGGATGACTCTTTCGGGTTTGGGGTGGCGAAGGGGGGTGAGCCTGGTTGGGTTGCCGCCCAGGCAGGTGGCTCCAGATGCCAGGCAGGTGTGAAGACTGGAGTGTGGAGGGGAGGGGAGTGGAGGGAAAGTAAAGTGCGTGCGCGCGCGTAGGAGAGAGAGAGGGCAGTGGGAGTGGCAGTGGGAGTGGCAGTGGCAGCCTAGGGAAGGCCGAGAAGGAGACCCCGGGGGTGGACCAGGGGGGTTGAGTGCGTGATCGCTCTCGAGGTCCAGGAGAGGCAACGGGGAGAAGAGTGACAGGCAGGCAGGGTAGGTAGCCCACCTCAGGTTGCTGGTGCAGTTGGCTTCGCTAGTCTGGTCGCGCTCTGTCTGTCTTTCACTCTCACACTCTCTGGCCCTCATCCACTTTCGCGGCGTTTGACATAATTGTGCTGACTGGTGTGCTGAAGGGTATGCGGCGCAGGAATCAATCTGGACTGGTACTAACCTTGCAGGCAGTGCTTCGAGTCCCTCGGATGGAGATGTCTCTTTGCGACTACAGAGGAGTGTGGCGAAGGAGATGCTGGGTCAGCTGGTGAGGCGCCAGGTTGAGTGATGAGTCGTAATCGTCGTGTGAATTGTCGTCGTGGGTATTGCCGGGGCAAATGATTAAAAAGGAATGAGTATAATGTGTAACAGCCGAATGAAAGTTGCAGGGTATCGGAGATAATTTTTTTTGAAAGGCAGGAAATGAGTAACTGGGAGACTAAGGAGGTGCGTGGAAACGCTTGTAGGCAGGTAGGCAGCAGAGGGTTCGTTGGGTGACGATGAGAAAGGCGCGTGTGACTCTATTGAAGCCGTAGTCCGATCTCGAAATATCCCAGCGGAGTAGGGATTGAAAGCCTGCGTGCCTGGGCTGCTTCGTGATGGTTGTTGCTGATGGTGGAGCTGGAGCTGAAAATAAAAAGTATCCGGAGGTTAATGCCTTTGTTAGCCGCAAGGAACAAGTGAATGCCGCTGCGGATGCAAACAAGGGAGCCTAGGGATGGCGAGGGTTGGGCGGTTGTCGTATGGTGTTGGTGTTGGTGATGTGTTGCGATGGTGCTCGATGAGTAACGTGACCGAGGGTGGCCGAGATGACTCTTAGAGGCGAGGAAGAGGGATCCGGTAGATTAGGACACGGTGAGTGATTGATCTGCTGGCGAGGGGGAGACGGAAGTGAGAGGAGAGAGGCGTAGGCGTAGGCGTGTTGCTACACGACCAGAAAGCAAGGTTACAAAGGAATAAGCGGAGAGATGGTCTAGAGTCTCGTCTCAGGGATTCCCGAGAAGAGGCACGTCTAGCAGACTTCGGAGAGTCGCTGTCGTACGAATTTAGACCTTGGAATCGAACATGGCGATGGCGATTGTTCGATGGATCAAAAGGAAAAGGAAGGGGGGGAAGACACATGTGCACGACGATGTGGGCGCGGCGATAGTTTTGAATGCCTGGGGGAGCACTCACACCCTCCCACACACACGCTCTCTCTCTCTCTCTCTCTCTCTCTCTCTCCTCTCTAACCCTCTGTCGTCGCGACGGTATGGATACAGGCAAGAGCAAGAGCAAATAGCAGAGGCAAAAGGTACATTGGACGGGACAGGGAAAGGTACATAGAAGGAAGTACCGGACACTGGATTCTGGTATGGGAAACTGGTGTGGGCCACGGGGGGTGGGTGGGAGTCTAGGTAGGGGAGCAGAGGGAGACTGCCACTTACACTTGCACTTGCACCGGCACCGACCTCTTGCTGGCGCTGCTACCACGGTACCACCTCACTCGGGTTCCCAGGGAAAAGAGGAGCAGAAGCAGAGAGGAGAGGATGCAGCCGGGGCCCGGAACACCCAGCGAGTCTCAGCATCCGTCCACTGCCTTTTCTTCATCCGTCCTTCCATTGGCCGGCATCGTGATACAAAGTGGGCCACCCTCGTCCTCCTTCCCGGGATGGAGGGGCATATTGAAAACCAAAAAAAAAAAAAATAGCCACCGTCTCCACTCTTGTTCATCGCTCTCAGACTCACACTTTCATCCGCTGTGTCACGTCTCTATTTCTCTTTCTCGTTCTGACCACGCTTCTCGTCACTCATTCTGCTGCTAGGTACGGATACTCATACTCATCCAGCTGCTCTCGCACACCTCTCTCACAGTACACACCAATGCCCCCAAATCCCCTTGCCTCCTCTTGCTTCACACTCCCTCCCATATTGACAGCTGCATATCCCCCAAACCCCACTCTATCTACCTCTCATGCCTGTCCAGTGTTTTTCTCCCAAGCTCCCAAGGTCGTTATCTCCTGTCTGCTTGTTCTATGCCCAAGGCCCCAAACTCCCCATTCATCCAAATTTTGCATTCCTACGTGCTCCAGTGCCTGTCCTCCCGTCCCGACTCCCAACGGCCGTACGGCGTAAGGTACCTCTGCTTCTGTTTCCACCCGGCCCAAAAGCCCGAGATGATGCCCGAACTTTCCATCGCCACCAACCAAACCAAACACAACACTGTGACCTTGTGGTGTAGTGCGTAAAGTGAGGTACCCATTCCACTTCGTTCCATGCATTCATCCCACCCCTTGATGCCTTGCAACCTTGGGGATTCTGCCTTCCTGCCCGGTGCTTCAGCTTGAAGCTTGAAGCCCCCCTCTCTCTCTCTCTCTCTCTCCCTCTTCGCGGCCTGCATCAAATCTTCTGCGCGACTATTTTGGCTCTGGCATCTTCCGTCGCCAACTTCCAAGTGGCTGCTCACTTCGTTATCTTCTTTCTGATTGGTCAAATTTATTTCACGTCATGTCGTTCGGGGTTAGCCCCGCCAAGCCTAAATGGCTGCTCGACCACTCGTGTGCGGCAGCAACACACCCTCTGCGGTGGCCCAGCCTTTGTGGTTTCTGGCAAGCTGCACCGCTGAATGGCTGCTGCTGCCCAGCCCCAAGCCGGCAAGGCAAGAGCACCTGGGCGTCGAAGGAGAGAGAAAGAGCCTTCGGGGTAAGGCAGGCAAGCAGGGAAGCAGGGGGGAAGGGGGGGGGGGGGGGGGGGGATGATTGGAGGCACGAGTCTGGTATGAAGGTGTGAACGGAGGGAGAGAAGGGGAACAGGGGGGAGGGGATAATTTGGACGATGGCAGAAAGAAAAAAGAGTCATCGTTGACCAGCAAGCCCCTCTCCGCTACGCCGTCGCAATTGATCCTCCTCGTGCGCCATGAACTCTGCAGACATTGACGCCCTCACAACCCTATCCATTCCTTCTCCTCCGTCCATCCAGCAGGCCCACCAGGCATAAACGCAGATTCGCAGGATGAAGTAAACACAGACCCTCGATAACCCTTGGAACCTTGGGATGAAGCGCGCCGTGTCTCTCGTACGAGTATGAACACGCCATGGCTTGTGCTGATGAGGGTATCACGAGTCCGGCCATCACCACGGTTTGTTATTCAATATTCTCTTTTTTACCCGGCGAACTGCAAGCGATCCTATGCGTCCCCAGCGCACGCGACAGTCTGCAAAGAATCGGCTGACAACAGCTGTTGTCTCGCCCAAAGTCTCGCCACTGGGTGGTCAAACTTGAATCTGAAGGAATAGAGGAGGAATAGGGTAGAGGAATTGCGTCTCATCCCTCTCTCATCATGCTACTACACACCCTTTCAGAATTCGGGGAATCGGGGAATCGGGGCAAGTAAGCCAGCCAACCGCGACGCCCCTGATTACCTTAGCCACAGCCAGAAACCGCCTGCAAGAGATACCGACACGCGCACGAACCATACAAAAGCGTCAGCTCCAATCAGTGCTGTGCGGGGATCTCGATGAGCTGCTAAGCCGAGTTCACATGGCCACGTTCGTCCGTCTCCAGACATTGACCTGACCACTGACGGCGCAGACTCAATGTACGGAATACCACTGCTCGGTTTCCAACGTCAGAGCGATCTCCAAGGACATCATGGCCTGTCATCGCGAGAGCTCTTCCACCGAAATTCCGCAGACGCGTCCAACGATGATATCACTCCAATCTCGCTGTCGGACTATTGCTCGAGAGCCGACGGCACTTCCTGCCGATGTCGACGCCCGGAGTCCCCATCAGGTATCCGTACAGGAACGATGGGCCTCTGTACGGGTCCTGGGAACCTCAGAATCGGCCCTGGCCAGTGACCTCATACGCACTCAGTCACTGCCCAATGCCGAGTGGCTCAGTAGTCTCTGCGAGTCTGGAAATGACAAACCGTCGCCGAGAAAGAGGTCCTAGCTACGGATACCGCGCGGGCTCCCGTGAGGACCCAGTGGATCCTCGAGCCCCGAGACACCGAAGTGCGCCCCCTCAAATTCCGCCACAAACTCCGCTTCAGATTCAAAGCTGTATTGGTAGATTTGAAAGTCCCGAAAAAGGGCTTGACGAGACACTTACGGGCCACGACATGCCAGTTGCGCGTCTCCGGCGCTTTCTTGATCCCAGGGGCGATTTCTCAGCCGCTTGACGTCTTTGTCAGCCCGTCTACGAAGTTACTGTGATACGGATGCACCACTTGGACTCTTGCAAAACACGGACGTCTCGGGGACAATGGAACAGGTCGCATCCGGCAGATTCAGCCACACTGTCACCAGCATTCATTTCATTTTACGTATCGTCTATCAAGGCTCCACAGACCAAGCCTCACTGTTCAATAATATCTCGATATGGCCGTCTTGTCCCTCCTCCCACGATCCGAGGATCCCGTCTGCGCCTCTAGCCTCATGGTCTCCTCTGTGTACATTCTCATGTGCACGTCGCATCCTCTCTGAAAGACGCAGCTTGTCTTCCAAAACAGCACGAAGCCACCCACTCTTCAAAGGGACTGTTCAACCCTTGGTAAAGCCATGACATCTTTGTCATGCATCGCTCTTGCCTAACCTTCCAATATACTACACCCACTTGACCTTCAAACAGAGACCCCAAAATATCCCAGGCGGCAACTCTGATATACTTTTGCGAGGTCAATCACAATGGAACTTGGAACTTGGAACTTGGAACGACCTGAAGTAGTACTTGGGTGTTGACCCCCACTCCCTGCATATCTCCATTTTGAGGAAGGCGCACAATGTGCACAATTCACCCAAACAGTGCATGGATGCTCTATATTACTTTGCTGGGGGTAATACCAGATAACACCAAAGCAACAGAGCAACTGAGCATCGGGAAAGGCAGGGAGGACAGGGAGCTCTCTGTTTGCCACAAAGTATAACGCTGACGGAAAGACAAACACCCAATCAGTGCTGAGTGTCCTAGACGGCTGACGGTTCTTATTCGCCCGGTGCTCTTAGCCTTGTCACGTTTGATACATGGACTGCGCGTACCGACTCATCTGGCCCGCCGGACTGCACTACAGAACTGGGGAATGGGCGCGCGGGAGACCGACCGCCAGTTTAGACCCCGGCGACCACGATATTCGTTCCGATTCGTACCGAACCTGCAAATTTTGGCATCTTTGCCCAGCTTATTCATACAGTGAACGAGGGCACCCTGTCAAGCACTGCGCAGAACACGGCCAGGGTCGACGCCGTGAAAGTCCGACCGTCTCATAAAGTGTCCCCACCAAGGCGACTCTGGGGCCATATCTCTTCTTGAAGTTGGGGGCTGGGAATGGCATCAAGTTTAGCTCCCCAAGGCGGGAGGAGGGGGGCATGAAGATTTGAGTCTGCTTGCCTCCAAATGCCGTCACCTGGCCACCGCCCCCTTGTGCAGTTCGCAGGCATCACTCGGTCTAGCTGCAAGCTGCAGGCTTTCTGCAGCTTCAGTGATGTTGCCATGTCACACACCTCTGTCGCAGCCTGCCCCGCTCAGCTCCGCGGCAGACCATCATTGGAGGGCTGTTCTCAATATATCTAGCATTGCCATCTTGGATGCAGGGCAGCGTCAATGAAGGGAACATGAAGAGGGGCGAACAACAGACAACTGGCAGTCATTGGATGGACTCTCACCGTTGTCTTTCCGGAATTTCATTCGCTCGAGGAGCTTACTCCGAGAGCAGAACAACAACGTGGCGCTGTTCTTCAAGCCAGGAAGCAGCACTGTATTGCGGTGGATGGACTTTCTCCAGCCAAAGCCCTGTGTGCGCCTTGCAAAGAGGTACACCTGTTGTCCAGGTCGTAAGGTAGCTAGTGGGCTCTTAGCATCCTTTGCCTCCTCCGATCCGTGATCCCCCTAGACCAATGAGCGCCGGTACGTGGCCATCCTGTTACCTTGATAAGTCAAATCTGGCAGGTCAGGCTCTCAACCCATCTCTCACTACGAGGAGCAGCGCAGCGCTCACGAAAGTGGCACAACTCATGGCCCGGAGTGTCTTGGTGGTGGCGGCAAGGAGGTCTGAGTTTTGGCATTACCAAAACTGCCATGGCATGAAAAGAAAAGCGAGGCTTCATTTGGGAGAGCGCATGTCCGTGGAATCTCGGAATACCTCGATTCAACGGACCCGTGGGAAAAGGGGCTTTCCCGGGGCCCATGTTATGACCGTATCATGTTCGCGATAGTCATAGAGCGGGACACAATACTGCCAGTGACAGTAGATGATGGCGGGAAGTTGCAGGATGCCGCTGCCGTGGTTTGCCGCGCGGCTGATGCACACGACTCAAGCAAACCACCCGGTCACGAAGGCTTGAACAACCGGGCGCGCAACCAAGTAACCGGATGTTTTGATAGCAGCACATCCGCTGTTCTAGTTTTTCGGTAAAGCTCGCATTAATTTTGCACCGGATCATGAAGAAATTTTTCGGTGCGCATTCAAATCTCGAACAACACACCATAATAGTTTATGGAGTGACAGGAGTGCGACACACCAAAGGCGTCACCGAGACAAAATTTGGTTGCCTGCTGGAGAAAATCGGTCGGCCCAGACCAACCATAGGCCTCGAGCGGTCTAAAGCGGAAGGCTTCGAGAAGATCGCGGCTTTCTAGCTCGGCTGGCGCAACATATGGGGTGATGATCACCCCCTGACGGGAATTGCGTTGGGTTTCAGCACCGCCCGAGAGCTCATCCGAGCGACAATTTCGCTTTTGTTCAGCATGACTAAGGACGGGCGACACCAACAACCCTCCAATACCGATTCCTCCCCTACAGTCATCGGCGATAGCGAGAAGCTCTTCCGTGATCTCCTCGTGTCCCCTGGAGACAGATCATCCCACCCGGAATACCCCGCGTGTTGGGGATCGTGGAAATGCAGACATCACTTGATGGTGAATTATTGGTGATGTAGGTCGACGTGTTTGGGAGAAACCCAACCACACATCTCAACCCCGTGATGCGGAGATTTCGATGCTGTGGGGAGACGTCTGCTGTTATTCCGTCACCGTGATCCCACAGAAACAGCGCTTGTCAAATCGAAATATTGTCATTCGTCGACGCCATTCAATCATAGTCACTAACTGTGGGGAGGCGGTTGTGCCACTAGGCTTCAGTCACGCTTCGTCGCTGGCGATTTGCCGTCCCCCAAGCGAGTTAGCGGGAGAGGCTTCGCCAATGTTGACGTTAGGCATGCTGTTGGTGGCGGACGGAACCCCTCATTGTGCCTCCCCGTCTGGCTAATGTGTGAACTGGTGAGGTCGTCTGAACCTGCGCATGCTGATCAGTCAGTTCGAGAGGATGCAAGTCGTAAACCCCAGCGCATCTGAAGCCAAGCACCCAAGGTAGAGTGGAGAGCCGTCCGCGGCCCCGGAAGTGTCGGTGATTGGGACGTTTGCCTTTTTCTCCCCCTGTAAGCACGGTGTGAACCTTCGTGAGCAGTCAGATCACCTAATGGCGTCTCGCCCCCTCGATCCTCGATTCTGCGAGGCCATCACTAAGACAGCTTGGCGCTGGCCGCGCTGGCGGCGCAGTCTTTTGGAACTTGGGCCTGGTTTCACGGCCACCCGCAAGCTGAGGTGATGGAGACGCGACAGCGGCGCCTCGCGTGACCTTTCAGCTCGGCAGGCGGCATTACTAACGATCTGAAGGCCATTCCAGCCGCGTCCAGAGTCCGGCTCCTTGCGTTGTCATTCATATGGATTTTGGATAGAAGCTCGCGTCAAAGATGGAGTTCCGGACGCCTATCCGAATACCCAAGGCATCCACAGCCTTAGCCAGTCGATGAGACATGCTCGCATGAGAAGTGGGCCTGGAGGGGAGCTGACGGGCGAATCACCTTGCCACTCAGCAACCTCGATGGATCTCTATCTATTCCTGGTGACCGCTCTCACCCACTTCCCACGGGCGAGGGATCACCAAGCCATTGGGGGCCTCCTCCCAAATCCTGAACCAGGCAGCAGCATGGATTGGATGTCATCCACAAACGACCCGTCTGCGACCCCAACTTCACCAGCACCGCAAGGCAAATCACCAAGGGAACAAGATGGGGGGCCCTGCTGATTGGCCTTTTGGCTCGGCTCGACAGCCTATCGAAACGCTCCAAAAGGTCATCGCGAACAGGCTGCCCAGCCATCCTCATCTATTGTGCAGTTCTTCACGCGGAGGCAGCTGAGCAGTAGCCTTGCATGGGCTTATGGCGTGAATCTCATCTCAGATCTGAATCCCCCTGCGCCGGGCGGCTGACACCCAGCTTTGGTCCTGCTCTAGACGTCATGAAGCCAAAAGCAGCCCCTCGGACAGCATGGGGTTTTCAGAATGCGAGGATGAAAGTGCCCCAACCTCGGCCGATTGACCCCTTGCCCTTGGGACAGGCTGGAGGGGATGGACCAGCACGGCGACGCGACCATCGTGTATCCGTAAACTTCACGACACACGCCCTTGTCAGCTCGCCAGTCTCCAGGTAGCAACGCGTGCGCGCAATCGCTCCAGCGGCCTCAGACAGAAAGAACGATGTGGGGGAAGAAGGACCGGTGTCGGCAATAGGGGGACAGCGTGGACGATTTAGTCACCGGTTCGCCGACGTGTCAGCAACCTATCTCGCCGTCATAGAGAATGACTCTTATGATGTGCTGTCCTTATCACCGCAAATGTGGCCATTGCGGGGGGAGAAAGGCCCGAAGAGCAGCTGTTACTGGACTGGACGGAGAACCTACGATGCCTCTGAACCCGACGTCTTCCGTTGAAAGCGAGCCCGAATGGACGGGACAAGGTGTCCGGACTGTCAAACTGTCGATTAGCTGCAACAGTTCCCGCTTTGCGCAATCCGAACCTTCTGCACCACCCACCCCATCCGGCTCCCGCGCGTGACAGCTTGCTCACTGCGACCCTCTTGGCTTCCCTCCCCCACCCCGCCGGATATGCTTTTGCCCCAGATCTTGGGTTTCGCACACGACTCGCGACAACCTTTCTCGGGGTCTTTGTAATTTATTTAGAGTACACATTTAGCACGATTCGAACAAGGTAAAGGGGTCATGATGGGACTGCTGGTAACCGAGGCACAGCGGACGCGGCTCCTCCCCATCAAGTAGGCGCGCGTCCGCAGGCGCAGGCGCAGGCGCAGAAGACGCCAGCTCAGCAAGCGAGAGCAATATGGTCGGCAAAAAAAAAGGCGTCCACGTCCAGAGTGGTCGGCGCTTGATTCAGCCGCCTTCTGTGGCTGTGTTTTGTCTATTTTGGCTTGCTGCGACGACATTTGATGGAAACATCAGGTAGGTAGGTCATTAGAGATGGAGCGCCCAGTAGGCAGACTGGGGATGTTGCAGTAATTGTAAGAGTTACAAAAGCCAAAATTCCAGTCACTTGCGGAATAGATGACGCCGCAATCACGGCACGGCAGGATTGCCACTGTGCAACATGCGCAAAATATTGTATTTGGCTCCCCAGATATGCAGCGTCGTAGGGCCGAGCTTGTTTGATTGCGCATATTGGCAGGCAGGCAGTCTGGCTGTCTTTCAGTCCCCTTGGAGAAGTGGTCAGGCTGCGAGGCTTTGTTACCAAGGCTGACTTTCCGTGGGCCGAGGCTGTCTTTGAGGAAGTGAGGATGAAGGCTGAGTTTAAACCGTTGCCGAATCCTACCGAGTGTTATTTGATTTTTTTGATGCGTTGTACGTAATCTCATGATGTGTGTACAAATTGTAAGGTAATTGAATATCTTCTGCAATGGCTGGCTACACATGCATGCAGGCAAACAGGCAGGCAGCGGGGCCGCGAGGCAGCGAGGCCGATTTAGACCCGAGGCTAGCTAGCTTTGGTTCAAGAATTAAATATGGTCTTCTCAGCGGCGTGTGGGCAAGCAACTGTTTGCATGAATCATCGTCATTGAGGCCTCGTGGTGTTTTCTGCCTGGTCTTCCTTGCTCGGGAAGCGAGGTTGCCATTGTGATTTTTGGCCTCGCTTAGAGGTGAGGAAGGAGGAGGGGTGTGGAGGGACAAAGGAAATTTTGTGTCTTCTTTTGTGCAAGTCATGCGTGAATGACACTTTTTTTTTTGCTGCGTCATGAGGTAAATAGATGATGACTCTCTTCGTAAGCTTTCCTCCGAAGGGGAAGGCTTGTCCGCTTAGCTTTGGACTGGGTGGTTTGCGATGGAGTGATGTGAGGCTTTTCTCATTGAGGTATATGTGAACCGAGGTTGGTAAAGAGGCGAGGAGTGATACGGGTATGAGGAGGTTGTCGGTGTCAGGAGACTCGAGGAAAGCAAAGTCCGTCCATCGTACTCGGTCTGACGATAGTTGTGAGATGACTCACAATGTTTGTCTGTCCTTTCGAGCGAGCTCTAGGCAGAGTCGATGCGCTAGCCTCTGCCGGGGACGGATACGTAACTTTGATGAGGACTTTGCTTGGGACCTTTTGCGAAGCCTGTATCCGGGTACTGAGATGAGATCTGGAGCCCTTTGTGATGAAGCTGTAGTTGTCCAGGTGAGAGACCCTTTCTGCTGGGCATTAAAGTATCCGAAACAACAAAACCCTGGACCGCGTCTCACAGCCTCTGGTTCTCGGTGCATACAAGCGGGTTAGTTCTTTGGAGAGGAGATCTTGGTACCAGGGAGTTCACAAAATCTGTATTTATACCGTTTGCTATCCTACCTTATTCAACGTAGGTCAAAAGAGAAAGGATACTAACTGCCCGTAAGGCCTCGTCCACAGGCGGATCTCGACATGTGATTTGTAATCATAAGGAAGGAGGCCTGGAATGGATGGTATAAATAAACTGTTATAGACGCTGAAGGTCTCGAATCCGGCAGCGCGGTATGAGATGATTGCAGGATTTGCACAAATTCGGGGAGCTGGTAGAGCTTATGAGGATGTTTGCCATACTTCAGTTGACAGTCACTACGTACCATAATAGCTCTAATGCTCGGGTTTCTCATGTGCTGTCTCCAATTGTTCACTCATTCCGTGAAGAATACGGCAGAGTTGATGGGTAGAGGGATAGGGTATGTGTCTTTCACAAATTCCATTCCGTGTATGTGATTCGAGGGTTTGTATGTCTATGTGACATCGCCCATATAACAAAGCCATTGGCATCATTAGGCTCCCGCCTTCGAGAACTTCACTCAAGTCAAGCTCACCTGGCCGCGGCGGAGACTTGTGACGATGCTGCCTTTAATGCTTATCTTCCCGTGACGGTAATCGAGCTTATGCCAATGAACACCACGTGGATGCTACAGGAACAACCTGTTCATATTTGACCAATGTCAAAATCCCGTCAGATGAACACACGTTTGAGATATCCTCAGCCGCGCATTTGAGCAAGGAAACGAGGAACGGGATGCTACTACTGCTCTCCGCACTCGTGAGATTCCGTGTGCTCTGACCGAGGAAGCGCTTCTGGAAGACGGGCAGAGCAGGCATATCGACGTTCATGAAGAAGTTAAAATGGGGTGATTGAGACTGTTTCGCGGCAGTCTAATAATAATGCTCACAAAAAGCAACTACTCGACTCAGCGTATGGAACAAGATGAAGATGAATAATGCAATTACCTTTCTGGCTTCTCTCCCCTTGTGTACGCGCGGCATACGCTCGGCAGCAACAGATAGTGGAAGACGACCAAGACAAGATTCAAGACAAGATGGCTATAGGTCAGAAAACGCCCTATCAAAGTAGTTTATAACAAGTCTACTGTGACAGAGATATCTGCACTACAATAATAAGATGTGGCCAATCCATTAACGACGTCAAGACATGCTGGACCATTTGACGCCCAGAGTCTCAAGCCACTCTACGCTTGGATAACGTCTTTTGAAAGCTGTTCTATGATACCACTCGTTGTCCACAGAGAGTGAGTCCAGCAGCATAACCCCAGCTTTGTTGACAACAGATTATGAGTTCTAGACAAGGTCTTTTGAATAGGCGCGAGCCTAGCAGACGATATGAAAGTTTTAATTCAGAACGTCAGTACAATTCCCACAGCACAGGCGGTTGGATATAGGGAAGAAAAAGAAGACAACAAGTCAGGTCTGCGTGAGAGCGGTCGCTTTACCCAAAATCACGTCTTGAATTTCAATAACTCAATAGCGATCTCGTTTGCCAGCAGCATAAGCGAACCTAATCAAGTGGCCATGTCAGTCAGTCACTCCTCGTCGAGTCTCCTGGCAATAGAAGAGAAGAAGTACTGCTTAGTGGCAAGTGACTCGGAGAGAGGTGCTCCCTCAACCCCTTCGGATCCTTCTCCAGACATGGGCAACCCAATACGGAAGTTATCACGATGTACGTGAGGAGCGCAGTCAAAGATTTTCTTGACGCCCTACTAGTCGGCATTCACCTGACTAGCATCAGCCTGTAAGGATGAAATGGAATCAAGTATGGCGAAAACCTTCAATCAATAGTGGGATGCTAGATCGTGAACCTGAAGCCTCTCATGAAGCATGTGGAATGCCAGCGTTTCCAAAACGAGTTCGGGGCCCACGCTCCCTTCCATGACATCAATCTTTCGAAAAAGGAACTCCTGAAAAGGGATGCGATTCGATATGGTTGATGTATTGAGACCCTGTGGCTTCTTGACTTTCACTGTCCTCCCACCGGAGGAGACACCGCGCAATTGCCATAGTACAACGTGATGAGCCTAGGTGGTCACGTATAGTCATCCTTCCTTTACATTCACCGCCGACACGAGTAGCAGGCGGATACCTACTCAGCAAACTCTCACCTCGGAAATTCTATCAAGTGGTCCCGGCGCGGGGGGCGGGCGGCCGAGGGCTTCACCTGCAGCTAGATAGAGAGGACTGGATCACCGGGTCTCCAGTGGCGCTCGGAGAACCACTTACAACCACCGCTCATGCTTTTGATTGATTCTCCGTCAATGGCCATGTTCTTGCTTGCTTATTCTCCTCTTTGGCTTTCTTGGTGGACCATCATCCGCCCATCCATCCATCAATCACACAGGGCTGACGGCTGATCAGGATACTCGACCACGAGGTGCTGCTCATTACAACTGTGCAGCCGTAAAACATCACCGCTCGCGAAGGCATCGCTCATTCTCCGGAGGGTCTGAGGACGACATCGTGTAACAAAGACAAAGTCCAGAGGTCTGCTAAAACTAAGGCAGCCAGTCACATAGCGGAATGGAGGAATTCTGTGTAGTATTTGACTTTACTAATCTGAGCAAGCTTGCGTTCAACATGCTGTTGTGAGAAATCGCCCGTGATGCTGGAGCGACGCCAGCATCTATCTGACCCGGCCGCATCAATTTACAACCCGAGCCTGTAGTTAGGGGCACGTGAAAATCAATTCGAGGGTAGCATATGTGACACATCATCTGAGCGATCGAAGTAAACGAGCGTGGTGATCCAGTCTTGATTCCATGTTGAGGACTACTCTGTACAAATAGCAACAGGCGTCTCCGTGAGAGGCTGACAGACTTTTTTCTCATTTGCACTAAAGCAGCTTCATCTTCCCTTTTGCGTGACCGCTTTACGTGTGCGTTACCCACGTCCAAATTTTGCAATTTCCCGAAACCAGAACCAAGAAAATCCACCGGCAGACTGCACTGCCAAACCGTGGCATTATACGCTTAAGAGGCCATGTAGGTGCTGGCATCGATGCCCTCCTTGGGGAACTCACTGTCGGACGTGTTAGATGCAGCGCTCGAGGGAGATATGGAAGGTTAACTCACGGAAGAGCGACCTCGAAGCGCTTCTCAATAGCCTTGAGAACCTCCTGGTCCTGGTCAGTGCTCACAAAGGAGATGGCAAGACCCTTGGTACCGAAACGACCGGCACGACCGACTCTGTGCAAGTAAGAGTCGGCGTCAGCGGGCAGATCGTAGTTGATGGCCAGGTTGATACGCTCAATGTCGATACCTCTGCCGAAGACGTCGGTAGCAACACAGATACGCTTGTTAAACTCCTTGAACTCCTTGTAGCGGCGGATACGCTCCTCCTGGCTGACGCCGGAGTGGACGGCGATGGAGGGGAAGTTGCACTCTCTCAGCAACTTGTCCAGTTCAGTCGCACGCAGCGTGCTCTTGACGAAGATGATGACCTGATTGAACTGAAGGTCGTCCAGGAGCTCGTTGAGCTTGCGGTTCTTCTCACGCTCCTCGAGCTTGATGTAGTATTGCTGAAGACCATGCAGGGTGAGCTTGGTGTCCTCGTCGACGTAGTGTTCGGTAGGGTTCTGCATGAACTTTCGGCAAATGGGCTTGATCTCATCGGACAGGGTAGCCGAGAACATCATAACCTGCTTCTGGGTGGGAGTGGCGCGGAAGATCTCCTGGACGTCACGACGCATGTCTGGTTTGTGTTAGGGATTGGCCGGCGGTGGGGGTGAGGCCGTAACTCACCAATCTGGTCGAGCATCTTGTCGCACTCGTCGAGGACGAAGATGCGGACGCTGCCGAGGCGGAGAACCTTGTCGCGGACCAACGCATTAAGTCGGCCAGGGGTGCCCACAATGACATGGGGGCAGGTCTCCTTGTTCTTGATCGTCTCGACGTCCTTCTGGATGGGGGTACCGCCGTAGAAGACACCAGTCTTGATATCGGGCATGTACTTGCTGAAACGATTGTACTCGTTGCGGATCTGGAAGGCGAGCTCACGAGTGTGGCACATAACCAACACGGAGACCTCGCCCTGAACAGGTTCGACTTGTTGCAGGGTCGTCAGGACGAAGACGGCCGTCTTTCCGAGACCAGACTTGGCCTGGCAAATGATGTCTCCACCGAGGAGAGCCTGAGGGATACAGGTTTGTTGGACTGTTGGATCGCGCCGAGGTTAGATATATGTTCCAAGAGCAGAAGAACGACGTAGAGGGCGTGCAAAGAGCCCGTCCATCTGCGCAAAGAAGCCATTTTGTCGAGTTGGTCTCCTCCTCCTCCACCACGACAACACGCCAATCGATCAATCAAGATGGTGGCTGGGGCAGAGCACGAGTCGCGACCGTCGGCGTCGCGGGCGCCCCGTGTCGCTCGCAACTGTGATACAAAAGAAGCCAGGCCGCTGAGAGGCGAAGCTCTAGCAGCGACCGTCCGACTAAAGTAGACTCGGGAACACCACAGTGTTCGCACGGCCGAGGGTGCTATCACGCTTCCCCTCAATGACCGCATGTATAATCCACCTGTCACCGGTGGATTCGCGAGCAGTGCCCGTGCAAAAACATGGATGTCCAACTTGACTCCTGCTTCTCGATAAGGTTTCTTGTTCTTCTTCTTCGATGGCGACGTCGATGGCTTTTGTCTTGTGGCTTGCGAGATGGACGGACGCTTGCTGATGGGGGAGGGGATGATGTATGGGTTAGGGTATCATAAACTCAGGACTGACCCTCCGAAGGATGCTCGAAACCGCAATCGCCAATAGCGCGGAGAAGCTCGGGCTTCAAGAGGAAGTCGCGGAAACCGGTCGAGTGGATGCCGACATAGCTGCCTTTCTTGTCGACGTTGTTACCGGCGGCAGCGTCAGCCTTCTTCCCGTTGGAGGCGGCCGCAGTCTCATTGGTCTGAAGCTCCTCGTCGGAGTAGTCGATGAGATCCTCCTCAGCAGACATGTTTTCAATTGTCGGGGGTGTCGTTATTTAATGGTGGGAGGGAAAATGGTGGTTGAACTGATGCGCAACGGCGAAAAAGGTCCCAAGGCTGCGATGCGACGCTTGGGGTGTCAGGAGATGCGTGACGATCTGGTCGCGTAGAGAGGAAGGTAGGTCGAAGGACTGGAAAAATCGCAGAAGAAAAACCGCGGATTCGTGTCGAAGAAAGTCCACGATGGGCGGGGGGATTAAAAGCGGATGGCAATTGGAGGTGCAAGGTGGGAAGGCGTGATGGAGATAGGCGCCGTAGGTGATGTGGAAGTAGAAGATGTGAGGACGCGGGCAGCGCAGGTCAAAAGCTTTCGCGTAGGAACGGCGGCTGAGTTCGCCCAAGGCGACGTCATGTGACCAGACCCGTTTTTGGCAAGACCGTATCCAGGCAGTACTTACACAGTGCACGCTCGCTAATAACCTTAACCTTTGCTTTGGAGAAACACTGAATGCATGTTTGGCAACCATATGTGCATACCCACCACCCCTGCCGAAGTTTTTAGAACAAGGCCGACTGACTCTCGTTGCAACGCAGGCTTCAATGCCACTCAGGGCCTGAAACGTGGGACAAATCGTAGGGAGGACGAGAATGGCAAAACCCAAAAATGAAAGCCTGCCAAACCGGCACGCATACACGCGGGTATCCTACCTGCACCAGGCCGCCTCATACCTAGCGACTGTGCAAATCCCAGACGCCCAAGTGCCCTCAAACTCATCACGGCCTCACCAAGATGCTCGACTCGCTGGGCTCGAGAAGATGCGCTCTACGACCGAGAAGGTCGCCCGGCGGTTCGTATCCGACATTCGAGCCGTCTCTCTCAAGGCTCAAATTCGCCCGAGCCCGTTGGTCAAGCAGACGATGTGCAAGTTCTGTGACTCACTGCTCATCGAGGGCAAGTCGTGCACTACGACGGTTGAAAATCTGAGCAAGGGCGGGAAGAAGCCTTGGGCCGATGTCATGGTCACGAAGTGCAAGACCTGCGGCAACGTCAAGCGATTTCCCGTCAGCGCGCCCCGGCAGAAAAGACGACCATTCAGAGACTCCAAGGCTGTCGAAGAGCAGGACACGATGGCTGAGGTTTCTGCTCCGTCAGCCCCAAGTGAATGAGAATCGATTTCTTTCTCCTCACCAGATTCCTAGCACCAGGGAATATTTCTCCAAATAGCATTGGTGCGATAGGCCTCAAGCCTCTTCTTCCGTATGAGAGCCAATGAAAGAAGAAGAGGCCTGAGGCCTGCCGCATCAAACGGCACTGCCTAGTGATGCTGTGCAGCAAGTTGAATAGCTTAACACCTGTCATGCACTCACAGCAGGTATGATCTCTTTGGAATTTGTAAAGAAAGCGCCGTGGGATTTCCTAACAAGAATATAGACTCACAGTAGAGCGTGTAGCTACTAGCTCGGCTTTGCTCCGAAGCTAGCGACTCGCCCTTCTACAGACAGAGGACGAGAGTTGGACACCTATTGTTCCAGCCACCGGAACGAGGAAAGAGGAAGCCTGGCTAACGTTCCATGGATTTGATCACACAATCGAAAGTCCAGATCAGATGCGGCGGCGAGTAGTGGAGGTCTTGAGGCTGAGCTGTCAGGTCCAACGACGAAGACGGGGCTTTTGTAGTCACATTCAGTTTCAGGAAGTGGACGCGAAAGATTAGAGGAACTTATCAGCTCAATCTTTGCAACACATAAGCCATGAACTTTTCCGCTGCTGCTACCATTTACCAATACTTTTTCTTGCCGGCACGTCACGCCTGAGCACATGCTTTAGCACACCGCACGATGAATGCCATCCTCCATCGACCTAACTTCCTTTCCAATCTCCTTGGCAGCACCCTCCTTCTTCTTATGCTTTTCCTCATCGCCCTTGACGCGCACTCTTCGGCGGCTGTGATGCTTCTTCAGAACTTGTAAATCAATCTGATCGTTCTCGATAAGCGTCTCCGTAACCTCGGCGATATCCGTCAAAAGTCGCTCGAGCAGATCAAAGGTCATCGTCTCGCGGACAACAACTCGAAGAATCTCAATCTTCTCTTCGTTGGGCGGTAGCGGGTAGTTGGGAATGATCCAGCCGCGGGCGCGCAGCATTAAGGAGATGGTCTCCTGCTTGATGTGTTCATACTTGGCCTTGAATTCATCCGTCAGACGGAAGGAGACGACGGGCAGACCCGCAACGTAATCGGCAGAAGTCTCCCCGGGCGCCGCGCTCTCGCCTCCGACGGCGGTGGCCGCTTGGTTCACAAACTTCTTCACGGCACTGCTGGCTTCCTTATGAGGAACACGGCGGTGAATGTCGGAGACGACGGTGTACCAACCCGTGGCCTCGAGGCTTTGGGCAAGCAGGCGGGCGTTGGAAAGGCAGTTCTCCATGATGGAGCGGTATCCGTCAAAGCCCAGGTGTATGAGGTTGTAATACTGCACAATGACTTGGGCACCTGGGCGGGAGAAGTTGAGGGTGAAGGATTTTTCTGTACCGCCCAGGTAGTGCAGCTCGAAGATGAGGTCCTCTGGCAGGAAGGACTGGTCGCGCCAGATGATCCAGCCGAGGCCGGCATAGACGAGCCCGTACTTGTGGCCCGAGACGTTGATTGACTTGACGCGGGGGAGCTCAAAGTTCCTGCGGGTTGTTAGCGTTTTTGTGAACTAAGACAGGTAGAGGTTACCTACCACTTGGAACCGCCGGCGCCTGCGTGGGTAAAAGGGGCGATGAAGCCGCCAGACGCGGCGTCGACATGAATGGGGATGTCGATGCCAGTCTCCTCCTGGTACTTGTCAAGGATCTGTGAGATCTCCTCAACGGGCTCGTAGTGCCCTGTGTAAGTGCTGCCGAGGATGACAAAGACACCGATGGTATTCTCATCCACATTTTCTCTTACCAGTGCCGGGTCCAGACGGTAGTGGCTCTTCTTGCTAACGGGCAAGATGCGGGCTTCTACGTCAAAGTAACGGGCAAACTTCTCCAACGCGACCTGCGCGTTGGAACCCATGAGAATGTTGGGCTTGGAGGTGTCTTTGCCCTGTTCCTTGCGCTTCAGCTGCCATCTGCGCTTCATGGCGAGGCCGCCGAGGTGGATGGCCTCGGAAGAGCCAGTAGTTGCGGAACCGATGGCCTTCTCACCAGGCTGGACACCCCAGAGATGGGAGATGATACTGATGCAGCGTTGGTGCATCTCCATCATGGCGGGGTACTCGTCTGCATCTGAGAGGTTCTTGGAGAGATTCTCCTGCATGAGCTGGGTGGCGTTGGGTTCCATCCATGTTCCCACAAAACTTTGCGATGGTGTTAGTGAGAAGGTGATTATTGGGAAGGGCGTGGACACTCACCTCGCCAGGTTGAGATTGGGTTTGCCATCGAGGTCTAGTTCATCTCTGATCATCTGGAAGACGGTGTCTCCCGGAGCGCCCTCGTCGGGAATCTTGTACTTGGGGATGTTGGTTTGACTGGTGTATCGACTGTCATAGGGTTGGATGTGTGCTGATGTACCATGGCTGAGGACGTTGGCGTTGCCCGGGGCTGTGATGTGAGTTGCCTGAAGGCGTTGGACAATGTCCTCTGGGTTGACCTGTAGAAGGTATCAGTTTTCAATGTGATCTCAATCGTGTGTTGTGCATCATTCATCGTTTGAGGATGGCTGCGAGACCTACGTGGCTTGCGAGAGGCATAATGACGCGTGGATTGGTAGCTGTGGAAATCGTTTCAAGGATCGGAACGGAGATTGCATGCACGGGGTGGAAAATGCGATGGATTGATGTTTAGATGAGAATTGCTACGGCCGGGGAGGCACCGCGTGAGGCTTAAATACAACAGGAGATCACGAAGAGCGTTGGACACAGCTAAGGTGGCCGTCAAGCCGATGATGAGGGATGAATGACGACATACGGGAGACCGAGCGGAGCACGGGAGTTTCCATGCGGTCAAGTTTTGTCGGAAGTGGTAGTTCTAAGTGCATGAAAGACACGCCTCCAGCCCCAGATCACGGGCCGAGGAGGGGAGGAATTGCGATGGGCTAGACAGGAATGATGTCTCCGACCTCCTAGTGCGAGGCCCCTCAGGGTTCTCTACCAAGGCCATGGCCAACCAGTTTGGTGGTGCAGCATCAGCTCTTCAGCTTTGCTGGGGACGTGGAGCAGACCGTGAACGGAGGTACGATCCATTGCCGAGTTTGCCGGTGGAGTTCCTCTTTGGTTCAGTACGTAAGGTAGGTATGATGGATGGCTTGCGTGTCGCGCCAGCGCAGCTGAAAGTTGAGTTTGGACGGGCGAGTGGCCGAGGAGAAGGAGTTTCTGTTACGTGCTATGACATGTCTGAAATGCTTGGTGAGGTAAGGCAGGGAGGAAACGGTTGGATCGCAGAGGAATTAGGACTCGGAAAGTCTGGCCCTACAGAGTGGATGAGTGACGGCATTGGGAAGCTGCGACCTGGGGCCGGGACCTGAATAGCCGGGGGGGCTCCTTCCGCATCCCTTCCAGTGACAGGTCGGGTGGGTCCCGTTCCCGTCTTGGCACAGCAGTTTTGCAGCAGGTACGCCGGCAGACGGCAAAACCCAAAAAAAGAAGTCACCGCGGAATTTGGACGTGATCGCAGTACGGTACCTTAATTTTCATGAGCTGGGCGCCTTACCTTACCCAGATCAAGTTGGAATCTGGTGTTGTTTATCTTCCTCTTTCTCAGCTGTCAAGTAGTCTGTTTGGGAGACCCAGCCCCCCGGCAAAGACTTGTCCACTTCTTCGACGATCAATCTACAAAGCCCACAATGGCTGAGGATCACAACGTTGATATCGCCTATGCCCAAGCCAAGCCTCTGAAAACGAAGCATCGGCGGGCGATTCGAAAGGAGGCTGACCAGGTTCTTTGCAACTTCAAGTCGTTCAACAAGAGACATGCCTCTCGAACAGCATCCGCCTACCATTTCGATCCCGGTACCGGTTTGATCGCATAAGATTGACTGCGGGAGTTTGACGCCTCGTTCGATCGGTCAGAGCCCTCCGGAAGGTCCATCAGCATCATGTTACCCATATCCCGAAGAAACCGGATCAGGACTCGACCCAGGTCTGGCTAGCAACTCACTGAAGCCTTTCTTCGATAATGACCGACACTCCAAATCCAGGGGTTCGCACGCGTGTTCGATAAACCTTAAGAAAAAGGGCATCTATCAGGTCCTGGCGAACAGATCAACACCGGGAGAAGGCAACGAGGCACCATCGGAAATTAGATAAGATTGTCAGTACTGACGGGGATGTCCTAGTGGCCATTCACGTCGGTTTCCCTCTTCATCAACCAGAGATAAGCCGGGTTCTCCCAGGAAGCCCAGCTCTTCCCGGCCGAAAAGAACGGCTGATGATTGGCCGATATGGCCTTATTCGACCAAAGTTCCGTTGCAGTGACTCGCCAAGTCTCGCGCAATGGCTGCGGCTGAGCCGAGTGGACGGCTACAGTGGCCATGGCATTGGCGCGATGGCAGTGGTGGCTTTTACTCCAGGACTCTGAGTCTAGCGGGACCCTTGGGAATTAAAGGCAACTGGCACTCGGACAATCTTCGAACTGGCAGCTCAGTAAGGTATACATCGGACGAAGGTCACTCGAAGCCGGTTGCAGTTGATTCGCCAATTCTCCGTCCTTCAGTCTTGCTGCTCGGACGGCGATCCCCAAGTTTCTCGGACAAAGGGTGGGAGGCAGAGCAGCTCGAAAAGGGAAGAAGCCGGGATGCCAAAAGCCTTTTCCTGCCATCCAGACCAACAAGCATCAAGCCACCGAGGCGTCTACCCTGGACCAACAGAGAGTCAGCTCCAGGTGTTCCCCGGCCCCGAGGTGTGCAAGAGGTCAAGAGGTGTGGATCAGGGTGGTCGCCCATTGACCATTGTCCTCCAATGTCACCATGCCCCCGGCGAACCATTCTTCTTTTCCCCTCGCCTCCTCCACAGCCCCCCTCGGACGTCGCTACCCCAATTTAGGAAGGTCGACAAACGGCCGCTGGGCATGCGGGCTGTCGCGTCGACGCTGCATTTGTGTCGTGATAGCACGCTAGACGGTCGATTTCTTCTGGTCCCCTTGGATCCCCCCCATCCCTTCCAGCGCCGCAAGTCGCCGACAAGGCCGCAAGTAGAACCCACCCACCCACCCACACACACACACACAGAGTGTGATACCTATTGGGGGGATAGATACAGGATAATAGGGAGGGTAAAGAGTCGACTCATAGGTGTCGTTGGGCGCGCCGTTCTTTTGACTCTGCGAATCTCAACCCAAAAACACGCAACGCGCACACACTTTTCTGCTCTGCAGAATTCTTAGGGACCACATCAAAGAGGCCACAAGCCATCTTGCCTCTTGTTGGTGATCAATCTGCGAGAAGTGGGACTTTGACTGGTCTGGCGGGCTGACTCTGCCTTGTCATATTGTCTTGTTCTGTTACTGGTAGCCTGCAGACTGCCGACCGGCACTACCTTCGCCGCCACCGCCGCCGCCATCTTTTCGCTTGATTTGATTGAAAAAGCCCTTGGCGCCCGCTGTCCCCAATCTTCCCCGTTGTGGCCTTGGGGCCTTCTTTTCGTCCTTGTGCTTATCTCGTCGGTCACTCTCCAGCCCATCCGCAATCGGCGCACCTAAATCCTCACCTTTCAATCTACTCCGTCGACAGTAGAGCGAAGGAGAGAGGCACAGTCGTCACGATGCCGTCCATTTTTCGCAAACGTGGCGAGCCCGAGGAGATCACGCCCTACCCCGCCCTCGAAGATGATGCCGAGGCCACGGGTATCGAGCCGCTGAAGGCTCTGGCTCAGTTCGAGAAGGCACACAAGCTCGATCCCAACATGCCAATTGACGAGCTCAACGATGTCGATGCCGCGCTCGCAACTGGAAACGCCGAGAAGGGCCTCGAGATTGAACAGGCTCTGATGGAGGACAACTCACCCTATCCAGAGGTACGTCGCAGAGACTCAGCTCAGGCTCGAGAAACAATCGCTGGCATCGCGGTGGGAAGGGAGGGACAGGCAGAAGAAATTCGCAAAGTGAGATATTCGTTCAAATCGCTGACATGATGCGACGCCGCAATAAAGGTCCGCGCTGTGGTACGGAATTACGATGTCGATTTGCCAGCAAATACGATTCGCGCCTGGGTCATCGGCATGCTTCTGTGCACGGTTGGTTCCGGTGTCAATATGCTCTTCTCACTCCGCAACCCCAGCGTCACCATCACCACCTATGTCGTCCAGCTCATTGCCTATCCCATCGGCTTGGGTTGGGATTTAGTCATGCCTGACAAGGAGCAGAATGTCTTTGGTGTCAAATTCAACCTTAAACCCGGCCGTTTCAACTACAAGGAGCACGTTATTATTGTGGCCATGTCTAATGTGAGTTCGGACGAATTCTATCAGAGCGGGACCCGGTAGATACTCCAAATTGGAGATTTACAGCAGCCAAGATTTCGAGTCGAGGCGCAAATGAGGCTCCTTGGCGAGACAAGACCAATGTTGGAACTAACAATGATTATTAGGCTGCCTATGGAGGCGGTGTCTTGTACGCGACAGACGTTTTGCTTGCGCAGCAGCTCTTCTACAAGCAGCACTTCGGCTGGGCTTTCCAGCTGCTCTTTGGCATCACTACCCTTTGCACCGGATACGGTCTGGCCGGTCTGGCACGACGATTCCTTGTATGGCCATCTGCCATGATCTGGCCGTCGAACCTGGTCAACTGTGCTCTCTTCTACACCCTCCACGACCACTCTGGTTCAGACCCGACCAAGACCAACGGCTGGAAAATTGGCCGCTACCGCTGGTTTCTCATTGTTAGCAGCGGTGCATTCATCTGGTACTGGTTCCCCGGTTGGATTTTCCAGGGCCTTTCGTATTTCACCTGGATCTGCTGGGTTGCGCCCCAGAACGAGATTGTCAACAAGATCTTTGGTGGCCTTTCGGGTTATGGACTCATGCCCATCTCATTTGACTGGACCGTCATCTCAGGTTACCTGACATCGCCGCTGATCCCGCCTTTCCACGCTATCGCCAACGTCATTGCGGGTATCATCATCTTCTTCGTCATCATCTCATCCGGCATCCACTTCTCTGGAACCTGGTACTCCGACTACTTCCCTGTACAGAGCTCAGAATCGTTCGACAACACTGGCGCCGTCTACAACGTAACTCGAATCCTCGACGCTAACTTGCAGTTCAACGAGACCGCCTATAATGACTACTCGCCTCTTTACCTGCCGACCCAGTTTGCTCTAGCCTATGGTCTGTCGTTTGCCGCCGTGGCTGCCGTCGTCGTCCATGTTGTGTTGTATCACGGAACAGAGATATGGGGTCAATTCAAGCTTGCGCGCCACCAAGAGGACGACGTGCACATGCGTCTAATGAAGAAGTACCGCGACGCCGAGGACTGGTGGTATCTCGGTAGGTCCCAGCCCTATGTCATGTTGGTTTCCCCTAGACTAACAATCGTCTCTAGCACTTTTTGTCGTCATGGTTGCCATCTCGTTTGGTGTTGTTGCTGGCTGGCCGACTGGTTTCCCAGCATGGGCCTACGTTGTGTGCATTTTGATTCCGGTTTTCTGGATCATCCCCATCGGCATTGTGCAGGCCATCACCAACATTCAGCTTGGCCTCAATGTCTTGACCGAGTTCATCATCGGTTACATGGTGCCCGGCCGCCCCCTCGCGATGATGATGTTCAAGAACTACGGCTACATCTGCATGTCGCAAGCGCTTTACTTTGCGCAGGATCTCAAGCTCGGTCACTACATGAAGGTACCCCCTCGTACCATGTTCGCCTCCCAACTCGTCGCATCGCTATGGTCGGCCATTGTTCAGATTGCTGTCATGAACTGGGCTCTTGGCACCATTCCAGACGTCTGCCAGCCCGACCAGCCCAACAGCTACACTTGCCCCGGTGGTCGTGTCTTCTTCACTGCATCAATCATCTGGGGTGCGATCGGTCCCGCCCGTATCTTTTCCGGCCAGGCGCTGTACGCTTCTCTCCAGTGGTTTTGGCTCGTCGGTGCCATCACTCCGGTCATCACCTGGTTCCTTGCCCGGAAGTGGCCCAAGAGCATCTGGCGCTACGTCAACACGCCGCTTCTGTACGGTGGCTCTGGCTGGCTCCCTCCTGCTAGCGTCTACATCTACCTCTGCTGGGCGCTCGTTGGCACCATTTTCAACTTCTTCATCAAACGTCGCTACACCGGCTGGTGGTTGCAGTACAACTACATTACCTCGGCGGCTCTCGACTGTGGCCTCATCGTGGCCACGCTCATCATCTTCTTCACGCTGTACCTCACATCTGCCAGGCCACCGCAATGGTGGGGTAATGTCAATGTCTTTGAAACGATGGACTGGAAGGGCACGGCAATCAGGACGCAAGTGGCACCAGGCGAGACTATTGGGCCCAGCAGCTGGCCTTGAGGAATTTCCTAGGTTGTGAAAATTCGAGAAGCGTGTTAATGATGTTCAGTTTGACAAGGATATAGGAGTTTGGTGGCTTCCTGAACGTATGTATTACGGTCTCACGGCCCCTTGGGGGGAGTATTTGGGTATTGCTTTTTCACGGCTCTGATGCGAGGATTGTCTGTACGGCTGATGATACCTCGATGCGAATCTACTTGCCCGTCTATTTAATAATTATGAATCAACGATAGGATCGACGTTGCTACTCATTTCCAGTTGCCTAAATGATTGGCTCGTGTAGAAAGTGCCGCTTGCTCCAAATCTTTGGATAGTTGCTCAGGGGGTCCCTTCCAATGTTCTGCATGATGTCGAACGCAGCTTCCTAAATGCTAATGACAAGAGCACTACGTGCGTCACCGGAGGCTCGCCCCTGCCTCAACTTTACATTTGAGGTTGTTGAGCAAGTTCTCAATGTTCTTTTCCTTCCACTCAGGATCATCACACCAGTGGATTTGACTTGTCACTCATTGCCTACCTCGGGAGGCGCAAAAGACCTCAAGACGCCGCAAACCTCGAGTTCCGGTATCCATCGTTCACTCATTCTCAGTATTCCGTAATCCGCATGACTTGAAGCAACGGAACATACCATCACTACGAGTACATGTACCTACCAGTATATACCCCAAAAGTTCGCTGATGGACACAAACGCACTTCTCCCACCGGCCACCTTCCTATGGAGCGACCCACCAACCGCCGGCCCCGAGTTCAACAACAATAACAACAAGAAAATAAGGAGTCACGATGGCAGCCGCGGGAGCGAAAAGAGTCAGCCCATCTTCGCGGCCACGGAAAAGCTGGCCAACGAATCTGGCCGCAGTAAGGAATCGTTGAAGGCGGTACGGAGTAGACTCGTCTCGCGCCAGGGGTCGCGGGCGACGAGGAGGTCGAGGGCGTCGATTGAGTCCCGGGGTCCCTTTTCGTCCAACGAGGACCTGGACATTGACGTGGACGACGTAGAGGACCTTGAGCTGCCACCGAACATTTTGGCAGACAACTGGGACTCTTCTGCACCGCCCTCTTCTCGGTCCGCCGAGCGTCCATGGCACCGCAGCAGCAGCAGCAGAAAGCCGCGGAAATGGAAGCGTGGCGGCTTTGTCTCGGCGGGCTGGATGGAGGAGGAGCCAATGTCGGAGGCCGCTGGCGTCCAGCAGAAGAAGAAGAACAAGAAGGAGAGGAAGCGCGGCTTCCGTGCCAGACTTCGACGACTCCTCGGCCAGGATAGGGAAAAGAGTAAAGCTGGCCACGAGTCGCCTTACGGCCATGAACAGACCCGAGACCTGCAGAGCGATGACTCGAGGCTTTCTGGCGAGCAAGACGCCGCGGCACAGTAGCATTTTCAACCAGCCAAGGCTGATGCACCTTCTTCAAAAGGGACTACGCCTCGCGACAGCTGTAAACTCCTAGGGTACGTAAAGCTGTCGTTGATCTCGATAGTTAGGACACAGGAGCCTGTCAACTGACGCGCACGGGCAGAAGCTTTCTCACCAAACATCGAGGCGAAGAACAGAGAGAGCCGAGGAAAAGAGCCGAGCAACAGCTCGAGCGGGGTTTGATAAGCCATAGAGCGACCTGCAGTAAGCAGCTCAATATGGCTTGATCACGCAGATCGGCAACTAGCAATTTGAAGCTGTTGGGCTCCTTTGGTATCCGGCCCGTGGAGAAGCTCTAAAGGCCTATCGGCAGGTCCCTAGGATGGAAGAATGGTGTAGGTTTGTATACCATCGTATAGATGGCTTCATTTGGTGGATCCATTCCGATCCTAATGCAATTACCCTTCCTATGAATGCCAGAACTCTACCTTTGATGGATGCTTTATGGTAAATTTCGGACACCAGAAGAATGCCCGACCATCTATCGCGGGCGAACCGGTGCTGGAGCATACGGCAAAATGGCGCCAGGAACCAGGTTTCAGAATATGAGACACCAAGCATCGATATTTCGGTTCGATATTTCCATGGATCGAGGCCGGCTGAGTGGCAGCTGCCGTCACATCAGTTTCCATCGCCTGAACTGTGGGAGATCCTCGTCGCTTATGAATGAATGCATTTCAAAACACAAGAAGGATGCCGGCGACTCCCTCCCGTGACGGATTGAGACAACATCTCTGGTGGCGCTGTTCCTGACTAGCGAGCCCTAACTCCTGAAGCCCTTAGAATCATTTATCCCCTTTGATGTCTAATAAGCGATCCTTCAGAATCGTTGGGGGCGAGTTCCTCCCTCATCATTATCACAGGGGAACGAGGAACGTCTTACTTGAGCCTCTTGGAGGAACGTTGTTCTCGCGGAGCGGGCCCCGATCCAATCCTAGCTATCTGGCCCAGCCGGATTTATTTCCGTAGTCTCCCCGAGATTTCGATATCTGACAATCTTGACAGCGTCTGTGAGCATGTCTTGATAATCTATTGTCCTTCGGAACTTTGTGTCAGTCTAGACAATAGGAGAAGGGGCCAAGGTATGGAGAGACATGCCAATCCAGATATTCCAGACGAGACGGGCCGTGAACCGATCTCCCTTGCTCAACAAATACCAGCGAGAGAGCCTAGTCATTGTCTCACTTTTCTTTCCAAGATGTGGTTGCACAGGGCGAAAACGACCGTGCAGTCCGTCAAGTAGGAAGAAGGAAAGGGGAGGGGCGAAAGGGGTACTGAAGGGGGGGAAAAGCAAAAATAACACAACGAGGAGAAATGAACCCCTACCCATTTCCCTCTTCTTGATGTCCTCTGTCTCGATTATGTGTCTGTCCCCTTGGGAGAAAGTGACACCAAGGAGAACCGCCTGAGACAGGCTGAGTCAGTGACGGGCAACGAAAAGTCTGGGTCAAATCTCGCAATCTTGGTCTCTTTTGGAGCAAACAGCAAGACATCTGGGACAAGCCAAACGGGGCAGACTCTTGTGTTTGGTATTATAAAGCAAAGAGAAAGAAGCACGGAAACTTGACAAGGTGCGACGTTCCGCGACTTTGTCCTTACACAGACGTACGAACACCCACACACATAAACACATATATGCCCGCGTCATTTGAGGGTGAATAACAGAAAAACCAACGATCAATCGCCATAAATCAGCTTTCTCTCAATTTGGCTTTTGGTTTCACCATAACATCAGTCCTATCATAAAACCCACATTGCTGTTTTTCTCAAGTAGAGGTTAAGATTTTTTACCCAGACCATGTCATTCGCAAGAGAAGGTAGCAAACACACGATACTTTACGAGACGATACCCGATTGCCAAGGCTCTGTTCTTCTACAGCCACGGCCACGCTGATACACTCCTTGGACTTGATCTTTAAAAGAAACTTGACTTTGCAGTCCTGAACATTGCCGCACCGACATTGACTTTCACTGCCAAATAAGGGGCTAAAAGCGGTAAAGACAACAGTAAGCGCAGACGAACGCTGTTCTTTACCAACTATTAGAAATTGGATTCACCTCCATTATTACAGAGACACAACGAGAGGCCCTTTTCCACGCGGGTAATCGCTCGCCAACGTACAATTCGAAGAATAGAGGGGGAAAAAAGAACTGCTATCCTCTTCCTATTCCCAGGGGCGACGCTGCGGCCGGGGTGGACATCATGGGCCGAAGCGGGTATGATACCACGGACCTGGGAGGACTCGCAAAGCCGAAGCGAAAGCCAACACCTGCCGCTGCGTGTAGTCCCAAGGCCGGCGGCGGCTGTCACAAGAGCATGGGTGCGGTCTCGGCTGAGCGGGCGAGGATGCTGCGGATGGAGATGCAACAGCAGCAGTCACAGCAGCAGTCACAGGCGGGAGGAGGGAACGGCGCGGGTTTTGCTGCGACTTTGACGTCGGCTTCGGCTTCGAGTGAGAATCGGGGCGGTAGCGGTGACGGTGCTGCGTCTCAGAGGTAGTGGAGCAGAATTGAGGATTTTCAACATGAGGTATCGGCGTTGGCTGTCGGCCGTTGAGAGGTACGTCTGATTCGCTCTTTGCTTGTGTCTTTGACCTGGAGTTTTTCTGAAACTAATTGCCTTGAGGTAGTTGGACAAAGGTCCTGATGGTTGCAAGTACTGGCCAGTGTGGGGGGATTATGAGAATAAGGCCAGCTGACGGTGTAAGTCACATCATGAGGCGGGTAGGAAAGAAGGAAGAAGACAACAGAACCATGCGCTGGTGGTACCTTGTACAAAAATATACGGATGACGGTCGAGCTTTGAGACGAGCGAAGCGCTGGTTTCAGGTTCCGTTGCCTCGTGGATTGGCGAAAGAGCACTTACAGCCCATCGTCTGCCGACGCTTTCCAGCTGACTGGAAGATGAGGCGCGAGTGGGGGTCCCATAGAACATGAGAATGAGAGGATGGATGCGAGGAACCCAGCCCACACACAGCAATATACATGAGTACGACGAAGCCCAGCTCCTGTTGGCCTCGTAGTTGTCTGATATCATCCTCGCCGCGTGATGACCTCCTAGGCAACGGGGGACGAGAAGGTCATTGACCAAAAAAAAAGCTTATATGAGCTCGGGTGCATTAAAGCTATGTTGCTGTACGTGGACTGGATTGGGTGCCTAGCTACACACATTGGGAGCATTTCCATCAGCAATCGGCACCAATGGTTCGAGAACATCGCAATGCAAGTACTAATCATGTAGGAGGAATATCCAGAAAAGAAAACAAGTAGAAAAGTCTCTCTTGATGTCTACTTTATGTACTGTTCCACGACGCGCATACATACTTGCCAAGTGGCACAGGACACGCTACATTTAGGAAAAGGGGTATCGCTCCGGAGAAGGGAAGAGAAAAACAGAAATGTTGAACAAGGCGTTATCATCATCATCAAAAAATTTAGACAGCATCCCAATATCATGGCCCAAGATCACATCGACCGGACAGTCTTTAGCTGTATTGGGGCGGGTGCTGAGTCGGCGCCGTGTGAGAAGGGGGTTGCGGCGTGTAATATTCGGCCGCCGCGCCGGTGGGTGTCGGGGCAGTGCCGGCCGAGGCCGAGAAAGCCGGGGGAGGAGCGGGTGATTGGAACCGATGAGGTGCGTAGCCCATGGGCTCGTACTTGCTATCCGCGTTGTTGTGGGTGCCGGCCCCGGCCCCGGCGTACCAAGAGTCTCGGTTACCGGTGTCGCCAGACTCCCCTCCCTCCTCGAGCTTGGCGTACGTGCCGCCGCCGGCGGAGCGCCTAGCGCCATCGGCGCCTCCTCCGGACGTGTTCTTGCGGCGGGAGATGAACTTTTTGTAGAGCGTGACGGGGATCCAGAGGCCCGTCGAGACGAGGAGGGCGTGGCCGAGGACGTGGCCGAAGCGGAATGGCTTGCCTTCCTTTTTGCGCTTGAATTCTGTTTTCCGGTGTAAGTCGTTGGGGGTCTTGTTTTTTTTCCACAAAAAGTTGAGAAACTCGTACCTTTGACCGTGTAATATGCGAGAGAGACCAGGAACAGGACGAGCCATACAATCAGGACGATGATCAGGATCCGGGCCCAGAGAGGAAGTGCGCTGAAGCCGCCCCCGCCGCCTCCTCCTCCTCCGCCCCCGCCGGCGGCACCGACGTGGCCGCCCTTGTACTTGTTCTTGCTGGGCTTTGACTTTGATGATGATTTTGAGGATTTGCTGCCACTGCTTCCGCCGCGGCTGCCGCTGGAGCCACCGCCCTTGGGGACGCGGGACTCGAGGATGAAGTCCATTTGGGACGGGAGAGTTGTGTTGCGAGTCGACGGTTCGCCAAACACTGTGTGACTGGATGTTGGGGTCAATTGTCTTTGTCCCTCGGTGGATGATCTCTGATTGGTTGTTCAATGTATTGTTACACAAAACATTCGGATCGAGAGAAGATTGATCAAACACTGTACACAGTAGGGGAGTAAAGTAAGATGCGAGGCTGAAGGGGAGGTGAAGAGGCAGGCTGCGGAGTCTTCACTTATTAAAGAGACTGCAAGCGACGTCGTCCGCCAGTCTTACCTGCATCGACGGCCGGCGTTTAGTCCCACCCGACCTTTTCGTTTGAGTGAGCCCTGCTAGGGTGAGATAGTCTGGGGCGAGGGGTCGGTTGGCGGCTCCCTCGTCATTCTGGCCTGCATTTTCTACTTCGTGAGCGCACATCAACCCCCGAAACTGCAAAGTGAGAGAGCCGGGGGAGGGATTCTCGCTCCAAAAGCAGTTTGGTAAGTGCTGGCTTACCAAGAAAACAAGCCTATCCGGCAGACGGCCCTCTGGCTGGTGAGAGACCAACTTGACGGGGGGCTGTCTTGGCAAAGCTCAGCCGTACCTGATGCTATTCGTCCGTTTGCGCGCGAGGGGAAACGGTGTGGAGGATGGTAATCTCGTCACTGTCACCACAAAACCCCCGGGCCTCCTCCTTGGCGCCGGCCTAGCTTGTGGTATTAGCCTGTAGATACCCATAGAATGGAAAAGTCGAAGAAGTGACTTGATGCTTCTTCTTTTGGCATTGAAGTTACCACAGTTTCGGGCGGCGCTACCACCAGGGCACGCACATAAGCGCAGCTGGATGGATAACCCCTTCTGAACCTGGAGACAGATCAAGATGAAGACCCAGTTGGCAGCTGCATTGGCAGTTAGGATAGAGGACCCTCAATCAGCCTTACGGGCCCGCCATTTGCCCTTATGGAGGCAACCGGAGGGCTGTGAGAAGAGGGACCAATGCTGTCCTCGGAGCTTATCGTACCTTGTACAGGGGCGCAAGGGGATGTGATCGAATCCCAGGACCCAAGAGACTGGGGGAACGGTCGTGCCAACCTGCCAGGTCCCCTGGAAGCTTATTTCTCCGTGTGCTCGACTCGACTCCGCCATCGCAGGTGCCAGTACCACTTTCTTTTCCACCAGGAACAAATTTGAGAATGTTTCCACTTCTAGGCATCTGCAATGGGATCCTTGGCACCTGGAACTTCTCATAAAAGAGAGAGAGAGAAACAGAGCCGGTCGTATTGACAAACTGACAAGAAGATGCGGATAGCTGCGACGTCATTCGGGGACCCCCTCCCAGGACACTCGTTGCAGATCATCGCCCGGCGCACGTTGAACTCGGGTTGGTCCAGACTTCAGCCATTTCCTCCTTCTCTTGCGGCACAGCACCGCTCACCTTCTGCTGTGTATGCCGTCATGTCTGTTGCGAAACCACACAGACACGAGGGTGGTGGTGCTTTCCCCTTCTTTGTCGAAGAAGCTTGGCAAGTTGGCAAGCAACCATGGTCTTCGATGTTCAAGACAATCCAAGACGACAGCAGACGCAGACGTCGCTTCGGAAATGAAGAAAACAAGAAAACACAATGAAGACAACCAGGGAGTCTGCATTACATGCGAACGAGGGATATGATGGGTTGCTGCTTTGCCTTTGCTTGCTGGCCACCCTGCGCTCTACGCCACGGGCCTCCGCGGGCCGGCGGCCACGCAAACTCCCCCCCTTCCGAAATGGAAACTTTGAAAAGCTTATCCGGGTTTCGGTGGTATTTTCCTCAGAGCATGTTGTTGGCGTTGGAAGTCAATTCCGACTTCATCTCGCCCCAGTAAACGTGATCGTGGGGGCGGTCGCTGATCAAGGTTACCTTGCTTGGGCGATGCTGCACGTCTGTGGCGGTGCTGCCGTACGGGCTACGCGGTTTTCGCTCCAACATGGACTTGTGAGGCTCTTTTTGCCTTTGTGTTGGCATCAGTTGACGTGCGAACGACACATGGCTCTCTCATGCGAGGTCGCATGCTTGCCACATTGAAGGTCTGTTTTGATCGTCTCAGAGTACTCCGTACGGGTTCTGCTACTTGTCTGCCAAGTCCGCTAGTACTGTCTTCTTTGGACACCATGAAACCTTGCAGCGATGGGAACGTGATCATGACCGGCGGCATATTTTTCTTTCAGCACATTTCCTCGGAAGAAATTCGACGATGATAACTTTTGAAATCAGCCGGCTTCTTCATTCTGTCGTCCATGCCAAGCCGAGGTTACGAGTCCTCGATGAAGTGTCCTTTCCTTGTAGTCTCCGGTCTGTCCGGTATAAAGTTCACTTTGAAAAGACCCACCTCGTCACCAAACGCTCTTCCTCTCGCTTGAGGCAACACAACAGATGGGTTATTCTTTATATATTCGAAAAGTCTTTTCGAACACAAAGAGCCACCCTCACTCCGCAGACGCGTGCTGGAGCTATCGAGACGAGAAGCGTCCATGAAGCCATTGACTTTCATTCTGTATATTTTTACTTGACTTGGCACTCGAGTCGTAGCGCGCCCCGACTCGCGCCCCGGACCCCCGCTGCTTCGGCCGCAACCTTGTCCCGTTCGATGCCACTCGAAACTTTCTTCTTTTTCGACGCAGGCCGACTTATCTACCTACTAGTAGGCTCGGATGCCCACAATCTCTCGCGTCAAGATGACGAAGTTGCTTCAGCGCACAAGCTAGCTTCCCCCATCATTTGTACTAGTGGCATCTAAGCGTGCGGCGCTAGACTCTTTTGCTAAACCGAGTACCTTCCATTGTTCACAGTGACCATACGCTGGCGCCACCTTGTTCCCGTTAAGCACGTATCCTGGCATAAATTAGTGGGCACATTGAGGACCGAGGTGGTGGTGGTAGTGGTGGCAGCGGTGGTGGTCTGTTATACGGTCACGGGACCCGGCCTCTGGAGTAGACACGGCAACCTATTTATCGTCGAGCGAGCCGTGGGATCATTCCCATCTTCTATGCTGCAGCATCTTCATCGCTCAGCTAGAAACAATAAGAAATCCCGCATTGAAGATGGCGATACAGGATCTCCTCTCGGGCCTCACCCTCGGCCCGGCGCAGCTCGCGGCTCTGCTGTCCAGCCTCTGGCTGCTGTACGCCGTCCAGCTTGGCGTCCGACGACTCTACTTCAGCCCCATCTCCCACGTTCCCGGGCCGAGGCTGGCGGCTCTGACGCAGCTGTACGAATTCTACTATGACATCGTCCTGGGAGGCCAGTACACGTTCAAGATCATCGAGCTGCACCGGCAATACGGGCCCGTCGTGCGCATCAGCCCGTGGGAGGTCCACGTGGGCGACCCAGAGTTCTTTTCGGAGCTCTATACGGGGCCGAGCAGGCCGAGAGAGAAGTGGGCGTTTTATACGCAGCAGGTATGTACCTTGAATTTTCCGGGACGGGGTGGAAAGAAATGAAGACAGTTGCTGACCAGATTGGGTAGTTTGGATCCCCTGGTAAGGCTCTAATGGAGTTCTACTTTGATGAACAAAGTGATGAGCTGACGAGACTGGAGAGAGCGCATTGGCGACGGTGAACCATGACCACCACAAACTGAGACGCGCGGCGCTGAATCCCTTCTTTTCGACGCAGACGGTTCGCAAACTGCAGCCTGTCATCGAAGAACGGGTTGATGCGCTGCTCGACCGTCTTTTGGAACTCAGCAAGAGGTCGGACGAACCCGTGGATGTAATGTACCCATTCTCGGCCTTCACCAACGGTAAGCAATGCCGGGACGATGTGTCTCACCGACTAGTACAGAGTTCAGCAACTGACGGACCATCAGATGTCATCAACGAATACAGCTTCGCCCGGAGTGATCACCTGAGTAAGTAGTGCCCTCGTAAAGATTGCACACATCGGACGAAGCTAACGAGGACTTTGCAGTCGAGGACGAGACGTTTGGCAAGGTGGTTACTGACAACCTCCTCATGGGCACACATCTAGGGCCAATGATCAAGCACATGAACTGGGCCCTGACGCTGATCAACGCACTACCCGAGTCCTTCTCCGGACGTTTCATTCCTGGTGAAACCCCACCCCTTTTGCCCTTCACACTCTCCTTGTCGGGCCCTCACTTACACGTCATGTCCATACAGGCTGGGGCGGCTTCCTCAAGATGAAGAACGACATCAAGGACCAAATCGCCGAGATCAAAGCCACGCAGGATACGGAAAAGTGGCAACTGGACGTCAGCCACCCGACAATCTTCCACGACATGCTGTCCTCGAAGCTCTTGCCTCCCCGGGAGAAGACGGTATCCCGCCTTGCGCAGGATGGTCAGATTCTGGTGCAGGGCGGCACGCTCACGACGTCGTGGACGCTGTCCCTGGCCGTGTTCCACCTCCTCAACCGGCCGTCGACGCTGCGTCGGCTGCGCGACGAGCTCTTTTCCGCGATCCCGGACCGTGACGCCGTGATCCCGCTGGCGGAGCTCGAGAATTTGCCGTACCTGCGTGGGGTCGTCAAGGAGTCTTTGCGTCTGGGATTCGGCACGAGTTCGCGGCTGGCGAGGGTGTGTCCCGAGGAGACGCTGGTGTACCACGACAGAGGACAGGACGGCGATACCGGCAATGGCACGACGGTGCACCTCCCGCCGGGGACGGTGATTGGCATGAGCACGTACAAGACGCAGACGGACCCGCGGATCTACTACGACCCGTTCGGGTTCCACCCGGAGCGGTGGGTCGAGGACGGCGAGCGGCTGGAAAAGTACCTGACCGTCTTCTGCGGCGGCACGCGCGTCTGTCTCGGGATGGCGCTCGCGCAGGCGGAGCTGTACCTCATGCTGGCGAAGCTCTTCCGGCGGTGGGGCGGGGCGGGCGTCGTCGTGGACGGCAGCAGCGGCGGGAAGGAAGAGGACGACGACCGGCGGGCGGGCGACGTGGGCGTCGTCAAGATTTTCGAGACGACGGTGAGAGATTGTGAGATGGCGGCGGATTACTTTATTCCGATTCCCTACAAGGTACGTTTACATTCTGATGGATCGCAGTGAGGGTCGTGTATTGACTGAAGAATCTCCTTCTCGTGTGGCTGACATTTGACTGACGAGCATACAGAATTCCAAGGGGATTCGTGTCGTGTTTGAAAGCAGTGACAACACCGACGGCGGTCATAGTTAGCGCGGCAGAGAGATGCTTATTCTGGACAGTTAGGATTGGTGGCTGAGCTTGCTCGAGGAACGGGTAGTGCCGTCTTTGTCAAGGTGACAAGTATCCCATCAACGGGCCTTTGAGAGCTGCGATAGTCTGGACTTTGGCGTCGATTCGGGAAAACGACAAGGTCAATAGTACTTGGCTTCAGCTGCCCGTCATCTCCGGGACTACGGCTGGTGATGATTGATCATGCTGATGGCAGACTTGTCATCAGATGAGGTGAGATGGGACGGAATGAGCCATGTCATAGTTGTGTCTTGCCGTATCTCACCAGGCGGGAAAGCAGAAATTCCAGAGTTCGGATCATTCCTCGCAAATGCATAGAAGAAAGAGACAGACGCAAGTTGAGGTCCAAGTCCACATCCGTGCCCGTTGGAAGTAGTGACCAATGAAAAGGCGCCAAAATGCAGCTGACGATGTCTACCCCACCCCGGACTCGGCCAAGTCAACAGGTCCCCGGTCCGGCTTGGATGCCGTCCGATATTTAGCGCGAGCAGCAGCAGCATAAGCCCGTGGGCCGCAAGGTGCAGTAGCCCAGCACCGCAGTCTGCAGCAGTGAGGTCGGGTGGGCCCCCCAGGCGGCGGGCCACTGGAGCAGCCCAGCGTCAGCCCCTGACCCTGAAACATCGGACTGGGCCGACTGGATCACCAATTCAGGGGACAAGGGCGGAAAGAGCATGTTTCTGCACCTTTTGCACCGGCCGACGCCAATGACGGGGGAGCTTGGACACCGCGCGCCACGACTTCCACGTTGTTCCTTTACGGCCCCGTTCACACTCCAGTGTCTTAGGTACGGAGACTCTGTCTCTGGTCCTGTCACCTGTCGTCCCACCTTGAATTCTTTTTCTTATTTTCTGCATATTCCCTTCGTCTTCGTTTCCTCGTCTTCAATTCCCCTGCCTATTGCTACCCAGGTTTTTCTTCTCGTGCCTTGACTGATTGTCTTCTTCTCCCCTGTTCGGCCAATCTCCCCCGAAATACCCCACGCTCATTCTTCTGGTCTACTTGATCTTTGTACAACGGGAACCCGTCTCTCGGGTCAACAACACCGAATCCCACGTCGTCCACGGATCCGTCCTCCTCATTCTTACGCACAGGACACTCCGCGCAGGTTCGCGACAATGGCAGCGGCAGCAACATCACCGCCGCCCTCGACGGCAGTCGACCCCTCCACGCGCAAACGTGTGCTCAGAGTCATTGCTATCTCTCTGCTCCTTGACCTGGTAACCTTCTGCCCCCTCAAGCAACTTTCGCAATCTAGACCTCCCATAGCTGACAAACTCCTCCTCCTCTAGATCTCTTTCACCTTCATCCTCCCGCTCTTCCCCAAGCTGCTCGAATTCTACCGCGACCGCGAAATCGGCCCCGAGATCGCAAACGCAACCGGTCCCGCCACCCTTCTCCAGTCCATCCTCTCCGGCCTGAACCGCTACAAGGCCGCTTTCGCCCGCCCCATCGACTCCCGCTACGACATCGTCCTCCTCGGCGGCGCCCTCGGCTCCCTCTTCAGCCTGCTCCAGGCCGTCGCCTCCCCGCTCATCGGCCACCTCTCGGACCGCTACGGCCGCCGCACCGCCTTGCTGGCCTCCATGTGCGGCAACATCCTCTCCGTGCTCCTCTGGGTCGTCGCCGTCGACTTCCGCACCTTTGTCGCCTCCCGCGTCGTCGGCGGCCTGTCCGAGGGCAACGTCCAGCTCGCCACCGCCATGGCGACGGACATTTCGGACGAGCAGAGCAGAAGCTCTACCATGGCCCTCATCGGCGCCTGCTTCTCTATCGCATTCACCTTTGGTCCCGGCCTGGGCGCGTGGTTAAGCAGCATCAGCACGGTCAAGGAGAACCCCTTCGCCACCGCCGCCGGCTTCAGCTTATTCCTCATCCTGACCGAGACTGTCTACCTCTACTTCTGCCTCCCCGAGACCCTTCCCTCCTTGACTGGCAAGGGCCGCGGCGCACCCGGCAAGAAGGGCGAAAAGAACAATACGACGACGCCGCAATCGACGCCGACACCGCTGCTGCGAACAAACTCGCACTTCCTCCTCAATGCCGTCCACTTTGTATTCCTGCTCTTCTTCTCCGGCATGGAGTCCTCCCTCTCCTTCATGACCTACGAGCTCTTCGCCTTCGGCTCCGCTAAGAACGGCCGCCTCCTCGGCTTCGTTGGCCTTGTCGCCTCCATCCTCCAGGGCGGTGTCACGCGCCGCCTCCCGCCTCTGCTCTCCGTGCGCACGGGCGTCGTGGCCTGTCTCGCCTCCTTCATCCTCTTAGGCCGTATCACCACAACCGGCGGGCTGTACGCCGCGGCCACGTGCCTGGCCGTCACGTCCGCTACCGTCGTCTCGGGCCTCAACACGCTGAGCAGCTTCGAGGCCGCCGAGGACGAGCGCGGCGGCAAGCTCGGCATCCTCCGCAGCTGGGGCCAGCTCGGTCGCGGACTGGGGCCGATCCTCTTCACCAGCGTGTACTGGTGGGCCGGCCGCCAGGTCGCGTATACCATGGGTGCCACAGGCATGGCTGTTGTCGCGGCGGCGGTGTTTGCCGGTCTCAAGACGCCGCCTGGGTCACTGAAGAAGAAGGTGCCTGCCGAGAAGAAGGCCGCGTGAGGAGACGGTCTATTGTGTGTATAACAGTGAGAAGCAGAGCACTGTGTGACAATTTGTCAGGGGTCTCTTTTTTTTTGGTGTTGATAAATTCGATCTACTGTACATGTACTCGGCCCGGGGGAGCATTTTAAAGGAGTCTGATACAAGGATCAGTGTAGTATACTCAGGGGTGGTAAATGTACATGATTTTATCTTTTGCTTAGCACGCTAACATGAGCGTGAGCGTGAGCTACTGTCCCACATTGGGTTTGGGTAATCGACGGCTGAAACGGAGGCATGGCGAGTAATATTTTGTGTTCGGGATGGGAGGCGACATGTGAGCTTTGCTTCGCATACCTTCGGAGCTGAAGACTAGTGAGTTGAATCTGGGATTGCTTTGGATCCTCTTCCTGACTCCCAATCTCAACGCTACCACTGTGTACAGCCTTGACACTGGCGCGGGAGGTCGGAGGGGCTGCTTCTTGTAGCAATAGAAATGTCACTCTGGACATGGCGGTTCCTCTCAAACCACAGTCAACACTGGAAAACATTTCAACCCAGAAACCGACCCCCTCGTCCTCCTCCTCTTCAACCTCCTGCAACCCGCCCTCCGCGCCGCCGCGGCCCCGGAACACGCCTCCCGCGTCGTCATCGTCTCCTCCGTCGCCCACCGCTTCGGCGGGGTGCAATTTGACAACGTAAACTACCTACGCCGATAACAAAGCGGCCAACCTCTGGACCGCAAACGAGATTGAGCGGCGGTACGGTGCGCTTGGCATCCATGCCCTGAGCCTGCAGCCGGGCGGCTTCACGAAGCACCCGTACCTCTCCGAGATTTTCAAGACGGCGTCGCAGGGCGTGTCGATGTCCGTGTGGGTGGCCACCGCCGCGGCTCTCGAGGGGCGTGTACCTCGAAGATTGCCAGATCATCGGACCCTGGGATCCCGCGGAGGAGCCGTGGGGTCCCGGGCACGGCGACCATGCGTATGGTAGGCTACTTCGCTCTGGGACAATTCGCTTGCCTGGGCAGGGCGCAGATAATGTTGACGAAGGATTTAAAAAAAAAAAAAAAAAAAAAAAAAAAAGAATAGTGTCGGAAGGAATTTTTGGGGAGGAGCACCCAGGCGACTTATGCGGCTTCTTGTCTGCTGTGTCGTTTTGTTTTTCGTGTGTTTTTACGAAAATCAACAACTACCACCCCAAACACAAAAAAAAAAAAAAAAAGAATTAGTTCTGAAAGAATCTTATTGGATGCGATCCCACTACTGTGATGCTGCTTCTACCACCTGATGAGGTCTTTTGTACGAGAGCTATGCGTGAGACTCATAGTTCGAGAAGCTATTGGGAAGCATACTAGAGCTTCCTACATATAAGCCGTGGCTTCGATGCATTGTGTTTTTATTTCATGAACATAAAGTGCAATCTCAAACCTCCCAACTCTCTTGCGCTAAGAAAGAAGTATGGAAATACCTAGGCGATCTGACAATGACCGTGGTTCTCAGCCCAGAACCTTCCCCCTCTTCTTTCTTGCCGGTTATCATAGTCAAGGAGAACATCAAACAGAGATGGGTTTTTCTTGGGACGGTGTTGAAAAGGAAACCTACAGGGGCTTCTCCCAGAGGCCTGTTATCCTTTATATCCAGCTCATCTTTGCATCATTGTTGAGGTATTGCGGTGACACCTGAAAGCCTTCAAAACCCCCAATATTTCGTCAGGTCACATACACAACAGTAGTATCATCATCATCTATTAACTCAGTTTCCAGATTCCGCTGCCTCATTCAAAAATTTCTCAGCCTGAGGTTGTCTACAAACAGAATATACACCGCCAACTCACCTGGCCTTTGTCTATTCAACATTCACCCTCCCGACCGCCCGCCCCTTCCCTAAGCTCACACTTTTCCATTCTTAACGCTCCTTCCCGTTTCATTTGATCCAACAAACAAATAAAAAGCCAACGATCGGATGGTCGAACGGTACAGCAGCCGGCGTGGAGCAATAGTAGCTTATTGGCCTCCTATCTCTGGGGTTTCAGCCAAAGGTTGCGGGTGCAAGTCCCGCCGTCGGTACAACTTTTTGTGCTCTTTTTCTTTGCTTCACTTGGTCCCATGACTATATGTATAATTGATTGAATATGGGTATTACGATTGGAGATTAGGCATTGTTTTCGGGGAAGCCTTTTCGCAGAAATGTGTGTGTGATACCTTGCCAGGTGGAAAGGCGTCAGAGTATTATCCCGTATATACTTCTCACCTGGATACCGTTTGAAACATGGAAAACAGAAAGACGCCCCGCCCTCTTTCCAGAGAAAAGAATTCTCACTAAAAATTGCAAAACTCTCATGGAACAAGTTAAGTTGGAAGACAATGCCACCTCCATCCCAGCATGCCTCAACGATATCCCCACACATTCCTTTCCAAGCGAAAGGCAATCGATGCCGTTTCTGATTCTGCCACGTGTTGAAAGTAAGCATAAGAGAGACAAAGAGAGGAGAGTCTGCTTCTCATTCCCTTATACCTGCCCTCAAGTCTTTAGTGTTTGTGGCGCCTATTCAACACCTCATTGATTTCTAGCCAACTTTGGAATCTCTTGCCCTTCCACCTCTTCTAGATGACCGTCTTAGGCCTGCCAAAGTCTTGGGATTTCACCCCCAAGAAGTGCGAATCTAGGTTGATATCAGATATCCTTGGTGGTCGCGATGGATTCTTTTCATATTCAGCTGCAAGGGAATCAACTTATTCTCTCATTCTAGTGGGCAATATCGCTGTCCCAATACGCTCCAAGCGAAGGACCGCTCTGTCTGAGATCACCATGATATACACCCCTTGGCCCAGTCTCCCTCTTTTATACCTTGACCCTTAAGTCCTCCTGGAACACAGGTAGGTACAACAAGCTTGAGATTCATGCCACCGTACAAAAGGTTACGCCCAAAATTCATCCTCAAGCAACATCATTGCCAGTGTACAGCATTATTATTCACAACATCAAAAGTCATGGCAGCTCCAATCGCTAAGGGTGGAACGAACACGATTGGCAAGGCCCCGAAAGCTGTTCTTCTGAAAAACTTTGTTCGCATCCAGGTTCGTTCTATAAACAATCTGGATTCCACCATCTACCAGTATTAGGAACCCCGATTTCGTTTATTTTCATTTTCATTTTTATTTTTATAATGAACCTGGTCAATACCATCGGAAATATTGTCCTTCGGGTAGGATCCTCGCCAAAGACTTACTTCCACTGGACTTTGAGTTCGAACTTTCTCACAACAACATCATGAAATCCGATGGCTGTCCTGTAAGCCGAGGCAACGGACTCCCGTAGAGGGCGTACAGCAACCAGACGGACGTTGTGATGGCACGGCATCTATGAAGCTGATCAACACGTTGTAACGTTACCTCGGCCCAGATGGCAGCTTGATAAGGCTCTTGATACTACCTAGATCAAACAAGCGCTCGAGTTGAGCCCAGAGCCTCTGAGCTAAACGAGACTCTGTCTACTGGCCCAGGCGTCCGCGGATACGACTAGCTACGTACGATGGCTCAGCTTCACGATCTGCTCAAAGAGGCTCTACCCTCATCAGACTGGCCAACGTGGGACGGGGTTTGGCAAGGGGACAGTATCGTGCTGGTTGGCCCCATGGCGGGCTTTCCGAGCTCGCAATCGCCGCTGTTCGGTGACGTAAAGATTTTTCAAAGAGCCTATCCTTTCCGCGCGCAAACTCGGTGGAAGAGAGGTCGTTCGAAGAAGGCATAGTTACGGGTAGGCAAAGGCCTTACAGAGACGATGGCTTATTCGTTGTCCAGTTCGGAATCGCCGGCCGACTAAGCTCTTGGTATCCGGGCCGTTCTATTCGCCGACCAAAAGAGTGGTCTCTTCAAGCTGCCGAGTGTCATATTAGCTTCAACACCCACCCCGGCATGCGGTATGCCATGCACGGAGCACACATGAAAGCTATTTAAGATGAGTCGGGTATGTGGCTAGTGCTCGCGAGAGTTGGGCGCGGGGAAACAACTACAAAACCAAAAATCTCCTCCTCCCTCAGACAAGAAGCATGTCACCTGCCGAGTTCATCCGAAGTTCGATGTAAGAGTGCGTACATCGACCGGGAACATTGAATGATTGGCTCACCCCACCTTTTGAGTTTCCACACTGGAAGGAAGACCTGAAAAGGCTCAAGAAGGTTGGGCCGAGATGGGCAAAGTGGCATATGTGCCCCCTTTCATCCCTGATCGGGGCCTGATGCCAAACATACGTGGGGAACGCTCTTCCCGTGAGCCGTGTGCCCAACCTACAAGCGCTGGATTGGACGCCATGTGCCATGCCTGGTCTGCTCTAACTGGTTTCCCAGATGTGATGTCGAAGTACCAAATGCAAGAACCTGCATGTAGGTGCATGCGTGTCTTGCAACATTGGAAGCTATTACTTGACCCCCTTCCCCCCCTGCTGCTGCCATCACCAACGAGGCTGACCCGACGGCGGAGGCAGCGTTGAGCCGGCAGTTTTATGGACAGAAGGCCCATGATACGACTTTGGTAAACAATACATTCACCTATATATCCAAATGTTCCACACACGCAGTAGGGCAAGCGTCGAGGTAGAATGCAACGTTCCGAACTTTCCCCGGCAACAAAATCTGGGTGGTCGGCAACACCTCACTGGCCTGCTGGATCGTGTGAAGGTATCCTCCGTGCTGCAAAAAGCATCGGATCTGCCTCTCTGGCTTGGGAGGACTGCCAGCGCGGCTTCACGTTGCAGCAGAATTCAGAGGGGCCAAGCTCACTGCTGCCGACGATTGCGCACTGCCATTTCGATCAGTGTGTCGTACGAGTTTCGCGTCCTACCATGATGGACCGCGGCGCTTCCAGAAAATTAGCCCTGTTGCAATTGGTGACATGCAGCCTTAGTGCTCTGTTGGAGTGGCCCCCAAGCGGCGAGTCCAAGAGCAGCCAAGCGGGATTACCCCCATGTTTCCCGCTGCCCAGCACCATTAGTCTTGTCAGCAAACTGTTGGAGGCAACAAAAAGGTAGACCGTTGGAGCGTTGCACCGGAATTCGTCCTAGATTCGGTTTGGTGTTGGTCAGTATTGCTTAGTCAGGCCGCTGCTCTTTGCTGTTCGGGATCGACGCTTAGTGAAAGGCAGGCACTGCTAAACTACTGCTTGAAGATTTTATATCAAGTTGGTTTCGGTGCAGTGAATTGTAGCGGACTCTCCGTGACTGTTGAAATCTGCCTTGTCCCCGATCAACAGCTGTGGTATGGATGTGTAGCGTTACCATGATGGACAAATGCCCATGCCAAGTAGTAACGGCGCGAACTCGGGGACATATCCGTCGCCTGGTACCCCGTAAGCGTAACCCCGCGAATCACCTAATTGGAATGATCTATGGAAAGGATGGCCGACGCTACCCCATGAAAAAGCTGAGACTGGATGTGATAGTTAAGTACTGCAAGTTGGAGACCAAACTGGCCGCAGCGCAGTGCTAGCTGGTCGCCCGTAAGAGAGCTGGGACTGTGTTACAAGACGTTGCGGATCTTGACTGGACGCCATCAGCCAACGGTGCAGTTTCTCTCGGCATTGTCGGGACAATAATCCTTCGAGGAAGAACAAGACCATTTGGCCATCTCAGATCAGCTGAGGAAACCCTTGTGTGACGGGTAAGGAAACGGACAACTGGCAGCACGTTCGTTGTACTGACTAACTGACTACGCGGTTCCAAACTTGCGCCCGTGGCGCCGATCACTCGCAAGCAAGGTCCTCGTGTTGAATCATTATACCTGACACGACAAGATGATTCTCGACAGCGCGGTGCCTGAGCGGTATCAGCCGGCCATACGATACCCGTACATTGGTAGGCAACCTGGACAGCCTGCCATCGATTTTCGCAATGAAGAATCTAAGGTTCAGCGAGATGGGACGACTGTGAGGTCCTTTGGGAGGCGGGCTGTCATCAGACCATCACCATCCAGATCGTCGGGTTGGGCTGTCGCAGTCGCGACAGAATCCAAACTCTACCACAGCGGATTCCTTACCGTGGCGATTACGACCGTCCAATAGACGTGACGGATCGGTCTGTCGTATCTCGCAGTCTCCCCAAAGATCCCTTAGACCGGTAATGAGGTGTTTCCGGCTGGGGGAAAAATCGTACCAGCCAGAGCCCAAAGGGTCCAAACAGGTGAAGAGCCAAGACGTAAGTTGCTTCCAATGAAAGGGAGCAGGTTCAGGGATCCTTTGATGGATCCACTTCCCTAGCCGACAAGAGAACAGAGTTGGAAACTGTTCCATTCAAGTTTCAACAATCAGCGGCGCGTCTTCCATTCCGTCAGGGAGGGCTCCAGTAGCCGACGGATCGCTGAGAGACATCGGCCAGCTACCTTCGAGTTCGATGCCGACTTTTTGCCGCGCATAGCTGGCCCTTCTGCAGCCACTTTGTTGCTCCCCCATTCGGAGAGCTGAGCCACCAGTACTAGAACAGCCCTGCAGGCTTGCAGCGTGAGACGTGATGCCTGCTACGTAGGTGTGTGACGATGACCTGCTGCAGGCTGCGCAGGTTCCAGATATGACGGCACTGCGGCCATTTGCTGCATCTTTGGCAACAACGGCGGCGGCGGCGGCGTCGTCGTCGTGGTCGTCGTCGGTATCCAATCACCCTTACTTGATTGCGTGTCCAGGTCTCTCGGGAGTCTCATCAATTCATCAAACGGTCGTCCACTCGCTCGGAACGTTGGACCGAATCAAGATGAATCATAATCATGACCGTTTCGACATTAGGCCTCAGAGCAACCGAGCGGAAGCCCAAGACGGACAGACTCCGCGGACATCACTATCCTATCTCGTCTCGGCGGTGATGGTCTGATCACATCGCACGGTTTTGATGATTCGTTGACATTGCGACGGCCCCAGCTGCCAGTCTGCCAGCGCCTTGAATCGTAAAGCTTGAGGGATCTGGGATCAGGGTAGGATGAAGTGTGGATCACGTATCCGTAGATATTGCCATATTGGGGGATCTGGCCTCGCGGTCTGAAGCTCGGGACGCTGACTGCCTGAGGCGAATGGGGCCGCAGCGCGAACCTCAACTTCTCGAGACCTGAAGTGAGGAGCAATCCGGGAAAGTTGTATTTGATTACCACTTCTACGCATAAGGCAGGCAGGGCTCTCCATCTTGGAGGCGAGAACTGTCCTTCTGTAACCTTCTAGAACACTGGCGACCTGGGTGTCAAAATTATTGCCGAACTTTTGATGTCAGTGACTTTCAACCCATGAAGATAAGTCGTCTTTGGTCCGAAAACGCCGGCGCCCTCTGACAATGGTGATCGAACTGCTGCTCTCCCAGCACTAGAATTGCCAGCGATAGTCTTCCCGCGTTCCGTTCCCGACGGAATCGCGCCGTCCGCAAAGCCCTGTGCATGACCTGTGGGGGAGAGGGAGGTGGGAACGCGGCGGGAGGTCGGTCCATTGTACACGGTAAGGAAGGCGGCTCGGTTGGATCGAATGGTGCCTCGGTGATCGTGTGCGAGTGTACAAGGCGACCGCTGTGCGGGGTAACAAGCTCGATCTCTCGTTGTTCAGGAAGCCATCCGCACCCAAATCATTAAATAGAATAAGGCCGATCACGTTGACAGCGGCCGGCAAGGAAACCTTCAAAGTAGAGGAGGTCAATTGCTGGCAACACCTACGCTACGGCAGCACGTCGACGTGTCAGTGATGGCTGGCCAAAAGGGTTGCAAGCCATAGGCGGTGCATCCTTGTCGACAAGCCCGAGCTGATCAACTGTGGTGGTAACGTATTTTAATTTGTAGGTAGTTGTCAGAATTCGGAGAGCGAGAGGCGAGGCAAGGAGGTTCAAGGACACCCACCTCCGGAGTCGGTACCTGGTTAGCGGGTAGGGTAAGTCAGACTAGGGCGGCCCCCAGAGGCGAAGAAACGCAACTAAAAAAGATGAAGAGTGACCATCTGAGACGTTAACCGATCAAATCGCATCTCGAGATAGAGGCGGGTTACGGCCTCAGCTGACGTAATTGCTGGACCCGAAGCTGCGAGTAGCCGCTGGGGCTAGATGCGTACACAGAAGGAAATTACCGACACGATGCTTCTTTGTTGAGGTCTTGCAAGCATGGCACGTTCGTACGAACCTCGAGACTGTCGTTCCAATGTGGTGAAATAGGGGTTTGTCTGTAGGCTGGCGGGAATGAGGTGAGTTCTAGGGACCCGTATGCCAAGGCGCGAGAATTATTGCTGCTAGAGCGCGCGAAAGAGCAAATCTGCGGCCCACTTGGCACCTGGGGTACTAATTGATGAGAAGGGTCTCGGCCTTGACCATGGGGTTTGCTCTTTGGGATAGGCATGGAGGCATGCCGAAGTAGGAGTACGGGACTGGTGGCAATGGCTTGCTTTCTGTTTCCTGCGTCGGTGGCTGAAATGTTTGCTCGCTCTGCAGAAAGATCAACGTTGACTCAAATAGGCGTCAGCAAGACGCCGCAACAGGTTCGAAATGGTCGCGCCTGACGAAGACCGGGGATAGTTGATGTGTGGCGAGATAACGCCCGAGCTACAGTTCTTGGTCTTCGGGAAAGCGGTTTCCTGCGAGGAGAACTATGATGGGTCCTGGTGATGTCCAGCTTAGCTGAAAGTAACTCGCCGGCGCTGGACGTATCGTCAATGAACATGATGTGCGCGATGCGAGGGTTTCTAGTGTGCAGCAAGTGAGAGCAGAGAGAGAGGTTTATGTGTATATCCAAAAACCGCATGCGCCTGCCTATCGCTTATCCTGCAAAATGGCCAACTTGTTTGGAACTTCACATGACGGTGACGGATTTTCGCAACGACGGGCCGCAGAGGTGTTCATTAACAGATAAGTGATGTGACGTTCCTGACGAAAGCCCAGGGAGCTAGACGTTGTTTCCTTTAACCTGGAGGTGAGCACCACAAGGACAGCTTCTCGGAGCCAACGTAAGGTACAGTACAGATGCCTATCTCTTCATCGCACTTTCCAGGTTGAGCTGCGGCGATACGGATAAAGCACGTCCCCCCGTAGATACTGTTTGGTAATGGCAATCGCGGAAAGGGCCATGCACATGGGTACTTGTTGCTCTTCAGCGTGGGTGGACTAGCAGAGGTTTAAGTGGTTGGCAGGGGTGCTCTCCACACATTGGTCTGTGTCTGGCCCAGTCGTTATTTCAGGTTCCCTGGAGATTGTCTGCTTGCTTCGTCAGTGACGCTCACGAGTCTGTCCTGGTGCGCTGCGCGGCGCGAGATGGCAGGAATCCCAGCATCGACTGTTCAAGGGGCGGGAGAAGGACGGGGGAGAGAAAAGACGCGACGTGGAATGAGAGACGAACATGGAAATGCTCGGGAAAAAGAACGAACGGCGCGGGCGGGAACCCAAGACACAAAGAGGTACCGATACCGTGAAGTCGAAACGGCGCTAACGCAACAATGGAGATTTCGACGGGGAACTACCTAAGGAACGTGTCGGGTCATCTTCATCTTTTCTTCGTCCACCTTCCTTTTTCCTTTTTCCGTTTTACCTCATCACGAAGAACCGGAGGCTGGCAGTTTCCTTACCAGCTGTCTTGGTACCAGTCGGAGAACTTGACCCAACGGCAGCAGAGATATACAATATTATAGACAGATAGGGCTGGCGAGATGGTGCGCGGAAGGCATGGATACAAATCAGTACGGAGTATGCATGCTCCTCTTTTCATCTCGAAATGCCAATCTCCTTCTCGTGCTTCTCCAATATCGAGTGGATCGCTTGCCGACCCCGGCCCGCCTGGGTTGGAAGCTTGCTGATGGGATGGAGCACTGCGAAGCTACCTTACGGAGTATCCGTAGAGCACCTAGAGATTGTATTCATCTAATGGCGTCTTGCCCACGCGATATCCCAAATGTTAATTATCCCCGATTCCGCATGCGACAGGCTACAGGCGACAGGTGCAGGCGGGCGACCGCTGACGACGACATGGTCTTTCATCATATTAGCTATCTGTTCCAGTTCCTACCTTAATGGGTTCTGGATGCTGAGCGGCAGGGGCCAGGCCACATTCCGAAAAATAAAATAAAATAGAAAAAACCCATCCACCAGCTAGCTACCTCGGCCTTTTCCCATGTCGACACGCCCCCGTGTTCCGCATCTCTCCCATTCACATCACCGAAATAGTGTACATCTTCCAAGAGGCAAAGTACCTCAACCTACTTGTATGCATACACCACGCAGTCCAGCAGTGCATGGTCTGCATTTTGGTTGCCTCGTCGAAAGTTGCGACGGACCAGCCGAGTGCAGCCTGGTGGGTATCATGATGGAAGTTGTTGGCTGTTGAGTAAGCACTGTCAAATGCTTACATGGACAGCAAGACGGGCGGGTAAGTAAAGGTATTTGGAGACTGCCCAACGGAGGAATACCGTCCAACTTCAGTATCTGGTACATGCCTCCTGTGGTGTCTCGTCTCAAGTCGCCGTCTCGCCTCCCGAGTCGCGGCAGGCTCCCTCGGCCAGTGTCGGGGAATTCCAAGTCACGGAGTGGAAGGGAGAAGCTTTAAAGGAATTCGAGGTAAGCGCGTAGGCTTGGCACCGCAGCTGGAAGAACCGTCGGCCGCGCCCAGTGTGTTGTGTCTGGGTGTGATGCGCCAGACATGATATCTCTTACCCATGAGATTGAAGAGACTGAGGACAAGAAGTATCACGATAGAAAGTTGACGATGTTGATAAATCCATTCATTGCAATGCCAGGCAAAGTCAGATACCTAGAGGTAGGTAAGTAAGTACACCTCTGGGCTCCACATGGAAAGTCGAAGGCACGTTTTCGAATGCAGCATGTATCGGAACCTTCCTCCGGTTCGGTCACCCCCACCCCGTCCTCCTCCTTCCCAGCGATGGAGTTTCCGTCACGTTCTTGTGCTAGCGTCCCGTTGCTGAATGTCACGAATGTCCAATGTCGTCCCTCATCCCTCGTCCCTGCCCCCCCTCCCCTTGGTCCCAGATTCCCATTTGGTGTCCCAGTCGCAGTTGCAGTTGCAGTCCTTTGCAGGTCCAGTTCCAGTCCGCCGCCCCCTTTGGCCCAGATTCCCATTTGGGGTCCCCGGCGCGGTTGCAGTGTGCGTCCTTTGCAGGTCCAGTTCCGGGCCGCCGCCGTTTTTTTTCCCCCCCCCCCGTTTTTTTTGGCGGGGGGGGGGGGGGGGGGGGGGGTTGCACCCCCTTCGTGCCCCTTCCCCCCGGTCCCCCTTCCCCCTTCCCCCTTCGCTCTTTCTGGTTGTTGCATATCCGGTTCCTTACCTTGAACGACCTGAGGTGAGGTGAGGTGAAGCAAGGCACCTTGGGCGGGGCAGGTGATGTATATACGCTCTTAAGGTACATATGAGGACGGTACAAGACTGAGGACACAATACCCGGTATACTTATAGTATCCGTACAGATACCCAGCACATTTTTGAAGCTCCGACGTCTGAAAGCGATGGGTGGGCATGGGCGTGGGCGGGTTGTATGTCGGGTGGCTCCCACTCTCTGGAGTTTGCGTAGTGCCACCTCAAGGTAGTCGAAGGTACCTCATCCAGTTGGCACCTTCCTCCCGTCAACTTCCATCTCCTTCGCCCATGGCCTACACCCTCCATCGTTCATCCTCCCCGCCACCCCTGCCTCGTCTTCTCGCTGCCCCCAAGGTACCTCCAAGCCTGCCACCCTGCCTTACCTCACATTGGTATTCCCCCCTTCCCTCTCCTCCACTTCTGTCCTTGGCTGGAAACTTGTCGCTGCCGAACTCCCCCAATTGCAGTCGGCCCAAGTCGCAACTTGCAAGTCACAACTGGAAGTCGCAGTACAAGCCTGCCGCTGCCTCCTGTCTGTCCCATCCTTTGCTCCTCGACCTCCACCCACCCACTGACAACTGGGCCTACCTTCCGCGTCGGCTTGGCTGCACCGCACGAAGTACTCCAGTGCTCATCCCTCTCACACCCGTCTCTTACACCCGTTTCTCCCCATTTTTTTTTATCTCATTTTCCACACTCGCCTCTTTAATCCTGCCACCCCGGGACTGGCTGCACTAGCAAACACAGAGTCATCATCATCATTCTCTTTGTGACTTCCTCCCTGCCCTACCCTGCTGGCTCTCCTATATTCTCCTCACTGCTTCAAGTTCCACGTCGCCTGGCCACGGTTCCAAGTCAAGCCTAGGCACGAGCCTCCAGCAAAGGATACATTGACATCGGCATCACTCTAGGTTGTCCGACCCGGCCGCTGCATTCTAATACCCAGAGCACACTCCCATACGTCCGATTCGACCCGCCAGTTCCCTGTCGTCTCGTTTCCAGCATACCTTACTCTTTTCACTCTCCTACATCTCGGAGCACTCGCCTGATTCCTCCTACCCATCACCTCAGACTGCACCAGTCGACAGCCGCCTACTTCAAACGAGTGCCCTTGCACCAAGGTTCGCTGCAAAGAGCTCTTCTTGCGCATTCGAAGCCGAAAGAGAGCCTTGCTTTTGCTCTACCCGCCTGCTTTCTAGTCCGGTGGTCGTTGACTCGAGTCCGCGCAACGACTTTGAGAAACAAACCCCGTCCCTCTTTTCCCCTTTGGTGAGTGGTTTCCCTGTCAGTCCGCTACAACCCCTGCGCAAAAAAAGCCGCGAGACATTTAACCGCGCCGCCGCCCATACCCAAAAATTTATTTTCCCTGTTGGCCTCTCCCCTGACACTGCGGCGCCCTCCTTCAACCCATCCCTTTGCGACATCGTTCCCCCTGAGGCTTCTCAACCGCGCCTCTGGTCTTGAACATCGCTGTGAGAAGACATCAACTGATCCCCGCCTCTTTCTTGAAGGATCGGACACACTTGAGCGACGTTTTCGCGCGGCACTTTCGTCTCGACCTCTCAGACAACAACTGTGGCCAACCGGGTTTCATCTCTTTCAACCACAAGCATCACCATGTCCTACTACGAGAACAACCCGCAATGGTCCAATCCCGGCCAGAACAACTGGGAACACCAAGCGCCTCCTGCCCGTGCTGGTGAGTCGGCCCAGTTGTCGCAACAGCACCAGATCGCAAAACCAGACGCCGGAATTGACTCGAGGTTCTCGCCAACAGGTGCCAGCGGCCCAACGCCCCAGGACGACTTCGCATTCTTCTACCAATTCGAGGGTAGGTCACACCGAAATCTTCGGCGCATGGCAAGCAAATACATGGCGCGGGTTTCTCCAACTCCATCGTGGACCCGCGTCTGCAATGTGTCGCGCGCAGGAAGAGCCTGGCTGACAAGATGATTACTATAGATGTGGTGCGGACACTGACTGCTAGGCCTACAGAGGTTGATCGTGCGTACGAGAATCTTGCCAAGGGCGGGAAATCATACGGCATGGGCGGTCGCGGACGTGAGTACCCAACCCCTGGTGGTCCCAAGATGGGTCCCGCCGGTCATGGTCCCGCCAGAAAATCCCTCGACTTCAGTAAGTCTGCCCGCAACAGGCGGGCATCACCGCAGCCTTCCCGATACTAACGTTGAATGCGCAGCCGGACGCATGGGAGCCGGAGCCGGTCCCGGACCCAGACCGCACTCGATGAATCAGTTCGATGATGCCCGAGGCCATCCCAACTCGAACCTCCAGAACTTTTACGCCTCCCAGCGCCACCAGCCCTCCCGAGGCTCCAACGACGCGGAACAGATGATGCAGGCCAAGAGAAGGATGGCCGCCCAACGGGAGCGGGAACTGCGAAACCTGCACACTGAGCAGCAATACCAACGAAGTAGGCCGCCCTCTTCTGTATAGCACACATACTCCATATGCCAGGGGGGAACCAGCAAAGCAGAAAAATAGATAATTCAGGCCGAGGGGTTTCACCATCATGCGCATCCTGCTGCCCCGTCATGTCATTGTCGAAAGATGCTATCCTGAAAGATCCTTCGTCCATCCCTTCCCCGTAATACCGAGAGATTTCGGAGGAAGCCATGCTAATCAACTGTGCGCGCAGCTGTCGTTTCTGACATCCCTTATGGTGCCAAGGCCATGTCCGAGGAAGAGACTCGCGACCTGATCGCTCGTCAGCGGAGCGCCTTATATGGCGAGGGCCCGTTTGCTGAGAAGGCAGGCTACGTTGACGAGAACGGAGTCGTACGCACTGGTGTCCCGACCCATAGCGGTCCTTCCAGCCTACGCGGACAATCTCCCTTGACCTACGACCCGGCTCGCGGCCCGCCTCCTCACGGTGATGCTCACACTCCCGTCTCCGCTACTGATGCCGGTCCTGGCTCCATTGCCGGACCCCCGGGTGAACAAGGCTCCCGCGGCGGTAGCATTGCTAGCCCTCAGCCCAACGCTCCGAGCAACAATAAGAGTGCATTCGAGTCGGCAGTTAGTCAGGCTGCAGCCCGCACCAACAACTCGTCGCCCGGCGGCTCTCCGCCGCGTCAGGAGCTTCCGGCCGGAGCCAAACCGGCCCAAACGGTCGCTCCCATCGGCACTCGGCCTTCAGGAAATCAGGCTGGAGCCTCGAATTCGTCCTCGAAGAGATCTACGACTCCATTGGCGTCCCCCGGTGGTTGGGGCCGCGGAAACGGTGTGTGGGGTCCTCAGTCTTCCGGCCTGAGCCAGCCTCCGGCGAGCGTTTGGGGCTAGAAGATCTTGTCGCCTTAAATCGCATTACGTCTTTGAAAAACATCGGCGCAACTATGGAATTGAATAGGAGGAGAAAGATGGATGGGAGGTTTGCGCGGGTGGAGGGTTTCAGTTTGATTTCAACCTCGATTGAATTTCCACGGTCACGGAAAACTTGATATATACCTCGGGCTCGACACGGTACTCGGTGTGAAGGTGTCTTTCGGCATCTTTTGAGGAGTTTTCTTTTTACACCATCAGCAGGGGCCGCATTCTGCAATCTTGGAGTCGAACAGTATTGCTACGGGGTAAAAGGGGATGCATGTCAAAGGGATTCGAAAGAGGGGGTCAGCAGTGATCTTGGGTGTCGGCCAGGAGCTGCGGCGGGACATCACAGCGTCTAGGAACTGCTTCGGATGATCTGGGAAATTTTGGCGACTGTGAACACGGAGCAGGGCGATTCATTTTTCTGTTCTTTTGGGCAGTTGTCCATTCGGGGCTGGGCATGGAACGATTCGGGTGCCAAAAGCGTCGGAGGGGCAACCTATGATTCGATTTGCGAGCATACAATCGGCGTGGGCGTGGATTCCGACATCTGGTTTGACTCGAATGGGTTGGGACTGGGAAACGCACATCCGGGGAGTTGGTACAAGCACACAAGACGACTCTTCTTTCTTCACACGGCGAAAAAAATCACAAAAAACAGGGGTTTGGGGATCGGGGTGTTTCTGGCTTGCTACTTGGGGGGATCCTTTTTTCCTTGTCTTCCTGCTATGGGGTTTTCTACACCGGAGGTTGCGCCGCAGGAGTTCTTCACTTGCCTTTCAGCCCTCGACCGCTCCTGGGATACCAGAACGGCCGGAGCCATAATGGGTTTTCGTGATTCCCTTCGACATGGAAAAGACAGGGAAACTTGGCCGCATCAAGATGGGGGATTTTTGCTGGGAAAGATGCGGATAGATCATCACATGGGTTTGCGTTGGAGACGGAACGGATGGACTGCTTTCTCTTTAGTTTTCTTTTGGCACACACGCTCGCTCAGGATGGAGCAGCAACCTAATGAAAAAAATATATGGATTTGGTCTCCCCCCAAGGCTGTCTGGTTCCTCATCATTCGAACTTCACCTCGTGATTAATGCGTGTGGTGTCCAAAGGATGCGATGTCAATGAGCAAGCTACCTTAATCTGAGGTCTTCTAGTTTAGCGAGGCCCGAACTTTGATCTACTGCACTCGAGCAAAGGTGAGGTCATGCCAAAGATTGGAAGCGTGGAAGGGTAGTAGGATCTACAGTCGGTGGCGGGGTTTGGTTCAGAAGAAAAACTTGGGACGTAAGTAATCCGACCTATCACAGGTTGCCGGTAAAGGAGAACGGCACTATGGGTAGCACATTGTAGTGGTTGTCGAACAAAACCCGCTCGGACGAGTGAGTGGTGATAAAGCGCTTGTTGCGGGCGTCACACGGACGGACGGGTATATGGTCCGTGTGGGATAGGTTCCTTACCTATCCGTATGGCGAAGGTGAAAGGGTGAAAGACGGGAGGCTCGGGCTGTGTGGCTTGCGGGAGGTTCCGTTGCCGCTTCCGCCCGTTTGAACCCGTTTCTTTGGGGGGGGGGGATTTAAGCGCTTGGGGATTTCTTTATCAGGTGAGGCAGGATTGGGGGCGGCGGATTTGTTGGTTTGCGGTTTTGGATTGATCATTGGGAACCATTAAAAGCGCCATACTATTGATATTCTGAATTTTGACGTAAGCGGAGTGGGATGGAGGGATGCTAGCTGTACGAGGACGGGAGAAACCAGGATTGCGGGGTGGGGCGCGGCGTTTTGCTTGGTTATTTTCGCACCCAGTATTATATCATCCAAGGGAATCGTCTTTTGGACGATAAGTTTCTTCGTATGGCTTCCTCGACTTTTTTTGGAGACTGATGTTAGATGAGGACGAGAGGGTGTGTGCGTGTGTCTTCATTCAGACATCAATTTTTTTTGTGCCTCGATGGAATCATCTTGGTGGCGGGCGATGGATCCGGCGCTGATTCCGGGATTTTTGTCATCCTGTGAACGAACACCCGCTCGCGCTCCAACAAGTCAAATACGCTTCGGCAGGAAATTCTTCTTCTTTTTTTCCTTTTTAAAAAATCAACCTACAAGATTGTGTTGGTCAAGGTGATGCTTGTTTCCCTCCAACGCAAGATACTTTTCTCAGCGTCAGCCTGCGCTTTTTTTCTTCTTTTCCTCCCAGGGTGCGTGTATCCCGGCAGTTGAGTCAGAGTAGCGAGGACACGCGTCCCAGTCCAGGTAGTTCTCCCGTCTAACAGCAGCCGGCACCGACATCCAACGAGCCATGGCTTAGCAGTAGACAAATGACACCTCCAATTCGAAAGGGGGAAAAATCCTTGTCCTCCCCCGTTACCTCCCCTTCCCGCCCCAAGACCAACAAGACAATTCACATTGCGGAGCTGCGTACGCGTGCGTACCCCTCTTCCCCTCAATACGACATTCCGAAATTGAACTATAGGTACTTCCTGCAAGACCAGGCATACGCAGAATGCCTGGGTACGAGAAGCAAACACATATTCTAGCCGCGGCAGCGACGTTGGTATTAGGCTCATGTAACAGGAACCGTTGGTGTTGGTTCGGCCGCCCCCAAGCCTGACCACCTCTTCGCCCCCGCCCCGCGCCCCCGGCCCCTCCCTTCTCCGGCGCGGCCCGGTCCCACTTACCCGGTTCCCAACGTCTGTTTATCGCCCTGCATGTGGATGAAGTCGGCAGCGCAGTGGGCAATGCGCGTCGCCCAACTGGCCGACGATCCATGGTCTGACCAACCCAGCGAGGACAGGTCTCATTCCTCGCAACTGCAACCAGCGTTTTTCGTGAATATGGCGATAGGCTTGATCTAGTGAGAAGAAGCGGACGTCTTGGTTGGATTCTTTTCTTTTCTTTTACCATTTCTATGTTTTTCTGTCCAGGCTGGTGATATGTAATGTGTGAGAAGAGTGGTCGTCTCAGCTTGGAGTCATCAACATCAGGAACTCAGCGGGCGGGGATATTCTCCTGTCCACGAGACTCGTCTACATCTCTAAACCAAACAAAATCAAGAGAACACTGCCTCCACTTTGCTTCTTCTACTACTTCTACTTCCGTCTAACATCCGACGTTGAAAGAGATTGAAGCATTGTCGACGGCGATGCCCGCGATGTAACGCTTGGTTTTTTATCTAGATCCGTCACGTTGGGCGGACCGCCGAGTGTTGCCGGAAAGGACTGCTTGACCAGTATACCAGGATACGTTATCGCCCCGCGAGGATTTTTGCCATCATGTGAGAAGCATACCACGTTACCCAAAGCTGGCGACCCCGTAAACTGTGATTGTACACGTTCAATATAACATTAGATCCCGCTATCGAACCAACAATACGCCGCCCCCCTTTCATACCAACCCTTATAGAAAACGCCCGACCCATCACATCCGCCAAGCCTCATCTCAGCCCATATCGTATCTTCTTGGAATCAAAGACTACTCTCTATCGTTTACACCCCCAAGATCTTAACCCCAGTCTCCAAATCCATCGGATCATCAGCCCGCAGCGCCTTCCCACCCCAAACCACAGTCCCGCGTCCATCGACAGCAAACGCACCCGCAGTCTGCCACTTATTTCCCATAACCGTACTCGCCCCTCCTTCCGCCTCGTCCTCTCCACCAGTACTGATCGCCGACGCACCGCTCATCCCCGTTCCCCGCCTCTCCATGGGCGGCTTCTTAGCAGCAGCGGCGGCCTCAGCCGCAGCCCCCGTCCCGGTTCGCTGAATGGCCCCCGCGACCTTCTCCCCTAGCCACCCTTTTTCCTTCCAGCCCTGCACCTGGCTCGTCGGGTTGAAGACGTACCACACGTTGCCCAGACCGAGGCCCCAGGCGGCGTAGATGGCGCGGTCCTCGTCGATGACGACCTGGACGTTCCACGCGCCGCCTAGCATGTCGATCCACTTGTTGGTCGCTGCTTGGGAGGAGTGGGAGACAGCTATGCAAGTCAGGGTGCGGGCGTGCTTGTTGGCCAGGGTCCGTAGGGCAAGAAAAGTCTTTTGGGCGACTATATCGGAGAGAGAGAGAGAGAGGACAGATGTCAGCCATAATGAGCCTTATGAAGGAAATATTGTAATGCAATCGATCACATAGTGGTCAAACGAGGGCAACAGGGACGGCCAACAACGTACAAGCACAACCGACGCAGCGCAGGAAGACAACGAGAACGGGACGGCCGCGGCCAAACTCGAGCTGCCTGTCGCGGTCCAACGGGGCCAGGTCGCCAATCTTCGGGACCTCGCTGATGGGGACCGGCGGGGGCGGCGGGGAGAACCACGGCGCGACGGTGATGGGCAACGACTTCATAGACATCCACGCCGGCCAGCCGCCCGAGTTCCTGTCCGCCACGTCGTCGTCGAGACCCGCATTGGAACCCTTCTTGCTCTTCGAGTCGGTCGAATCGCCGCCGCCGAAATCGAAACTTTTGCTGTTTAAGCCCACCTTTCTGAGGGCGATCTTGGTTGTCAAACTGGACAGCATGGTGGTGATCTTTTGATATATGTGTGCGAGCGTGCGTATATGTGTGGGTAATAGCAATGCGGTAGGCAGTGTGTATCCTGTTTCTAAGACTACAGACGTCTCAAGCGATGGAACGACTTTGCGGGAATGGCTTACAGTGACAAGCGGTGCGGGAAAGGAGCAATGAGCCGGCAAGGATCAACTGGGTTAAGACAGCGTGCAGATGTAATGCAAATGCAAGGTTAACTTTACTCAGATGGCGAAGAAGAGCGAGGAGAAGGACAGGTGTGAAAGGAGGACATGACGGGTAAGCTCATGTCGGCGGGCGGCATCCCAAAGAGACCACCTCAGAGAAACTGGTGGGAGACGGGACCGGCGAGGAGCTCTGGGGAGCTTCCTGAAACTTTCGATACAGGGCACGTCGCATGTTTGGTTAGCGAGCGCCCTGAGCTCCTGGTCGAACCACGGTGAGAGCCACGTCGCGAGGCTGAAGTCCCATGTCGGCTTGGCTTGCTTTGTAGAACCCCTGATTGGGTGGGAGGTTTCTCTCCGATAGAATTAGCTGTTGTGTGTAGGACTTGGTCGGTGCGATTCTCAGCCTGGTGTTTTCCGCGAGTCGCAGAACACTGATTTCTCTGGTTCTCCGCGCCCTGCGCCTCTCGCGAGGAAAGAAACAAGAGACACAAAAGAACAGACTTTTGTTTCGCTTGTACTGAATGATGCGGGAGCTTGTCTTGAAATATAACCACTCCATACCAAGATACTTGGGCGCATTATATAATATGGCTGGCCTTTGGAGAGCTTTTCAAATAAGTTCGGAAAACAAGTAACTATGCCTTGTCTTCTGGACCATTTCTCGAAGCCGGAAAAATGGTCCAACACGATCCAAGTCCTCAAAACCCAAAAAGAGAACTCCAAATATTACTGAGTCTGACATAGTCTGCGATCCGAGGTCCGAGGGGTGCTGACTTCGCTGGAACGCACGCCCGCCATCTTCAGATGGCTAATCCCCGTCGAAACATGTGCATGTTTATTGAGGCACGACTCGCTTGAACCGGTCGACACTGCTCACAGAACTTCAAGTGAGGAAAGCGCCGGCCGGATTCCCTTCAAGCTTGACCGTATCTCTCAGCAACCGCGTTGCAACGCTCAAGTAAATCGATTGTGTGCTAATGGCCATGGAGGAAGGGGCGGAGTCGTGCCTGGACATTGCTATTGACGCCACAATCATCGAAGATGTCATGGAAATTTTTGGACGACTAGGTTGCCACTGGCCGACTGGGGGTAATCTGAGGCAGGGACAAGAATCAACAATTGAAACATGGCACTGTCCAGCCGTGAAGACCCACTTGAATAGCAAGGAGGTTGCATGGAGGTCGAAAGTGGCCATCGGCGGCATGTGTTCGCTTCACCAGACCTGAGGTATACTAATCGAGACCAAAGTAAGCAGCCTCACTTCAACCTCGATATTGCTCGCCAGTGGTCGCTTCATTTGGAGCAGTAGGTTCGGCTGAGGATCGCCGGCAAGCTGGAGCCGAGAGAAATGTGCCAAGATCCGGAGAAGCCAATGTTTGGGTGAGTCGGAGCTTTGTGAAATCGCCCCGTCCAAAAATGAGAATTCGGTCCCAACAGCAGATTGGTGGAACTAACGTCGATCTGCGCGCCCCTAGATTTAGGGAGACTGGACTGGCGGGAAGGAATGTGGGGAGCGGGAAGCGTTCACGGATCGTCTTCCGCCGTACATTTGATTGCGGACGTTTTCTCGTACAGACAGTTGAGTTGGCGGGAGGTCTCAGTTGAAAAACCTTGTAGCGAGCGGCATGGCGGTGCGGGTGGCTGAGAGTCTAGACTGTTGCAGGTATCTTCCGAGTGCTAGACTTTTCTTGCCCGGTCTAGATGCTGCGTTCCCCAAGCTGAAAAACATCTCTGGTTAACGCTACGTTATTGAAAACGTGGCCATTTCCTGGTGTCTGACTCTTTGCTCCGCGAGTGTTGAATAAACGTACCCCTTGTACACGTTGCCGGAGAGAAAAGGGTGGGAAACCCCAACTCGGAGCCTGTAGTCCGAGCCGGACTGCCGATGCTATTCTTTAGAGACGAGCAAATGGCTCTCATTGACGAAGTACATTTGTCTCCGGCGTCCCGCGGTAGGAGCCATCTGACGGAAGGTTGCATTGCATCTGGGAACGTAGTTGTGAGCGCGCCTTTGCAGTTCATCACAGAGGTCCCACTCGGTCGGGCGCCTGCAGAGGATACTCATCACGCAAGTTGATCGAGACATCTGTGGAGGGGGGTTGAAGCGAAATGGCCATTTTAGATCCAGACCAATGACGAGCGGACGTCTAGCCCATTTCGTCTCTCTCTGCGACTCCAGTGAGGTCGTCAATCGAGAAACCAGAGGTGGCATCCAAGCGTGCATTGGATACCATCCGAATCAAAGCCATGACGTCGGTGATTGTATCCAGTCAGGTACCCTTGTGAGATGAGCAGCCACGTTGCGCAAGTCAGCCGCAAGGTTTGGTGCACGAGTCCAGCTTGGTGACCTTGTGGTTCACTGGGATAGGTATGCGAAACCGAATTGCCGACGAGTGCTGTCCAACTTCAAGTTCTGGTTGAAAGCAGGAGTGCCATTTAATAGCATCAGCAACTTAGCGCCGTAAGACAGTAGCGTAGAAAAATCTCGGTATAGCAACAAGTAGACTTATTCCATAATGGCAACGTTCGACTCGTGGATCGAATTATCAGACGGACCATCTCGACCAAGAGATGTTGTTCATCTGTTTGCAGTGGCAATCGAGGTGAGACAGCTCCTCGATCATCTCAGGTCAGCAGTGGCGGTGGTACACTTAGTCCGATTGACACCTCAATTAGCGATGCCCTCTGTACTGTTTGGGTATGAAGTGAGCTGCCACAGGCTGTGGTCTCTTGTACGTAAACCGTGACTTTGGAATCCAAACAAGAGATCGGGTGAAAACTAGTCGCGATGCATTGAGACGGGAACTGTCTGAGTTCAAGCGGTACGAAAGGACGAGGGCAAGAGATTCAGCCGCCAAGTGTCGGCCACTTTTCGACTTAGCTTCTTTCACGAGACATTTCGCCCTTCTTGCTCGTCTGTTCACGGATTATGGCCGCTTCCCAGCCCTTCTCCAGCCCGAAGCCACATGGCTACGGACAAGTGTAAGTGGTTTGCTAGCCAGCCGTAGAGCTAAAGGGCCGTCCCGACCAATCCTCAACACGAGGGACTTACATCGATGGGGGCCCACTGCTTGGAATAGAAGGAGTTTAATGGCAGACCGTGTCTCTAGACATCGTGAATACTTCCAGCCATCGTCGAATTCCGAGATGCCAAGCGTAGAGATGAGCGGGGACGGCGATGCTTTCGCTTGCTCTTTTGAAACCGAGTAAATGTCTCACTCTAGTTGCTCATCGCGAGATAATTACAGCACTTCAATGAATCGATAGAGCAGGTGGGTGTGTGCAAGGTGCCTGGATTGGGCAATCTACTCTGAATGAAGAGGCAGTGTCGCCAGACGCCGTGACGGAGTAATGTGACGACCCACCCAAAGCGCTTAAGTCACTGTGCAAGATCCCCTAAGGGTTGATGCAGAGGCAAATAGCTGAAAGACGGCTCGGCAGTGAGGGGGCACTTGGCCATAGTTCCGAGTCCCAAGTCACTGGGGGATGGGCGGGATGAGGGCCGAATCCTTCTGCATCAGCTGAGCATCATCGAGTATCAGCCCCATAAGGTGCTGTAGCTCGTGTTGTGCCGCTCTCGCTGTCGTCGCTGACGCTGACGCTGACGCTGACGCTACTGGAGCGGTGCTGGTGTTGCGGCGTCGGGCGGCGGCGTCGGCATTGTAAGACCGCTCGAGTTGACCGACCCCACACGAAGAAACGCTGGATGGCCCGTGTGGTATTCCTAGTATGGCGCGGTGTGGCGAGGGAGGTTCGGCGTATGACTGGATGGTGAACGGGGATCGGAAAGGACGGGGCTCCCTCATCCGACGCTCCCTCATACCGGATCTTGGGGCTTAGAATAGCGATGGCAGGCTATGAGCGAGACGCACGGAGAAGGGGTCGACCGGGGAGAGGGAGGGTCCGAGACGAATTGGATCAGGAGTGAGCAGAGAAAGGTGAGAAAGCGGCCGAGGAAGACGACGGGGTGATTTGCGGAGACCGGCAGCGCGAAAGCACGACCGGGTTCTGGGAAGCGCGTTGGTGATTCTCGTCCATTGTTGGCTCGGCTTTGGACGGTTTGGGGCCCATGGCATCGGGGGTCGTCGAAAGGCGTTGCCGGACAGGCCTCTTTGACAAGCACTCGAGGAGTCCCCAGCCTGCAGGCAGTGGCGGCAGATGCTGTTGTATCTTGTGAGCCGGGATGTGTACGGAGAGACCCCACTAGCTGCTGGGTTCCTGGAAAGACATTCAGGTGGCCATAGTATCGGGACCCTGATAATTTCAAGGTGGTGGAAATAGATGATGCCGGCAGGGAAGGTGGGAGCAATGGGAAATGGAAATATCCGCCAGGAAATAAGAGAAGAGGGAGCGACAAGCGACAGGGCGCGAGACAAGACCAGATGAACGACAAGCCGAGGCGGGACAAAAAAAAAGGGAGGTGCAGGAGTCCGGGCCTGACATTCGGAAATCAAGCGAGCGTTTAGAATGTGGAATCCTGTCCACTGTGTTGGTACGAAGTAGGCAATATCAAGTATTAACATCGTGTTCTCCGTCAGTAGAGACATGGCTCTCATTCTTCACCGTGTCAGGGCAAGTCGCGGTCGCGGTCGAAACGTGCATGGCAAGGCAGGGTGAGGTGCAGCACAGGCGCAGCAGCAGACGCAGCCCAGGCAAGCAGGTACCTACCTGTGCTCCATTCCCAGAAAGTTCCTTCTTCCTTCCACGGGGAGGCGGGGGACATGAGGAAGGTAGGGCCCATTCCGCATCCACGTTCCCAAATGACATTGCCAAATCCCTCACATTGCAATATTGGCTTGAGTGCTTGTAAGCGGGGCTCATATACACGCTTACTAAGATAAGATACACCGAGCCCGGGTATTGGGGCCGCGGACCAAGTGTCTTCCTCTACCTCGGTGTTCCTTCAACCCAGGACTTACTGTGTTGGTTGACAGGTAAGAGACAGAGGCAGAGATGCAAAGTAAAGAAAGCATTCGTAGGTACCTTAGTTCATGTCATGGACCGGGAATCAGCCCAATGTGAGAGTAATTCCCCCATGCGGGAGAGAGCTGCCGAGCCACAGAGAGCACACGCATGAAATGTTACTTTCTTTTCTGGTTTCCCTCCAGCTTCTTGCCTCGGTTTGCGGACCACAAATAATTACATAGTCGCTGGAGAGCAGGGAGGAGCGTCCAATCTAATATAGCACGACACTATCCGTACACAGCAGACACGCACACACACACACGCACACACGCACGCACGAACAAAAATTCGTATACACACGTACATATGCACACACGCACACATATCCACGCCGGCTAGAACGCCAAAACCCAAGACAAGCCACAGGTAGCCGGTTTTGCGACGTCATATCCCAACAGAGAAAAGGCCCGTCAGGAGCCGAGCAGCAAGTGACAAGCGGTGGTCGGAGGGGCGTGTGGCGCCTGTCTAACCCCTTAACCCCTGTCTGTAGCCCGTTTTACACCGCGACGTTGGTACGGACTCGCGGAGCGCAGCTGCAAGTACTTTGCCCATCTTGGGGGTACTCTGCCCGCCATCCCACACGCCGAGCGAGCAAGCTACGGGATGCAATTTCAAGGCGCCGTATCCCGTATCTTGGAGAGGTGCCGGGCAGAACGTCGTGGGCGGATAATGTAGGCGATAGATAATGCGAGGGTGGGAATGTGAGTCAAGCGACCACACTCCCGCGAGGACCGCGACAAAACCCGTGAAATGACCCCTCCCCTATGTTCCTCTCCTCTGTACGGATATCCCACATGTGCATTCTCCCTGCCCCCAGAGTGTGTCGTTTTACCCACTTGAGCTGCTGCTCCTGCCTGCCTGCGCGCTCCGTGCACGCACTGTGGGGACCGAACATGGTACAGCCAGTGGTCGTAGCTTCTTCGCATCAAAGGGATGCGGCCAAAGTAAACCCTCCAGCGCTCCTTAAGGGACTCGGGTCGGTAATGGAAGATGAGGGAATTCTCATGTTATCAAGATTGCCTACCTATCCGTACTAGGGGTAGGTATTAAGATACAGAGTACGAAGTAGAGGAGTAAAGAAGGGGAAAGGGGAAGGCGGCGGCACACTGGTTGAGCGAACCCCTCAAGGTGCCTTGTCGTCTGCGAATGAGTGCCTGACCTACCTTATTCCCGGTGTCACCCAGTACCTTACCATGGCGAGGTCGACCAAATGTGACAATCGTGGAGGGAACGAGTTGAAGTCATTACTCGCAGTAAAGGGAAGAAGCAACCCAGAGACCCAATCGAGAAAATGGGTGCCGGCTTAGGTTCTGTACCGTACCTTACCTCAGATACCTAGGCGTTGCTGTATCGTGATATTGCATCTAGGCTTTTGCGAAGAAGAAAGGAATGTACCTTCCCTTCCCGTCCTCGGCCAATTCTCATATTGGAGGTGTCATGTCCTTCCATTACTACCTTAGGTAGGGAACCTGAGTACGTCAGTACCTTACCTGAGGTACCGTACGGCACTTCGACCACTTCACATTCTTCCAACAGATAAGTCTGCCTCGTAACAAGTTGGTTGTTGCTGCTCACTGAGTATGCTGCCATCGTCCAAGTAAAGAAAAAACAACGGTTGGTTCAGCAATCATCGTCAGTCCAGTTACTGCGGCGAGCTGGCTATCGCTGATGTTGCTGATGCTGTTACTGATTCTCATGCTGCCTTTTGAGGTGCTGCCCTGGCACGGTTTATTTCATGTTCCCCTCCTCTTAAAGTGCACTGGGGCCACACACCAGACGAGACTACCTACTCCGTAACCAAACCAGCAATCAAATGGGACTGTCGCAGGACATGCGCCGCCAAATCACCACGAACGCTGCACCAGCACACCTCGCTCCGTGCCTTGCCGAACCCCATCCTGTCTGAACATGAGCGTCACTTGACCTTGCATTGCGTACCGTTTTTTTTTTTTTTTTTTTGTGAAGCCATCCAATTCTTGGCTGAGTTTTGCGTAGTCTAAGAACAAGAATTGGTACTGGACCTGGAACTAGGACCGGGGCTGGGACTGACCCTCTTGCGAGGTGCCATAGGTAATCACTGCCCGCTCCCTCGTTCCTAGGAGGTACATCTCCCTCCTGCCCAGCTTATTTTATTTCCACGAACGGAGGCGCTCCTCTCATTGCACAGTGTGTGCGATTCAATTCGCTGCACACATACCTATACACACTCACACATGCACACACACACTCTCTTCTCCTCTCCCCTCGCTGTAGAGCAAGTCCTCGACACCACCACGCTCTCATTCGACTGGCCCTCGACCCATACCGCGACCTGGAACTGCCCCTACCTTGCCTTTACCTGACCTCGCCTTACCTTGCCTTGCCTTACCTTACTTTCCCGACTTTGACTTTGCCGCTTCAGGAACCTCATCTTACCCTGCTCTCCTCACTCTCGCCCAGCCACGGTACCTCACCACTTGCCTAAGGAAGGTGCCTACCAAACACACCCAGTGCCGCACTCTTGTTTTCGCGTAAAGAGTACTTGCACCACCCACAGGTGCATCCTCCCCACCCCCGGTACCTTCCCTGGATTGAGGTACCTTCCCTTCCTTGCACCCCCAAACGAAACGCTCCCCTTCACACTTTCCTTCGCTCTTCCGGGACATCGTTCAATTCTCTCACTCCTCCGAGGATTGACCTTCTTGTCTCTATCCTCCTCTCTCTCTCCTATCCGTTGCTGATTATTCTGCCCTTTGCCGCTCACCAGATTCACAGACCTCAGCATCACAATTCGTGGCGGCAACTACGCGTTACGCACCACCCCCTTAGACCCTTCCCCCCCAGCGTTATTTCGCGGTCCACCGCCCGAGGCCCCCCGAGTCCTGTCGCTTTTGGGTCAACGTCCCCGATCTAAACTCCACACCCTTTCCTTCGCCTCCTGCCGTCGACGACATTCTCTCTCTTCCCCCCAGAGCACCACCTCCACGACACGACCAGAGAGAGAGAGGATTGTGCTCTCTGCCACAGCAATTCCTCCTCGCACCGACTGCATCAGACCGAGTCTGCGAAACTTCATGAATATTTCCGGTTCATTCGCGTTCCTCTAGCAGCCCTTTACTTGCCTTAGCAGCGGCTATCACAAAGACTCCGACCCTCTTTCCCACCGAAATTCCCTCTTCGTTCTACGCAGCCGGCTCAAACTTGGGGCAAAAAGCAAGAGATTCGACCACTTTGAACAGTGTCTACCTCCCGCCCGACCGCGTTCAGACCAGTCCTTTTATTGCCCTCTCGAATAGCCTCGATTCCCTTCGCGTACTCGGCTCTACTCTACTCTATTCGCAACGAATTGGCCACCGCTACCAGACCTTCATCGATCTCCCTCTCTCGTCGTCCTGCGCTAGCGCCCGACTCGTCCCGCTCGCCCTCATCACGGAAGCTGAGCCAGGTCTCGCTCCATGGAAAGTCGAGCTACCACAACAGAATCCAAGCATATATATCCAACGTCTCCTTGGATCCAAGCCCATACAATATCATCCTCGGGTTCGGCTTCTTACTTCAGCGACGTCTCCTCCCGCGTTCCGGCCCAGCTAGATTTCTGGCCCTTGCTCTTCCCACAGCAAGCCTCAGTCTACCAGGCGCAGTTGCTACACTACACGAATCTCGTCTCACCGGGACGAGGAGGCGGCTTGCAACAACCCCAAGCGCTTCCTCCGGCGACGGTGGCTACCCCTCAGATCCAGGCGGCCCCTCGGTCTAGATCATCCTCCAAGGTGTCGAACAAGGAAATATCCTCAATCAAGGGTTCCCAAGGAGGCCATGGGAATAGAGCTGTGCAGACTAAAGACAAAGGCGATCGCGCTGTCATAACAGGCAAGGACGCTCCGCCCAAGATGCAGCAGTCATCGCAGCAACCGGAGCTTTCACATCCTCTCCCCGCACGCCCAGCTGCCCGGACTGGCAATGGACAATCCCACTCCAACTCGATGCCCTCGACTCCTCAACAGCATGCTAGAAACTTCTCGTTTGAGTCGCGGGAACCTTCGCCAACGGCCACGAATAATCACTCTCCCCGGTCAGCTTACTCAGAGACGAACAGCAACCTCCCGTCATTACGCCCCCTTCCTCCCCGACTCATGGGTGGCTGCCAATATGAGACTTCTCAGATGAATTCGAAGAGGAGGATGCCCTACAGCATAGGAAGCGACAAGCTGGAAAAGATCAGCCTCGAGAAGATCAAGAGCAAGTTGTCGGAAGATGAGGAGAGAAAACTGACCACAGATATGCGCGAGTTGTACGACCGGTTACGACCGACTGAGAAGGTCGAGGAGAACCGTCAAAAGCTCGTCGTCAAGCTGGAGAGAATATTCAACGAGGAATGGCCTGGGAATGATATCCGCGTACATCTCTTTGGCTCCTCGGGCAACTGGCTTTGCTCGGACGACTCGGATGGTTCGTGGGCTCTCTTGGATACCGGGCTGCTTCTTAGGGATGCAACGCTAACTTGCCTCGACAGTCGATATTTGCATTACAACGCCTTGGAAGGACTTAGAGGGCGTCTGCATGATTGCAGCACTGCTTGCGAAGAGTGCGTACACTGTTCCTTGGGTCAGAACCAACACCGCTAATACGAATCACCATAGAGGGCATGCAAAAAGTCGTCTGCATTTCCGGCGCTAAAGTTCCCATCGTCAAGATCTGGGATCCCGAGCTCGGCCTTGCATGCGACATGAACGTGAACAATACTCTGGCATTGGAGAACACGAGAATGGTCAGAACATACATTGAGATCGATCCTCGAGTGCGGCCCTTGGCAATGGTTATCAAGTACTGGACGCGGAAGAGGATCATAAATGATGCTGGTATGGTTTGCCGCATACCTTTGACTCTATGCACATTTTACTGATTGGCACAGCGTTCGGCGGTACCCTTAGCTCTTACACGTGGATTTGCCTGATCATCGGATTTCTCCAGCTCCGCGACCCGCCGATACTTCCCTCACTTCACCAGCGACAACATCAACGGCTCCCTAAGAGAGGCGGGCGCGAGAGCGCATTCGCCGATGACTTGGAAAAGCTGGGCGGATTCGGCGAAAAGAACGAGGCGTCTTTGGGTGAGCTCCTGTTCCAGTTCTTGCGCTTTTACGCGCACGAGTTCGACTACGACAAACATGTGATATCGATCCGCCTCGGACGGAAGGCAACGAGACTGGAAAAAGGATGGCACATTGGCATAAACAATCATTTGTGCGTGGAGGAGCCATTCAATACTGTTCGCAACCTGGGCAACACCGCAGATGAATATTCTTTCCGCGGTCTCCATTTGGAGTTGCGACGAGCATTTGACCTGATCTCAGAAGGAAATCTGGGCGAATGCTGCGAACAATACGTCTACCCCAAGGAAGAAACACCACTGTTCCAGCGTCCGCCAAACACTTCGAGGCCCGTCATGATCCGCAGTTCTTCTCAGCAACACTCTGGTAGAGGGGGCCGTGGAAACTTCCGTGGAGGACGACACTCGAACAACTTCCAGCGGAATGTGAACTCGAACAGGAGAGCTTCTTCGAGCGTTGCCTACGACACCAACACCATGTACATGCCTTCCGTGGCTATGACCCCCCAGGAGCTTGCGTGGTACGCGCAACAGGCACAGTCTCATCAGCAATATCCAGCGCTTGTAGGTGCAGCCATGGCCGCCCAGGTTCAGCAAGAAAATAACATTCGGTTCCAGCTGTACACTCAATCCCAGGTTTATCAGCAAGTCCAAGCACAGATGGCCGCCCAAATGCACGCTGCTCAGAGGATGCAGGGGTCCTCTTCAGCTTCGCAGCAGGGCCCAGAACGGCCCAGAACCAACTCTTTCGACAACCCGCCCCTGAGTGCTCCCATCGCTAGCCCTCAAGATTGGTATAGCATGTACGGAGTCCCCATGACGGCCTACTACGGCCAGTCGAGCTTCGCCTATCCCTCCTCGCCGGCGACAGTGACAACCACTACGCCAGAGTATCGAAGGGGCCTTCAGAGATCATCAGCGACAACAGAGTCAGGCGCCTCGACTTCAGGAAGCTCACTCAGGTCGCAGTCTCAGCCTGCCTCCCGCTCTGCCCCTACAGCACAGCACAACCAGGCATATCCGGGGACCAGCACGCCGATGAACGTTAGTTCAAATCCTACACGGCAAGTGAATGGCATACCGGTCTCGAACGGCGTGCTAGGTGACGTCGATCACGACGAAACCCCCAAGGCCCCAGCGAGCAATTCGCCTGCCTCTGACGAAGGAGCTTATTTGGGTTACTACGTTTCAGATGCCTCCAGCCCGGCGCGTTCTCAAGTAGCGCCCAACGCCATAGCTTTTGCGGACACAACTCAGCCAACCCAAGGTCGTCGTAGGTTGTCGACCGAGGTTCCGCAGACTATTCTGGACCGCAGAATGCGAAGAACATCTCGCTCACCGTCTCCCCTTGGCCATACCCGAGCCTTCTCCACTGGAGGTAACTCGGTGGCGTCCGCTCCAACCATTGCGTCTGGCAGCACGAATGGTCTTCGAACAGCATCGCGGCCTTTGGTAGTCAACGGCACTGGGTCATCTTTGCGCACGAGTTCGACGCCATCGCAACGTCACACTTCTGCAGTGATTGCAACGGAATCCAATGCGGCTGATGATCAATGCCGTTCATCTCAGGAAAGTACGCTGAAAATTCAAGGCCTCGGAATAAGCGGCTACGCCGCAGATCAGGTGGACGGCCAGGCCTTCCCCAGGTCTGAACCAGTTCAGACGCCCGTTCCTGAGCGGGCTCCAGTGATTGTCAACGGCACCACCACTCCATCGGCAACCGCCATCGCGACGACCTCGGCCTCGCCTGCTTCTGCTCCTCAACCCGTCGATGACGCCTCATTTCGTGACAGGATCGCACTCATGTCGATGAATCAGTATGCTTGGACACCGCAAGGTCAAGCGCAAACGCAGCCGCAACCAGACAATATCAATGGCACCCAGACATCACACCGCCAGAGAGCCCTAGCGAGACCGCAAAGTGGAGTAATAGCGCCACTTGATCTCGCAACTCGAGAAAACAGGATGAATGGCCATCAGTTGAGCATTGAGGCACAGCACCTTTCACCAATCAACGAGACTAGATCCCCTTCGCCAACAGTTGTGAGAAAGAATGACTTCGCATCAAAAAATGACCAGTTGCCACCAGCTGCACAGAATTCAGCACCGAAGGCCCATGTTGAGCCATTTATTTCAGGGAACCATAGCAAAGGGGTTGCCGCAAAGGAATCCAAGCAAGGCCATGTATCGACTCAGTCACCGAAGCGAGGTTCAACGGCCGCACAGCGCTCAGTTCAAGGGACCGCCCAGACTCAGTCACAGCTACATACCTCCGGCCAGGCTCAGGCCCAATCTCCCAAGGTCAACGGCGTTCGAGAAAACGGTCACACTCGTGGTGTCAAGAGTGAAAGCCCTGAAGGCACATGGCAAAAGGCCACCAAGGGCCGCAAGAAAGGTGCCGACACTAAGAACCATGGTGGCGGCTTTGTTTCCAGCGAGCAGCCACCCAAGCACGAAGCAGACCGAAAGGGCGGCTAAGGAGACGGTCAAGACTCAACACAACAATTTGCACATGAACGCAGTGACCGTTGCACGGCAGACAGCTACTGATGCTTTCTTGGATAGGGCACACGAGATGAGTGGCCTCTGCAGAAAACAATGCTACTATACTGCTCACCTTCTTTGGTCATGCACAAGTATTGGATACTCTGCTTCTGGATTGCAGCGATGAGTTTGGTGGTCGTTAGTGGCAAGTGTGTTGCAATGCACCTGTGGCCTGGAGGTGGTCAGTGGGATCCGGGAATCGAATTGGTGCTATGACGAGCACCCTATACCAACTGGACTTGCCGCGACCAAGTCGTGCTCAGTGGTAGCCGAACGGAACTGGCAAGGCGGAACAAAAATGAGATTAGCGAACGTGTCCAAGGATCTTCGGGGAGCAACACATCAATGGATTGCGCAAGAGTGAGTGCTGATTCAACGAGACGGGGTTGTTGGCTCAAGCATGGAAATTGGAGAGGCTATTGTCACGCCTCAATTGTCTTTTTTGCCCCCTCACCTACCAAGGTCCCAAAAGGGGGGAACGCTGTTGAGTTATATTGGGCGGCAGGGTCTATTATTTGTCTCATTGCATTTGCGTCAACGGTCTTCGAAATGGGGTACACGGTTGGGCATTCGTCATCAAGTTTCCTTTTGTCAACAACGTCATACCATGGGGGGTAAGGTACATGGAGAGGAAGCAAGACGTTGAGTGGATGATAACGTTACAAGGGCTGTATTTAGGACGGCTTCGATTGTCATGAAATACCCGGCGGGGAATGATTGGGCATCTGTCACTGAAGAGAGGAAGACAGGAGAAGCCAGCATGACCGCATTCAAGGAGTGGAAAAAAGACATCAATGATAAGTGTCAGTGTAAGCAGATAGACAGGAAGCGAAAAAAAAAAAAGACCATGATTTAAAAAGCAAGTATTACGTTTGTGAGAGAGATGTCCCTGGAGGATCAAGTCCTTGGCTTGAAAACGCGAGCCACAGTCTTTGGGAGGATACCGAGTAATAAACCGAATCTGGCTTTCTGCAGCCATTTCCAGACGCCATTGTGAAGCCATCGTCATCTACTGTGCAACCTAGGGTAAGGGTCTCGGAAGGGACGCAAGATTACGTCATCGGCATGGTGATTGAACCCCGCCATCAGCCTTATTTCAAGTGGCCGGTGCTCCAAAATGACAATACCACGGTTACCACCGCGGTCCCTGCTTGGCAAAAGGCAGTTCCTTACATGGCCTGGCCCCCAATTGTCTCGTATTTTGCCCCTCACTCCCCCCAGGATGCAGCTAGCCCAGGCAGAAGCAATTCGTCTGTACCCGTGAAACGCAATCTGAAAAAAACTGACCGTTTCGCTGCCGTTACCCATGCCGATACTTACGAATACCGGAAAAGAGTCCGTCCCGTTTTGTCCCTACTTTAGGACGCGGAGGTAGCGTTATTAGCGATCATTTTACATTGATAACCTTGGTTTGTCGTCCGCCTTTTCATCCCTCGGATCGGTGGATATCGGCAATGATTGGTCCCTGCGCTCGGCTCCTTGGTCTGGACGCTGTCCCCTGCATCGCATCTGGGTCGCAGCCGGTGTGATGGGACGCCAACGCAGCCGGAGCGATGTCGCCTCGACGTCTCCCAAGATTAGGCGGTTGAGCAACGCGCTGCGCAAGATATCAAGCATCAGCTCGGCAAAGGACGACAGGCCTCCTACGGTGAGAGAAACTCCACTCCTAGAAGTCCCACACACTAAATCTTTGCCATCTGCACTTCTCTCCTCAAGCCACTACCCATTCACTGCCCTTGACGTTACGATGGCGATGAGACGCTCGAGCTGTCGGACGCCGCTTACACTGCGAGAACAGAGGCATGGCGGCGATTTTGAGTTTGGTGGAGAGCCGATCGAGGGGGTCTCCTCCCGTGGGTCCAGCTCCGCCGGCGCCGCGGATGAATCGGACGTCAACCTCCGCCAGATCCAACAATTGACGCAACGAGTCGGCTCGACGCTCTCGAGCAAGGACGCGGACGCTGCCTATAAAGAATATGCCAAAGTCAAGGACCATGCAGCCCTATGTCGGACCTTGTTGCGTAGTCCCACAACCGCACCCACCTCGTCCGGGCAGGGGCCCGGGCAGGCGACCGGAACGTGGGTGGAAGGCCGGGGGCCGTCACGAGAATCGTCACTAGAGGTGCCACAGAGCCCTGCATCGGCCAATACTCGATCTTCCTTCAGCGGGAGGAGCCTTTCGGAAATGACGACCAGCCAGAGCCTTGGGCAACATCGCGGGCCGACCCGGGAGGTCTGCCTGTCTGCCGTCCGCGAGTGGAAGAGGTGCATTGAGTCGCTGGTGGAGGCGCTTGAACTATCGCTATCAGAGACGTACGGAAACTACGAACCCGATGCCACGCCAAATATGGTGAAATCCCTTTTCCAAGATAAAGCATTCCGTGCCGCCGCAATTCAGCAGATGAGAAGGACCAGCATCGTCAAGACGTTCTCACCAAACCCGGACTTTTTCCCACTTTATGACATACGGTTCAGGAACCACGATCGAGCCAAGCAAGATCTCGTCGAGATCACGCGCACCCTCCAGCTGGGAGAATCCGGGGTCACGGACGAGAGGCCTGTGAAGGAGCTCAATGTTTCGCCTCGCGGGGATGCCGTTCTCGAGTTTGCGAATATCGGAGCCGAGGCACTGCCCGTGCTCAGGTTTCGCGTCTCTTCCTTTTTACTCGCGGAAACCTCGCCCATATTTGAGAGAATGTTCACCGAGCATGCGCACATAGAAATCCACGACAACGAAGATGTGGCTGACCAGTTGGCGCCTCCCCCGACTTCGTACATCTGCGACGATGGCACCGAGGCGAAGCTCTACCGCATGCCGCAGTTGGAACGTGATCGAGAGCAGGCGCTGACGATTCTTCTGCGTGCGGCACACATGCATAATGATAAGATCCCGAGGGACGTGACCTTCGAGCAATTCGTCGCCATCGCTGAAGTGTGTCTGAGATATCGATGCACGTCGCCGCTCGAGCTGTTCGTCGAGCACAGGTGGCTGCCGCAGTGGATTCATAAGGGGAGCGAAGCCATGCCCGACGGCTGGCTGCTCATCAGCTACGCTTTTGGGTTCCGGCAGCTGTTTACACGCATGTCCAAGACGGCTATCCTGAACCTTGTTGATGAGGAGGAGCTAAGGGCCATGTCGTGGCCGCAGAGGATCAAGGATAAGATTTGGGGTGTGAGGGGGGCGAAGATGGCGCAGGTCCATGAGTGCTGCGTGAATGTTATACGGGAGTACCTGCGTCCACCTTCCAGTGCCGTCGAGCAAGATCGCGCCACGGTTCCCGCGGTTCCGCTCAAGGGTCCTTTGCAGGTCAGGAACCGCTCGCCGGTGAGCTCAAAACTCCCAGCCGAAGCGTCATCTACGGCCACCGTCCCCGCCTTGATGTTCACCAGCACTCCCAGGTGCCCCAAAGGAAGTCACGGCTGCGACGCGACGAATCTCGGCTGGCTCATGCTAATCTACGGCGAACTCCAGCTGCTGCCCACCATCATGAACCCCTCAGTGCTCGGGCACCTGGCCGGCGGCGACCAGCAGCAGCAGCAGCAGCACTCACCACCTCGTAGGAGCCTGGCGCAGCTCGTCAATCTGCTCCGGACTATGGCGAGCTCGCCGCTGGCGATCCATAAGGGCGGGGTGTGCGACCCTGCGCCGCCGTTCCGCGCGGCAATTAATGATATCTATAATAGCGTGTCCGGGTTGACGTTGCATGATGTCAGCGGGCGGGCTCACGGGTGGGGGCTGTCGAGGCATCGGTCTACGCAGCCGCAGGCCGTGTTGCACAGGGGGTTGAGGAATTTCTCCTCTGGTAAGAAGCCGGAACTGGACGCAGAACAAGGGCAGAGCAATATTCTGGAGTGGTCGGACGCGCTTCGGCTGTTGATCTTGGAAAAGTGCGTGGACAGCCTGGACGACTTGCGTGCCGCGGCGATGGTGAATCAGAGGTTTTATGAGACGTTTCGGAAGAACGAGGTGGTGCTTATGAGGAGGTTCGTCGGGGACCAGAGGCTGAGGACGTTGATGAAGTTGACTTCTATGGACGTTGTCGCGGGCGGGGAGGATAAGGTGCCGAGGGAGGAGGCGGACGTGATGAAGGCGGAGGCGAAGGCTGCCCACGGTGTAGAGGATGTCGTCTCTGTCGATGAGTGGGGACGTGAGCGGCTAGCCGGAGACGGTGGAACACGAGTGGGAAATCAGCTGGACCAGGGGCAGGGCGCAGATGAGACTGTCGCGAATGTGTTCTTGGCGGTCCCCTCTTCGCCTGCCGGGGGCGGCGCTTCTGCGTTTGATGATAATTCGTCGTCGGAGGAGGAGATGTTGAGCGAGGCTGAGGCGCGGCGTATATTATGGCCGCCGGAGGTGACAGTCTCGCCGGCGCGGAATTCTTCTTCCTCACCACAGCGGCAGGCTCTGGGGTCCGGATCCGATATATCAGCGGAGGATGGTATTATGAGGGAGAAGTTTCGGACAGGTGATGCTGCGTTTGTGGAGGAGAAGATGCTGTTGGAGGGGGAGGATAAGCATCTTAGGGATGAGCGGGATAGGAGGGTTGGGCTTATGCGTGGGGATGGGTGAGGGCTTGGGAGTTTGGAGAGCATACAGTTCGCACGAAAAGAGAGAGAGAGAGAGAGAGAGAGAGAGGAGGGAGATCTAGCATTTAGCGTGGTGTTCATTATTAAAGCTTGGCATATCTTGGATGAAGGGAAACGAAGGATTGTAAAACCTATGCGACGAAGATCACGAGTGCTGATGAGTAAGACGCTCACAGATAGGAAGCAGCCGAGATGGAGTAGAGACCAGAACTAATACATGGCGCCGGAGGCTCTTTAATTAGAGAAAAAGAACATCAATTGAAACATACGCAGCCGAATGTGTCGGAGAAGAACAATAAAGCATTCGCTCCAACAAGTCGCTCCAACAAGAGAGCGCGGATCATTCCTCACGGGATAACTGGGATTGGGAAGGTAGGTATGTATTTATGTATATAGGGCGTCGTCACCAGCTCATCTACCACCGTCAGAGGTCGTCAAGGGAAAGTGACCCAGAAAGAATTATATTTGTGGACATTATTCTTATGTTGGTTTGGTATCCTCACGTTGCCTTCCTTTCATGATGAATATGACACGGATGAAGTGCCCTAGGGGGGTGGGGGCCCCGCTGTCTAACCGTACGTAGGGCCCAAATTTGCCCACTTTGTTCGAAGATCGTGGCGGACATAGCTCAGTTGGGAGAGCGTCAGACTGAAGTCAACTTCAATCACTTAATCTGAAGGTCGTGTGTTCAATCCACACTGGCCGCATCTTCTATTTTGCATATTCTGACACTTCGTCTCTGCTCTTTTTTAGACTTGTGGTTCTGATGACAGACAGTTTGGTTGTTCAGCCTTAATTGACTTTGAGTTTGCCTTTAGTGCTTGGGTTGCAGCCGAAGTGTCGCCATGGCCTGCTAATTCGTCACCGACAAAAACTCTGTAAATTGACAATCATAAATAACCTTCCTCAGGTAGGTAGGTATCTTTCCTATTTCTAGGTTACTTCCGGCTCCTGTATCATCCAATCAATCCTCTAGGTTTGAGCACCAATTCTATGAAACTTATCATCCGTGCTCTCCTTCAACCTCACTCAGCCTTCATAAGCAAAACCAAGCTTAGGCGTATGGCCAGTTTCGGTTGAGAACGACACAGCTCCCGTTCGCCGACGAAGCAATGTCCTTGTCCGTCAAAAATACGCAGTACTTTGCAACGGCAGCCGGGTCCAGCCCCGTCTCGCCGCGCTTGTACTCAGGCATGCCGGCCGTGACCTTGGCCATGCCGGTCTGGTTGACGCCCTCGGCGAAGGCGTCCATGATGTTGGTGGTGTCCATGCCGCCGAGCAGCAGCGCGACCGAGTAGATGCCCTTGTCGCCATAGAAGCCGGCCGTATTCTTGGTGACGGCCATGACGCCGTGCTTGGAGGCCGTGTAGGCGACGCCCGAGGCGAGGCCGCGGTAGCTCGCGTTGGAGCCGATGTTGACGATGAGGCCGGCGGGCCCGCCGCTGCCGCTGCCGCCGCCTTGGGCGAGGAACTGGTTGACGGCGTACTTTGTTGTGAGGAAGGGCCCCGTGAGGTTGATGGCGAGGACGCGGTCCCAGGTCTCCTTTGTGCAGTCGCCGACGGGGTCGAATTTGTCCATGACGCCGGCGTTGTTGACGACGACGTCGAGGCGGCCGAAGCGTTCTACGGTGCCCTTGATGAGGCTTTCGACAGAGGTCTCCGAGGTGACGTCGACGACGATGCCGTGGAGCTTGCCGGCGTAGGTGTCGCGGTATTCCGAGGTGACGGCGGCGACGCGGTCCTCATTGATGTCGGAGATTACGACGTTGGCGCCGGCAACGAGGTAGGCTTCGGCGATGGCTTTGCCTAGGCCGCCGCCGGAGCCGGTGACGATTACCGTCGTGCCGGGGAGGCGTGGGGTCGACATTGTGTGTACTGTGACTTTGACTGTGTGAGTGGTGAGAAGGGGCTTGGCCCGCGAGGTAGATTTGCGGGCTGCGACGTTGAAGGGTTGGTTCTAGTGTTTGCGAAGCGTTTAAGCTAAAAAAAGATTGATGAGGTGGTGATGGTTACGTGACTTGGTTGTGAGTGAGTGAGTGAGAGTGAGAGTATATGAGAGGTTCTTGATTTCAATTGAGCGAGTGCTCCCTCCACGTGCGTCATTGAAGGTCGCCGCCGTGGACCATTTACGTTGCATCGTCAGACGGAGGGGCTGTTGCGGGGCGATCTTGTGGAGAATGAGACGTCTCGATTGGGCGCTGGCCTCAGCGCCGTTAATATGCCCGGCGGAACCTTCTTGGACTCTTTTTCTCTCTCTATCCTGGTATTGAGGGTGTGAAATGGTCGTATACGGTTCCGGTAAGTAGCGATGTTCATCAGTTCTCCTAAGTTTTCTTTTTTCTTCATTTTATGCCTTGATCCCTTGACCTCTTCTCTAGGCACTTCTCAATCCAGGCTTCCCCGCAGGTTCTTGAAGGGCATGCCCCCCGCTTCCCACTCCTTTTGGTTTTGGGGATTCAGAGACCCCTGGTGTCTTGGCTGGTATGATCCCGTGCGGCACGGTTGCCTGTCCCTGCCTTGCTGCATATGTCGTCGGGCCCGTTCATGAGAATGATGTCTTCAACACCATGTGTGCTTCTAATGGAATTTTGCGATAGAAGTATGCTTGACGCGGATGAAGAAACAGCGGCCGCGCCCCCCTCGAGAACTGCGTCTCGAGGCGCTCATCGGGCTTTGCCGTCTGCTTGGCCGGGCAGCGAGCGTCCGAGGCGACTGCATACTTGGTGATGAGCCCTGTCTGCAGTTGTAGCTGCGCTTGAGCCATGAGCTTATAGTGCTTTGGACAATGGGTTCAAGTCGATGCGAATTCGGTGACATCTCCCCTATTCGCATCTCCCATTCGGGTTCTAGTCCCAAGTTAAGGTGTCTCTGCAACTACCCGGGCCCGTCATATTATTGATTTGGCGTCTTTGCTTCTTCATGGGATGAACTCGACACCCATTCCGTGCCACTGGATCTGTTGATTGACTCCATAAGTCTGGCTGGTGCCGACTCGGGACCGATACAGATGACCCTTTGGCCAGGTTGGCAGGGTTCCATCGGAAAATACAACTATAAACGAATATTAGGAGAACCACATTGGGCAATCTCAACATTGTGATCCCTGAGTCTGAGCATGCCTCATTCACACCGAGTCTTTGCGAGGCATATTCAGCAGAAAATGGAACTCGAAGCAGAATCCAACTTTGGGAGGTTTCGCCTAGACAAGTTTTCATGCATCATCATTCTCATGCGAAGTTTAGTTCATATTTTCAGAGTTGAGAGGCAGTACGAAATACTCAGTAGAGTCAACGAGCACCAGACCTACGCTTGAACAACATTATCCACGAGGTGGTATTCCAATTGGGCATCCTCAGATAATTCCTATTTTGTAACAAAGACGAGATAAGAAGCATCTAATCACTTGAATGCCTGGCGCGCTTCAAAACTCGTCGTTGTTGGTACTGACGCAGCCTTGTTGCTGTTGTTGTTGGTCTCTTTCTTACTGTCCTCTTCACCACAAACGTCCTCCCACTCGTCGAGATTCGGCCAAGAGCCCGAGGTTCGGCGGGCTCCTTTAAAAATCTTTGAAAGACACTTACCAAGGAAGTTCTTCACGGACCCGGCTATTCCCTGCGACTCTTTCTCGGCCTCTATGCTGTGGACGCTCTGGTAGGCGCTCATCGACCGGGGCCGGCCTAAGCCATGTGTCAGTGAGCGAGAACCCAGGCTGCTGCTGCTGGGCGGCTCGCCGCTGCGCTCTGGGCGCTGTTCGTGGCAGGGCATGTCCAGTCCCCGTGTGATCTCGAGAGATTTCCAGTAGCAATATTGGCATTGGTTTATGTTTTTCCGCACGCAGACGTAGACTTTTCCTTCATCTGGGCAGTAGGGGACTCTGCGCTCAAAGAAGTGGGGGTACACCCACGTCCTCTTGTCGCATTTGGTCGGTCTCTCCTCTATGGAGATGACGCCGTAGCAGGTCCTGCACTGGTCGACGAACTGCTTGGTTCCGCACATGGTTCTTCCCCTGTTAGACGAGTGCAGTGATGAGTGGGTGGGTAAAGTTGACGATAGTTGTAAGTTGTTATCCCGCTTGTCAGTCCGATTGACGACCTGTAATTACCTTGAAGATGTCTTGGTGAGTGCAGCAGAGTGGCACCTTTATACGCCGAAGAAATGGTTTGTCATAATGCCGTTGTCAGTGAATCACTTCTCTGTGAAGTGAACAAAGATCTTGGATGCTTCACACATGCGTCAAAGCTGGCATAGCCGCTCGACTGGGCGTTGTAGCAAAGACGACTGGGTGTAGGGCGCAAGATCCACATTGCACCAGGGACTTGATTGTTGAATAGAACTCAGAATTTTGAATAAATAGAAGGGAGACATCGTATTTCGTTTGGAACGTCGAAGGGACAAAACTCACCATTCATTATAGGCATTTCAACGCAACAGAATGACTTAAGCTCTAGATTCCCGAACGGACTACAGCTCTCAGATGAGCATTGAGTAGAGACGCTATTTCTGTGAAAAGTTGAGCAAACCGGAAGGTGTTTTGACAGGATACCAAACTCCAAAGACAAAAGGATCAAAAGACAGATTCGTATAGTTTTCTCTTATTCTCCGTCTCAGTGATCGCCAATGGCCTGAATCGGTGCCTGGTTTTGCCGGGACAGCCCGGGGGTCTAGAGCGGGCGGCGGATTTATCGGGAACTGGGGTACTGAGGCACTGAGGCACTGAGGCACCTAAAAACGTCGAGTTTTCATTGACACGCGCTAGCACCTTATTCTGAGGAACCCGCTTATCGAGGGAACGACCCGAAATGATAACTGTTTCGAAGTCAAGGATGCTCTGCTTCACAAGTGGGCGTTGGTGGTGAGAATGTCGACTGGGGCTGGAATTGAATCGGTGGTCTCGGTAAGCCCATTGCACTTTGAGCTCCGTCGCAGACTGACTTACGAACGGACAGGCCGCAGCATGCGCCGCGTTGAGCGTGGACTTTCTAGTCCATCCCATGGACACGCTCGTCACGCGGATGCAGTCGCCAATGTACACGACGCAGTACAGGACCGTCAACGGCGCCGTAAACCGGACCCTATTCCTCGGGCTGTACCAGGGCTTCGGCCCCACGATCATCACCAGCGTACCGTCATCGGCCGCCTTCTTCACCATTTACGAGGGGCTGAAGAGCTATGCCCTGCGCGCAAAGTCTGAGGGGCGCCTTTCTGGCGTTCCTCTGCCCGTCCTTTATGGGGCTAGCGGTGCGGCGGCTAGTCTCGTCAGTTGCGCCATCACCAACCCTGCCGAGGTCCTGAAGCAGAATGCGCAGGTGTGTACGAGAGATGTGCGCTCGTTGGGAGGCGTTGGTGGTGCGTCTCCGACCATCAGCACGTTGAGGCGCTTCGCGAAGCAGCCGAAGAAGCTGTGGGCTGGGTATACGGCTCTCGTGGCGAGCGACCTGCCCAATACCACGTTGACGTTTTGTCTCTACGAGACCCTCAAGGAACGTTTCATCGGAAGGGATTTCAAGGGCCAGGAGAGGGGTACTTCGCATCAGGTACTCGCGAGCGGACTCTGCGCCGCTGTTGCTGGGAGCGCGTCGTCGAGTCTGTTTGTGCCCATTGACGTGGTCAAGACGAGGATGAGGCTGGCGGCTGGCGGAGACGTGGTTGGCAATGACAGGTCTCTGCAGGCATCGAGTATTTCTCCCCGTGCAAAGATTGGTCCGATTGCGGTGGCGAAGGGCATTATCTTGAAAGAGGGTGTTCGTGGTCTGTTTAGAGGTGCCACGGTGACGATTCTGGCGTCGGCTGTTGGCGGTGGACTGTATATTAGCTGTTACGAAGCGATCAAGATTTATCTGAGCTAGAACCGCCTTTCAGGCTGTACGATATAGGAAGACTTATTTAGACGGCTGGGACGCAACTTTTCTAATTCCACTCTTTTCGATTCATCAGTTTCAAGGAGTATTCGAACCAGGTGTGCCGAAAGCATCCGCAACTGCAGCTCAGACGAGATTGGTCAGTCAGAGTTACAAGTGAAATGCTTTTGGCTCAAAGAAGGCAGGCACCTTCGTATCTGGCAAGCTTCCCAAAGAGGCATCACTTTCGACTGACCGTCCTTTGCAATGTTCAACTCGCTAGCTCAAACGACTCCCCATCCCGAACGTGATAGGCCGGCACCTCCTGCCCACTGGAACAGCGTTCAGGCATGTGAAGCGTGGTCTGACACCGGTATATCCAAACTGCATAACCTCCCAAAGATGCCTCTGTGAGAGCCATGGTACGATGTAAAACCTCCTCCATCAAGCTATTTCAACCATCTGGATATACACAACACCACCTGCTTCCAGGTATCTACTGGCCACACTGGCCTTCGACAAACTTGACGTCGCCATTGACATCGCACTGGCCGTCGGCTAGGCGGGCACCAGCACCCCTTCCATCCGCGCAAGCCAGGCCGACAAAATCGGCCGCCGCGTTCGTATCAGCATTGGGGTTGGCAGTATCGTTTGCGTTATCCCGGTTGGCATTGTCTTGGTTGTTATTGTTGCTGTTATTCTGGCCAGCGTTTGCATTGCCGGCATTACTGTTGCCGCCGTTGTTGTAGCCTTCATTCTGGTCGGCGTTCAGCCCGCCGTTGCCGCCGCCACCGCCGCCTCCTCCACAGCCAGCACCTCCGAAGCCTCCAGTATCACTGGCACCGCCGAAATCTACTCGGCCGCCACCACCCCGGCCTCCACCGAAGCCACCACCGCCTCCGCCTAATTGAGGACTCGGTGCTGTACAGAATCCAAGTCAGGCTTGCGACCCTCTCTTGAGAAAAGGAAGTATGCTGAAGACCGGGCGAGTGACTTACCTGTCAAGGCAATGCCTGTGAGAAGACTGACAACAAGGGGAGTGATGTTCGTGTAACAAATTTTGAGGTATGTGCTGATGTTTTTAGGTGGGCAAGAAGGAAGATCACAGTCTGAATCAAGGGTATCGATGGAAAAGGGATAGAGCTGAAAATATTCCAAAAGTAAGTGCACAGCACTGAAATGAAGGTTGCAAACAAGAAAGAGAAAACCAGTGTGGATCATGCAGTGATTGAGGACGAAAGAGAAAAGACGCACTCGGCTCGAAGACTGTCCTGGTCATTATACTCACTTCGTCCCGCCCTCGAGTGCCGTCCCGTCGGATAGCCACAGAGTCACCAGCCACCAGCAGTGCCAGCGCCAATTCTCACCGACCAAACGGCTGGGCTTCAGACATCCGATCTTGGCCAACAGCACGGCAAGCACTCTTCTACATCGGAAGTTCAGATGGCATGCCCCTCGTCCGGAAACCTCAGACGTGACATGGACGTTTTCCGTCCCTTGTGGTTGGACATGCCTTACTTCCATGTACCCAGTTGGGTGTGATCAAAACCTTGAATTAGGAAAGAATGGAAACAGTCGAACCAATCCAGGGCCACGGCACCTCACGAGACCAGTTTTGTCGAACCCATGCGTGAGGCGTCTATAAGCTTCAATTCATGGCTATTTCCCTGGGAAAAGAGGGCGCATCCGGGACCCGCCCTGTCGGCCGGCCGGAGGCTCATTCAGCTTGCACCGTCAACGTGCAGTGTTTACGTGCAGCGGGACGTGTTTTGGAAACCCTTGCCTGCCGAGCCGCCCAGCCTTCGGAAGGCGGCAGACCGGAACAAAATCTAAAATGGCACTGCACGATCATTGCAAACGGGAGAGATAGTGCCAAAAATGGCTTATTTTTACTACTCACAGAATTCAAATTGAGTCTCTGTCTGTGAAAAGAAGCTTCGAAGACCGACCATGACTAAAAAAAAAAAAAAAAACTAAAGATTTATGCGGCCAGTGTGGATTGAACACACGACCTTCAGATTAAGTGATTGAAGTTGACTTCAGTCTGACGCTCTCCCAACTGAGCTATGTCCGCCGCTGATGATTTTAAACCTTAAAAACCAGTTGATGAAGGAGCGGATCGCGACCTCCACGCGGTCCCGGGATTGTGTGGAGTCTGAAGGTAAAAGTGCCTTTCTAGTGTCAATATGGGAGATTTCCCTTGCAGCTTGCCATCTCATCGTTTCACAACTTACCTCAACACCCGGCGAGCCGTGGTTGTGAAGGAAAGAGCCATCGGGCTCTGGGGCCGGGGTCAGGTTGCCGTAACCTGCCGGCCGGTGCTTGCCTTGCGTTTCGCTGAAGAATATGCAAGACCTTGTGGAAGTCACGACCAAGCTGGCCTGAATTGGGATGGTTCCATTATCATTTAATGACTACTTCAGGAAGCAAACTCCAACCTCATACCTCGCCCTATTCGCCATTCTGTTCTCCCAACCAACGTCAAATGATTCGAAGCAAATGTTCAAAGAATGTTTTCGCCCTTCATGCGCCCCCCCCAACTCAAGTTTTCCGAGACGTCTTCTGCTACTGTCTCAAGGTATGCCGTATATACTGCACCGGCCTGATGAAATGCATACTTTGCCAACTCTGGTACAAAGCTCCGTCTCTTGCTGCCTATCTAGATGAATCCTATCCGAAACTCATCCGCAATACCAGTCGGGGCTCTCAGCCCAAAGTCTGGCCGTCTCGCGTCACCTCGCTCACGTGGCGGGGCAATCCCTGGCGGAGGGCTCATCTGTTGAACCTCGGACTTTTCTTTTGGCGTGTGCGGCCTTTGACTCCCAAATGTTGGGCTTGCCAACGGGCTCGGTAACGGCCAGTTCGCATCGTTCGAGGCCTCGGGAAACAAGCTGTTCGGCGTGGGCGGCTGCGGTGACTGCATGCGAGGTGAGATCATTGCGAAGTTCCCGTGGTGAACATCCCGATCGTCCCAGCTGGGCGGCTGATATTGCTGTGGGTTTGACGCCTTGCGCTGAAGTTCGACAGGCGGCGGCGGAGGCTGTCGCCGGTTCGAAGGTGTTATACCGTAGCTCCGCTCGCCCTCGCCTGGTGCGACCCGTCTCGAGGGAGGCGGGGGTCCGAGATATCCCTGTAGCGGAGAAGAAAAATCGTCGCGAGATCGACTATCGGAATCTTTCCTCTCTCTGACCTCTGGACCTTGCCGTTCCCGGCTATCGTACTGGGCACGCTCAAAGGCATCCGATTCTAGCCCGCCTCTGGCCTGAGAGACTGCCCCCTCTCGCGCATCCGAACCTTGACGCTGTCTGGCAGGGGGCCAATCGTCCGGAGGTCGGGCAGGACTTCGCAGCGGCCCTTCATATGGTACCTGCTGCGGTCTTGGGGGTGGCAAACCGGCGCTCCTGGGAGGTTGCGGCAGGTTTTTCATCTCTGGCGGACGCGGTCGCCGGGCGCTCCTCGGCGGTGGACTGACTGGCATAACAGGACTTATCGGAATAATTGGGCTTTCCCACTCTGGTTTCCGTCCTCGTTCCGCCATACCAAAATCGAGTCCAGTAGGTTCATGATCGATATTCATGGAAAAGCTCTGCCTTCTAGGTGTGGTGATAGTGAGGGTATCCCTCTTTGCGGCAACGTTCTGGATTATTGGCCTGGGATAGAAATGGTCCTCGTCGCTGGAGCGTCCCGTCGACGCGGTTGGAGACGGGAGTGCGGCCGGCCGCGGCCTGTGAGCTTCACGAACGGCGGTGACTGCCGTCTTGGGTCTGAAATCTGTTCTCAACGGTGGGAGAGAACCGTTGATGGACTGGGGAGGCGAAGGTAAGGCCTTGGTGGATGACAGCGGAGCCGGGGTTGGCTTGTCATCTTTTGATGAGTCTGACGGATTCAGGTTGAATTCAAACTGCCGAAGTGGGCTTCGAGGTGCGTTGGCTACGGTCGGCGTAGGAAGGGGCGATAAGCTATTCGGAGAGTGATAGCCGGAGTGATAGCCGCTTGGTGCAGCACTCGGCGCCGGGCTGAGAGCTCCGTCGCTCCTGGAACCCGTACCATCACGAGCAAAGTGGACGTCGAGAGGGTTGACCCAAGCCTTCGCCCGGGCTGAATTTGGTGTTCCCGGTCTACTTCCTGATCCATTACCGCCGGTAATGATCGGCGGAGACGCAATGTTGTTCAGGCTGGCCACAGAAACGTTGTTCCACCGCATATTCAAGTTAGCCTCGGATCCAACAGATCGAATGCCCTTGGCGCCAGGTGCACCCAGGTCGACTAGGGAAGATGAGCCGCCATTCAGGTACGGCGCATTTGGATGACGAAAGTTAGCGGTGAAGCTCTTGTTCGACATGGCCGTGCCGGGACGCGATCCGTTGATGAGGACGGGCCGCTCCAGATCTTTCCCGAAGAATTGGCCTTCACCGAGATTGTTTTGGTCAATCTTCTTCCGTTGAGGCTTCATGTCGGCCTTCTCAGCGGCTTTCCTACACAAAGTCAGTTCACACTCCCACGACGGAGGACTAGGAGCAGCGCACTTCTTCTTATCGGCCCCGAGCTTCAACCCGAAAAAAGACACCATGGTTGCGTTATGAAGAGGGTATCAAAAGACTGTTGGTCAGCCGGGTTGGCCCATGAAGCGAAATGGAGGGGTTGGTGAGGGGCATACAAAACAAATGAAGGGCATAAAATGGCTCTGAGCTATGCACAGAGAGAGCGAATGGGACGAATCCCGGCAATGAACGTCCGGGTCAATAATCGAATGAGTTTGGCTATGCGAAATGAACGAGGAACCAATTCAAGGGGATGGAACAATCGTTCAAAGTGCTGCCACGGCCCCAATGTCGAGCACTCGGGGATGTGGAATGCGACCGAGCAAGAACAACGTTGTCGTGAAAAGAGGAAGAGCGGTGATGGTTATTGCATACGGGCCATGTCGCGTCTTTTTCCGGGTGAAAGTGCTCGAGTTGTGGAGGTTGCGTTGGGTGATGGACATGGGCGACGATCCTTATTCGCGGCCCCAAGACAATTGATCCGTCACAAGATCAGGGGCACAGCAGCAATAACGTCCTGAAGAGGGAGTCAAGAATGGACGAGCTGCCTAGATCGGTGGACAGGCAGAGCTCCGGTGGAGTGGATTCTGGGTCGAGACAAGGTTGAGCGAGGGTTTGAGTTTTTGAGCGCAAAAGCAATAAGTGGTGAGTCTCTTGTTGGCGGATTGTCTGTGATAAAGGGCGATGAGACTTCTATTGATCCCTTGCAAAACAAGTCTGAAGTAGCGACCAGCAAGGAGTCGAGAGAACGAAGAGACGATGAAAGATCGTGAAGGGCTGAGACGAGGAACGATGGGAAACAAAAGGCCAAGGAAACGCACCTGTGATGGGGAACTCAACCGGAGCAGACCGAGCTATTGCGACGTCGCCGCTGTCGCCAGTGAGGGGTGGACCAGGACCGAGTGCAGTGTGGAGATGAGAAACAGGCCGTCTCCCAGGCACATTTTCCCTCTTGGGACTGGTATCTAATGAAACGGCAGCCCGGTGAGAGCGCGACAAATAACGTTTGCTGCCCACGTCCCTCCGCTGGGAATTGATGGCCGTATTGGCAAGTGTGTGTGCAATTTCGCACTTTTCCCCCTTTGACGTAGCTACATATGATCGGGGGCAGGGCCTCCACGCGCGCACGTCAACAGCTCGAGTGGGGGAGGTCGACCGAAGGGGTGAGAGGTAGAAGACGAAGGAGAAGAAGGGGGGATCTAATCCGAAAACCTAATATTTTTCGCTGCAGCTGCAAGGAGGTCGTGGGCACACATCCAGATTCGCACCCACACTCGCACCAAGCCGGCTCGAGTTGTGACGAAGTTCGGATGGCCTGTAAAGGGAGACGGCGAAGACCCCTGAAAAAAGGACATGACGAGCCTTATGCGATTTCAACCCTTGGTGCAGTGGACAAGAACGCGTGATGGACCACTTTCGAAGTCCACGATAAGGATCATACAGTTTGATAAGACGCAATCCCCCGGAAAATACGACCTCGCTGAGTCTGGGATCAAGGGTTTCGCGAGATTTCAACACCCGCATACTCCGTACTCATCTCCTTCTTGGAAGTTTCTACGGAGTACAGCTTCTCTCATTCGAAAATCTTTCGTTAGCCCACCGCCGCCGCAGGTTTAATGTCTGCGGGTTCTGCAGTGCTGCAGAGTTCGGCCAACTGAAAGGTACATTACTCGGGATGCTCACCGTACCTGAAGTGCCTGAAGCTTACCTACCTACCTTATGCTATCATTCGGGGGTAGATAACTATATTAGGCAAGGGGGAGGCACGGGAGGGCGTTTTAACCAGGGTCATTCAGAAGAAACGAGATGCGATGCCAAACCGCCGGTACGTATCTCCCAGAAAAGGGGTTTAAGGTACCGGCACCCTGTCGTGCCTGTGTCCTTGGGCTAAGCAGCTCCTTTTTAGCTTGCATGTTCTTTTGGGTCGGTTTCTCCATTCGAGCAACCAGAGACCTTGAAACTTATTTGTACCCCCGGCCAGGTGCTACATCACTGCCGTGTTGATCCATTGACGAAACGAAACAAAACATGGAGTCGATGGAGCCCGATGGAACCCTTGAAGCAAAAAAAAAAAAAAAAAAAAAAAAAAAAAAAAAAGAAAAAAAAAAAGAAAGAAAAAGGAAAACAAAACAAAAAAGAAAAAAAAAAAAACAAGAAAAAAAGAGAAGAAAAAGAAAAAAAAAAAAAAAAAAAAAAAAAAAAAAAAAAAAAAAAAAAAAAACCGACAACCAGGACGGTAGAGACGAGCTCGATGCCGAGGTGGGAAAGCATACCCACGAGCTATCAAGGGAAGTGACATCAGAATCTCTCCGTCGCCGGTGGACCGTCGACGTCAAAACGTATCCAAACTTCAATTGAGATCTACGGGTGAGCACGACACCTTTTCTCGTATTGCCTGCAGAAGTCTGTGGGTATCTCCAGGGACAAGAAACCCTCCGACGGATCGACGATGCTCCTTACGCGGGCAGCCGCCTTGCGAAGGGCAGACTCGGGATCCGGTTTGTCTTTCTTGGAAAACCCCCCACATGCACACGCGTGGATGCGTACGATACTTGGGTCACACCCGATACAGTAGGCTTCTTCTTCATGCCGTCCCTTATCTTGGTGTAGCGGGACTAGGGAAAAAGCCAGGACCCAGATCTAGGGAGACGCATGAATAGGAGGATGGTGCCATTCCCACCCCCTAGGATCCCGACCACCCATATTACTGAAGAAATCCACCAGGCTTGAGTCGGACAACTTTACACATTGGTTTGCACAGCTTTCAGCTGACAGTCTGTCAATAGCGTCGCCGCCTTGATGCCACGCCCTAAAAACAGAGGTCGGCCCGCACCAGCTAACGACAACTAATGCACTCGCTCGGGCGTCCCGACGTCGGTTGACAAAAAGGCTTCAAGAAGGGGGGGGGCTACCCAGAGGAAAAACTTTTACTCGCTAGAAGAGATCCAGACTTGACAAAGTTGCAAGTCTGGACGCCATACGGCTTTTCCCCACGACCATATTCAGTCATTTTGATATCGCCTTTGGCTTGCGTGGCTTGCTCGTCTCGGGGCCTCTGCCGTGCGCCACAGTAGTACACGGCGTGCAAGAGGGTGGCGGGAAAGGAGGTTGCTGCAGAGAGCTATCGTGTTGCCCACATGGGAGAGAATGGACTCGGACTCGGACGATGTGCGTTTGCCGGTGAGCCCCCAATACGAGGTCGTATTGGTCGGTCCTTCAGGTGGGTGAATGACACTGACAGGTCCGTCGACAGTCAGCTACCCAGGAACCATACGGCCGAGCGCAAGTGTCCCAGCGCGGACAACACATTCTGACTCGGCATTGTTGAGACGCAACGTGGCAGGTGAGTGTGTCTCGGGCTTGTTTATTGCAGTCTACCGTGTGTAGTTCTACCTGTGTTACCATACATTCTGTGGCATACCGTGAAATCGTGCCAATATCCCCCCCCCCCTTCTGTGCCGAGATTCGCATCTTAGTGTAAAAATACGACCTCTTCTAACTAAGATAGAGAGCATGTGTTGTTTACAACCCAATGAAAAGCAAAAATCTGGGGTTCAGATCCATTTCAAACAAAAACTCCTATCGAGTGACCCCATTTATCTGAGGCTCAAATCAATTTAAACAAATGAAGATGCGAGTATTCGAGCAGCCAAGGAGACCTTCTGTCTTTGCCGTATCGTTTAGCAGTCTCCCTTCCAGTTCTCCTTGATCCACTCGCCCATCTTGTACGTCAGCGTCTCGTCGGACCAGGTCAACACGTCATTCTCGCTGTATTCGCCGCCGCTGAACTTGAGCGCGACAATGATCCACTGCAAGATGAAGTCGATGAAGACGAGGTCCACCTTTTCCGGCTCACCCTCTTTGGGGAACCCGATTTCGGTCTGGATGCAGTTGGGGACTTCGTAAAATGTGATGGGTGAGTGCTCCGTGTCGTCGCCGTCGGTGCCGATGTCGTCTTTGGTGGTGTATCCGCCAATGAGGTCTGGCTTCTTGGACTTGTCGTTCCCATCGGATAGCGGTTGCTGGTCGTCGGACGCGTGGCGGAGTTCCAGGCGGCGGGGTTCGCCCTCCGTCTCCTTCTCCTTTGTCTTGAGCATGACGACGTCGTCCTTGGGGTACATCATCTCCGGGATGTTCATGAAGCGGGCATCGTGCGTATTTGTTTCCTCAAAGATCTTGCCGGCCTTATTGAGGAGATCGATTACGCGCTTGGCCACGGGGTAGGGGACGTCAGGGATGTACTTGAAGGTGCTCGTGAAAGGGGAGACGATGTAGGTGCTGTCCTTTGTGAAGGCGCCCTTGAAAATGTCGAAGCGGAGGCCGCCCGTGTTGACGATGACCAGTCGGGGCACGTCTTTTCTGTCGTCCTTGTGGATCACGTCGGGGAGCACTTGCGTCTCGAGCCAGGTGAAGATGCTGTCGTTGCCCGGGTACGTGGCTCGGTTCACCCATAGGTCTTGGGGCGCGCAGCCGTACTTGTAGTCCAGGTCGAGGGCCTTGCGGGCTTTTGTGATGAGCTTGCTGACGTTCTTGCCGTGCTCTGTCGGAAAGGTCGTCTCGTTGAGGCCGGTGTGGTGGTACAGGCCCAGCAGGTTATTGTCAATGTACTTTCTGGAAAAGGAGACTGATGCCGCGGCCTCGTCCGACACCTCGCCGTCGGCGGTGGTAGATTTGGACTTCTTCTTGACGTTGTTGATCGACATCCACCCGATGGTCTCGCCGTAGCGACCGCTGGCGATGGCGTACGCCTCCCTGTCAAAGGAGAGGGCGTCGCGGACGTGGGCGTGGCCGCCAAAGAAGGCAATGGGCGCGAACCAGGCCTCCTTGCGCATGGCGGTGAAGATTGCCTTGAACTCGGGCATGCGCAGGCCAACGTGCCCGATGACGACGAAGAGGTCGGGCTTCTCCTCGCGCAGCATCGTCTTGAACCACTCCTCCTTGATTGTGTCCTCGACCGGCTGGACGACGGTGTTGTTGGCGTTGCCGGTGAAGTCGAAGAGAAAGCCGAGGGCGACGACCTCGAGACCCTGGTTCTTGGTCTTGAACTTGCGGTACCGCTGCGCCTGCGGCACGCGGTCGCCCGTCTTGGGGTCTATGTAGTCGAGGTTGCTCGCGATGTAGTTTTCCCGGTAGTTTGGCACCGTAATGTCGTGCTCGCGCTGGGCGGCGTCGGCCTGGTAGAGCTCGTGATTGCCTGTGCAGATGACGTCGATGGTCTGCTCCTTGAAGATGTCATAGGTGAAGAGTCCCTTTGGGGACGAGGAGTCGTAGAGGCCGTTGCCCTCGACGCGGTCGCCCGTGTCGACGACGAGGAGGTCGACGCCCTGCTCGTCGGCCTTGCGGCGCATGTGCTCCGCGAAAGAGACGTAGTCGCCCCAGTCGGCCGAGTACTGCGGCTCGAGGAGGTGGCCGCCGAGCCAGCCGTGGACGTCGGTCGTGTGGAGGAAGTTGACCTGGCCCCAGGTCAGGTCGCGCATCGGGGCGGGGACGGGAGACGCGGCGCCGGGTTGGGAGGCGGAGGCGAGGGGCAGGTAGAGGGCTGTTGCCGCTGCGGCCGCGGCCGTGAGGACGGAGGGGTGTCGCCGGAGCGAGGGTGGTGATGATCGTTGTTTCGCCATACTTGTGTGCGTGTGTAGGTATGTGGTAGCTGGGTTTGGTGATGAGAAGGAAGAGCAAAAGAGCTAATGCACGAGAAAATAGAATGCCGCACCCCTTCGCTTCGCCTCGTGCGGGGAGGATGATGGGAATGCTGAGGCGGCTGGGTTTGATGCGATGCGTTGGCGAGTCACGGTCACGGGTGCCTGGAGATAGAGAGCTCCCTGAAGCTCTCCGTCCAGTCTCCGATGGGTGCCCTGACGACCCGCTACGTCAGCGACGATCCCTCAAGGTTCTTGTTAGGATACCACTCGCCTATCGGCCTTGAAATGCGAAGAAAGAGGGGTAGAGGACTAACAGATGCGAGCTCTGGAGTGTCTGAAACTGTGATGGCGCAGAGCTAGGGTCCGAGTCCACGTGCCCGGAACGATCCCCGGACCTGCATTGAGGCGTTGAGCTTGGGCCCGTCGGCTAAAGTTGGGTCCATTACCAATGGGATTTCCTCCGTCCACACTTTGTTAGGCCTCGTCGTCCCAACCATAGTCCACCATAAATATGTAAATGCTCGGGGCATATGAAAGCAAGCTGATATTCATCTGAGCTTCTAGCGTGATGAATAACAGGGTTTTTCGGAACGGTTTGGTATCCTGTCCTCCGGACCGGCATTGAAAAACGGGAGAGCGGACACTTTTGGCTTGCCGCAGCGAACTTCGAAACCATTGTTGAGTCGAAGGTTGAGCTTGAGCTCTGGGGAAAGGGGTCGAACCAAAACAGAATGGGTCATTGCCTTGATTTCCGAAGGCTCAAATTCCAAGCCAGTTCGAGACGACTATCAGTATCCAAGAGTCCGAGTTAATACAGTCCAAGACAGAGAGGATCATGAACTCGGGGTTTTGGATAAATCATCCAGGAGCTTTTGGGAAGAGCCTGAGATTAGGTTCATCAAGTCAATATGAGTGACACATTACTTCGCCACAGACTTTGTGATATGCCGCAAGCAGTCGCTGGGACAAAGCGGCCTCTGAGAGACTTGACCGTGACATAAATGTTCTTCAAGTGACGAACGAATTGAGAGATGTGGGAATAATATTCCCCCATCCCAGACGAGCCAAAAAAGATGCAAGGAGGTAGAGGAGATGGTTGCAATCTGAATCATCAAGGCAGAGCAGAGTCGTCGTCTCGAACTCAGAGCAATGTCTGATGGGGGAAGGCTATGAGTAGAGGGATTGATTCCTGTCTGAAGAGTTCTATAAGATGAGAGTAGCTTACGCCCAACTCTTGCGAGACAACTTTGTTGGCGCTTCCAGGCCACTCTCTTGGTGACGGTGGAAGCAGTCGTGTTGAAAGAAGATATATAACTTGATCAACTTGTGGCTGTCTTGACGGCGCTAAGCTGCATTCGAAACCGTGTACCGAAACAACATCTCTGCATCGGTACTTGGTGATAACAGCTCCGGTCGTGGTGTTTTTCAAGTCAATGTCCTAAATGGTGATGTTCCCGTACCCTCCGGAGCCTTGGCTTTAGTTCATGTCTGCACCGTAGCTAGAAGCGCCATCGCCAACCCAGTTGCGGAGCGTCATGTACGAATCTTTGAACGTACTGCTTTCACAGTTTCCTTGTTGGCCACTGAAACTGGTGCGTTAGCCAATGAGGAAGGGCGCCTCTCGTGTTACAGTGAGTTCGGAATCTTGGAGAGCTACAAATACGATTAGTGCGTTTCTACTACTGTTTGGAGGCTTTGGTATTGCAAAGCAAGCGACTTGCTCGCTTTCTTGAAGTCTTTTCTCCGCATCATTAGTTAGCCTGCTTTTGTTTCAGAAGACAGGCCGGAAGCTTCTCAGCTTCCACATACATCCGATACCACCTCCACCTCCATTTGGAGGATAGGTCACCTAATCTTTAGTCTCCGTCTTGACAGACTGGTACCGAGTTTCAAGGCCCCTAATATGTCTCAAAGTGATATTTTCAACGCGCTCAAAGTCGACCTTGTGTTGGCCAAGATTACCAAAGGCTACACCCAGAGAGTGATCCATAGTGGAATTCACAATAAGGATGTTTATGGAGTTATCTCTGATAGCCATCGCGTCGTCGCGGTTTTGAATGTACATTGATGGGGAACGTGATGGTTGCCATGGTCCACATCTGACTTTGAATCATGCTTACGTTCTTTACCATCATGTCTGAAGCTTTCTAGAGTGCTAGAGAATGAGGGTGTTCCGGATACTTAGATTGACCTTTGACCAGGTTGTAACTGAAATGTCAGTTCAAGTTGGAAGAATCTTGCCGAGGATCGAGCTACTGACCAAGTCTCTCCGTTGCCGTCCAAAGTTCCATACCCGAAGCCGTACACTGTGACATTCTTTCTGTAAGAAATCATGCCGCGGAACCATTTGAAGAACAAATCGGCTGCGAGTTGCTGATCCAGTAGTCAGGAGAAGGAGTTGAAGACGATTCAAGCAGGAAGCAATGATATCTGATCGGTGCAACTTACAATATTCCCAACGGCTAGTGACGCGATGGATATGAAATTGAACTATGAGCATGCACTGTAACTCAACTTAGCATTTGTTCCGCAAGGTTCGACACAATGACATGATTATTGATGACGTTCCCCTTCATTGGCAATCACTGCGAAAAGCCAGACTAGGGGGAATGACGATGGTATCCTCATATAGAAGAGTTTTAGTTAGAGTGAAGGCCCCAAAAGCAATCTCCTGTACACATAGGCTGATCTCTGAAAGAAACCAACTCCGCTACCGAGGTCGGTCTTTATTTCAAGTGGTGGGTTCTCTCAGGGTCACCCACCTTCGGGCATGAAAGCACGAACTCGAGTACGACATCCCCAGATATATCAGTGGCTTTTTCTTGCTTGGCACTATCTCATCACGTCGGCCGACCACACAAGATGTACCTATTGCCAGATGCGGGGTGTCCCGATACGGAGTGTCCCGATTCCGGACGATACGCGGGTTGCAACCATGGATGTGCATAGCCGGAACACATAAGCAAGACAAGTCCCGCCAAAGGCATCGGCTGATCACATCAGCCCGTCGTCGATACCCCGGATTCCCGCGGTCTCTGCACAACTCAGGTTCCTGTAGAAATTACTACGGTGATAGACAGGTCAGTGAGATGACGGCCTTCATGTGTGCTTTAGTCGCCTTCTCATTGGTCTCTACACAGTCGTGATAGTCACTGTCTCTCGGCGGCTCTTCAAGCCTACCTACTCTTACTAGTCTGGCTATTAGTTACATGGCACGCCTATGGCGGAATCCTTGAAGCGAGCCACAGATCTTGGCACATTCACAATTCGGGCACCTGCAATCGACTGTTTCAGTCTCTCGCAGACTACTAGTAGTAGCTTGGCAGCTCATGGCCTACAAAACCATGCGGATATTGCTCAAGCGAGAAGAGCAGTGTGACGGGTTTGTGATGACTAGGTGGCTATATCAAAGATGGAGTAGATACACTTTATTGACTCTGTGCACACAATTCTACAAGATACATGTAAGAAAATTTGTCCCCAAACCACATTAATCTATTGTGACCATTATAGCCCACAAACTCTCTCAACTGAGCCACCGGCTTAAGAGCAGTGGCCGAATGCAGACTGACAACCAGTGCCGCAGTGAGCATCAGTGCTTCCGCAGAAGTTGTAAGGGGAGCAGCAGGTCGTTCCAGGGCAGGTGAGGCGTTGAGCCCCGCCGCAGGTGCCGTCGGTGCTGACGGGGCCAGAGGTCTGGGTCGGGGCAGGAGGAGTCTGGGTCGGGGCAGAAGAGTTCGGGGCAGAAGGAGTCGGGGTGGGGGTGGCGGTACTGGAGCCAGATTGGGTATAGCAGGTACCGAACAAGGGCTGGCAGCCGGTGCCACAGTAGGCATCGTCGTCACCACCGCAGTAGCCGTACTCAGAGCAGCAGTCGCCGGCCCTGCATTTGTACTTAAAGGTGCCACCGCAGGAGCCGTCAGGAGTGATGCCGCCAGTGCCAGGCGTCGGGGTAGGGACAGTGCTAGGGCAAACACCGAATAGGGGCTGGCAGCCGACGCCACAGTAGGCTGCAGAGGTACCGCAGAAGCCGGCCGGAGAGCAGCAGTTGCCAGGCTTACAAACGTAGTTATTGGGACCACCGCATGAGCCATCAGGGCCGATGCCGCCAGGAGTCTGGGTGGGGGTAGGGGCAACGTAGTTAGATGGGACACCGCAATTACCGAATGAGGACTGGCAGCCGGTGCCGCAATAGGCTGGAGAGGTGCCGCAAAAGCCGTACTCAGAGCAGCAGTTACCAGCTTCACAGATGTAATTGTTGGAACCACCACAGGTGCCTTCAGGGTCGATACGACCAGAGGCAGGAGACGTCTGGGTTGGGGTAGCGGTGCTCGAAGTACTACTGCCGGGGGCACCGCAGATGCCGAATGAGGACTGGCAGCCGGCGCCGCAGTAGGCCTCAGAGGTACCGCAGTAGCCAGCCGGAGAGCAGCAGTTGCCAGGCTTACAGACGTAGTTATTGGGACCACCGCAGGTGCCGTCAGGGCCGATGCCACCAGAAGTCTGGGTGGGGGCAGGGGCGCTGGCGCTCGGTGTACTACTGCCGGTGGCACCGCAGATGCCGAATGAGGACTGGCAGCCGGTGCCGCAGTAGGCCTCCGAGGTACCGCAGTAGCCAGCCGGAGAGCAGCAGTTGCCAGGCTTACAGACGTAGTTATTGGGACCACCGCATGAGCCATCAGGGCCGACGCCGCCAGAAGTCTGGGAGGGGGCAGGGGCGCTCGGAGTACTGCCGCTGCCGGAGGGAACAGCGCCGGGGGCACCGCAGATGCCGAATGAGGACTGGCAGCCGGTGCCACAGTAGGCCTCCGAGGAACCGCAGTAGCCGTACTCGGAGCAGCAGGTGCCGGCTATACAGACGTAGTTATTAGGGCCACCGCAGGCGCCTCCGGGACCGATGACGCCGGTGGGGGTAGCGGTGCTGGTGATGGTGATGGAGATCTTGGAGGCGGTAGCGGAGGGAGTGGAGGTGCGCTTGGTCTTGTACCAGTTGGCCTCGGGGTCGCCAAGGCACTCGCCGACGGGGACGGCCTTCAGGCCCTTCTCCTTGATGATGCGGAGGAACTCGGGGACGAGGTACTCGGCGGTGTTCTGGTGTACCTGCCATGGATGTCAGTATGGGTATGAAGCGAGATGTCAACTGAACTCATGAAAACTCACGTCGTGGGCCAGGGCAATGGAGCCACCGGCATCGACACCCTTCTGGAAGATACCGACACTGGTGAGGTTGCCGAGAGGAGCGTCGTTGGCGTAGTCGAGAGTGTCGATGTCGGCCTGGATGACGTGGTACCCAAGAGCCTTGAGGATGGAGAGGGTGTTGTCGTTCGAGCTGAAGTAGGGAAGACGCATGTAGGTGGAGTACTTTCCGATGATTTTCAGGAGAGCATCCTCGAGCTCCGTCATCTCGGTGATGATTTCAGCATCGCCCAGAGTGGCTAGGTCAGCGTGGTCAAAAGTGTGCGAGGCGACCTGGTGGCCGTCGGCAATCATACGCTTGACGACATCCTTGTAGTCGTTGATGTCGCCAAAGTTCTTGCCGTTGAGGAAGAAAGTGGCCTTGGCATCAGCCTCGGCGAGAAGGTCGAGGACGTGATTGGTGTAAAGGAACGGGCCGTCGTCAAAGGTGAGAGCAAAGTCACCCTGGACAGTACACTTGAAGATGGGATCGCCATAGGGGACGTTGCTGGCCGGGGCGGTGGCGCTGGCGGAGGGAGTGCCGGAGGCCGGGGCGGTGTTGTTGCTGCCGACGGGGACGGTGGTGCTGGGGATGGCGATGGGCTCGGTGGGAATGAGGGAAGGAGAATTGGTGGGAATGCTATTGTTCTGAGGGAAGGGGACATAGGAAGAGCCGGCGGCAGGCTTGCCCGGGTATGAGGGGACGTTGCCGGCGGGGGCGGACGGGGCAGCGGAAGGCTGTGAACCGCCGGATCCAGGCTGGTCTTCACCGGGGCAAGAGTCGGCGTCGGATCCCTTGTCGGAATCGCCGTTAGAGCCGGTGTCAGAACCAGCGTTAGATCCAGCGTTAGATTCAGCGTTAGATCCAGTGTTGGAACCTGTCGAGGATCCGGTGGAAGAGCCCGTGTTAGAGCCGGGCCCGGACCCGGACCCGGAACCAGCCTTGGAACCAGAACCAGAGCCAGAGCCTGAACCAGAGCCGGAACCAGAGCCGGAACCAGAGCCGGAACCAGTCTTGGAACCAGAGCCAGAACCAGAGCCGGAACCAGTCTCGGAACCAGAACCAGAACCAGAACCAGAACCAGCGTTAGAGCCGGCGGAAGGCTGTGAATCGCCGGATCCAGGCTGGTCTTCACTGGGGCAAGAGTCGTCGTCGTCGGATCCCTTGTCGGAATCTCCGTTAGATCCGGTGTTGGAACCAGTGTTGGAACCAGAATCAGAACCAGAGCCAGAGCCAGAACCAGAGTTGGAACCAGAACCAGAGCCGGCACCAGCGTTACCTGGGCCGTTTCCAGGGTGTGACGGAGAGCCGGGGTAAGAGCCGCCAGGATTGGACGGGACACCGGGGACGGTGGTGTTCACGGGGAACGGCGGCAAGTGAGTCCCGGTGGTGCTCGGCTCAGGGAGGGGAAGGTCCTCATCGCAGAAGGTCTCGTTCGAGGTTTGGCGTTGGAAGGGGGAGGCAGCCGCTCCCGCCACGAGGAGCGAGGCAGCAATTGTTTTGAAATGCATGGTGCGAAAGAATGACTAGTATTATAAAGAACGACTTTGGTATTTGGTAAAACGAGTGACGTTGTCTTACGATAGTAAGACTAACATTTGACTAGGTAGTAGTAAAGGACAAGAGAAGGATCAGAATCTATCATAGGAAGGCATGGCAAGCCGACCATATATCCTATCGAAATTTGCCAAGTCTGCGGGGGCCCCCTTTGCGCCCATGCGGGTTATCAACAGTGCAGCACCATCAACCCCATTCATGTTCATCCCGTTTTGATTGCCAAGATTTTCAGCCAAAAGCTCCAGTCCCAGCTATGAAAAGAAGGCCGAGTCATGGTTGGGGATCCTCGCCTGGGCGGTGCACCGCGCTGCAGGAAAGCAAAGTAACCTTGTTAGCTTGGCTTAGCGTCTTGGAGCTGTCCAGCTGGCTGGGAAATGGAGATGGGAAAGGTCGAAAAGGTTTCCGTATACGACGAGCTACAAGGACAACGAGCTGCGGGAGACAAGATGACGGGTCCCCAAAATAGCTGGCCCATCATCCGTGCAACAAGCAACGGTACTGAAAAAAAGCTTGCTCTCCGTCTCACCGTTATTCTTCCCCGCCCCTAAAGTGGCGGCCGTTGTTGGCAACGACTGGCGACGGCGAGCGGCGCGCAATATGGGCGATATCACTAACGGTGGTGCCAAGCTACTAAATCCTAAATCACGGCGGGTCTGGCTTCTAAGAGGAAACAAGGTGATGGCAGGTTGTTGAGGTGTCGTCGCTTTGTCCCCGCCGGTTTAACTTTTCGAATGGCTCTTGGTCAATCTTATGAACCTCAAACCAACCAATGAAATCCCGCATGACTCGATATAAGCCCACTTCAATGTCCTTCTTAACTAGCATAATGCTGCTTGAACGCGCGCGTGGCCCGACTTCTCCGGCATGTCGCCGCCGTCTCCGTGCGCCATCTATATAAGATGGAAGCTGTGGCCTCGTTCTGCATCTCGGAAGGGTTAAACACTGGGCCTGGATGGGCGCGTCCATTTGGTGCGGGTAATTCATCACAATATCGAATTGTGGCTACCTTCACCAAAACCGCCCCGTTTGTGTTTGATGAAGTGCTTTCTCTGCATCACTAATGATTGCACAACCGACATCGGCGTCTTGTCAATTGGAGCAGCCCTGCGGCGTGCCGCTGCAGATGCGTTGGATCCTGTCTAAAGCCATATGTTGCTGCACGAATAACCAAAAGATCTTTTCGCGGGGGGCCAAGTCCCTACGGACCGTACCACTGGAAGCCAATGCCGCAAGCTAACGCCAGATACGCCGGACAAGAGAGGGGCCGCCGAAGGCTATCAGGGAATGAGAGTCTGGACATTGCCGATGGGTGGTGCGCTTGCAAGGATCGCTGGCCTGGGCGTCGCTGCGAGCTGTCAGGGGCCGAACAGGGGTTGGCTGCTTGTTTGTTGGAGCAGACGAGTTGATCCCAGGGCAACGCAGAAGCTCCGGATAGCCCGCATTCGCCAGCACAGGACTCTCGGTCGGAAGGTCCATACGATAACCCTATCGTTGGAGTCATTGTTTATTACCTCAGCGGCTTCTCATTCTTCGGGACGGTTATACTTGGTGCGTTGGCGTCGCTTGCATCTCCCCCCCGAGACGTCTCGTCTCCTATTCCCAGACACTAGAACGCTTGCTTCAATTTCGCGTCTTCAATGCCGTTGATTTAGCATCGTCTTGCAGCTGACGACAGCTGATTTTGTATATGCACCTGCTTCATCGCGAAAAGAAACTTTTGCCTAGCCATCACTGCCCACTTACCCCTTTATGCTATCGTGACCTCCAGGCTCTAGACTCTATTAGCGTCAACTTTTCCTAGGTAACGTTGATCTTGCACTTAGGATGCCACGCCATGAGACAGCGGGGCGCCAACGAGTCTGGTCAATGCACAGGCTCGGAGTGACGGGGTTTGATCTGTGCGCATTGCCAGCAGCTTTGTATCTCCATAATGAAATTCAAGGGCAAGTAGTCTCCAACAGGTGCATCGGTTATCGGATCAGGGCATTGGTTCCTCGGAATTTCAATCCATTGATTGCTAAGGCAAGCTGTAGTGAAACAGACATACTGAGCACACGGCGTCTCTGGCTTCGTTGAAGACATGTATTGAGAACCCGAGCAAACTACGGATATAGAAAACTTGTTTCCACACTATCGAAACCTAGCGAAACTGCTCTATCTAACTTTTTCATGACTAATCATTGTCCGTCCAAAGTATATGCTGCAGAGCCCACCTCCTATAACTACAACAGGAGAGTAGCAAGCAACTTTATCGATACTTGCCGATTTCGCAGTTCCTACCCTTTCTGGTATTTGGCTGTTCCCAAGATGAAACTAAGCTGGAGGGCCGACTTGGCCGTATGGACGCAAACCATTTTAGCTTTCTCAATCTCCGTCGCAACCGTCATGAACGGTAGATGCCACGCGTTGCTTAATAATAGGTACACAAAGGCTATGTGATTCATCCACTCCACATTCAAAAGGCCTTGTACGGACATTCGGCATTTGTATGTTTGGCTCCGACTCTTCTCCTTTTATTGAATCGTATACGGCAGCAAGCACGGCATTATTCCGAAACCAAAATAGACCATATTGACCTGAAAAATAATCTTCTCTGCAATAGAAACCTGGCGAAATCGAATTCGCTTTGCTTCGAGGCTCGCCCGGACTTCGGATGCAAAACTTCAACTACAGGCAGCGATAGCTCTAGCTATTTCACATGGCAGACGAGAGAGACGTGTATATTTCATGAAAGATCAGGTGAGGATCGAAACCTCAGTGTTGATCTGAAAGTTTTGTTCCGAGCTTTTTGGTTGTATATTACGACACGGAATGTGGCCTAGCATCAGCACAAACGACTTCGTCTGCCACGTGCTTTCTCACGTGTCCCTCACACTCACGTAAGATATGGACTTGACCTTTTCCTTGTTCACTTTGGGTTACTACAAGCTACTTTCTACCCACTTCATAGGCCCATTGCTGTGTGCTCTAGGCTCTGGCGCGTGACATATTATAGAAGCTTTCAGTTGTACCGCCACAACAGGGGCACCGCCACTATGGTGCCGGTAACTGATGTGGTTTACCTATAGAACGAGGCTCGGGAGTCAAAATAGAGGTAGTAGGCCTAAGAAGGACAGATTCGAATGCCAGTCACCACTTGACCCTACGTGCATTACTCTTGATGTGACGCAGCCTGACAGGAGCGTTGTGGAGCCCAACCCCTCCAAGCCTAGGGAAGCGTGCTGCCAAGCCTCTATCACCTCACCAAACGCCACAACAATAGCTGATGTAACCAGCTCCATTTTCGGACCCCGCGGATAGGCCAGGCAATGTCTCCCTGACGAACATCTCTCCCCCATCCATCTCTTACGCCTCAATCTGATTCCAAGGATCCAGTCAGACGCCTGCAGTATGTGATGTGCTCCTCCAAATACCCCATTCGCACGTATTAATCTGCTACAGAGCCACACCAATGCCATGTGGACAACTTGACCAGCGCCGTGCCGGACACCGCTGCGCGTCTTGCAAGAGATTGCATGCAAAGGTTTGACATTTACAGATCCGTCCAAGACCTCCTTCAGAAACAAACAATTGAGCGATACTGATAAATGTCAGTGCAATGGTGGTCGGCCCTGTTCAAATTGCGTGGCCCGCGGCTTGGAGTGCGCCTCATCGGGGCCGTCCGCAGGCTTTCGGTTCGTCCCGCAGCAGCAGCAGCAAGCATCTTCACTCCCTCGAGTGCTGGTTCAAGACTCTTGGAAATACATCAGCACATACTTCCAGTCAGTCGGATACTTGACCCAAGCGTCCGTGATGCGAAGCGCCGGCGTGACGGCACTCTCACATCGAGATGAAAACGTTAGTCGCACGTTGTCAATCATGGGCGGCCTTTACGCCTGTCAAAATCCCCAAGTACTTCGAGTAAGCCAGAAAGAGAAGAGGGCACTCTTGGGTACATGGGTCAAGCAAAAGGCTCTGATGGCGATGGAGTTGAAGAAGCCCAACTCGTCACCCTTCAGCTCAGTCCTACTCAGCACCCTTCTACTAGCAGTCATCGAGGTCCGCTCCACACTATCTTTTCGGGTGTTGAGATTCCAGCTAACAGTAATAAGCTGGTATTATGTGCTGAAGATGGAGCCTTCAAGAAATGGCTTCAGAGAATCTCGAGCTATGTTGCACAACATACAAGAGTAAATGGCTACGCTGGCTTCACCACATTTGAGAGAAGCTTAATCCAATTTTTCAACTTCCTCAACATTCTCTCGGCTATTGCCGCCAACGAAGCGCCTTTAGAGCGCCGAACGGAGCCTGAAGTCTCCATAGGACGTCCTCTGGCACCTAAAATTATATCAGATGACGCAAAGATTGATGATATGATATCTTTTTTGAACCAGTGGGCCAGGCTACAGTCAAGGTAAGCTTCCAGATTCGTCAACGTATCAAAGCAGCAATATGCAGACTCCAGACTCACGACCGTTAGAATGGTTGAATGGACCCTCAAGTCAGAGAGCAGAGCCAATGCGTGGCCTTCCGAAGGCGATAACCGTCGAGAAGCTATCAATCTCAAAGTACAAGGCCTCGATATCATTTGCGAAGCATCGACTCTGCAAGCTCGAGTCATTAGCAACCTCCTGCAGCTCTCCCAAGACCCCGACAGCCAGGTTTCTGTTTGTATTACCCCTTACTACCACTGGGCTCTCACCGGGCTGTCTTACCGACTGAATCACGAATCTTGGAAATCACTCTTGTGCGAGCTGCCGGTTTTGCCGGCGGAAGCACTCCATCAGCAAGCACTGGTTGCGCTTGGCTGCGTTGAGACGCTTACGAGCCAGTCGGGTTTCGATGTCGCGCTGTATCTACCCCTTGCCGAGTTCATAGGAAGGGAGATGGGAACTTCGACAGAGCAGACTCGTATGCTTGCGTTCCTCGACATCGTCAAAGGTCGGGGCTTTGGACTGGCCGATGAGTACAGGAAAGACTTGTTGGAGGTCTGGAGAGCTGCCTCGCGGCCCTCGCCGGACGAAGTTTCTCGAGCTCTTCTGAAGTTCTGACAGGGCTAACGGGATCGCGGTTGTTCAGCTGATACTATGGGGTACACATCAGTTTGATCTAGGCCGAGACGTCTCATTGACGAACAGATTAACATGAAACAGTTTCCTTGACTTTCGAGATGCAGGAGTTTTATGTCATATCCGGCTCAATTCATACTATAGAAACGCCATCATGAAACCTCTAGATTCCATATACCACTTCGCAAATGTCTATTATATATCACTACTGTTTCTTCTTAGAGAACTCGAGATTCCCGCGGGGCACATATGCTACAACTGGGACAATCTTTGAATTCTTTCTTCAGTTAACACAGCGCATCTACAGTAGGTACACACAGTGATGAACTGTTGCTGCGAAACCCTTCGTAGGTGATGTGCTTTTGAACTAGCGGCACTTTGGTGGATCTCTGTCTGCAAGGTAGATCATTGAAGTAGTGCAGAAAACTCTTGCTCCGGTGCCTGTTGCAAACAGCCCTAACAGTCAAACAATTGAATACACGTCATCAGTCTAAATTTTAGCGTCGCTCATGTTGGAAGACTCCAAACCGATTGGCTGGACAGGGTTGTCGGGGGCGCCGTACTTCGTGGCATTGCAATGAAGCGCAGGCAAGGCACGGCACGCCGACGGCACGCGGCGCGCGGCACAACCTCACAACCAAACACAAGCAAATCTTTTAAACTTCTTGATACGTGAAGCTATTTAAATTGAGCCGCTGCGGCTATTTTGACCAAAGTTTGTATGCCAGTGCCAGCCAGCTGTACTCTGTATAGGCGCACTTTGCGATTTTTTGCGGTCGTAATTGACGATTGTTTGGCTGGCGGCGGCTGCCGCGGACTTGCTGCCAGTGGCAGGACGTTTCTGACACTGGCACACACTCAAAATAGCCCGGCGGCACAATCAAAACAGCCGGGCGCTTTAAATTACTAATACGATATGAAATAAAAATAAGATGAATACAGGGGGAGTTATCAATTGGACAGATCACCAGTGATGTGGAATCCGATGTCTCTGGATACCGCGCGCAGGACCGTCTGTTGAGTCTAAATAGCCCACATGTGGTATCCCTAAGTGAGGCCGCCTTGCTCCAGGGAAAAGACCAGAGAGTGAGTGTCGGTCATTGTTTCGTCTCACTCGGCGTGTTGCTCTCCAGTCTGTTCGGCCGACGGATCATTCGGGCCTGGAATTTATGGGTCTGCGGAGCCAAACGGAGTGGCCCACCCGGCAATCGTTCCACAAAAGCTAGCGCCGCGAGATTTTATCCCAAAAAGGCAAAACCGTCCAGGGTGTTAAACGTCAGACTAAGACCATCACCGCTCTTTAGCGCAGCACTCCCACGCGTCCCAGGGACTTGGGTTAAGTCTGGTCTATTCTGGCTCTTTTGCCTTATTATTCCATCGGAGATACCTTGATTTTGGTTCCTCAGGCGACATGTATTTACACAGGCCGTGCGACGCTGCACTTGCAATTTTATCCAGTTGTTCTCCGACAAAAACCGGGCGGCCAAAGATGTTAGTCAAGCTTTGTGAATTGAGAACTTTCATAAGTCCCCATCTTGTGGCACTTCTGTTTTGCGGCTGAGTTGACTGCGACAGGATTCGTCGAGAGGAGGTTTGCCCAGCTGTCAATGAGATGCCAAAGAGAATCCGCGGATTAGCTGCTTAGATTAGATAGCTCAGACCACGGGAGGCTGCGACTAGGCAAATATTCGAAGTGGGCCATGTCGGGACGCGTCTAAGCCACCTTCTGACGTGATGATGTGCAGGCCCGCTGTACCTGTGCGAGACGGACACGGAGCGCCGGACACCCATTTGCACCCGCGGAACACCGGGGGATTGGGTCATTGATGACTGATTGACTGTAGCTGTCAACTTTTCTGAACTCCGTCTCCTTGGCGCAAGGCCATATTTATAAAACTTCCTTCATGCCGACTTGCCCTGGATCCGCCCTCTTCATCTATAGTGCCCGACCCGTTTGAACTCTCATCAACAGCTTCACGCCACACCTCGCCGGTGCAAACTTCACAATGTCGGAAACTTTACCCGACGGCCTCATCGCTTTCGGACCTGATGCCAACTGCACGCTCAGCCTTTGCCCGATAGAATGGAGTATTCTTCAGTACAAGCCTTCTGTTCCCGCTAGCGGCATCTTTATCGGTTTCTTTTCTGCAGCCTTGGCCCTACATGCCGTCCTTGGGTTCAAGTGGAAAACTTGGGGATTCACAGCAAGCATGATCAGCGGTTGCGTTTTGGAAATTGTCGGCTACGTAGGGAGGCTTTTCATCTACGACAACCCTTTCGACTTTAATGGGTTTCTCATGCAAATCAGTAAGTAGTTCTTCCTCTTTCCAGGATGCTCTTCCTCGGGCTACCCGAAACGCTCAAAGGATTCTGGAGCTAATGCCTATCACAGTCTGCATCACAATAGCACCAGTATTCTTTTCTGCCGCCACCTACGTTCTACTCTCTCAAACGTCAGTTCCTTGATTGTGTTCATTGCCCAAGCTTTGAACGCTGACTAAAAGCTTTTGCAGTATCAACTTCCTCGATCCATCAATCTCACGATTTTCACCTCGCCTGTATTACTGGACCTTCATCCCCGTGGACCTTGTCTCCTTGGTCCTGCAGGCTGTTGGGGGTGCCCTGTCCGCCGTCAGCGACACCAAAGCGGACGCAGACCAAGGCGTCGACATCTCACTCGCTGGACTGGTGCTGCAAGTCGCTTCGCTTTCGGTATTCTGCGGACTGTTTGCAGACTACATCTTTGCCTACAATCAGTTAAAGACTCGTCCTCCCATGAGCAAAAGACTCGTCATTTTTCTGAGTTTCTTGAGCGCCGGTACCTTGCTCATCCTGGTGCGTTGCATCTACCGTATCGTGGAATTGCACGAGGGGTACTTCAGTCATTGGTTCCGAGACGAAACACTCTTCATTGTGTTGGAGTCATCGTAAGCCCCCTTTCTCTATTATTCAGATAAGCTTGATTACTAACGTTGCGTAGTATAATGGTTTTGGCTGTTTTTTCATTGTTATTTGGACATCCGGGTGTGGTATTCAACAAGAAGGAGAGAGAAAGACTCGACACACACAACTTCCGCAACTTGGAGTCTCGTGACGACGCCATACCGAAGCATAAAATCAATGACACGACCACAGACGATAGCGAAGCTCCAGCAAATGATCTGCCACAGGAGGCAGCAAAAGAAAAGTCGACGTCGGCCCAGCCGGTATAGATTAGATTTGTAATGTTTATTTCCTTTGTTCTTAAACCTCAGATGATAGACAAGCGATGGGCGGATTAGATATGTTTGTGTGCTAGATTTAAATTTAACTGCCACACCACGGTGTAGGCGATCGACTCTAGCCTAACAAGCGACCTATGACCTTGGCATTATTCTCCTCATGTGAAAACAGGCCGGTTGGTCTAGCTTGGGTGACTAAACCTGAAACAGGTCGCATGCAATCGTTAGAGCGGCTTTTCCCACCTGATTGCTGTTGGTTGTATTGTCTGCACTTAGCGCTGCGTTGGTCGAGGATTGCCTAGCTCCTCACAGGGCGTTTGCAACGTCGGGGTTCACAGTTCAAAAGTTCACTCAATACACTTCCCGCCACTGCCAACGTTGTCTTAAACTTCCTCCCGCACTGAGCATTCTAATTAAATCTTCGGTCATAGGCGGAAGCGTAATCGTCGTTATAATGCCTCTAAGTACAGAGATCCCTTGCAAACTGGTGCCATCGATTCTACAGTCTAGAGGATTTTGAGATTCTGGCTTGAGTTGTTCTTTTATATTGCTATATGCATTCTTTTTTTCAAGCAAAATCATGGTGTTGAAACAGCCATTTGTCGTCGCCAAGTGGAACCAAACCTACTACCTTACTCAGTAACGACCGCTAGAAGCTACAAGACTTCCGCATCAGTGCGATGAGAGCTCTATTCGCGGCTTGCTAGACATGCTCCACAGAGAACCATGATCCGGCCACTGCCTTCAGGACTCATACGATTGATGTCGCACACCCACGCCTTGACTGAAACTATCATAACCGATTTTGCAGTATAATCCTGGGGCCAGCCTTGTCGTGACACCCCAAGACCACCGGCACCCGCCGTTCTATCGCCTGCCGAGCACGCCCGCTTCTCTCGCGCCTTCTATCGTGTTGACTTATTTTACATTCTTTTCGGTGCCGTCAGTGGGAAGGTATACGATCGACATGGAAAAGCGTGCTCTTGGTTGTCTAACAGAGACCCACCTTGGGAGAATGAGCAACTTGGGTGCGCATTGAATTCATCGAGGCACGATTCTTACGAAAATAAGCCAGAAATGCTCGACTCGGCTTTTGAGTCCGGCCAGACCAATCACCCCGTGACCATGGGTGAGAAAATGGATGTGTATCCATACCACGACGTCGATTTGGAAGAATTGAGCACACCTGAGTTTGCCAAGATGAATTTCGTTTGTGAGGACAACCGCGATACAGACAAGTCCTCACGCTAGTCGGTGCGCCACCAACACTTGCATGCCGCTAACTTGTTGAATCATGCTTCCCGAAAACGACTGGCTGCGGAAACGAGCACGTTTACTTTGGGACTGGACTCGTATCAAAGAGCAGGACGTTCTGAAGATATTTGTTAGCTTCTGGTGTGAAGAGGGTGGGCCTTCAGGTGAATAATTACAATTACAAGGAATGGAACAGTCCTTCAGGTAAAGATAGATAATCTGGCAAAAGTGTGGCTCGGGACATTGGAGTAAAGATGACACCAATTACAAAGTCTGACCAAGTCTATGGTGCGACTTTCAATAGCAGCCCACAAGCTTAGTAATATCATGCAGTGCAAGAAGAAATGAGATTAGTCTGAATAGATTCCTTGAAAGACGATCTTCTGCGCGTAAATTGGTTCTCTGATTCAATTTGGCTTCGTAGGGGCTCTCATCGGTTCAATTGAAACAGGAAAGGCCAATAATAAAAGCGACGAGGTGTAGAAACTGGCGATGGTTGGACAAACAAAACGTCCCGTGTGATTGAAACATCTATTCGGATACCTAGGTAGGGTAATCGGACACGGGCCCGGAGCTTGAGGTCCACCCCGGGTTTAGCTTAGTCATCATCCGGCATTCCGTGAATTGGCCCCAATCTTCACCGAGTCGGGAAGCTCTCCAAAAAAGTCCAGGAGCTGCATAAACCAACGTCACAGGCTCATAGCCACATGTCTTCTCACGTCAAGCTCTCGCGGCTGCATCTGCGGCCATTGAGATCAAGATGTGGCGCGCAAGCAGCCCGGCAGCCGAGACGCTCGCACCATAACTTCAACCACTTCGTGCGGCCAGGTGCGAGACAGCTCACCTATCCCGCCCCGATTGCGCCACAGCTAACAAGGAGCCGCAGATCCCTCCAATGCAGCGACAGCTACACCTGCAATAACTCTTGACGCCGCGACCAAGTTCAAGCTAGCGGTGAAAGACAATATCGCGACCTCAGGGCTGCCGACAACATGCTCCTCCGCCATCCTCTCCTCCCACAAAAGCCCTTACGAGGCCACCATCGTGCGCCAGCTCCGAGAACGAGGCGCCCGAGTCATTGGAAAGACAAATATGGATGAATTCGGCATGGGTTCCCATTCGCTGAACTCGGTCCACGGTCCTGTGCTCAATCCGCTATCCTCGACGCCCACCTCTGCTGGCGGGAGTTCAGGAGGCAGCGCGGTTGCGGTTCAGACTGGTGAAGCGGACGTCGCGCTGGGGACGGATACGGGCGGATCAATCCGCCTTCCTGCTGCATACTGCGGTGTAGTGGGATACAAGCCTTCTTACGGCATGCTTTCGAGATTTGGAGTCGTTCCCTATGCGAATTCCTTGGACACTGTTGGTCTGCTGGCTAGGGAGGTTGGTGTCATTGAGGATCTGGTGTTCAGTACCGGATTGGACGTGGAGCACGATGCTCAGGACCCGACCTCCCTGTCGAAGAGCTTTCGAAGAAAGCATCAGAGTCGAGGGGTAGCTGGCCAGTCACGACTTAGAATCGGCATACCTCTGGAATACAACATCGAGGAGCTGGACCCGAAGATCAAGGCTGCCTGGTCTGACGCAGCAGATCTTCTGCAGACATCCGGCATTGAGGTGGTCCCAGTGTCGTTACCGTCCACGAAGCATGCCCTATCAGCATACTACGTCATCGCGCCTGCGGAAGCGGCTTCAAATCTCGCCAAATACGACGGCGTCCGTTACGGTACCCGGGGAGACGAGAGCGATGGCGCGGGCGAGGTCCTCTACTCCAAGACCCGTGGCCTTGGCTTCGGCGACGAAGTCAAACGCCGTATCCTCCTCGGTTCTTACAGCTTGAGCTCCGAGGCGATGGATAACTACTTCATCCAAGCGCAGCGAGTGCGCAAGCTTGTCCAGCGAGACTTTGACCGAGTCTTCAGGCTCGAGAATCCTCTCTATGACGAACAACAGTTCGATTTGAGCGATATGAAGGATGAGATTGAGCTTCAGGACAAACTCGGCCCATCGCAGGTGGACTTTTTGCTTTGTCCCACTGCTCCGACGTTCCCGCCGCGAATCGAGGATATCAAGCGCCAGACGCCGGTGCAGGTGTACATGAACGATGTCTTTACGGTCCCGGCCAGTCTGGCTGGGCTTCCAGCCATCAGTATTCCCATCAAGATCAAGTCACAAGATGGGCAGGCGGACGATAGCTGGAGTGTGGCGGGTCTCCAGTTGATCGGCCAGTATTGGGACGATAAACGGTTGCTCGGCGTGGCCAATAACCTCTTCCGTCAACTGTCTGCTTGATGGCAAGTCTTCTCCGAGACGGCCAGCAAGCGTTTTGTAATATGTCACGTTGCCTTTTGGGAGGTGATAATCTGTAAAATGTATACTACGATAGAATATACCCAAAACGATCAACCCTTTCATCCGATACCTTTACACCACGAGAGAAGCCCCTATAGGGCGCGCCAACTCCATTCCTGTCACCAGCACAGCAGGCGTCCCTCTAGGTCGAGGGGTCAGGTCAAACTGTGTCGTGGTGGAGGGGTTTAAGGTCCTACGCCAACAGCCTACTCGACGACAGGCTACGAGTTCGAGTTCAATTCCCAGCAAGTGCACCAGAGATGTAGCCCCCACCGGGGGGTGAACTCTTTTTTGGTCTTTTGGATCTTTTGATGCTTAGTCATTGGTATATATTTCGCCAAGTCAGGAGATCATGTACAAGCTGAAGATGTCCGAAGTACTGAAGAACACCTGCTCAGGGCACCCAAATCATGCTCGAGTCTGTTTTGTTCTCTGCTCCGTAGTGGGCGAGGGGTTGGGTATCATCTTCTGCTAACGCTATACTCTTTAAGGAGACCGGTCTCGGCTTCTCGACCTCGACCTTGACCTCGATCTTTCCACGTCCATCGGCTCCCCGTCACCACTTCTGTCTTCCCCTATTTCGCCTTCTGACTCGTCCGCACCATTCGCTCCTGCATTCTCCTCGTCCTCCTCCTCTTCATCCAGGAGCTCGTCGATATCGCCCAGAGGACTGATCCTCTCCTCAAGCTCACCCAGATCCACCAAGTCAACTCTCTTAGGCAACTCCCTAAAACTCGTCGCGCAAACTCTCGTCTTGGTCAACAAGTCGTCGACGAAATCATCCATATACGTCAAGCTCGTTCCCTGCCGCCCCTTCCTCCTTAGCTTCCTCCTATCCTCCAGAAATGGCTCCAATAACAGGAAAACGTCCTTGGCCTTCCTCGTCATGCGGACGTAGAGGCATGCCAGCGCGCGCAAGTACTTGAACTTCTCCCCGCCGAAGCCCAAGTACGTCTCCAGCACATCGTCCGACGGCGCAAGCTGCAACAGCTTGAACGCGAGACATAAAAAGGGTGTGGGCTTCTGCGTGACGCCCGAGGTGCCGCCGATGAAGGTAACGTGCTCGACGACGCGGTCGACAATGTCGGCCTCGTTAACGGCGAAGCACTGCTCTTTGTAAAAGTACGAGTCAATGATGCGCTCGCGGACGGCCTTTTCCATGATTGTGGCCGGGTTCTCGCCGTTCGGGGCCAGGGAGGCGGAGGATCCGCGCTCGTCGAGGAAGCGCCGCTCGTCGGCGTAGACGAGGTCGGGTTTGCTCATCTTTGCGACGTCTCTTTGGGGGGGGAGTGGGATGTTTTTGGGATGTTTTCGGGAGGCTCGGCCTGTCTTGTTGCGTGTGGATGGGGGGAACGGAAAGATTGGATGAAGGCGAGGCCTGGCTTGAGTAGAAGTCGCGTTTCGTGGAGGATTAGGTAGCTCTTCGGGTGGTGGGGTGGTAGCGAAGCGTTGGGAGCTCCCGCTTGTGACGCAGGGTGGAAAAGTTGAAGGTCACAGCCAATTGACGGCGCTTATCGATAGTTGCCGTGCGAACCAAGTAAACAGCCCACTTCCAAGTTCACGCTCACGCCGCGCATCCCTGACGACTGCGACGCTGGCCCAGGTGAAAAGCCGACGCCTTCAACGAGCTCTAACTCATTAAAATCATTCAAATCATTTAGGAAATTTTACTTCAAGTCTCCAGAATTCAGAAATCGCCATTTTTGCGTCACCTAAAGTCCACAGTTGTTGCCATGGTGCTCCTCACTTCCTCCCAAGTCTCCGTCCTCATCTCCTCGGCCATCGGTAACACCCGCCCGTTCCCGCATTCCAGTCCCCCGCGTTCCCGATAATCAGAACAAACGGCTAACCTCAGACTGCGTCCTGCGCGCGAGCGGCGATCCGCGTTTGCGTGCTTCGCCACTCCGTGCAAACGCTTTTCCCCTTGAAAATAGTTGTATCGTGTACTACGGCCCTCTTTCTTAGCGGCTACGTGATCCAACAGCGCACGCTCAGCCAGCTGCGCGAAGCTATCAAGCCCGAACTACGGCCCTCTCCAAAGGCATCGTACTACGTTCCCGAGCACCTAAAGGATGCCGCAGGCAACGGGCAGAACGCACCGCTCTACGGCGCGAATGGGAAGCAGGAGCAGATCGTAATCGAGGTGAACCCCACGGTGCCCGAAAAGCATAGGCAACAGCAGCAGCAAGGGAAGAAGCCAAAGGCCGGACTGCAACCCGCAAGGTGGACATCCGGCATGTGGCAGAAGATGATGGGGCCATCGGAAAAAGAGGAAAAGGGCGGGATCAGTAGGGAAGACCTGGAGAAGATGGACGAGAGGGAGAGAAACATCAACGGCTGGAACGTGAAGGACCAGGCGAACCCCGACCCCGAAGCATCGAACCAGAAGCCCATCAGCCGTGCCGAGAGGCGGCGGTTGATCAAGGAAGAGCTGAGGCGGCTGTCGGAAAGCGAAGAGAGGGTTTACTACCAGCGACGACTGTGGTAGGATGATGTTGGGATGGGTTTATACGGGTCACGGATTGCGGTCCCTTGGGCACACATACGGGAACGCTGGCGTTGTTTGGATTTTGGGAGGTCAATAATGAGGGATGTTTACGAAGTCGGTAGATACAGTTTGGCCATGTACACTTGTGCAGATAGGAGATGTCGAACCAGAGCAAACGAAACGAATGACAGTACTGGACCAAATCCATGTGAGCTTTGTATTGATGTGCCGAGAAGACTATTCGATATCCATGTGCCGAATGGTCGTTTCCCTCAAAGCTAATTCCACCGCGGCCCGTGAGCCGGATTCATGCATTCGTCAGCGTTGTATAATCATCATCTTTCTGTCCCAAAGTACCCTGAACGCCAAACCCCAAAACTATGCGGAATCAAACGAAGCCAATGCCTACTCTCCTTGTGCCGCTATTCTCTAAGCGTGGCGGTTGGCAGCATCCTCGAACGCCTCTCTCTGCATTCTTTCCAGCTCCTCGAGGGGAATCTGGCTGTTTTGGAACTTGTTTGCCTTCTTTTCGCGTCCCTACATAGTTGTCAGCGATGACTGGCCCCTTGTGTGGGTCGTGCCAGGGTGTGTAGCGTACCTTTTGCACTTCCTTGTGCTCTGCTGCGGCCTCTAGTACGGCCGGTACGTAGTCTGCGAAGCCCAATTGCTCGAGGGCCTTGGTGATGTGGTCGCAGGCGATAGTCTTCTTAGCTTCCTTCTCTGAGATCTCGTTGGCTTCCGAGGAGATGAGGGTGATGAACTCGACACAGCACTCGATGAGCAGGTCGCGGGCTTCCTTGGCAAAGGCAACGCCAGCCGAGGGCGGTAGGATCTCGGTCACAATCTTTTGAACGGTGGCTATGCGGCAGATTAGCATGAGAACCACCGAGTGAAGGGGAGTCAGAGGTGTTTCGTGAGAGAAACATCTCTTGTAGGGGGGAGTCACATACCCTTGGGCAAGGACAAGTCATCGTTGCCTAGATATGTCATGTCAGCATCGAAGTTCAAAAATCAGGCTGAGTGAGTAGCAAAGGATACCCAGGCAGTCCATGAACTTCCAGGTATCCCCTGATTCTGGTTCCCACGTTGGCCGCAAGGGTGCACGATCAAAGCGCCGCATGATGCACAGAAAGGTGCAGTTTGCGACATCTTTTACATGGTGACCAACTCTGGGATTCAGTGAAGCTTGCGGGGGGCACAAGCCGGTGGCGAGGCCCGGTCGTGGAAACCAGGCAGGATAGGTGTGCAGCAACCGGAAAGCCTCTTGGAGAACGTTGGAGGATTTTGGGAAACATCGATCTACACTTACCCGCAATATCGTGGTCCGACATGGTTGTAATGTGAGATGAGAGCGACGATGAGACGGAAGGAAACGTTGGCGGGACCGCGGAATGGCCGATTTCGTTTACTTTTTGACGACGAGCGTTGTATTTTCGCCTTGGTAGTGATGAGAATGGGCTGATTGATTCGTGATGCGTTCGTGTCGACCGTAGACTTATACGGAAATAGGTCGCTGTGGATGAACGAGACGCGGTGGCGTAGTGGGCATGCAAAGTAATTAAGCTATCGCGGAGACTTTGTAGGACTGGCACGTTCAGTGTCTGGCCGTGTCTTTGGTGGGGTCTTTTATGTTCCTTGGGATGCGGGACATCAAGTGCATTTGAACCCCCCGTGCGCCTTCAGCAAGCAGGGGCCACTGAGCCACAAAGTGCAGGCTCAGTCATTGCCTGGTCCCGCCGCAGTGGGGCTCACTCCGCGCGCTTTCCAGGTTCACGCAAGAATTCTACCTCAGGTTGTTCAGAGTTCAGACCCAACCCAGCGGTGCGTCGGCAAGAGATGCCTCCGTGGTTCCGTATCGCACGGGCCAGCTGTCCCCAATCACTCCAAATTTTTTCTTAGCCTTAAAAGACGAAATATTCCACGATGCCCAAACTATCTTCTCTTTTGCATCAGCAAACAGCAGAGTCGAGAAACACCATGCGCTCTTATTTCAGAGCATCTGGCGGCTCTGCTGCTTGTCCTGGTTGAACTTGGTAGGTCATCCATTCCCTCTTCCATTCACCTCGATATGATGAGTCTTGTTGTCGCCCCAAACTTACGAGGAATAACTCCCCTCATAGTGGTGAATGACCGTCCTGCCAAACGGACATGATCTGATCTATCACCATGAATCTTCGTTTTCTTTGCTGCAGCTGTGTTTTCGAGACCGCGTTGCTAACAAGGATTTCAGACAGGAAGCATGCGCCGCCCGCAATTCAATCGATTCCATGTTTTTACGCACATGTGCCAGTAATGGGGTGGGCATCTGCCTCACATCGCCTTTCCCGGCCGACTGGAGATTGTTAATGCAAGCTCGAATTTGGTTTCGTGGTGTTGGACAACGCTGGGATTTACCAAACCACGCCTTCAGGTTGCCAGTTCAAGGTAAGTCGCAAATGCGAAAATTTCTTCAACTATACACCCGCATGGGCTTGCCAATGATGATGAAACATATTCCATGCTAATCCTGAATAAACAATGTGGAATCAAATATGAGCTTTTCATCTTTCATCTGAGGCATCTTGTTATCAATGTTTTCTATTTGCACCTCTATGGTCAAGCAATTGCTAACGTTGAACTTCCAGCGAATTTCTACGCGTCATGATACGCTGAAAGCTCTCCAGCTTGCCACCTAAAGTACTTGCCCGAGAGGTCGTGTTGAGGCTTGACGACGAACCGCGCCATGACGCTGCCGGGCTGTTCAGGCTTGAAAAGCTCTCCCTTGTCGAAAGCAGACACGAATGAGGTGTGGTCCTTGTCGGCCATGTGCCCGGCTCCAGTGTCGCGGATTACCTTCTGCATAGCAGTGTCGACGCGGCCTGGGCTGACGGCGATGCTGGTGATTTCGGGCTCCTCCACTGCCAAGTGTGCTGAGAGGTGGTTCATGGCGGCCTTGGAAGTTCCATAGGCTCCCCATGCGGTGTATGCGCCAGTGGCGGCGCCGGAGGACACCCAGAGGACGCAGCCCTTGGACTTGCGCAGCTCAGGTAGAGATGCTTGCACCTTGTGGTAATGGTCAGATTAGACAGACTAGAGAAATAAATCAGAGTTTTCACTCACCAATGCGAGCCCACTAAAAACATTGATGTCGTATGCCTTCTTCCATTCCTCGATAGAAGAGTCTGCCAGGCGGGTGACGGGCTCCAATACACCGTGATTGATGACAAGTCCATCAATCTTGCCAAAGGCCTTGACTGCTGCCTCGGCGATCTTGGGGATGGCCTGCATCCCTATTAGCCTTGAACTTGGTCGATGAATCTACCCACTAGTCCTACCTTGAGGTCACCCAAGTCACCTGCAACGTACTCAACCTGCCCGGGATGAGCAGTCTTCAAAGCCTCCAACTGGTCCTTGGATCTCGCCGCCAAGACAACCTTGTGGGAGTCCTTGATGAGGTGTTGGGCGATGGCAAGACCAATGCCTCGGCTGGCGCCGGTCACGATTATCACCTTTGAGGTCATGATTTTTCTTCAGAGGCGATGCGACGCTAAATTTGGCTGTATCCAGGTTTGTTTCTGGCTTGAGATCAGCGAAAGAAGTGCAGCAAGGGGGAAAAAAAAGTGTGTACCTATGCAATGCCAAAAATGGGCCTGGCGGCTTGCGCCATTCCAATGCAGCGAAGCGCTCTTGCTGTTTCTGCGCTGTGCAATGGAGCGGGGATCAAAGTCCTTATCTTATCAGGTTGGCGGGGTCGAGAGCTCTGGTCTGCTGGAGCTCGAGCTTTCAACCCAAAACGTCATTATTCAAGATTCGAAATTCAAGCTTCCTTTGAACGGATCACAAAAGCCACCATTGTCTCAGTCACTGTGACAATGAGCACAACAGTAATAGTTGGATCTGGTATCATAGGCCTTTCGATTGCGTATTATCTGGCAGACCACCAACCAGGCTCAACAATACACCTCGTCGACCCTTCACCAGAGCTCTTTGCCTCAGCGTCGGGGTACGCGGGTGGCTTTCTCGCGAGGGACTGGTTCCCGCTCGAATACGCCGCCCTCGGAGTGTTGAGTTTTGACGAGCACAAGAAGCTCGCAGAGGAGAACGGTGGCAGAGAGAAATGGGGGTGGTCGACAAGCACGGCTTTTAGCCACTCGGCAGCACCCGTGAAGAAGAGCAAGAAAGACACCGACTGGTTGCGGGACGGCGGGAGCAGAGCTGAAGTTATCGAAGCCGCTGAGTCTCCAACTAACGGGCCTCCGTGGTTGAGAAGGGAGCATGGCGATGATGTGCAGCTGATTGGGGGTTCGGAAAGTACGGGTCAAGTGTGCGTCTCCAGTCCAGCTGCATGCATGTAATCACGCACCCGTGTGATATACACAATACACACACACTCTCTTTCTCTCTCACAACCCGGTTTAACATGCTGGTTGAACATGAAACCTGACTCCAATCGCCAGGGATCCCCTCCGTCTCTGCCACTTCCTCCTCCAAGAATGCAGATCCGCCCGCGTCCACCTCCACCACCCAGCCACAGTTCTCTCCGTCCGCACCGACCTGCGCGACGAGCTCTCGTCGGTCCGCATAGGGGAAACGACATCCTCCACAGAGACCGACGTCCCCTGTACGCGCCTCGTCGTCGCCGCCGGCGCCTGGTCACCTCGTGTCTTCTCACAGCTCTTCCCTGGCACGTCACTAGAGGTGCCCATCTCCAGCCTGGCGGGACACTCGCTCGTGGTCAAGACCCTCCTTCCGGAATCAAGTGATGCCCAGCAACAGCAGACGGCCTGCCACGCAATCTTCAGCACAGACGGCGCCGGGTTCTCACCGGAGCTGTTCTCGAGGGTCGGCGGACACGTCTACATCGCCGGCGTGAACTCGCCATCGATGCCCATCCCGCCTCTACCCGGTCAAGCACCCATCTCTGCTGATGCAATTGCGAAACTCAAGAGCACGGCGGCACGTATCATCGCCAATAACAGCGAAACGGACTTGGAAGTCGTCCGGGAGGGGCTATGTTTCCGCCCGGTGACGGACTCGGGCGCTCCCATCTTGACTCGGGTGCCGGACGGCCGGCTCGGGGGAGTTGCGACGCGCACCGGCGCCGAGGGCGGGGTGTATCTCGCGGCGGGGCATGGTCCTTGGGGCATCAGTCTATGCCTTGGGACGGGGAAGGTGATGGCGGAACTTATGCAGGGGCGGAAGCTGAGCGCCGACATATCCAGGCTTGCCTTGACATGAAGAGCCTGGGTGCGCTAGCCACTTGGCAGATCTCATGCAGAAACTTGGCGCGGTCGTTGATGACCACGCTCAATGTCATCTCTTCAGAAGAAACAGGCTCTCCCCAATTTCCGCTTGCAAAATTTCGCCTCCTCCCGAGGCCCCGTGAGTCTGTAACTAGATTGATGGGTGTGACCGATATAACGATCAGCGCCGCATCCACATCGCCACTCGTTACCGGGAAGCCCATGTTGGCGCCTTCGTAACGGCCTCGGGTGCTATGACAATGCATGGCAGCCGCCGTCGCGCTTGCGTCGTGAGGGTGTGCAAGCACCGACCAGTCTCCGTCGCGGGTGAGCAGTCGCTCCTCGATGGCCGAAACGCTTGGGCGACAGGCTGGCGCGGCTAGGGTGGTTCTTCTGCGGTAATATGTCATGACCCGGGCACGCAAAGAGTAACGGACGGCGAACGGTGATTCTCGGCAGAAAGGGAGGCGGCATGGCCCCGTCGTTTCTTCTCGTCAGACTCGTGGGAGGGGAAACTCTCTTTTCGCCCTGTCGAAAATCCGCCCAGAAATAGCCGCCCAAGTCGGTCAACTGTCGACACTAATTACTAGAGGCTAGGCTGCCTCAAGGGGAGTGAGTTCCCACCGCTTGAAGTAGTGAGGCGGCGGGAAAGAAAAGATGATGGAGCTATTCGTATTTCTGACCCACGCGTGGCTCTGAGGTTGTCGTGGGGATTAGTGAACGAGATGAGGTGAACAGAAATAGGCTACCACAGCCCACGCGCCAGGCTGGGCTGACGAGGTGGACACTGGACAGGTCTGGCAGTGGACTATATCCGTACAAAACATGAGAGCTATAAGCGAAACGAATGCGCTGAAATGGAGTTAGTGGCGTCCACACGGAAAATGTAGCTTAATCACTGGAGAACATTGATTGGGTCGGACATTGCGACCCTGGGCAACAGACGGATTTTGTGGGATTTGTGCCGTCCTCGCGGCGTTTCCAATTCGTATTTTTTTGCTCACTTGCTTGGCTCGAATCAAAGGGCTTCTCAACGTTTCCATCATATCTCCGGGTTTCCATCTTTTGTTCCGCCGTCGCTACCATCCCTTGGTCCTAGGTCTTGAACCAAAGGCCCGTCATCCATCCCCTGGTCAGTCAACTCAGGTACCGGTAGTGCACATCAGACGAGGCAAGCTGACTGCATCGGTGAAAACCGATAGTTCGGCTCTGTTAATAACCCCATCTCTCATCATCGTCCCAATTCGTATCCCCTGTCTACGTACTCCCGGGGTAGCAAGCCTCATTCTGCACCAGAGCCACAACCTGCCTCCCTTGCAGTTCGCGGGTGCTTTTGTCCCTTGTCCACAGCACAAAAAAAAAAAAGGCATTATTGCTTCTGAGGCTCCGTTGCGTGTCGCGTCCACGAGACTGTCTAATTTGCCACAATTCAAGCAAGGGGCCAAACCAGACGGCGCGGGTACCTGCATGTCTGATAACTCCGCCTCATCATATGCATGTCTGTGTCTGTCTCGTACCCCTTTTTTGTGCTATAAGTCTGGAATAATATGACCTACATCCACGGATACTCGTTGCTGGAAATTCCAAGCTTTTTTCCTCGGCTAGTCGCCTATGGCGATAATGATGATGTCCTTCTGGTCATGCCCAGCAGCCCAAGAAACCTGACGTAGGCACGGCAGTTGCGTGCCGCGTCGACCAAAGTGATGCGTAAGCAACGAAGCTGCCCAGGCACGGGCCCCCGTTCCCTACCACGTAGAAGCTGTCGCGACTCATGGACACCGTTTCCGCGATGTCATCCGCCCATCACACTTACCATCGTCCGGGTAGTGCACCGTAGCTGGCAGCCTGAGCGGGCCCGGCGTGCGGGAACGAGATGAAATCAGTCATCCACATTGGACTTGTGTTGGTTTCCAAGGCTCTGGTAGCTATCCGTATTCAATGATCCATGGACCCAGATGATGAAGATCACCAGACACGCACACCCGCACACCCGCACCGATTCGGTCCCGCAGAATGAATCCATCCACGCACGACTCATCGTGCGAACTAGTATCGTAAGTACCTGCAAAGTCACAATGGACGAACCGCGCTAGGAACGAACGACTTCTACAACGCCAGCTGAAGAGTCCACCCCGAGAAACGACCGTGCCCCTCCTTCCCGAATCGATTGGCTCCCTCTCGCAAGATCTCGACAGCGAATGCACCTTTGACAAGCGCAGAGGGTTCTCCGGATCCGAACAGGTTCGTTACGGATGGGATACTCGGCATTAACCAAGGCCCATGGCGTGCCTGGCTAGCGCATTCGCTGTGCCGCTCTGCATGGCACTCGTGGCACTCGTGGCAGGCACTATCGACCATGGGAAGTCTCCATGTGCATCCTGGTAGGCCTAAACGTCAAAGACCGAATAAGCCCGTCAGAGGACGAGAACCCGTCCCCGGGACCTTACGGTCGTAACTTTGTAAGCCAACCTACTCGGCGTCAACCTCGTAATGGAGTTTATTCTGAGAGCTTTGACCCTTTTTGCCTTTGGGACAACAATTTACGCCCCTGTCGTGCTGAACTCTCTCTCAAAAAAAAAAAGAACAGAAGGTCCTTTCGAAGGCTCGAAGCTCAACCTCGCCTCTCGGTACTACCCTACCGTGCCAAGAGTCTGGTTTCCACCATGAGCGAGCTGTCGAATCCGAATCGAATCCATAGCCCACCAGGTGGTATTAAACCCGTTTCTCCGCGGACCCGTTGAAGCTTCTGTGCCGTGTCGGGCACCGCCATCCCTCCCAGCACTTCCGCAGCGTCGCATTGGAGAGCCACCACAGCCATGTGGTAGGTGAGTGGCACCAGAGGGAAACCGAAACACGAGCACGAGAATGCAAAGAAAGAGAAAGAATAAAAGGCTGCGCCCAGTTTGATGTCCACGTGGAAACATTTGTTAGCTTCTTATAGTATCTACCCACCACCGCGGGAAACGAACCCACTTACAAAGATACCGTGGACGAGCCAAAGGTGATTCATAATTAATCGACGCTTCTTAGCAACCAGCATCACCTGCCGGCTGCCGGGCACGGTGTACGTGGTGGGTGTGCAATTGTCCAATCAGAGACTACAAGTCGACCTTTTTTCTTCGTCCCGATTCCCGAATAGCCCGGGCTTGGCTGGCCTATTTTCCTTTGTTGAAAAGGTCTCCAGTGCCGACCTTGGTGGGAGATTTCGGTAGGAGTAGGAAAGCCCAGCTCATGTCCATCTCCCGAAGGTCCATCTCCCGAATGGGGCTACTATCCGTAGCTGACCAGGCACTGGCAAAGACTCGAGAGCCCGCCGAGACAAAAGATTCGGGCCTACTGGTACTGGGCCAAATCGCCTTCAAGACTAGCTGTCCGTCTCTTGTTATCCATTGTTTGCGGATTCTTAGCAGAGCATTGGTCTCCGTGCGTAAGGCATCTGTAAGCAGGGAAACTTTCAAAACGTTGCATTCGTGAGTCCCATCGGTGACGGAGGCCCACGATGGGTAGAGGTTTCCCTGCCTCCTCCCCTCACTAACTGCTGAGAATGACACGCCGGTGCCGCCATTATCCATTGATCCAATTCGGATCCGGGCTTTTCAAGGGCCGATGAAAGCCTAACTTCCCAAACACTGTGGAGGTTCGGGCCCTTCCAGCGGCACGGCAAGGAACAAGGCGGAAACATTCTGTTGGGCTGGTAAATTCACCACAAGGGTAATGGAACGGTTTAGAGATGCCCGACCGGCAAGCCAGGGGGGTTTAAAGGGTAAGGTTCACTGACTACACTAAGTTTCCGTCTCCGCGGAACCCAGTCAGGTGCCCGAAATCTGTGAATAATCTTTCCATCATTGTTTCTTTGGGTTTTACCTGTGACGAGCAAGGGACGATGCTTGGCATGACTCGGCAGGGAGACCAAGATGATTATCGGGACGAGGTTGGGGAAGGGAAAACATTGCAGAGGGATTGGGCGACGTGACCATGACGATGAAGTCAGAAGCAAGAAAATGCATTGCATCGGATTTTTCACTGAGCAGTGGATGCCCTTTTACGGATACTTCCAAGGTAAACGCCCGATCATGGCATCACTGGAACATATTATCGATCATCGGTACCAAAGAATTGATGTTTGACCAAAAGAGAGCCTGCAGCATTCAAGATGCACTGCCAGGTTTTTTCTCCGTGAATAAAATTACAATACGGGATATGAAGATGATGCTACGGATATACCGGGGGTGTAACGTAGGCCTGCCACTTGCCCATACCACCCCCGTCGTCCTCAGGCTCGGGGTCCTTTCCACGGAAGGTAAACCGGCCCTGATTCCGCCCTTGCCTGCCCTGGATGACAGTTGCCTGTGCGCGCGCGTGCGTGAAAAAAAGTTACCGTTTTTTTTCATACCCCAAGAAAGAACCGCGTCCCCCCAAATGACGTCAACCCAAATGCTCCGTACACCTCCCCGAGTGCCCGACCAAACAGCCGCAGTCTTACAGTAGTAGAAACCGAGTGATTGAATTCTGAAAAATCCGTGGTGAAAGGAGGATATCCGATAGAAATGAGGCTCGCTGTTTAAAAAAAAAAAAAAAGAAAGAAAGGAGAAGATATCGAGGGATCAAAAAGCAAAAGATGCGCCCGCTGTCGTGAAAGCCGTTAAAACCGCCCCGCCCCCGGAGGTGTCTCTCGCCGTTTTTGCTGCCCCAGACTGGTGATGGGAAAAGATTTGAAGGGTGAATGATGTTGTTGAAGCAGTCGATAATAAGCTTCCATAAATAAAAACCTTGTAAAAGGATAGTTGAGTAGAGTATGTTCCTTAGAACAATGTGTTGGAAGTTCGGGCGCCTTCTTGCTCAAAGACAATGCCACGCCTCTTCCAGCCACCGCGCTTGATAAAGTCCTCGACGCTGTCCAGAGACTTCATTGCTGGCCGTCTCACTGTCGAAGGCGAGCTGCGCTTCATAGAAAAGTTTTGCCACTGCGACTCCCTCACGGGCCTCTCATCGTCGACAATGCTACCGTCCTCGGAGGACTCCTCATCGTCGTCGTGCTGAGATGCCATGGTGTTGATGGTCGACTCGGACCAGTGGGACCGCGGCAGTTGCGGCCTCGTGGCGGCGATGTGCTGCTGGACCTTGAAGAGGAAGTAGTCGTCGCCCTCGGCGGCGTGTTCTCGGGATCTCTCCTGCTGCTGGATCGGCGTCCGGGGAGAGTCGACCGGCGGGACGGGCATATCGGGGATGGCGGCGGCAAAGGAGGCCTTTGCCTTGTCTTCGGCGGCTGCCGCCGCCTCCTGGCTCGAGAAGTACGAGTTGATGACCTCGTCCTCGATGCACTGGGAGTTGTGGATAAAAGGCCGCTCGTAGAGCCTTGGTGGTGCGTGAAAGGTCGGGTGTAGTGAGAGGGGGTCAAAGTCGAGGACTCTTGTGTGGCGCATGGTTGCTGTTGAGCGGGTTGATTGTGTTGATGAGGAGTCGCTGCTGGAGACGGAGTTGGTGAGGGAGGGCTTGCGGGTGTGTAGTGCTTCTGGGTGGCGTCTTCCCTTGTTGGATGATGGTGAAGATTGGCCATGGGCCCATGGTGGTGATCCGAGCATCGTGATGATTGTGTAAGTCGAGTATAGCTCCTTCGAGATGGTGAATGGTCAATTTGACGTAGGCCTCTTATTGTTGTCGATGAATATATTTATATGTATAAATGTATAAATTTGTTGGTTTTTGTTTCCCTTTCCTAGTCGTTCCTGTGTTTCCTTCCTTGTGTATCCGGGTTGGTGTCGGGAGACGAGCAACGGTGAGAGAAGGAAGCCCGTCAAAGAGGGAAGAAAGGCGACAGTGAGGCTCGTAGGCTGTTTTAGATATGATATGTTACCACGAGAGGACTTGAATTTTACCGCACAGGTATATATTGGATAGTCTTCAAAGAGTGTGGTTGTGATACGGTGGCAAGGGTGTCGAGTGGTTGAAGGGAGATCCGGGATAGAGTGCTCACGTTTGGGAAACCAAAGCGGGCATGGTCTTATTATAAAACTTCACCATCCATGACGGCGGAAACCAGGATTTTCATGGGGAACCACATCTGCCTGCCAAGCGTGGGGATGAGCAAATCGGCAGCAGGCAGGAACGGCAGGCAAGGCAAGGCAAACCACCCGCCCCAACCCGAATGCGGGAAAAGCGAGTGGACGCGAGGGTACGCTACGCTGCAGAGAGAGACAAGACAGGTACACGCACGCCGCACACCGCACACCGTACAAGTGGAGTGGGCACTGCACGCCGCGGAGCCAAGGTCCCTGACGATCGAGGCTAAAAGGAGGATAGCCTACAAGACGTGAACGGAGCAGGGGTGGGAAGAGGAAGGACTCACACGCTAGTGAGTTGAGCCACTAGCTTGCTAGGGTTGGGGGGCCTTGAGGAATGAGAGATGGTGCCTTGCAGGTTCCGCACGTCGAGAGGAATCTTGGGGTGGATGCATGAGTGGGAGGGGGGATCACTGGGAGGAAGAGACCAGGAGGATCAGGCGCATGCCACGCCGATTGATCATGGAGGGTAGTATACGTATCCGAGGTGCGTGTGATGATTATAGATGCCGCGGGACAGAGGACCAGACACACGGTACTCCAGCAGAGGCGGAACGACGGAGAAAGAGAGAGAGAGAGAGGGAAGAGAGATTGAGAAGATCTCGCGAGAATTGACGCCGCCCGTCCCGGCCGGCGTGAATGTCTATTGCTCACCGCCGTGGACGCGAGTCGAATCCCAAGGACAAGGCTGCACTTGCGCGGCGCTACCTGTTCCCTTGCCTAGTTTCTGCTCAGACCGTACCGTAATTTTCATCTTGCAAGGTACACCTCAAGAGGAAGCAAAAGCCAGGAAAAAGGAAGTCGTCATTCCAATTCCAACTTTCGGCGGTCGGATGTGCCGTCTGAAGTCTGCTGCGGATGGTCGTGCGTGGCCTTCCTTCCTCTCCCCGGGGGGAACAGCAACGAGGATAGAATGCGGTATTGTGTATTCCCCGGGCGAGAGGCGAGGCGAGACTAGCGTTCCCAAACGGGGTGAATGTTTGGTGGTTGTTTGATGGTTTCTTCGTGAGATTTGGAAGACTTTGAAAATGTCCACCTTGAAAAACGAAGCACACGATGGGGCAATCACCAAATTTAGTTCACGGCATAAAGAGAGTTCCGAAGACGGAATCATGAGAGAAGGAAAAAGAATCGACCAGGCTGACAGCCTATTGAGAAAGATGAACAGGGACAGGGGTTCAGCAAGGCGGTGTTGGCCCAGCTTATCCACCTCATCCTCCGCCTATGAACCCTCGGGCAGCTGCTTTCTCAGGTTCACGGTTCACCTGGTTCAAAAACTCTCCACCTGTCCTCTCTCTCGAAACCAGCAGCAACAACTAGCCTCTTTTTGACCCCCCCCCC